GCCGCGCCGCCGCCTGCATCGCCGCCTGTATCAACCGCCGCCGCGCCGCCCACCACATCGCCCGCCGCGCCGTTTATCGAGCCACCCGCCGCGCCGTCCCCCACCGAGCCGCCTCCAGGACCACCCGCCGAGATGCTCCAATCATCCAGCGAGCCGCCCACCACACTTTCCAGCCCGTTAGTCCAGTCGCCAGTCGAGTTCAACACAGCGTTGGCCAAACAAGTGGGCCTCAGCGTCGTCGCTCTCCGCCACGACGCCGAGTTAAACACGCACTCGCTAATCGCAGACGAGCACCGCCAATCCAGCATCTCGGAGACGGTGGGGAACTCCGGCGAGGCCCTTTCCAATGACGTTGAGGAGTCACAGGAAATGGCGGCAGAGGGTGGCACTCATTATAGTTCTCTGTCGGGGAAGGTGGAGCAACCCCTCACGGGCAGTGAGCTTGTCCCAGTCTCCCTCATCGATTCGGTCAGCAGCGGCGACCGAAGCGGCGAGGCCGTGGACGATAGCATACCTAGCGCGCTGAGCGAGGTCGCCGTGGTGAGGCATGACACCGCAAGCGAGACGAAGAAGCCGCCGAAGAGTAGGGCAAGGAAGGATCGTGCTCCTAAGTTGGCTGACAAGTCTGTACACGCGGAGGTGTCCGAAGGACGGATGAGCACACGTCGCCGTGTGCATGCGCCCTTGAAGGCTCACGGATTCGATCCGTACGTAGATACACACTCTCTGACGACCACTGACCAATGAGTCCCATCAGGGTAATGACGTTGCAGGAACGTGCACACGCCGAACGACTCCGAGCTGCTCGAGAAGATGCCGTCGTTACAGTCACGGCTCCCAAGGCACCCCCAAAGCGCAAAGCTAACGCGGGTGGAAATGGGTTCGTTGTCATTCACTACCGTGCCGGAGCAGCTAACTAAATCATATTCAGCCGCCCGGCGAAGAAGAGACGTTGACAGGGACAGTTATGATACAGTAGATACCCGCAGGCATATGTGTAGTCCGAATAGAGTGTGGTCAAAGTCATAGCACATATCCTAAACTGATAGTCTCCAGTCCACGACCGAGCATCGCACGGCGGTCGGGCAGTATCGGATATGGAAGGCGATGGACAGGACGATGCAGACGTGTCAGCAAGGACTCCGAGGCGCCGGGAAGGCACGGGGGTCAATTTTGTGCAACACCGCGTCTGTCTCCGCCCACCACCTCCCACCACGCACTCCTATAACACGAAGATGTACATCCGCCTCATCTGCTGGACCAAGGTGTGTTTCATAGCCATGCCACGGTCGTATCCACGCGCTCACAGTTATAGCAGAATGGGGAACTGCCTGAACTTCACCCCGTCTGTTGCGACCTCGGAAGCAAACTATTCCTTCGCAATAGCGCGTGGGCGGTATCGATGGTGGGTGGAGTGAAGGAAGCCAAAGTGGATATTTGGAAGGCGACGGAGGGGGACTGGATCCAAGACCGTCTTAAGTCAATCGAGGTGACGATCGACGAGCACACCCCCGCCATTCTCATGCGTCTGCCGGAAGTTACACGGTGTCTGGGACTTGGCAAGGAGGTGGAATATCTCGAAGCCGTGCTGAGAGATAATGTTGGGCTCCCACAGCTGGAGGTCCACCCGCCCGTGACGACGCATCGCTCGCGCGTCCTCAACGTACTGGCTTGGAGTGGGGTGAGCTCGGTGTCTCGGTTGACTCAGTCTAATCGCTTACACCACAACAGAGGCCCACGGATGGCGCGTCCCTCTTCTCCATCTCGGCTGCTGGAGGTAGCCTGAAGCTCGAAGATCATCCTGTCATCGTTGAGCGGTGCGCTCAAACTGTGGATGACACATCGAGCATCACTACGGGATGCGATAACGCGACCTCCGTGGCCGCCGCCGACGAGCTCGCGACCACCCCCGGAAACGACGAGTCGAAGAAGCTCGACGTAGTGGAACGGTGGGACGTTACCGTCTCAGGTTGGCGTCACCAAGGCGTGGGCGAGCGGTTCCTCTGTGTCGACGAGGCGATCAAGACCGTGCTCATCAGGAACTACCGCAACCGCATGCCCCTCGGTCTGGGACGCCGCATTGCACAAGTGGAGTATGAGTTCCTGTACCCTCTGCCCGCGGTGAGTGGAACAACGCTGTCTCTCGCCCATGCATATACCGACTGACTGTCTGGACAGCCGGTCGGGAAGCCCGCGAAGGGCTCAGTGGGTGCCTCGACCAAGCGCAAGCGCATTGAGTTAAGCCCCCTCAGGGTGAGTTGACACGCGTCATCTCGCAGACGCACGTTTACTTAATCATGTACAAAGCCCGTGCCCGACGTCGGGGAGGCTGGCCCGAGCAAACGCATCCAGGCGAAGGCCGTCAACTCTTCGAAGACGGCGACTCCAGGGCTCGCGAAGAAGGGCCCCAAGGTAGTTGCTCCCTCTGACAAACCAGTGAAGGATGAGAAGTGGAAGAAGGCCATGGTTACGCTCCCGGACGGTACAGATGCGATCGATCTCTCCATATTCTCCTCGGATGAGGCGGAGGGGGCGGAGACGGACTCAGAGACGGTGTGTTAAGTGTAGATAGCGTAGTATCCGTAGTTGTCTCTCGACGGCGATAGCGCGAAGAATCATTGTGCGGATGTGACTGGCATCAAGGGCGAACGGCACGAGATATATCGATGGCATGGCAGTCGCGGCGCTGCGAGAACGCTCAGCCGGTTCTAAACCGCGCAAGTTCGTGCACGGTTCCAAACCGTGTGAGTTCGTGCCCGGTTTTCAACGAACCTGGTTCTACTCCTCCCCACCACCGACCGAAACCCAGCACACCACCCCTCATCCTCTCTCCCGCGACTCGTCGATGTCGATATACCGAGCCTATAGGCGGCCTGGCATGCCGCCTATGGGTGGAATTAGGCCAGCGCGAACGGACCATGACGACGACGACGACGGCTACAGCGACGACGTCAAAGACATGTGCTTCGCCGCAGCTGGCCCACCCCCGCCTTATCCCACGGCCTGCCTCACAAAGGACTGCAGAGTCCTGAAGTTCTTTTCACGAGTGAGCTTCAAGGAGGATTATGCGGCGGCCTACGTTATGGTGGTCAGTCTGTCCTGGGTGCCACGTCACTGTTTCATTGCTGACCGGGGAACAGTGTCTTGGCTGTCATCGTCCTCAGTACCCCGAGCAGTGGGGACCGTCTGAAGAAGACCTGGTCAATATCGAAGCCCAGCGCAAGCGCGACCGCCTTAAAAAGCGTGCGGACAATCATCAGAAAGCGCTACAGCGAGCGCGCGGCACCCGCAAGGTCAACCGTGAACTTGAGACTCGCCCGAAGTCACAGAAGAAGGATATAAAACCCGCTCGACCTTTCAAGGTAAGTGTTCGTGGCAAGAGTAGTTCGAGCATTGCGCACTAACGATTCATGACGTAGATTGTCGGCAACGTCCTGGGGGGCTTGGTGCGTGTATACCGGGGTCGGTGATCTCTCTATTCACGTCTGCTTTGGCAGGTCAACACTGCGAACTCGGCTGGCCCTTCTCGGCGAGACTTATATCGCGGGCGCACAATCACTGTGTTGCTATGGAACCAGGTGCGCTTGTGACTACCATAAGTTGCATCGACCGTAGCTGACAATGTTCGCAACAGATCGACCAGCTGCCACTAGAGAAGAAGGTCGACATCGAGGACGCCCGGCTGCTGCATTTCGCGGAGGCCGCGTGGGTGCAAGATGCATGCGGCCCAGACTCACTGCTCATCTTCGACGTGTGGCTGCTCGACGTGGCACAGTGGTCAACCGTGACTTGGTCGACGACCCCCATTGACGTCTCGCTGCAAGAGGACACGGTGTTTGTCCGCGTCATTGGACTGCCCTGCACTGGGTTCGGTCATTACCTGAAGCAGTACGAGGAGACGCACAACATGGGATGCCGGCGTCGCGGCGTGGAGATGCCAAGCGATGTCTTGTCCTGCGAACCCGACAAGGTCTGGGTCGCTCTGTGGAGCGCCGTAAGTTTGTCACTGTCATGTGCACATCCCAACGCTGACGCGATGCTCACACAGAACAGCCAAGGGCCGAAGCTGTACCAGGTCGCGATCATCAAAGAGTCCGGACGCTCGGTGGCGCGCTGGGTAGATCCGCCGGAACTCAAAAGCGCGCACCATCCGTGTTACTGGATCGAGGGCGAGACGCAGTGGCAGGGATACGCAGGCGTCAGCGGAGCGCGGGTCGCGTGCCTCCCCGGAGTCCCAGTCATTCTGCTCCGTCGCCCAGACGTTCAGCAGCTGCTCGGGCTCGGGGATGTCCTGGAGTACTTGGAAAACGTACGCGCTATCCAACGCGCGTCTGGTGAGAGGCCCGCCGCTATGACTGCGGTGCACGCTGCACGTGCGCGAGACCCGCCATCTCCGCAAGCCGGACCGTCGAACATCAAAGAGGAGGCCACCGCACGGGCACAGACCGTCGGGAGTGCTGTCATAAGTGGGTACGACTCGGACGCGCACGCAGCTCAAGCAGGTCCGTCGACCTTGCTGCGCCGAGTCAAAATTGAGCCTTCCGCGCAAGCCGTGAAAGGCAAAGAGACGAAAAAGGACAAGGGGAAAGCGAGGGACATGGGAACGGACTGGCGGCGGGATGTAGAGGGCGCGGGTTTCCGTGTCCTCATCGAGAATGGCGAGGAAGTCATTGAGATATAGGGTGGCAATATTGCGTTTACGACACATACATAGGTACTCAACTAGAGCGGGTGGCTGGCTAACGGCGGGTGGTCATACGTACGATGGATACGTCACCGACCAGCAGGGACAAGAGGCCGATAATGTCGGACTTGGCATTAAGGCACCGCCGGTGTTCAAAAGTCGGACCGAAACAAGGTACGCCCGGGTCGTGCCTTTGATGCAATGACGTTATATACGCGACTGGTAGCCCTGAATGCGGCGTAGTCGCGGTCAAGGCGAGCGATGCCTTGCATTCCAGAGCATGCGTCGCGGAGTAGGTCGAGGTCGATGTCGATGCACGGAGGCGAGCGTGAGGTCTGGGAGGGGGCGCAGACAAACGCGCGCGCTGAAGACAAACGCGCGCGCTGAATAACGAAGAGCACCGCTATGAAGCTGGCGCGAGACAGAATATAAGTGGGATCGGCGCCACAGTGCCCCAAGGCAAGGGCAGAGGTACAGCGGATATTGATCCATCATTTTACAGTGCGCGATGGGTGGTATACATGTCGTGTAGCTACGTGATGCTCGGGCGCCAGATAGGAATGGGGAGCCGTGGGTTTGTAGAGGGAAGGGGGGAAATCTCTGGTCGGGCGCGCGAACCATCGCGACCTGCAGGACTAGCCCCAAGTAGGGGGCGCGTGCAAGAAACAGGTCAGTCGTCCATCACCCGGTGTCTGCGAACACACGGTATCGCTGCAGATACCCGTGCTCGCAAAAGCTGACGACCCGGAAGTACTTATAGGCCGTCCTCGTCGTTGGCTAGATGGCGTATAGAGCAGGTATGTGTATGTCGTTAGGATCACGTTGTACATTTCCGAGAAACGTACGGAGAAGGTCAGAATCATCCCGCCGCCCAAGCGTGTTGACCTGCGCGTTAAGACATCGCCGGATGAGCTGGAGATTCTGTATATGCGCGCCGTCAAGGAGCGACTTCTTCTTGTCGTGAAACGATAGTCCAGTAAGGGTATACCGATTCGCGAATTCTGGTTCGTCGTGAAGTGCGATATGGTATCCCGCACGTCGCCGTGATACGCCATGCTACATGCACGAGCACGCGCGAGGTCGCGGATGCAAGAGAAGTCGATTATGACGAGCCGTAAGTGAAGTAGGTCGAGGACGTGTTGCATGGACAAATGAATGGTTACCTTGATCTAAGCCTTGTGCTCGTGCATCGGGCATCCGCGTTCAAGTGTGACGGGTGCGAGAGAACACCGAAGAAAGCGCCAAGCGCAGGTAAACGTTGGACTCTCTGCCTCTGCCTCTGCCTCTGTCTCTGTCTGTCTCTGTCTCTGTCTCTGTCTCTGCCCCTGCCTCTTTGTCTCTCTGTCTCTCTCTCTCTGTCGCTGTGTCTCTGTCATTCTAGTAGGACATACAGGTTGTTGATCGCGCGCCGGCATCCCAAGTCGCATTTGAAAGGTGCGAGAAATCAGCCCCCCAAATGATGCCAAACGTTGAAGCTCTTTCCTTCCTCTCCCAGCCTCGATCTCTCTCTCTCCGCTGCTCGCTCCTCTCCCATCTTGACCCCTCTCAGCCCATCTACTTTGCAAGACCATGCCTATTCTGCTGAAGTCGAAGAACTACCGAGTGAGTCTGGTGGAAAACGCTTGGCGGGGAGCTGAGGACGAACACCCCGTTGGCAGGTCTTTGCTTCCATATTCAAAATTGGCAAAGGAGACCGCCGTGCTATTACCTGGAAAGAATTCGTGCGGGTGAGTGAATCTAGTGCCCGCTTTGTTCGTTTCCTGACATAATCACAGACTATGAAGGCCCTCGGATTCGACTACTGCAAAAACTCTGGGTCTAAGAGAGCGTTCAGGCCGGGTGGTTCGGAGTTCCAGCACACCTTCGGGTGGCATGCGGTAAGTCTGGATGTTGCCGCAAGTGGAACCTCGTACGCTGACATTTGCACATAGCCTCATGACGGCGTATTGTCCGCGCACCTTCAAAACCTGTAAGTACTGATGCGGCGCCACTGTGCTTTATGCTGACATGTAGGCCAGTATGGCCATCAAATTGGTCAGAACATTCGGCTGGACGGCCGCTTCTTTCAAACTGAAGCAGTGAGGCACTTTTTTGATGTGGAGCGTTATTGAACGAATGTGGGGGTGGCTCGGGAGCCCCGGGAACATCGGACAACGCAAATCACGCGCGGAACCTTCGATTGTTTCGGATCGATCAGGGCACCAAGTACCTACCCGTACAGAGCTCGTCATACCGGACCGCGTCTATGTATATGATCAAACGTATCTTGCTAAACTACAATATGGGTATAGTGACATGGACTAGTTTAACTACGAGCGGGCTACAGCGCGAGCGCGAAACGAGCCACCGGACTGGTATCGTGGCTGGACGCGGAAGGTAGCGTGCGTGCGAGCACAGAGCGTGGTGTAGGCGCGGACGAAGGCAGGGGAGGACGAAAAGGGCGGAGGTCAGGGCGGATCGTGAGCGCGAGGTGAGCAGATCGTGAGCGCGAAGCGGGCGGAGGTCGCATGTGCGAGCGAGTGAGTCGGGTGGTTGGAGGAGGTGGACGGCGGACGGCGGACTCGGAGATCGTATGCGCGGAGCGCGAGCGTCCGGTGGGTGGAAGGAAGACGCGTACGCGGAAAAGACAGGCGGTCGAAGCGCGCGAAGGCGGGGCGCGCGAGGAGGGCGGAGCGGGCGGAGGCGGAGAGGGCAAATTCAACGAAGGCAGGGAAGCGTTGAGGTCGGATGCACGGAGGACAGAGGTCGGTTGCGCGGAGGGCGGTAGACGAGTTCGCAGAGCGCGGCGATACGCGGAGGGTGGTGGACGAGTACGAGAGCACGGCGATGGCGATGGCGAGGACGCGAGCGCAGGCGAGCGCACGCGCGCGGGATATGTGGATGTGGCGAGCGCACGCGCGGGGGAGATGTGGACGTAGATGGCGGAAGACAATTGTGCGGAAAGGGGAGGCGGATGAAGGGGCCGAAGGTGGGGCGGATGAGGAGGTTAGTGTCGCAGAGAACCCATGCGGCTGAGTGCGCGCAGGGCGGCAATGACGAAGACGCAGATGGTTCGGGGCGAGGCGAACGTCGTGTACGAGGAGGACGTGGGTGTGGATGAAGGAACACAGGTGCGCGAAGACAGGCGGGCGAGGGGCGAGCAGAGCTAGGACGGGGCGAGGGGTGAGCAGAGCCAGGACGTTTCGGCAGATCAGGACGAGGGCGGAGGTCGGTGGTGTGTGTCTAAGCGTTATTGAGGACGCATGTTGAGGACACATGCGGAGAGTGCGAGGTGCTGGAACGTAAAGGGGGTGGGCGGAGGGCGGCGAGTGGGCAGGTGCAGGCAGGCGAGCTTGAGAAGGGCGGACGGACACTTGCTTCGGCGAGGACAATAAAGCGACCGATCGACCGCCTGCGAGCACAGAGCGGAAGCTGTGTTGCGAGAAGTAACTAAGATATGAACCGTAAGTGTAACTCGCGAGGTTCAGGGCAATAGGATACGCACCAGTATCAACCTTGACCCCCTGACCCCTCCGTATCCTTCTGGGCCGCGTCCTTCTCACCCGTCCTTCTCGCCTGCTCCAGGTTGTTGCAATTTCGTGCTTTAGGGCTGCAGCGGGGGTTTCGGGCGAGAAATGGGGATGCATGCGTCCGGGCGAGCGGTGCTTGAAAGGTGGAGAGAGTGTGTGGAGGATGATCGAGAAGGCGGAGGTGATCGAACAGGCCCAAGGTGATCGAACAGGCCCGAGGTGATCGAACAGGCAGGAAAGGCGGGGGTGGCTGTGATTTCGACAATGAATTTGGGGGAATCGAGCCAACGAGATCGTCCTCGCGGAGTGACGGGGTCGGGTGGCAAGAGAATGATGTATTTGCAAGCAGCGAGTGGTCCGGGGAAAGCTAAGAATGAGCGGAGGAGGGTGGTGTGAGTGAGTCGACGAGGCCGTGCAAGAACCTTGGCTGTAGTGATCACAGTATAATGTGCGGCCTGGGATGTACGGTAGTGGTGGAGCGGTAAGTGTTACCTGATTGCTGCGCGTATACGGGCGTTCGAATCGCCTCTTTGTCAACCATTTTCTCTGAGTTCCGTACCGACCTCAGCCCCGACTACATATAGACGCCCGGACTTAGACCGGTGTCAAGTCCGCCCTCCCCGGTGTCAAGTCCGTACCCCCGCCCCGACTACATTTAGGCGCCCGGACTTGGACCGGTGCCAAGTCCGCTGTGCCTAATTAGCTAGGGGGTTGCAACCCCGATACTGAAGCCCCTCAAGAATGAGAGGAAGATGACAGAGAATAAATTATGAACTTGCGCACCAATATCTCGATCACCGGTGAGTACTGTCAATGCTTCGATGGTACATCAACTCGATCACATAAATCTGGGCACGGCCCATCTCCTGCAGCCGGCGGGTGTTGCAAGAGCAGCCGTGCAAGACAATAGGTGTCTAGGGAGACAGTGTGGCGTAGTACACACGCGACACGCAGAAGCGTGCCTGCCACGGCGTGAGAAGACACGGTGGTCGGGGGAATCGCGCACTGCCTTTCGACTGCCGTACCGTGTCTCTCTGTGTCCCCATGAACTGATACAGCAGCCGGCAGCCTGCTTCGCAAGTACTGTGGCGAGTCGCCTGGCGGCTCCCTGCGCGGTCCGCATATTCAAGTATCTTTGATGAGCAGATGTTTAAAAGTTTCTACAGAGTACGTACCGATCGTGCGCACCCATTGAGAAAGCGGGCGGCTCAATGTGCGCTCGCCGCTTCACGACGAGAGCATACCGCAAATAGGACTCGGACCCGCAAAGCTGGCACCTGTGCATGACCGTGCGAGTAATCGGTAGCCTCAACGGGGACTCTGTCTAACTGGAAAGCTGGTGCCGAGAGCTTTGCGGTGGACTCCGAGTCGGTGCATCCACAGCCTCTCCGAGGTGCGTATAGTATTGGGAACCTCTACGTGCTACTAAGCGATCAGTGCACAATACACAAAACGAGCCGCAAGAGGACGTACCTCGGGGACACGGCCAGGCGGTTTCGGCAGGAGGTGGTCCGCACCTCTGGTTCTCGCTGTGCTTTGAAAAAATACCGTGGCGAGAGGATACCCGGCAGGCCCGCCGCGACACCGCACGCGAGATCAGGTCGTGCACTCCTGGCAACCAAATATCTGAACAAGCACAAGCTCACCATTGCGAAGCATCGAGCCCTGAGAATCGTGTTCGCCGCCTTCTTGCTGAAGACTCGAGTGCTCGCAAAGAGTCTATACTTGACCGATCAGCGAGCCACTTTCAGACGAGCTCGGTAAGTACTGACTTCGAGGGCGTAGTTTGCTATCTATGTGCATTAGGCGCATCCTGTCAATCTCCGCGCATCCAGTCGGCTCGCTCGCGGAACAGCGCCTGGGATGCTGTACATCCACTCTCCCGTCGCTGCCGCTAGCAACCGGAAACTCGCGGGCACGGAGCGCGAGTGCCGTGGTGATGCTGGGGCGATATGAGCATGGAGCCCGGCGCTGAGGCTGAAACGATAGCCCACGACGTACCTTACAGAGCATAAAGGTTCCAGGCCGTGCTGCTGAGGTGTTCGTAGCGTCATGAGAGACTCCCTCTATCGAAGCCGCCGGCTCAATTCCACTGTGAGCACAGCGAGATGAGCTGCCTCCATTAATTTACATGAGGATATCCTGTAGCTGCTCGAATATCATATTAGCGAGCGAGGACTCGGATGCGAGGCAGCGGGCCGACGGCGTACCTAGTGTGGTGTACGTGTCCCGCTTTGCTCGTCGTTTCCATGAGACCCCACCGCCCCCGGATCACGAGCAGCAAGTACGGCTCGTCAGGCGCGCCTGCCAGTGATGCGATTAGCACTCGACGCGTTCCCGAAACATACACATCCGCTGGCCGCTGCGTGTGCGCGTTGGAACGGCGTGCGAAGCACCGGTCCGTGTGCCGTGCATTCCAATCTCGATCCGTACGCGGGCAGCTCTGAATGTGACGTAAGATGCGGCTTCCGAGATGCAGCGGGCGACGAAGACTTGCCGTTATCATATGGTCGGGCCTTCATCTCCTGGGAAGGCGAAACGAGAAGGCTTGTACCGTTCATAGCAAGACTGCGTTGTGAGAATATTTGCGCACGAGCGGAGGCGACTCATGCACCGCGCGACTCGCGAGTCGTGCCAGAACGCGACGGATAGTGGCCTCATCTCGACGTGTGAGCTCGCCCCTGTGACAGCACCGAAACGCGGACTTTGTTACATCTGAAACCGAGCCTGAGTGCACGGAAACGCGGCGCAGCTATACCACTATTTTCAGACTGAACTGGCCGCCCTGCCGCCGCGCTCCAGTCGTTGGAAAACGACTCGGAGGCCTACATCCGGAAATCAGTTCGACACGTCTCGGAGTGCAATGCAGTGCCAGATGCTAACCGAACGAGACCTCCCACCGTACATCTCGTAATCCGCCTGTTCTAACGCGATCAGGGGCTTCAGGGATGTCCAGCGCCGCGTGGGGAGCGTTGTGGAAGAAGGCGAGCGGCGAATTCATTCAGACGCGATCTCGTGTAGCCGTGCCATGTTGCAGTGTCCCGTACGCCCTCTCGCACGCCGTACGTTCCTAAGGACGTCGCGAGCTCTCCACGGTGCACGAGGGCTATTGATCTAGCAGTGGAATCGCATGAGTACCGAGGACGCTGGAGGCGGCCAATGGCGTACCTTCCTAGCTCGTAGATCTGTATCCTCGTGGAGTCGCGAGCGCACCGCAGCTTGCACGAAATACAAAACTCATGTGCATAGACGACATTGCCTCCGCTGCGTGGGAGTCTACGACACGGCGGCCCTGGCGCAGCGAACGGCCTACGGAGTGATCCTCTCGTAAGCTCTGTCACTCCGCGCCGGGGTTCGAGAGCGGACGTTCCGGGCGGGATATGGGCCAAACGGCGTCGCGAGAGAACACTTTGCCGAGTCGCAACGTGCCCAGAGGCACGGGGTGCTTCAGAGTCCAGACGCTCTGCAGAAACGGCGCTGCGCGTGCGCGGCCTCGCTCCGCCTTGCCATGCACCCGCGCTCTAACGCAAGGGAATCCTCCAGCAAGTCAGCGGCACCTCTGTGCGTGGTATCGAGGTACGAGGTACGGGTCCGCGCCATGCCGCTCTGCGAGACGAGAGACATTAGCAACCGGTTGTACACGAAAGGAGGGGCTCGTACATGCTCGGTACGCCGTCTCCAGGCCTCCAGGAGCCGCGGTACAGCCTCCCTGGTCTCCGAGCCAAGCGGCTACTCTCCCCCCGCACGATGGCCGCCCTCCAGCCTCATCAACCGTCCAGAGCTACTTGGCAGTCGATGGGGAATGTGCACCAGCTATCGCACGCCAAACCACGCCGCGGTACGCCGCACGGACGCGTGCAAATGGGCCCTTTTGTCGCGTCAGCGCGCAGAATCCAATCAGATCCGCTGAAAGCAACGTACTTTTGTCATCGCGGATCGCGCTCGAATGAGCTGTACGCTTGCGCCGGGGTGCAGTGCGAGCATCGTTCTGGAGCTGCCAGAGCCGTCGTCACGGCACGAGGCCGAGGTCTTGTCGGCGGTGTTCCTACGTCGCCGCGAGTGTGTGACGCTTAGATCGCGCTCGCGATGGCCGTACGCACGCCCAGGGCCTCTCGTCTTCCCCGTGCATCGTCCACAGCCGTCTAGGAGGGGCGGGACGGCCTGCTTTGAGAGGAGCTCCCACACGGCCCCGCCGGCTCGATGGCCGACCTCCGCGCGCCCCAAATCGCCGCATCTCGACGGCAGCAGCTAGGGGGCGGCCAGCAGCGCGTTCCCGTCGAAGCACGCCGCGATCTGGGTCGCCGCACGGTGGGGACGCGCGCCTTCCGACGCGCTCCACGCCATGACATCGCTCGAAAGTGCCGATTTTCGACCGGCCCGCACCGCCCTGAGATGGCGTGTGCGCGTGTGCCCTGGGGCACAGGTACGTTGTGAGACGTCTACGAAGCGCGTCCGGGGGTCGTCCTGGGGGGAGATGGATCCGACTGGCTCGCGGCCTGGTACGCGCCCCGACCCGCGCTCCGACCCCAATTTTCTCGTATCCGCCGCGCACGCCGCTGGACTCAGTCGGGGACGTGCAGGGAGGCGTGCACGCAGAATGGCAGCGCGGGACGGCGGGCGGGCGCGGAGAAATGCGCGATGTTGCGCCGGGGATGGCTGGAATCGCATGAAATCGCCGCAAATGGCGGATTTCATTTCGAGAGCGGGCGACACGAAAGCGCACACGGCGCGCGCGGAGGGGCGCGTGGGGGTCTGCTGAGGTGATTTTAGGGCTGCCGAAGGTCGCGCTGAGGCAGAGGGTGCTGTGTCTTGTCGGGGCCGGGAGGGGTGGGCGGCGCGCGGGACGTTCGTGCGTGTTCGTGCGTGTTCGTGCGGGTTCGTACGGGTGCAGTACACCACCCCCGAGCACCTGAGAGGGAGAGGCCTGCGGGTGAATGGCATCAACTGAGGCGACCACACAACATGCGGGGTGTATAGAGACGTACCAGGCTCGCGCCGCGCGTGCGGAGCGACGCAGACGTATTCACTCGTCGTTCCTGCAGAGGTACACCGTCGTCGATGGCGATCGTCTGCACGGACACGGGATACGGGGCCTCGCCGCGGTGGAACTGTCCCAAAACAATGCCAATCGTCCTATTCCACGTTCGGGGCGCGGCACACTACATGCTCAGAGCACTGCTAGTCTACGGTACTACACGCACGCACACATCAGGTCTGCGCGCATCATGCGGCCAGAGCGCCGCGGTGAGCGCAGGAGGCGGGCCACAGACGTACCTCATTCGTTCGAGCTCGAGCCGTCCACCGGTACTCGCCCGACGTCTGGGCCGAATCGACGGAACTGGTGCTCACGCACGTTCTGGCGGCGTGCCTTGCGTCTCAGCGGCAGAGGGCCGACAGTGCCGGCTAGAGCGCGAACGCGAACGTGGAGATGGGTTCGGTGGCCGTCGTACCCCGTTCGCCGTTCGCCGCTCAAAGTCGAATTCCGACGGCTTGAACGTCGACGAGACACGCCGGCGTCGGTTGTCGTGCACGAGCGGGAGCTCTCTATGATACAGTGCAACCCCGGGGTGTCGTGGGGTGCTAGCTGGGCACGCTCTCGACGCCGATGGCCCGTCCGCCGTTCGTGTACGCAGAGGGCGGCCGCACGGACGATGTTGTTGGCAAACGAGGCATGTCCGAGGGCAGCGGCACAGGGCCATCGTGCCGTGTGGTCGGATGTGGCACCACGGCGGGGGACAAGCGTCGGGTGCGCGTACGAGTGGCAGGGTCGGGTGCGGTGGGCTGTGGGAAGGCGTCGGCTGTTGTGTGAGGGTGTAGTCTGGGAGACGTATGCGTCGGCAAGGTGAGGGACGGGTGGCGACTGGCGACTGGCGCCGTGGATGTGCTGGGGATGGGTGGGGGATGGACGGAGGCCTGCCCGGAAGAGGGCGTGTATAAAGGCGGTGGGGAGGGAGGGGAGGAGAAGCAGGGTCTGGTGTCCCTGTCCGCACTCCCGCTCCCGCTCCTGCTTCTTGCCCGATTCCTGTCTGTGTCGCCCGCACACGCTGTGGATCTTTCTGTAGGCGCCGTCATGCTGGTACACGGAGGCTCTGTACGCGCGGATAACGGGTGAGTGCGCTCGACTCGGCCGTATGCTCATTACTGACCGTGTTGGATGTAGGGTGGCCGCACGAGGGTTCCGCGCCGTCGACGGCGGGGCAGAAGCGGTCGTTGCGCGGGGCACACGACGACGGCAAGGTGGTGTGGTTGCACTCGGGAGCTGCGGGCGGGTGCAGGGCAGGACCCTGGCAGGAAGGCGGCGGAGAGGAGGGCGGGATGATCAGCGTAGGGACTATGTACGGCACGTAGCTATGCGTGAATGGATTCGCTCGGAGTCGATCGAACAGACGCGCACGGAGCTGTGAGAACGCAAGCGGGGCACGGGTCGCTTAGAGCAGTGGACTGCTGTATATCGTCGTGAGCCTCTGATATCACGTGCGCGACGGACGCTGGGCAGCAAGACATCTGCGGGAGACGGGCGCACAGAGACCAGGACTAGCTAGCGGGGCTAAGGGCGGTCGAAGGCGAGCTGCAGGGCGAGCGCGAGAGAGAACGCAAGCGCTGTCGACGCCCTGCCAGCGCCGACGTCATCGATCGTCGGCCCGAGGCGCCCTTGACGACAGACGTGCATAGAGGTCCTGACCCAGAAGCTGCTGAAGCAGGAGGAGTGTCTGCGACGATGCGTTACGTCACAGCTGCCCAATTCGTCGACAGCTGTCACCCGTCATGCCTGTTGCGCTCGCCGGTCGCCGCTCACAGAACGTTATGCGCGGACGCCTCACTCAACGCCGACGCGCAAAACCACTCCGCCTTCTCGAATCCCTAGATCTCTTCCGGACAACGCGGCGCTCACGAGGCGCTATCACAATCGGCCTCTCATCTTCTTCCTCCGCGTCATCCGCACCCATGAGCACCGAAAAACAGTCACTCCGGCGACATCGTGGTACATTCGTGCCGAGCGCGGAATTCTGGTGTATTGTTTTTCTGGCCTCGGTGGTATTCTGCGCGGAAGTCCGGGCGCGCCGCGCCTGCTTGACGAAGGTCTTCTTCCGCGCGCGGAACTTTGCTAGCTTAACATGACTTATATACATGATTCGGCCGCAGCTTACCGCGGTCCGTGGAAAGGAAGAGCGTCGGCGGCGAGATTTATAGTCTTGCGCAGAGCGGAGATGTTACTCCGGCCAGACATCCCAGCTTAGTCTCCAACATGTCGTCTTCCAGTCCCGCTCCTCTGCATGAGTCTACCCTGCGATCTATGATCGTCTCGGCGGGAGTACTGCCGTCCAGTATCACTGGACTTATTAACACTTACGGTGAGTTCTCAGGCCATTATTCTTCGCACTCGGGATGCGACTAATTCACTGACGCTTCTTTTCGTCAAGGTCGCTCGCGCGTCTTCAGTACGCTCAGCCGCGGCATCGTCAAGGGCACACTCATTGTGGTGGATGATGACGGCACGTACAGCTTCGGCCAAACCGCGAGCAAGGAGACATCTCCGATTGTGACCATGCACGTACACAACCCCCGCGTGTGGACACGCATCATATTGTCGAACGACCTTGGAGGTAGGTTCCACGTTTATATCACTTATTGTGTGAGTTCTCATCTGCGGTAGTTGCCGAGGCCTATATGCAAGGCGAATTCACGGTCTTGAGCCTGAAAGACCTACTGAACGTAAAACCTTCGTGCATACATACACATTTAGGCGCGATTAACCTTGCGTCTTTCCCAGCTCTGGTTGGATAACCGCACCACTCTTTCGGGGCTTTCGAGCATCCTGAGTTCCTTCTTCTCCCGCTGCTCCGCCCTCGCAATCAATGCTCTCGGACACCAAGCCCTTGGCAATGGCATGTCGAGGTGGAACGTGGTCGGTACATGCAACGCTTCCCTGTCACTCCTCGGCTCACACTCGTACTCAATTAGGAAGTCGCATACGACACCTCCAACGCTCTCTTCGAAGTGAGTGTCCCTCTTATTCTCTCGCCGAACAGCCTCTCGCTAAATGTCGCCCCAGTGCTTCCTCAGCAAAGAAATGATGTACTCCTGCGCGATCTGGGGCGAAGAAGAGGGCGGCGTGCGCGGCGACCTCATCTCCGGTCCGCGCCCAGGCGACCTCGAGGCCGCCCAACAGCGCAAGATCGCAACCATCCTCGCAAAGGCGCGCGTCCGCCCCGGCGACCGGCTGCTCGAGTTCGGCTCCGGCTGGGGCCCCATGGCCATCGGGGTGCGTCCTCTCTCCTCGGCCCCGGTCCGACTGGTGCTGACATGGGCATCTCGCGTCCGGGTAGGCAGCGAAACTGGGGTGCATCGTGGACACGGTGACGCTCTCGCGCGAGCAGCGCGCGATGACGGAGCGGCGCGCGGCGGAGGCGGGCGTCGCGGACCGCGTGCGCGTGCACCTGTGCGACTACCGCGAGCTCCCGCCCGAGTTCGCGCACGCGTTCGACGCGCTCGTCGCGTCCGAGATGGTCGAGGTCCGTCCCTTGCCCATGTAGTCATCGTTGGGGAGACTGACGGCGACGTGCTGACAGGCTGTGGGACCGCGGAACCTGGGCACGTTCTTCCGGACGCTGGACTGGGCGCTGAAGCGCGACCGGGCGACGGTCGTGCTCACCGCGACGAGTCAGCCTGAGCACCGCTGGAGCGAGTACCAGTAAGGGACCGCGCGCTAGTTAGTAACACGACTACTCACTGAGATGACAGGCCCGACGACTTCGCGCGGCATTACCACTGGCCGAACACGCACTTGCCGAGCCCGCTGTCTATCGCAAACGCTGCGCAGGAGGCGACCCCAGGAAAGTTCGTGCTGCATAATCTAGAGGACCACGGGATCCGTATGTACCCCACTTCCTATACTCATATTCCCTTCTAACGCGTCATTCCAGACTACCCGCGCACGCTGCGCGAATGGGGCAGGTATGCCCGTCAACTCCCCTCTGCGTCCAACTCAAAGTTAACTTTGATCGGGACGCGCACAGACGCTTCGAAGCGAACTTTAAAGGCCCCGTCGTCGCCGAGCTGCAGGAGCGATACCCGCAGCTGCGCGACGCGGACGCGCTCGAGGCGTTCAAGCGCAAGTGGCGGTACATGTTCACGTACGCAGAGGTCGGGTACGCGCGCGCGTACACGAACCTGAACTGCTGGACGTTCACGCGCCCGGTGGGTGACTCACGATGTCGCATTTTGGTCAAGGTGGCTGACGATATGTGGCAGGAGAACCCTTTGACGGTGTGCGCTTGAAGGTCTTGTTCTGGGAGACGGTAGGTCACACTCGTGACGGGCGAATAGGCCGTACGTATATGACTTTCAGGTTAGATCGCAGCTTGTCACCCAGCGTCGGACGCTCTCCATCCGGACTATACAGTTATTGTGCTTCGAAGGTCGGATATTCGGGCCTCATAGATCACTGCGCCTCCGACGTCGACATGCCCAGATGCGACCCTCATCATACCTATCAGCCGTTCTCGCATCCCCGCCCACATGGATATGTGCACGCCAACAAGCTTGGCCGTCCACGGTACGGAATAAGTGGACCAAAGAATGATGAGCCCTGGCAATATCCGCCCTAGTTCTGTGGCGTCATCCACCACACCCCACGCGCCCAGGTGACACTACCGCCCACATATTAGTACGTGCGCGGCCGCCGCGGACGGTGGCCTGCAATCGTCCATGCCGGACGCCCCAAGCGCTGCACGTACGTCATATACGCATGCTAAAGACACCGGGCGCAAAGATCTCGCAATGCAGGATGAGCGCGCCCGTGGCAGCGCTGGTGCGGCGACGAGCCGTCCGGATACGGAGGCGCTGCACCTCCATCTCCGGATGCGATCGGCTGTGCGGTACTTCTAGACCTGGTCGGGTACGCGTCGGCACTTGGGGCAGAACAGGGTCGAAACGACACATCGGGTGCGTCCTTCCACCGGTTGTCGCAGACAGTTCACGACACGAGGCGGGCCTCGGACGTCGCGAAGATTGTTCTGAGCCGGGCAGATAGCGAAGACCGCGACCTCGATGGAATGGCCGCTGCTGTCGTTTGGGTCCGTCCGAATCGCGCAGCAGCATTGTGGCGCAATGCAGAGAGAACACTGACTCCTTGCAACAAGCCCTGGCCCGCGCCCAGCGTAGATGATCAACAAACTTCGAAACACGCGGAGCTTTTAGTTTTCCCTGCGGATGCCTCAAATTGTCTGATGCACCTGCGCTGCTTCAGGTGCGCCGTTCCCAAGCTACGAGAGCGCATGGGAGCACTGCACAGCATGTGTGGGAGGCCCAGGCGGCAGGAATAACTGCTGCGAGGACGACCGCTGCAACGAGCCCGTCGTACGGGCACGATTGCAGGGCGCAACCTACGATCAGAGCGCTATGGGCGGAGGTGGAGGAAGGACGACGGCATCGTGGTGGGCGAGAAGTGCGCTAACACATGCCGCGTGACGTCCAGTACACATTTACTTCCGGCGCCGTCGGGTCCTCCCCGCAGCGCGCCCGGCCGTTTACTTCCCGCTTCCATGCCACCCTGCCTTCTGACGATACAGCATGCAAATCTGGGAGATGCCGAAGGATGTGGTGGTCGAATTTACGGTTCAATGACCGGGCGGAATCCGGCCGCGGGCACGCTCCTCTCCTCTCCGCCCGAGCAGCGCGAGCACATGCACCGGACGAGAACTTCGCGAAGAAAGGCACGGCGCCTCACGATTTGAACTTTCGCGCGAGATCGCCACCCCGGAGCTCTTTTAGGGCGTGGGGCGACATTGACGACCAGTCCCTCCGACTCTGCCACTGCAGCGCTTCCCGTCCCCCAGGCTCTCGAGTCTCCGTCTCCACGCGATCGGCTAAATCAGCCGACGATACACAACTATTCGATATCGCCCGTCGCCTCGCTTGCCGCAGGTCTCTCTCTAACCTCCACCGCCGCCGCCACCATGTCGACCGCAGGGGCCCCAGACATTCGCCCGACCGCTGGCGCAGGCCTCATCGGCGTCTACATCTCCGTAGCGTGAGTACCGTATCGACTCTTTCCGTGCGCGCTGTGTGTGCTGAAACACCATGTCTGTCCAGGATGTACGGCTGGACCCTCTTCCAGATGGCGCACTATTACCAGCGCAGCTGGCGCACCGACACGCTGTGGCTGAAGGTCTACGTGAGTCGCCTTTCCCGCTATACCCGCGTAAGGCCGAAGCGCAGTCTAGGCTAACGACGCCCACCCTCTGCATCGCAGGTCTTCTATATCTGGTAGGGTCAAACTCGTATGTCAGGACAGAATCCCGCTGACAAGGACTCTGCGCAGGGCCGTCGAGACGCTCCATACATATCTCATATGTGCGTATATCTGGCGGTCCGCGATTGCTGAGTTCGGCAACCCTCTGGCGTGGGCGGTCACCACAAGGTCAGTCGTGCTGCACCTTTGTGGTCCGATTCTGCGACTCACGGACACACGGATGGGCGATACAGAGTCGATGATGTGAGTACCTGTTCATCAAGATGGAGCGTCTGGGACTTGCGCTGATGCTAATCTCGCAAACAGATCGTTACGGGAATCACAGTACGCTCGGCCCGTTTCCGTCTAACTCCGCGTCTTGTTTACTCACTGGATCTTGCGTGATCGTAGGGCTTGATAATGCTTTCCATTCATCTGTAAGCCCTCACGCATCCCGAACCAGAATGGCCACGGCAGAACCTGACGCGTATTGCCGGATAGGTTTTACATCCGGCGACTATGGATACGTGCGTAGACTCCACGGCATCGGCATTCGGACGCTGACTCTTCTCTGCTCTCTCAGTGAGCGAAAAGAACATACTCCTCGTCGGGATAGTAGTGCGCGATTCTCCCCCGGCATTTGGTTAACGCGTACTAACACACTTGGACCACCAGACGCTCCTCGCGTTCGCCCACTTTGCCCTCGAGATTGGTAAGTTATTTGTGTCCCGCCTTCCTCAGTCACGTATCTGACGACTTCGTCGCAGCCGTGGTGGTCTTGACGTACGCTGGACTCTTACAAACTCTCACCGTGTTCTCAACTCAACATCCTGCGCTATACAGAATCGAGTTCCCGAGCTTCGACCAGTTCCACAAAACCACAGTAAGCAATACATTTCTCCTGACACCTCTCGATGACGAACCTGACACACCAATAGCCATTCTATACGGGCTCGCTCGCCATCGCAGCCGCGGACGATATAATTATCGCCGCCTCACTGTGCTATTTCCTGTACACCCGGCGAACAGGCATCCGCAGGTACGCCCTTGGCCGCCGAGGTCCCAGCCTTTCGCAGACGTCCTGTACTAACTTTGTCCCTCAGCACGGATACGCTCGTGAACAGGATCATCACGTATTCGATCATGACCGGCGCTGTAACAAGGTGAGTTCCTCGATGGAGTGCAACGTCGCGCCGAGCTAGATGCTCACGTCTGTTCCTGCGTAGTGTGGTCGATATCGCTATCCTCATCTGCGTAAGTCCCGATGCCACACCCAGTGCCCTCAAGTACTCACACTTCGACAGTTCGTGGCGATGCCGGACAACCTTGTCTACCTCGCTCTCTTCGATTTCCTCCCCATCCGTGCGTACATCTCACCTGCCAAAATCGCAGAACCCGCGCTAACATTAGCCACTACAGTATACGTGACATCCCTTCTCGCAATGTCAGTTCCCTCTCCCCTCCTCGCATGCTCCGACACCCGAAGCCGAGGTTAACCCACTCCACAGGCTTAACGCACGCGAACACCTACAAAAGATATCGACCGTGTCCACATCCGGCACCGCGTTATCCGGGTTCGCACTCGGCCACCTGCGCGCCGCGGGCCGCGGCGCCGTCGACAGCGACGGGAACCTACACCACGACCCCGTCTCCAGCAAGGTCAGTACACTCTTCCATGCGATGGTGTGCGAACCGCGCGTGCTGATGAGGACTGGGACAGCTCGTGTTCGCGTACCCAGGCACTGCGATCACCACAACGGGGTTGTCGGAGAGCATGCAAGAGGACGCGGAGGACCGCCCCCGTGGCGAGGTCTAAGTACATTCTTCCACGGTACATGCGCCCGTCAAAGCCGCGACGACGGCAAAGCTTGCCCACGGTACCTCTGCGACAAACGCGAAGAGGACCGGTGTATCTCTAGCATGCGTCTGTGCATATGTTGTACGAACAGACATTGACTTGGCTCTGTAGATGTTCCCGCTTGGCAGTGCTTTGATATGATACCTAACGCTCTCATTTTGCTGTTCACTATAATAGATCCCTGCAATTACATCTTCACTTCGTATGTGCCGTGGCGCAGCTTACATACCGGCGCGCGACCGCCGTCAGCGCTCTTCGTGCTCGCGCGGATGTGTGCTGCCATGCCAGTACCCATACACACGGACTTCGGGTCCTTTCCCCACATACTCAGATGGCACTTCCAGGGAGGGAGTCCGCACTGCCACGTCCTATTACAAGCTAGTACCTGTCATACGCACACCTCCACTGACAAACTAAGTACACGTCCTCTAAGCTCACGTCAGACCCTCATCGTGTCAAATAAAGCCAACCCAACTACAGCTTCGCGCCCCGCGTCGGCGCCGATGCGGGCGGTGGCGGGACGTGGTCCTCATGCAATATGCCCCAAATCGCCTGCGCGACCGCGCGCGGGTCCTCCTGCACGACGAGGTGCCCCGCGCCCTCCACGCGCACGACGCTCCGCAGCCCGCCCTCGCTCGCCTCGATCGTGCATGCGTGTAGCGCTGGGGGCCTGTCCCCACGCACCGAGTTGTCAGCCACATTCACAGGAAGGAAGAGGGAGAGGGAGAGAGGGAGGCGTACACAATGTCAATCACGGACCCGAAGATTGCGTGCGTGGGCACCGCGCGGCACAGGCCCGGAAGCGCATCGAGCGCCGCGAACGCGTCCTCGTAGTGCGAGTACCCTGCGATCTCGTCCTTCTGCGTCACCGCGAGGGTTACGCCCTCTCCCTTATCCGTATACGCGGTCGTAGGTAGGTCACGCAGCGCGTGCTCCTATCGCGTGTAATTTAGGAGTGTGTGAGGACTACTGGGCGCGTGGAAGGTGAAAGAACGGGGACGTACGACGAAAAGATCGAGGACGCGCGCGTCCCAGCGGCGGTACGGGAAGCGCTTCGTGAGCCATTCGCGCGCGGCCGCGCGGGAGGGCCAGATGTCCTTGCGCATGCGCACGGCTTCGGCGGCGCGCGTGAGGGGCGAGGCCTTGTCGAAGCGGACGGTGTTCAACATCGCGCGCGTCATCAGGCCTGGCTCAATGAGAATGAGGGACGAGTACGGGAGGCGGTCGAGTGGGTAGCCCTCGGTTGACTGCAGTCTGCGAGAACAGTAGGTGCGTCAGGGTATGTTTTAGGAGTAAGGCTGGGCGAGTACGAACACAATGCATGCTCCGGCGGAGTGACCGACGCCGACCACGTTGTTCCCGGAGATCACCCCAGACTTGAGCAGTACTTGGACGCCTCTCGCCCACTGTACACCAGCTGGAATGAAGATGTACTCAGAGTTTATTGCCGTAACGGTAGGAGAGAACGCGTACTCGTCCCCTCAGGGTAAGTTTCCAGGAGCTTCTCGTTGAGCACGGCGGCGCGGCCATGACTGGGGGCGTCCATACACCATGCTTCGACGAGGGTAAAAGCATCGCTCGATGCGGATTTGTCCATGTCGAACAAGTGCTCGATCGTAGGCAACCATGTTTCCTTGTCTGTGGATATGGTATGGAGGTGAGATCGACCCGCTACTGGTAGCAGGCGTGGCGAGCAGTAGAACGTACGAGAGGCGACACAATGTAGGAATATCAACGACAGGCGTCGAGGAGGTTCAGCGATGGGCTGCGCCCTAGCCTTCTTCTTCGCGGACTGAGGCCCCTGTTTGGGGGTGGCTCGAACGAAGGTCAGCGCGAGCCCGCCGTCAGCCTCGAGGCCTTTGAGGGTGAACTCGGTCGTGTCTAGCTTCATGGCGGAGTGTCAAGAAGGTACTTGAGCGGAGGTGGATATATACTTGCGTCAAGGAAGGATGATGGCCATGTGAGAGTCCGGCCTTGTTACGTTCCCGGCGCAGCCGCGCTCGGAGCGATGCAAAGTACCGGGCGGCAACTCAAACCTTATTCCGTGGCAGGCGGCGGAGGCCAACGCCTTCGTGGCGTACCACAACCACCCTATGTAGGCTCGCCAGTACGTGGAAACTCCAGCTGGAGAAGCAGTAACGCATGCTTCGGACCCGCTTGTGCTACATACACGAATCACAGAATCAACACCCATGGAGTATCGCGCGCGCGACCGGGCTACTGCACGACCAGAGTCGTGGTCAAGAACGTCTGGTCGCTGGTCCCGACCTTCACAGCGAACTGACCCGGCTCCACTGCCCACTTGTTATCCAGCGTCCATGCCGCGAGCTCCGTCGAGTTCACGGGAATAGTAACGCGTTTTGACGAGCCGGCACTATAGAAACGATAGCGGTCAGTCTAGGTGCAAGGCGAATGCGCAGCCTAGGGTACTCACGGGATGTCGGCCTTCTGGAAACCGACGAGCTGCTGGTTCGGAGTGACGACCGAGCTGACTAGATCGGTGGCGTATACCTATACAGTTCACCATGAGAAACAAGCTCGGCCTCGGAGATATGTTTGTTGGACAAACCTGCACGACTTCCTTTCCATCCCGGTCTCCCGTGTTGTGCACGGTGACAGAGACAGAGAAATCGTCGTTCGTGCCAATAGTGGACTTCGACAAGGCGATGTCGGTGCTACAAGTTGCGTCAGTCTGAGACGTGTTTTTAGACTCGCAGACACAAGTGCTGATCTTACTAGTTGAACGTTGTGTAGCTCAGGCCGTGCCCGAAACTCCACAACGGGATTGGGCTGTTTAGTACATACTATGTGATATATGTTTAGCTCAACGCATGCGCGCATGATGCGAATGTTCCATAACGCACCTGGTGGCCGAAGACGAGCGTGCCGTCGTCGAGCACCTGACCCGCGTCAATCGGTCGGCTGCCTTTCAGGTAGTTGTAGAATACGGGCGTCGTTCCAACGCTGCGCGGGAACGATACGGGGAGCTTGCCTGTAGTACGAGGTCAATAACCTAGCGCGACGTGGTGGCAATGGTAGTCATACGAACCAGAGGGGTTGACGTCTCCGAAGATGACCTCGGCAAGCGCTAGCCCGCCGAGCTCACCAGGGTAGAACTGCTGCACAACAGCGTCTGCGTCTGTTCCAGCAATATTGAATCAGACTTAGTCGCAAGTAACGAAGACTGGTCGAAAGGTCGCGCACGTTTTTGTATCCAAGGCTCCGCGACTGGTTTCCCGCTGACGAGCACCACAACAGTCGGCTTCCCCACAGCCTTCACGGCCTGCACCAGTTGCAACTGCGCGCCGACGAGGCCGAGGTCAGACAGGTCGACGTGCTCGCCCGTCGTCGCATTGGTGCCCGGGGTCCAAAGCAGCGTCTGGTCGAGCGACCACGTGCCGACCATGACGACGGCCACGTCCGAAGCCTTCGCGGCGTCGACGGCGGCGGGGATACCGGAGACGTCGTTCGACCACAGCTTGGAGCCTTCGGCGTAGTTGATTTTCACGGAGGTGTTGGCGAGGAGTTGGGTGAAGCCTGCGAGGGGGGAGATGCCGTTGTTGGACGCATTGAAGAAGACGTAGTCGCCGAACTGCGAGTGAACACAAGGTTATAACTTTTGCTGCAGGAGAGCGGGAGACGGATGGTACGCACCGAGACGCGATCGACTTGAGGCCCAATCAGCGCAACGGAGCTAATGGACTTGCTGAGCGGGAGTGTGTTCTGCCTGTTCTCGAGCAGCACGATCGTCTCGCGCTCCATGTCGTGGAGCAGTTGACGAGTCTCGGACGTCCGCAGCGTCGACAGATAGTCCTCGTATGGGTACGGATCTGCATAAACGTGAGCAACTTGTTCAGTACAGATAGCGGCAGGGAACACATGCTCTCGAATAGCCCGAGGGCGAACTTCGTGCGCAGCATCGCCTTCACAGTCTCATCGACGAACTTGATATCGATAGTTCCAGCCTTGACCTGGTCTGGAGAGAGGTGAGCATTCTTCACCTATGCACTATTCCGTCGTGCAACTGACCTGGGATGGTTAGGTAGGTGTACGTCCCACCGCCCATCTCGCCGCTGATCCCGTTCTCGAGCGCGATCTTCGCAGCGCACTCACGCGTGTCGCAGGTTCCGTGCGTGGTGATGAGAAGGTCGACGGAGCCTGCATCCGAGGTCACCCAGTACTTGTACCCCCACTCATTGCGCAACTATAGAGAGAGTTAAGAAACCCAATTGGCTTCCGGTACGAGCTATGTCACTCACAATATCCGTCAACAGGTCTGTATATTCGTTCATATTGAGCTCGAGCCGTTATACAGTAAGTAGAAGACGTACGCTTGTTCGCGATAGCCGGAATGCCGTCGTAGCTCGAGTACGCTGTCATGATCGACAGGCTCTCCACGCATGCGCGGTTGAAGGGCTTCAGGTATGCTGAGCGTAGTTCGCGCTCGCCTCCTGTAACCTGCGCGATGTTTCTATGTGATCCCGATGAGCGATTCGCATGACCGGCGCGAAGGCATGAGAACTCACAGTCCTCCTTGAGGGCTGCCGAACGCAGCAAAGTGCTTGCACGTGGCAGCCATGCGCGCAATAGCAGACGAACTCGCGTTGCGCCTCCGCCCGGACTGCAGTCCGCTCACGTACGCCAAACCCATCTCGCCTGTCCTTTAGCATCGAGGTGAGTGGCAGTTCGCAAAAACGCAGGAACAAAACATACAGGAATGGGTCTTCGCCGAAGTTCTCCTCGACGCGGCCCCAGCGGAGTTCCCGCGAAAGATCAAGCACAGGCGCGAAGACGTGCGAGATGCCAAGACCTTCGGCTTCGTCTGCGATGGTCGCGGCCGCCTCTTTCAGAAGGTCGGGGTTGAACGACGCGGCGAGGCCGATTGGGGAGGGCCAGATCGTCCCGTTGTTCGTGAACCCATGCAGGCCTGAAGCCAGTTAGTGTTGCGAACACTACTCATGAGTAGAGAATGCAATACCTTCAGACTGGATGAGCGCTGGGATGCCGAGCGTTGTGTTTTCCATTAGGTATCGCTGGCCGACGTTCACGCCAAATACAAACTTGTCCCACGGGGTGAGGTAGCCACCCCAGATAGCGCCAGCTTTTGAGGCCATCATTTCTTCCTACCACATACGACCGTTAACTGCGTGTTCGCGAGAAAAAGGCGCATATACTCACAAGACCAGTTTGGTTGAAGGTTTTGGTGTCGTCGAGGGGATCATTGAAATCCATCCACCCGTTCATGTCTCCCTGTATTCTGTTTGATGTACATGAGACTAGAACATCGCATGAAGTTGCTGGCAACTTACAACTGTGCGACCTTCTCCTCGATCGTCATGCGCGAAAGCAGGTCGCTGACGCGTGCCTCGATATCCGCGTTCGGATTCTTGTACACGGGCGTACTTCCATCCTTGTTGGTATCACGGGCATGGAGCGGGAAGTGGAGGTCACCCCGAACCTCAAGGTGGTTGGCAGCTGCCGAGGCCACCAGAAGGGATAGCAGAGTCACAAGGGGGCGTAGGCCTGCTGCAAACATAGCCAAGAGCCCTACAGAGTAGTCGAGGAGCTGCAAACAGCGACGCGCGATGTCAAAGGTGATGCCAGCGGCGTGCGTTCTTTATAGCGCGTCGCGTCGGGGATACGCGTGCAAAGGCGGCGGACCCGGGGTCAGTTGACGATGAGCGGAGAATCGCAGAGGGGACCGGGCGGGCCTGACAGCGTGTAGAACGGCCCGCCGCGTCGCATGAATGAGTTCCATGCGTGCGCGAGCTGCGAGCACGTCTGGCTTTGGCTACAGCGCCGATATTGTCCCGGAGCACAGATGTCGAGTACCGAGCGACTCTGGCAGCACACGCGAAAGGCTCCGCATCGTCCATGAGCCCAGCACCGTTTCTGGTAGCACAGTCAACACGTTTTGAACGTTGAACCATAGCACGACGAGGGAGAGGAGATTGTCAAATCGCGCCTGAGAAGCCGAGACAAGTGATGAGGCATCATGCAAATGGGCAGCTGACCCCGTGCCGTCGCAGAGAACGTTCTTTACGAGGCGACTGACGTACAAGAGAGAGTCCTTGCAAGAGTCGACCAGTTTATGCGAAGATATCGGGCACATAGCGCAAGAACTATTGTGTTGGAGAGGACAAGCATGAGTGAACATGACGGTCGAGAAGGAGTTGTGGGAGTTTGTGGGACCAGCCTGCAAAACTCCTCCAACTGTCGCGCGATCTCGATGTTGGTACGCGACGTTCGCCCGGTTTGTACTTGTTTGGACGCCTTCCTCTTACGGTACGCGGCCGCCCGCTGCCCGACGACTCGCCTCGACTGCCTCCTGTGGCCCCGCCGACTCATCGCCTACGTCCTCCGAGCTCCTGTACGATAGTCATATCGCTCCCAAGTGCCTCTTGGCACTCCTCGCGGACCCGAACGTCTTGTTACTTATCGTGACTCCTGGACTCCTGAGACATTCGCCGTGCATGTATATAATGAGCTCGAGAACGACCGAATGCGACAGATCTCCGCTCCCTCCTCACGTCCGCCGGTTCGAACTCCGAAAGGACGGAGCGACACCACACTTGATCAAGTGTGGGGTTCTTGCTAGTCAGACCTCATACTCGACTCGGGACAGGACTCTCGCCGTACAGAACACTGCTCAACTTCCTCATCGCTCTCGACATCCAACCGCTTGATTTCGGAAGTCGCCGACACTTCGTGCTCCGTGGTACGCCGTTCATAGCGCTATACTTATCCCGTACCTAAGCACGCCGTCTACCCCCCATGGAAACAGACGCAGCGAACGCCCTCGCGGCGCTCGCGGCGCACCTCCCGCCCGAGGCGTACAACGCACTCGAAGCGATCCTTCGCGACGTCGACCATCGCCTGAACACACAGACAGCACCCGCTCCGGTACCTGAGCAGGCCGCTAGTCTGACCGCGGACCAACTCCGTACCTCACTCGAGCACGCCTTCGCCTCCGCAAACTTCGTCGTCCAACCTCCGGCAGCCCACACCTCCCCGGTAACGCCCCGGCCCGGGAACATCAAGGTTGAACCTCCCCATTTCCACGGGAAGGAGACCGAGGACGTCAGTGCTTGGTTGCTCATCACTGAGGACTACTTACGAGGTCAGCACGTCGCAGACGCCGACTGGTCGCTTCAGGCACCGATGCTCTTCCGCGGAGAGGCCCTTCGCTGGTACGTCGCACAGAAGAAGCGCCTTGGCCGATCCTTCGGCTGGGCGGAACTGCGCACCGCGCTCGAGAAGAAGTTTGACTCCCCGTTGAGGGTCGAGTCGCTCCGGAACGACCTGCGGAACCTCCCGTACAAGGGCAACCTTGTCCGGTACGCCGCGTCCTTCCGTGAGCTGGAATCGCAGATTCCCGATGCGGACATGACCTTCGGGGACCGCTTGGCAAACTTCCTCGCACACCTTCCGTCCGAGTACGCTCGTGACATCCGACGTGACAAACCGACCACTGTGGAGGAGATGTATTACTCCGCGCGCGAGCTGTATCGGCTCGCGAACCTGTACAAGCCTACGGCCACCAACGGGCATTCAGGTCAGCAACGTCACAAGCAGAAGTCGCGACCGTCGAGCTCACCTTTCTCATTCGCCCACACCCCTACGACAGCCCCCGCACAAACTACCTCCACCACAACTGACCCGCAGCCCATGGACCTTGACACCATGGAGGCCGCACCCGCGCGCCGCACCGCACCTGGTGGTCCATCACGAGTACGTTGCTATAACTGCAATAAGACGGGCCATTACTCACGAGAGTGCCGCGCGCCGCGCAAGCAGCGTCCACAGGGCCTGCACATTCTCGATGGCGAGGGCGAGGGCGAGGGCGAGAGCGAGGACGAGAGGACGGGTGAGGACGAGGGAGATGAGGAGTACGAGGAGGACATGAGCGAGCTGAATGTCCTGAACCTGTCCGATGGACCGATGTCCCAGCACGAGTTGCCGATCTACTTCGTGCAGATCCCGTCGAGGCGCGAGATGTACCGTGCAAAGCTTCGCCGGACATCCACCATCATCGACACGGGGGCAGCTCGGTGCTACATCAAGCCGTCCATCGTGAGAGCGCTGGGACTCGAGGAGTTTCCCATCACGACGAGGGTCATCCATGGCGCTGGCACGACGAGTACATCGGCCCTCGCCAAGTTCAAGGTCAAGATCGGGGGTGTGGTCCGTCCTATGATGGCATACGTCCTCGACAACGACCGGTTGCGGTACGAGCTGGTCATCGGGCAGGACTGGTTGAAGCGCCACAACGCTCAGCCTGACTGGGCAACGTCGTCGTGGTTCATCACCGACCCCGCGACACATCAGACTACACGCCTAAGCGCGAGCTCCCCGCCCGGCACGCCGACCGCGCCCGCACTACCCTCACGATCACCATCGCTCGACCTTGGCCCCGACGCAGCCTACAGCCGCCGACGTCGTCCCCTCTCAGACGATGACCCGAGCTTTGATGGTTCCTTTGAGCGCCCTGCTTCGCCGGAGCTCTTGCCGCTCGACCTATTCGCGTTCAGCGACCTCGAGCCTCTGCCTGCTAAGGGGCGCTCACCGCTCCGTGCGAAGCTTGCCGCTGCGAAACGCTCTCTCGGTGATCGCCTTCGTGCTATTGGGAAGGCTAAGTTCCCGAAGCTGTTCCAGGCGAAGGTGCGGTACGAGGACATTCCGAACGGGCGCGTCATGCACGTCATCGAGACCAAGGACGCTGTTCCTGTTCGAGGACATGGGCGTCCGCACTCGCCGCCGGAGCACGAAGAGATTCGCCAGTTCATCGAGGACGGCCTGCGGGATGGGATCATCGAGCCTAGCCAGTCACCGTGGTCAGCACCTATCATCTTCGCCAAAAAGAAGGATGGTACGAACCGCATTTGCGTTGATTATCGGAAGCTAAACGCGGTCACAGTTAAGAACGCGTACCCGCTTCCGCGCATCGATGACACGTACCAGCAGCTGCACGGCGCACGCTTCTTCACGACCCTGGACCTGAAGTCGGGCTACTGGCAGATACCTATCCACCCTCGCTCCCGCGAAAAGACGGCCTTCACAACGCGTTACGGACACTATCAATTCCGTGTCATGGAGTTCGGCCTTTGCAACGCACCTGCCACCTTCCAGAACTTCATGAACGAGATCCTGCGTCCGTTCTTGGATCGCTGCGCCATTGTCTATCTTGACGATGTGATTATCTTCTCGCCCACTGAGGACGCGCATGTCGCTGACGTCCTTGCTGTCCTGCAGGCGCTCAACCAGCACGGGTTGATCCTGAACGAGAAGAAATGTCAGTTCGCGCGGACAGAGATCCTGTACTTGGGACACATCGTCTCAGGACATGGTCTCCGCCCCGATCCCGACAAGGTCAATGCGATCACGGACTGGCCACGGCCGGACAACGTTACTCGCGTTCGCGGCTTCCTCAACCTGGCTGGCTACTATCGTCGCTTCATCCACGCCTTCGCGCGCATTGCGGGACCTCTCTACAACCTCTTCAAGGGTAACCCGCGCAAGGGCGCACCTATCAAATGGTCAGCCGACTGCGAGCGTGCATTCCTAGCGTTGAAAAGCCAGCTTACCTCCTCTCCCGTGCTTAGCTATCCACGTCCTTGGCACCTCTTCGTTGTCGACACGGACGCGTCAGGCGACGCGATCGGCGGTATCCTCCACCAGTCGGACCGTGACTTCAACGGGGGGAAGGGATCCGACGCTCGCTTTGCCTTCAAGGAGTCGGAGCTTCACCCCATCGCGTATGAGTCGCGTCGGATGACCCCGACCGAGCAGCGGTACTCTGCGCAGGAACGAGAAATGTTAGCGATCGACTACTGCCTGCAGAAGTGGCGCGGCTACGTTGAGGGCTCACCTATCGTCGTTCGCACCGATCACGAGTCCTTGAAGTACTTCCTGTCACAAAAGCACCTTGGCCGCCGCCTTGCTCGCTTCGCGGACAACATCGCTCATTTCGACGTCCACATCGTCTATCGCCCTGGTCGTAACCAGCTTGCTGCGGACGCGCTCTCTCGTCGTCCTGGGCATGCAGACGTCCCGGACTCGGAGACCCTTGGCCCGCTCTTCGCGCACCCAATGGACACATCCGTGCCCGCGCCGAATCGAGCGGACAGCTTCGAGACACTCGAGACTTGGCGACAGGCTCTGCTCGTGGACCGCACTTCTGAGCCTTCACGTCGTGGATATGTCCTTCAGAACGGACTTCTGTGGCGCAGCGTTAATAATGGACGCGGCGACGTTGTTGTCAGAGTACCTACGACACTCGGTGACGCCCGCGCCCTCGTTCGCGACGTCCATACGGAGATCGGCCACTTGGGTGCCCGCGCGGTGATTGATGCACTGCGGACGCGCGCCTGGATGCCGAACGTGACCGAGCTCACAGAGGATGTTGTTCGTCGCTGCAATGGATGTCAATTCACCCGTCGCGAAGCTCCCAAGCCACAACCCCTTCATCCTCTGCCGCGCGTCGACGCCTTCGACTGTTGGGCCTTCGACTGGGTTGGACCGCTGGAGAAGACGAAGAACGGGAATCAGTACATCTTGACGTCCATCGACCATGGCACTGATCTCACCTTCGCGAACGCGCACCCCGCGCGCTCCTCCGACGCTGTGCTCTCTCTCCTGCGGCAACACATCGTGACCTTCGGGAAGCCCAAGGCCATCCTGACCGACAATGGCGAGGAGTTCCTGGCATACAGGTTCCAGAACTACCTCCGGCGGCTTGGCATCGAGCACCTCCGCACATCGCCGTACCACCCGCAGACGAACGGCCGCCTCGAGAAGTTCAACGACAACCTAGTCCAGACGTTAGCTCGGCTTGCGGCCCCGAACAGTCAAGATCGCTGGGACGAGTACCTACCGGACGCTTTGCTGGCGCATCGCGCGCACGTCAACCGCAGCACCGGTGCATCTCCCGGGTACCTCGCATACGGTCGAGAGCTTCGTCTTCCGAGCGAGGCCACGTACGACGCCCTTCGTCGTCCACCGACCGACGCCGAGATTGAGCACCTTCAGCGTCAGCGTCTTGAGCATGTCCACGATCTTGAACGGATCCGGCGGCTTGCGAACGCGAAGGCCGCCCAGCGTCTCGAGGACGAGGCCCGGCGTCGCGATGACACCTATCGCGAGCGCGGCATCGGCATCGGCGAGCTCGTCTTGCGGCGTTCGCCTGAGTCGACGAAGCTTCACCCGCGCTGGGACGGGCCGTTCATCGTGCACGACCTGACGGACCGCAACACCTATCAGCTCTGCACTCGGAACGGCTACGTCCTACGCACCTTGTACAACGCCGAGCGCCTGAAGCGCTACCACCCATCCGAGCCCGAGCCTGCACTCTGGTACTCCTCTGCCGACCTCCAGCGCCGCGATGCGAAAGCTCGCTTCGAGCGTGACTTGCAGGGCCGTCGTGGCGCTTGAACAGTTGACGGTGGTCCAGTGCCGGGACGGTCGATGCGGTGCCCAAAGTCGAGCTCACGCAAACGACACGTCACCAGCTTGAAGAACCACTACGATAAAATTGATTAGTACGCATCCTTTCCTCGATTTTCTTACTCACCACCTCTGTACTATACGATCCCGACGTCTTGTGTCTTGTTTGTGCCGCGGCCGCGTTGTCCTTGCCGACAGACTCGACAGTGCGAGTTCTGGAGGAGGGGATGGTGTTGGTACGCGACGTTCGCCCGGTTTGTACTTGTTTGGACGCCTTCCTCTTACGGTACGCGGCCGCCCGCTGCCCGACGACTCGCCTCGACTGCCTCCTGTGGCCCCGCCGACTCATCGCCTACGTCCTCCGAGCTCCTGTACGATAGTCATATCGCTCCCAAGTGCCTCTTGGCACTCCTCGCGGACCCGAACGTCTTGTTACTTATCGTGACTCCTGGACTCCTGAGACATTCGCCGTGCATGTATATAATGAGCTCGAGAACGACCGAATGCGACAGATCTCCGCTCCCTCCTCACGTCCGCCGGTTCGAACTCCGAAAGGACGGAGCGACACCACATCGATCGGAACGCACGTGGCCGACCCCACTCCCTCTTTGGCGCCCAAGCAAGTCGACCCGAGGGCTCCGAGAGCTTGTCCTCTCCCCTCGTCTCGACCGGCGAGCACGATACGTTCCCCCCTCGTACCCAGTACTGCTCCTATACCTGCTTGCACAAACACGCACTGCAAAAGGACTAACATACTTGCTCAGAAGCAAAGATGGGCCGTCTGCTCATTCTTGCGTTGCTGGCGAGCACGTCCATGGCGCATTTACATCGTCGCGACGTGCCAGCAGCGTTTTCCTTACCAAAGAGCACAGCCGTCGACTACGTAGACCCGTAAGTGATTTTATCACGCGTCAGAATCCTTGTAAAAGATGGCGCCTTTGAGTGTGTACAGGCAGATGTACATCTAGCAGTCGCACAGGCCGTCTATACACTTTCGCTTCTCAATGCACTACTGCGGGTGCTGACATGTTTGATAGGTTTATTGGAAACGGGGGTGGCTCTCCAGATGGTTCAGGGGGAATGATCCCCTCCACTGCACCTCCGTTTGCGATGACGCGCTGGGTAGCACAGACGAGACAGAACTATGTCTCCGTCACGCCATACAACTACACGGGTACCTCCATTCACGGCTTTCAGGGTACGCACCAGCCTGCGATTTGGATGGGCGAAAGTGGCCCGGCCGTCATTGCTCCAGGTGCCGGCGAAGTGCAGAGCGTTTTCGAGCGCCGTGGGATGGCGTTCAAACACACCAACGAGATCGCTACCGCGAGCTACTACTCTGTGATCATGGACGCTCTCGAGGGCGGCACAATTCATGCAGAGCAGTCTGCCAGTAAGCGCATCACACTATATCGCTCATAGGCGTTACACTGATTCTTCTCTCGATAGCGTCCCGTGTCGGGCACCTTCGATTCACGTTCGAGGATACTACTACCCCATACGTCCTTGTCGAGGCCACGCGCGCCTCAGTCATGGGCTCAGACGACCCCACCAACGTCACGTACCCGTACGGGTCTATCAACATCGACCCTTCCCGCCGCGAGATCACCGGCCATAACCCCGAGCGGCAGGACTTCATCATCGGGCCCAGCCCCGCGCCGAGCTTCGCAGGCTACTTCTGTGCCCGCTTCGACGTCCCCTTCGATAGCTTCGGCGTAGCACAGAACGGGAGCGTCTCGGATAGCGTCACTGAGGGCACCGGCACGTTGCTCTCGGGCTTTGCGCGCTTCGCCCCGGGCACGAAGCGCGTGGACGTTCGCGTGGGCGTGTCGTTCATCTCTGTAGAGCAAGCTAGGAAGAATCTGGAGAAGGAGATCCCGGATGGGACCTCCCTCGAGAAGACTGCTGCGAAGACGCGCGCCGAGTGGGCAGAGAAGTTGGACCGCGTCAAAGTCGAGGGTGCTACGCAGGAGCAGAACGAAGTGTTCTACACCGCGATCTTCCACACACTGCAGGTGAGCATTGCAGCATAGTTCCAACGATTATAGATCGAGCTGACGTAGCGTCGCAGTACCCATACGAGCAGAGCGAAGATGGGCAGTACTATTCCGGGTATGACGACACTGTGCACCAGGGCGAATCGTATACCGGATACTCGATCTGGGTAAGCTCCTTCAATCATCTCTTGTTTTCAGGATGCGATTACTTACGCACCCGCAGGACACATTCAGATCGGAATGGGCGTGGCAGATCTTGCTCGCGCCAGAGCGTGTCTCGCCAATAGTGCAGAGCATGCTCCAGGACTATATCGAAGTTCGCATTATTCAACCCTGTATGCGAGTGGCGATCACTCACGTCAATCTTCCAGGGTGGCTGGCTTCCCATGTGGAAGAACATCGTTGGTGCGTATACACGAATTTTTTGAACCTTGCGGGAGGCGAACCTCTGACATTGGTCTGGTCCTACAGAGACGAACATCATGGTAATTCATCATTGCGTTGCAAACATAGCTCTTCATCTGACGATACTGCCCAGGTTGGAACGCATGCGGACTCGCTCGTCGCAGAGGCCGTAGCCAAGGGCTTCACTGACTTTGACCTCGAGACGGCGTATGCAGCAGTATACAAGGACGCGACGGTACCGCCAGAGAACGACTGGAACACCTCGTGAGTGCGCACTTTAGCTTCAGCAATGACAGATGAACTCATATCTCGCCAACACAGGTACTTCGATCGCCAACAGGTACGCAGGTCCAGCATATCCGCATACATGACGATTGCTGACGCACAGCTGGTCAGCATGTGGGCTATGAAGTGCGCGCCGGCCTCTCATCCGTGTATGCTACACACGGCTGGGTCGCAGACGACATCCATTCCGAAGCCGGCTCCCGTACTCTCGACTACGCATGTATGTCTTGACCTCCTCTTCTGGATTCTCGCACCATACTCATACTATATGCCCAGACGACGACTACGCTGTCTCCGTCCTCGCCGCCGCGCTCGGCAAAAACGCAGACGCCGCGCACTTCCGCGCGCGCGCGTTCTCCGCCCCATTCACGATCTTCAACAACGACACCGGGTTCATGGAGGCGCGCAACGCGAGCGGCGCGTGGGCGGGCCCGGACGCGGGCTGGACGGAGGGCGACAAGTGGGCGTACACGTTCGACGTCGTGCACGACGTCGGCGCGCTGATCGAGCGCAGGGGCGGGAACAAGTCGTTCGTGGAGTTCTTGGATATGCATTTCGACGGTGGTGAGTATCGATACTTGTTTTCTGGATATATGCGGAGTTCTTGACGTAGTTCATCTCCAGGACATAATGATCACACGAACGAGGTATGTTCTAGGCGGATCGGTTCGAGTTCTGCCTACGTCGCTGACCTTCGTATGTAGCCTTCTCATCATATTCCCTATTACTACTCTCTAGCTGGCGCCGCGTCTAAGTCCCAAGAGCGCATTCGCGAGATCGCCATCGCGAACTACAACAACTCCGTTAACGGCCTGTCCGGAGTGCGTCGAGTCACTGGTTCCCCTCACATCGCGCACTGTTGGGCTGATAGAGATGTATCGTAGAACGAAGACTGTGGACAGATGAGCGCGTGGTACGTCTTCAGCGCGCTCGGGTTCTACCCCGTCGACCCCGTTTCCGGAGAATACGTCATCGGAACGTGAGTGCATACTTCGTTTTCAGTGAGTGGACATACTGAGCCCGACACGTACCCCAGGCCCTTTTTCGACAAGATCACCATCGACCTGCCCAACGCCCCGCAGCCTCTGGTCATCACATCGTCTGGCGCGCCCAGCAAGCCGTACATCCAAAGCGTCACCGTAAACGGGCGCGCGCTGGAGGGCCCCATCCTCAAGCACACCGACATTGCGTCGGGCGGGCACATCCACTTCGAGATGAACGCCAGCCCGCAGGCGTGGGCTTCCAGCACTCTGGTGAGCACTTAAGATAGGGCATGGATGTACGCTGTTCTGATGAATATGTAGGTGGATGAGAGTACCAAGGCTGAGAGGTACGCACACGTCGAACTATGACAAGGTTCTCATGCCGTCGCGCTAGCCTACTGGTGCTGTGAAATTCACGTCAAACTTGATCTTGGAGATGGAAACGCGAGGTTTCCGGGAGACAGTATGGTATGCTGAGAATGAGAGGACTTGTGTAGGAATAGTATGACTATGCACTTCGAGTTATGCCAATGACGATGATCAAGCCAGTAAGCGCACTGGTAACTGTGCTCTAGCCCGCCGACGCTAAAATCGACTCCGAGACTCAGGAATTGCATTACGCACAACATCTGCGGTTTACTCCCTCACTTTGCGCAAATGGTGGTGGGCGAGAAAGTAGCCCACTCCGCTGCGGCCATCGAATATCATGGTAGGCGCTCGTGCATGTGGCCCTGCTGGCGCTCCAGCGCTCCAGGCTGCCGCGCGCGAGGCTCGTTCATTTCTTTTCCCGGACCCATGATGTACGCGCACATCCTCTCCAGGTTTTGCCTTGGCCCTTGGGTACAGTCAGCGGTCGTCTGCCAGCCAGCGGCCTCACTAGGTCAGTCTATACTGTCGACGAGTAGAACTCCCGCATCACGCCACCACATACTACGCTGCAATACTACGGGAATAAGTCACGCACAAACGTGAGACAGTCTTTTTACGTCGAAGATCTCCGCCCGCGTTCGAGCACTAGCAGACGTAGACTGCCCTCAAGCACATCATCATCATCATCGCTCGCTCCCGCCGAGATATTGAAGATAGCACTGCGGCAACTTTCGATGCACGGAAGACGGCACATCTACTGTAATGTGTACGGGGCTTTGCTCAGGACTCCATGCTTCTGCAGACTGGTGACTCACGCGACTAATACAGGATATCTTGCTATCGCGACGGCTACAACTATCGGCATCAGCAAGTCTGAAGTTCGATGCAAACTCCTCTCAGGCATGTCGTACTAGAGGCACTACCTTCAACATAACTTTATATACCTGGTGGTGAGATCGCCACCTGTGTACAACGCAGGTGCCTTAATGTAAGTGTCGCACAAGACGTTTCGTGGAGCCTGAGGCGTCACGTCCGTACACGATCAAAGAAACCTTCTCTGTGGCATCCTGCTCGCTCGGTATCGAAAGTTTGGGAGATACCTTCTGTCATGTCAATCGGTGTTCACTTTGAGCTTTCGTGGCCGTAGTGTGCACATAGGTTCGCGTTTCAGCTGTCGGCTGGAGCACCGCAGCTCCGATGCCCCTCCCCATGATGCATCGAAACGCCGCTAACAATCAACTACCCTCGCTTCGACAGACCTGCGAGTTCCGTAGTGCGGCTCTAGACGTGATAGAGCAATCGACAACTGCCACATATGGTCCGGAGCCACTATATTGACTTTGATGTGTCCTGTATGGTGGCGGACGCTGTATCACTAACAACCTAGCAGCGCGAACCAGATGCCCAGCAATGAGTCGCCCGACCACAATAGGCGCATGTTGGGCCTACATAGGTTGGCGAGCGAGGGTCATCCCTGGCATCGGTCCACAGCCGCACTCGCCGACTCTCCTCTCCGGGAGTCAACGTCCCTCAACGCCGGCGACCGCCCTTCAAGCTACTGCACCACCAACTTGAATTCCCACATGGGGCACGGTAAGGAGCAACAGAGCCATGCTCAGCCAGACCTAGCTTTCGGCGATGATGTCTACGCCGAAGCCTGGGATGCGATGGCTAAACTTCAAGAAGAGGATTTGGAGAAGGTCCCCTCCTCAAGGATCGAGTCCGCTCTCAGTGCGGTCTCCATCGCGCTCGGAGTGTTGGCAACAGCCTGGCCAGCTCTCGACGGTAAGTTCTCACTGAGGCGTGCGCCTTGGGCTACCAGTGCTCACAGATAAGATAGTCGTTCGCACGGCCGTCGATTTTACCAAAAACACCATGGTGACGAGTAAGACTATCCGCAAGAGGATTGCTGGCGTGCAGCTGTTGAGAGCGGAGCTTCTGTGTAGTCTCTTCCAGTAAGACCCCATTTTCTGCAAGTTCGTCAACCATACTGATGTCTCTCAATCCACGCAGACTACGCGACTACGAACCGGAGCCTGTGATGGTGGGGGACAAGATACATTCGGGGGAGCTCGAACGTAAGTTCAAGTTGGCATGTAAGGGATAATGTCTTGCAACGAAAACACTGACGGCCGGGCCCACAGTTATCTGCGTCGACATCAGGATAATCATTGTGGCGCTGGGTAACCTGTGCGACAACTACGTTGACGCGGGTATGATAGGTACGGTTTTTCATCGCATCTTATGTCAATATCCCAACTAAAACGTATGCGCCCCGCCCCGCCCCGGACACCTAGGTCGTGTGCTCAAGCAGGATGGGTGGAAGGTATATAGCCACTGTCATTCACGATTCAAAGTCTCATAAATACCTATCCAGGACGAAATATCGAGATACGAGGGGAAAGTGGAACACTGCAAAGAACGGATTGGAAGATATTTGGTCGGGTACGCTGCGGTATGATTACTCCCATTGTATTCCTACTGCAATGGATCTTATTGACATATATGTACACCGTGCAGAGACAGACAAAGAAGATCTTACAACTTCTCAAGTTCAGACAGAAAGCAGGCGCGATAAAATCACTCTTCGACACAGCCAAAGAGGAGGAGGAAATGGCAAAGGCGGTGGTCTCGCAAGGCGGCGCCAAGGCGTGTATGGAGGAGTCCGAGAAACTCAACAAGCTCGCGGGGTTGGTCCCCAGAGACGAAGATTCTGTCAGGCGTGGGCCCAAGTCTAGCGATAAGAAGATTCAGCTTAGCTCTGCGGAAATCCGCCGTATCCGGACGCCGGTGAAGAAGCTCCTAGAAGATAGCATCGGACATTTCGAAACCAAACTTGACATCCTGATCAATAGACAGCAGCGCGACTCCAAGGCGCTCAACACGATCTTGAAGTTTGCCAGCGGTCAACCGTATGAGCGCATACAGAATCACGTAAGTACATGTAGTGCAGGCCCGTTTTGCTCTTCCATAGATGTGCTTCTAAAGTTTTCTGCGTACAGGACATCAAGAAGCTATGGAAAGGAATGGTGCGCAATATTCAATTGGGCTTGAATACTGGTACGGAAACTCACGCTGGAGACTTGACAGGGCTGGGGCGGCTCGGTAGACTGCAACGTCTTCATCCTCAACCTCTACGAGTGCGTCGATTTACATTAGGCTTCGAGCAAGTGTTCATACTTTCAGAGCAGTTATTTTGTCGATCTAGAACGCGAAGCCCGCGCCAAGAATGGTGGAGGCCTGCAGATAGCAATGGCGCCACCGAACAACGCTGACATGCCAGGATCTGGTTCGGCTGAGCCTCCCTCTTCGCCTCCTGTGCCCTCGAATTCGGCCGATGCAGCCGAAGCGGACTCGGATGACTTCCTGCACTGCACAACGCCAGAAGAGGCAGCACGCGATGCCTGGTGTCTACAGTACCTGAACTATCGCACACTTTCCACGTTCACAGAAGGTTCGCTCTCAATCTGCTTATTTAAAGGGTTTCGTGTTTGTGCTCATGTCGCTGTGTTAGTACTGGACGACGATATGAACGGCCTCATCAAGGTCAAGGAAGCGAACGAGTTCACCGCCATGATGCCACCAGGTGTCACGCTGATGCAATGGACTGTGTATTGTGCATCTGGTCAGTCATCTCGCATTGAATATCATATGCATCTGGTTTGATGGTTCTACCTTGACAGGTTGGCTGATCTCAGCGCATATCTATCGTCTGAGAATCGAGTGGATCATCGAGAAGATGATCACTGCAAGCTGGGCAAAAGAGAATAGTTCGAATATCGTGGGGTACATAGACTGCCTCCGATGGGTGGTCGCTTTCCTGAGGTCGCTCGGCGAGCCCGAACTTCAAGATCCAAGTCTATTGAAGGTAACGCGCATCGTCATGGATCACCAAGAACAAGAGCTGCGAAATGTGCTAGAACCACTAGACTATTCCCTTGGGGACGGGTTCATCGAATCCATGTTAAGCTCGAGCTACGGTGTCCCTAGCGGGATCATTGGACGCATCGAAGAGGTGAGTTCGGTCATTTACTACGTGATACTGGCATCAGGCTTACGCCTGTATAGCGGATGTTTCCGGTCCTCTTCCTCGTTTTACAACACCACTATCAGCTAGTTATTCTCAGCAAAACGCACTTCATCGACGCAGGCGTCTTCCAGGAAGCCTACGATAGTGTCGACACATTGACGGACCTATTGGTCGGTAGAGCGCAACATCTCTGCAGTATGTGCCCCCACGTGCAGCTCCATGATCATACTCACTCAATCGCCTTGCACCTTGACAAACTTGCAGCGCGTTTCGCAGAGACACAGGACCCTGGAAGCGAGCGTAAGATTCTAGCAATTGCGAATGGGATGGTAGGTTACCCGACTTCCAAGTATGATATTACATCTCAATCATCCTCATGCTTTATAGTTCCAAGAAATTCGCAAGATCCTTGAAGCCGAGTCTATCACGCGAGTCATGGTACAGAAGTTACATCTCCCTTGGCGACGTCAGCGAAACCACCTCGCAGCAGAACTTTCAGACTTCGATCCCTACTTCATACACAGATTGAGAACGCTTCCACCAGCCTCATCGCGTAAATGCTCCCTCTTCCAGATACTTCGATCGGACGAGCACGACGAAGGTTACGAGGAGATCGTCTCCTACAGATTTCGTTTCGGCATCCGCCTCGCCTCCGCGGTGCGCCATGCGAGTGCAGCGGAGGACGTCTCCGACGCGTGTAGTGATGCTGAGTACGACTCGCCGGTTGAACAGTACGTTTTATACATCAATGAGGGGTCGATGCTTACTCAGCTTCTTCAGCATGTATGCAGGATGTGATGGGTGCGGGGACTTTCCAATCAAGGGTATAAGATACGAGTGCATTGATTGTAAAGGTACGCGACAAAGCTACATCAGTATGACCTTCCGCATTACGGGCCTACTAACTGTTTTCATTAGAGTTCGACTACTGCACGGCGTGTCACAGCACCATGCCGCCTCTCCTCCATGATCCCCAAGCCATCGCCGCAACCCACACCGCTGAACATCGTTTCCTAGCGATAGAACGGAACTGTTCACCGGCGGTTACCAGTGCGATAACGTATGCCCTACGGAACGGACTCGAGGCGGCCACCGGCATTGAACTGATATCTTTCGACCCTCTCATCGAATACTGTCTCTCAGCGCCCGATGACCCCGTGGCGGACGTCGCGAAGGCACTTGTGGAATACCGGGAGCGGTGTCTGGATGCCAACACAAAGGAAGGCGTACCCATTGGACCCGTGCTGTCCGGGTATCCCCCGCTCGCGGAATTCGCGCAGTCCCAGAGTGACCGGTGGTTACAGGCGAAAGAAGCACAAGAGCAGTGCAAGCGTCCGGTCCAGTGAGTGCTACGATGAAAGTCTGTGCAGATGCTAACTTTAGGCTGTCAAAAGCGAGTCGTGCACCTGCGATGGGAATGACTGCCGCGAGCCCGGGGCGAGCCCCGTAGGTGAACGCTACAAATGCCTGGATTGTTTTGATCCCGGTACGCTCTACACCCTCAAACCCACACAGTTAGCTTATAGCTGAATACTTGCGCCCTTGCAATTAAAGATATCGACTATTGCGCGACGTGTTTCATACAAGATCGGGAGGCACATGCAGACGGTCGACATAGGTTCATTCTATTCCGATACCCAACCCCCGACACAATTGTGGATCGCCTCGTATTTCGGTTCAAGAACTCGCGTTGCTGGCGGTTGCTTCCTCTCTCCTCTTCCCCACCGTCTACTGCGGATTCAAGCGAAACATGGGGCGATGGAACAGAGACTGATGACTCCGACTCGGACGATACCGATAGCGACAAAGACGATAGCGACAAAGACGACAGCGACGACAACGACAACGACGACAGTGACTGTGAGCGGAACAACACTGTCAGTGGTACGTTCTTCAGATGACGAGTGAACTGCATACGCTCATGATGTACAATTAGCGACTAGGACTAGTGTGCCGCCCAGCCCTTCCTATGATGGGAGCCCTGTATTCCACTGCGGCCTATGCGAAGCTCCTGTTCTAGGAGAACGTGTATACAGATGTCTCGGCTGCCAGATGTGCTACGGGAAGAGTGAGTGCACTTTAGTTAGGAAATCAAGTGACGATGTCGCTCAATCTGTATCATTACAGACCTCCTCTTATGCCACCAATGTGCATTTACAGACGCCGTCGAGAAATCAAATCACCGGGCTACACACGCTTTAGCCGTGATCTTCGCTGAAAGCCGAGATGCAGATGACCATGACCACGACCACGGCCAAGACGCCGACGACAACGACGAGGGCGCTCGCTCAGTCGCTGCGGAGCCCTCCAAGGATGTCGCTATGGCGGATCTCTCGATGAGGATGGATAGGATGGAAGAGAACATTGCTCAATTGGTGACAATGATGGGCGCTCTGAAGGAGGTGATTCTTCGTCTCGCGGAGGGATCCGCTGCTGTCACGGTTACGCCGATAACTACCTCTCCCCGTTCTACTTCTCCTTGACTTCTCCAGTTGTCCTCTTCCCATCAGTGTACGATATGAATCTATCTGTGCTGCGCATGAATACGATGCCGTGCTATGTTCATCCCCACAAGGTGTGTGAGTGCAAGGATACAATCGAAGCATACCAACAAAAACGAAGCCCACTAGTATACATCGCGTGAAGACGATACCTGTCATGTACACGACCAAGAGTGCACCTCTCAAGCCAACGCCTGCATGACGGCGGTGTACGCGGGCTTCGGGTTGAAGTTCGCGTCGAACAAGAGGGGGTTTGTGGACGCCCTCCAGGAGTCCTGATAAAAGCACGGGGTGGTCAGAACGTTTATCCACTGTCGAGAAGAGAAAGGTAACGCTTACGGGGTCGCGGACACCCCAGCTCGTAATGGACACGCAGCTCTCCACCGCGAGACATGCCTTTACCAGCGTCGAGTAGTCATTGGGGGCCTGCAGGCAACGTCAGTAGAGAGCGGCGCGGAGTTAGGGGTTCGAACACTTACGGCGCCCGCAATATCGAGTTCCGTAATGGCGATCTCCGTGCCCGCGGTAGCTAACTGCGTGAGCGCGGCCTGGAATCCGCCAGCACCGCCAGCCTATCCGAACTCCAGTGTCAGTGATTGTGCCTGCTCAACAGCCCCGATACACTTACAGAAAGGTGAGCCTGAGTACCAATACCGTCGATCAGCTTGGTGCCGCCGCCGTTGATCTTCTTGACGAGGTTGACAACACCGTTCAGCTTCGGGTTCACGGTGTCGAGGCTGCACAAAGAAACGCATCAGCAAAAGCACTCCAAACCGTTCAGCGCGCGGCGAAACGCACTTGTAGTCGTTGATGTAGAGCTTCGCGTTCGGGTCCGCCGCCCGTGCCGCCTGGAAGGCGATCGTGACGAAGTCCTGGCCGAGGACGTTCGAGAACACCGACGAGCGGAACGTGCCGTCCTCGTTGAAGATCTCGTTCACGACATCCCAGGAGTACACCTTGCCCTTGTACCGGCCCGCGACGTTCGCGATGTGGTTCTGGATGACGGAGGTGAGCGTCGCGCGGTCGTTGATCGCGGAGACCCAGGATGGGAGCTGCGAGTGCCAGACTGCGAACGCGTAGCGGTCAGTCGATACTGCGGAGACTGGACAACGCGAACATGCTCACCGAGGGTGTGGGCGCGGACGAGGAGGCCGTTCGTCGTAGCAAAGTTGACGAGTGCGTCAGAGCCGCTGAACGAGAACTGGTTGCGAGAGGCTGTAGCATAGCGTCAGTTTGCTCGGGAGACCGTCCGAAGTCTCGTCAACTACGCACGCTCAGTCTGTCAAGGATATATGAATACATATTCACTCAACGCCGACAAGCCCGGAGGGCACTCACCGCGTCCCACTTCATGGAGTTCTCAGGCGTGACCTGGCCGAACTCGCGGACCGTCACCGCGGAGTCCGTCGGGTTGCTGAAGCGGTTCGAGTCCGACGCGGTACCCCAGAACTTCTTGCCGTGCTTCTTGAACGCAGCGTTGAGTCCAGTCGCCGCGGGCGCCGGCGAGCCACCAGCCGGAGTGGTCGGGGGCGGCTGAGGCGCAGACGTCGTGGGCGCGGGCGCGCCGGCGGACGGCTGGCACTGCGAGTAGTAAGAGTTGAGCACGATGCATGCGGTGCCGGCATCGCATGTGGTCGATCCGCTGAAGCCGATGCCCTGGCAGAGAGGTCAGCGTCAACCGTACATGGGACGAGTGCAGGGCGCGAAGGTGCGTACTCCGCCTGCAAACGCACATCAGTTTGAATCCGACAGATATGTACGGTGGGAGAATGCTCACATTGGCCCCAGACCGCGACGGCGTTGGCCGGGATGGCGACGACGGTAGCGAGCGCGACGAGTGCGGCGAGGCCCTTCATTTTCCAGTGACTGTCTCGAGAGTGAGTCCTGACCGGGTGTGGCTGGCGACCTAGTGAGGAGACGAATTATCATCTAGCATGCCCTGCGCTCCTTTATACCGCGCGCATGTATTGCGCCGGTACCGCACACCATGCGGCTTCCGACAGCTGCCCTGACGGAACTTGAGAGTGAGACGGGGGGCGAGAAGGGCTTGGCAAGCGTCGTCAACGCCGATTCCCCGCAGATTTGCACCTAGAATGAGGCAAGCACGGCTGCCAGCAAAACCTCGGCGCGGGTACCACCATTCAGCTGGAGATTTGCCGGTGAAAGGGGCCAGGCTCTCGACAGTTCTACCATAACAACATGATCTCCTAAGCGGGCCGGCGTGCTCCATGCGACACCGAGCTAGTCGCGGAGCGCGGCGAGCAACACTCGCGGGGCCACCATGCGGAAGCTTTGGTATGCGTTACATTGGTTCCATCAGAGAAGTGCCGAGGACTCACTTCGACAGATCGCGAAACACTAGTCTAAAAGACCCGTCTTCGTCCACGTGAACGAGGACACGCTCAGAGGTATCTCCATCGCGGGTAAACTCACCTCGAGTACACGGGACTTGTAGGAAGCAGTATAGGGCGCCAAGACATCCTGTGCAATGCGCGATGATGATATGCAAGATGGTGTAGTAGTACAACAATTATGAAGTACAACTGTGTGCTCAGCGCTCGACAACGGAAAGCCCAACTTACTGCCCTATGATCATGAAGTGAACAGCCGCTTCGTGTACCTAAGCGGAGAAATACGCCGCCGCATTGGATCAGCACATAGGCTTGGCATCGCGCAACATATTGAGAAGCACTCACGAGTTCAGACCATGCACGCCGCCCTCGATCTGTGCGCTGGCAGTACGAAGCTCGAAGCGCGTCCTACCCGCCTCCACCGACTCGCGAAGCTCGCTGACACTGCGCACACCGATATCCTGGAACGAATGCTGCAGGCCAACGTAGAGGTAGGGGAGGAACGCGTGCACTGAGCCCTTGTCCTGGACGTCGCCAGATACGCCTTGGGCGACTTTGACAGCAGACGACTCGGAGAAATAGCGTGAGGTAGCCGCGTTCTCGTGCGTCGTGTTCTTCGCGGGGAGTTTGGATGACCCAGGGCCCTTTCCGCCGCGTTGCGCGGACGGAGGCACCGGCTTGCCTTGCTCCATTGCCTCCTAATGAACACATGGCATGTGAGCGGAAATGAATGTGACAAGATCTCGTGAAATACGCACGAGACTCCCCATGCCACGGTACGCCTTGACCCGCTTGCCTTCATGCCAGAAGTACTCGCCAGGCGCTTCAGTCGTTCCCGCGAGCATACCACCCATCATGACCGCCCCCGCGCCAAGGGCAAGAGCTTTCACAATGTGACCGACGTTGCCGATCCCACCGTCAGCGATGACGGGAACGCCAAACTTGTTGGAGAACTCAGCGACGGCATATACCGCGGTGGCCTGCGGACGACCAACGGCCATGACCTCCTGCGTGATACAGATAGAACCAGAGCCCATGCCGACACGGAGACCATCGGCTCCAGCAGCGATGAGGCTTGCAGCTTGTTCACGAGTAACGACGTTGCCAGCGATGACCTCGAGCTTAGGGTACGTCTGCTTGATCCACTTGATCATCTCGATCTGGAAGACTGAGTTGCCCTGGGATGAGTCCAGGACGACGATGTCAAGACCGGCCTCAGCGAGGAGGGCAAGGCGCTCCCGGTCAGCCGGACGGGTGCCGACGGCAGCCGCAGCATAGAGCTGCTTGCTCTCAGGGAGTTTGGAAGCGAGAGGGTAGGTCTTGTTCTTGAGCAAGTCCGAGCGAGCGAGAAGGGAGATGAGACGGCCCTCCTTGTTAACGAGGGGCAGCTTGCCCTTCTTCGAGTCGCGGAGGATGTCGTTCGCTTCTTTGAGGGTGATGCCCTCCTGGGCGGTGACAAGATCTTTGGTCATGACCTCGGACAAGAGAACCGTCGGAGCGCGGAACTGGACATCCCTCGCAGTGACTATGCCCACAAGCTTGCCGCCAAGTTTTCCGTCGTCTGTATGCCAGTGTAAGTAAGCGGGTCCGTTGCGGTGCGATGACGGACGATAAATTCAGAACAAATTTCATATTCTCCTCAAATCACGCGTGTTTACGCGTTAGTTAGGAAGAACGAAGGTTATATGATTGTTTCTCATCAGGGGAAGGGTCAAAGACTTTTGGTCAGGGGCGTCGAAGCCTTGCTAACGCTGAGCTGAATCAAGCACGAGACAACTGACGCGTGCCCAAAGACAAGCCTCGCGGCCTGTGCATGTCTGCCGTACGTAAAGGTGTTAAAATGCTCACCTGTGATGGGGATACCGGCAAATCCCAACCGCTCCTTGACGTCCAGGACGTCCTCCACCGTGTTCGAGGGAGAGAGCACGACCGGGTCGGTGATGAACCCATTTTCATGCCTTTTCACCGCGCGCACCATCGCGGCTTGAGCTTCCGGGGCCTGATTGTGGTGAATGACACCAATCCCGCCGAGGAGCTGCGGGAGCACAGAGAGTCGGACACATAGCCGGACGGGGGTCAGCGACTTAGCTCACCGCCATTGCGATAGCCATCTCGCTCTCTGTGACGGTGTCCATGGGGCTGCTCATGAACGGCGTCTTCAGAGTGACGTTCCGCGTGATACGACTCTCCGTGAGGGCCTCCTGAGCGGCGAAGTCAATCTTGCCGGGGAGGAGGAGGAAGTCGTTGTACGTGAGGCCGCCGTGGACACGGGAGTCCATCAAATCGGCAACCGCGAGTCCGTCGGAGCGTTCATAGCTCTTCAGGTGCTCGAGGGCCTGCGCGGGGTCGAGGAGGGCATTCGCGTTGGTGGGCATGGTGGTGGAGTGGGCAAGAGATTGCCAGACTCTACTTTTTTTGAGCGCGCCGTCAACCGAAGTAATTTAAAGCGGAGAGTGAACAAGTGCAATTTTTGGCGCTGCTTGTTTGAGCGCCGCGTGTAACCATCAATGCGAAGGCCGCGACTATCGTGGATCAAGCCTTCAGGCTATCGTGCCCGCCGCGACGACTTGCCTCGTTGCTGCTGTCTGGTCTTCATGCCGATATATTACCCAACATGAGCTTCATGCGCACCGAAGGCCATTGCCGATGACAGTTGAAGCTGAGGACCTGACACCCGCATCGCAAACTTGAAGGTATTCTGATGTCGCATTATAGTAAAAATCGTTCAAGTGTCGAGCATTTACTCCGGCAGGCGCATTTCAGTCCATGAACACGAGGGCGGACGAACATTTGCCAACGGAATCCACAAGTGCTCTGTGCGTACGTGTGCGGCACCATACATGCAAGGCGGCCGGTCGATTGGGCTGGGAGTCACCGCTGCGTCCGCGCAACGCGAACACATTCTGACTCACCACACGAAACCTACCTCACTCCCGGTACGGCTATATGAATCACGGGAATGCTGATAATGAGATAGGATGAACACGAACCTCTCAATCGCAGAGTCATGACCAACGCAGTCGGCAGCGCTTCACGTCGGGTCGTCCTGCAAGCTCGCGGCCTGAAGCTTCAAGTCCGGTGCCGGGTAAACACTTAACAGGCGTCCTACGTACACGTGTACCTACGTGTGCCAGAGGGAAATGCTGACTGCGCATCGTCAACAACTATCTAATCACGACAGGGAAGTCTGCAAGGTTGTAGGGCTAGCAGTCATCACCGACTCGACTCGGAGCAATTCGTTTAACTTTGCACGCATACGGTTCCATACTGTGATAGTGAGTGCAATCCTCGAGGTTTGCTCCGTGTGTGCCTCCAAATCCAATGAGCCTCGGGCACATAAACCCATAACTAGCGACGCATACGTCGCCGTTCGGTTGATATTCGATACCGCGCAGCACCGGTCAACACGGCATACTTCTCAACAGGAAGCGTCCGGTCCAGCGTCAAAAACGTTTGGTATTGTCTCTCGCTTTCGATATGACACCATGGGAGCACAACTCTCATCATTTCTCCCTCTGTAGTATAATGATGCAGCGTAGGCCACTGTGCTACGGGTGACCGGGCATGGACAGTCAATTCGCATGACGGCTGACCTCCGCTTTGTATCCTCGCGGCGCCCTCCGCATTAGTCAGAGGTTCTCCGAAGCGGGGCTTGTACTACTAGTAAGCATCAACGCGCTCAATTACCCAATCTTTGTAATCCATTCGAATGACGCTACCCAGCCTCAGACAGTCTGAGGGTACACCCACCGAAAGCATCTTCGTAAAAGCTCTCTACGTAGGCAAGACTCGAATATACTTCGCAATCGCACAGCATGCACCGCTATCCTAGCGCATTTATCGTGCCTACTCAACCGACCGGATCGCTGGAGGGTTTCTTCTGTTGTCGGTTCCGACTGGTTGTCGAACACCGCTACCGGCAGAACCGCGTACACCATCGGCTTTGATCAATCTTGAGGATCCTCCTACCTCCGCATCGCCGCAAAGGGCGTCCTACGTCGCTTCGTCGTCCCCATACGGTACCCGAGAGCCACGCTTCCCGCATATAGCATTTTAGACAGTTTCCCCAGACTTTGTTGGCAGGGCTGGTTCTCAAGGTGCGCCTTCTTTGCTCTTCGCAGTGGAACAGGAGGTCACATCTGCTGACCCCTGCACTCCGCCCGTAGGCGTCATGGAAAATGACACAACGTGCGCAAGAAAGAACATCGCGCTCTGAGGAAAGTATAAGTAGGCGTGCGAGGAAGGTGAGTGGTAGCAATTCAAGCTACTCGGCTGGTCTTCGACTTCGATTTAGAAAATCGAGCGCAGAAGACATGGTGTCTCCCATCCTCCAAGCCGCCCTGTTATGCGGTACGACGTGGATCCTGTGGAAGGTGTTCCGTGGATTCTTGCTCAAAAACGACCTCGACAACTTGCCTGGCCCGACGTCGCCCTCCTTCATCTACGGTAAGCCTTGCAGCTTCTTCAATTGTTCCACAGGGGAGAACTGCGCTAACTTCCTATTTCGCTGGTAGGTAACATCAGGCAACTGTTCAACAGACAGAGCTTCAAGTTTCACCGCAGCCTGGGCGAGACGTACGGCTCAGTTGTCCGTCTGCACGGCCGGTTCGGGGTACGTGCTCTAGTCCAAAGGTGGATGTATGTGGTGTTAATGCAAACCGTTATACAGAGCAACATGTTGTACACGTTCGACCCGAAGGCCATGCATCACATCGTCATCAAGGACCAGGATATCTTCGAGGAGCCGACTTGGTTCACCAGGTGAGCTCCGCACGGGTCTGCCTTGCGCAGGTTCAATTTTGACCACGTTGGGGGTAGGCTGGCCACTCATGTTCTCGGCGTCGGTCTATTCGCAACTCTTGGTGCGCACGTATGCACTGCGCGCGTATGGGCAACTTTGACTGAGCGACTGGCAGGCGATCATCACCGTCAGCAGCGCAAGATGCTTAATCCCGTCTTCTCCATCAAACATATGCGTGACATGACTCCTCTTTTCTACGAGATCTCGCACAAGGTGCGAGTTTTCGTAATCTTTCCCTTTCCACTCGCTCACTACGAGTCCTGCGCAGCTCCGCACTGCGCTCCAGTCGCGCGTGCGCGACGCCCGCCCCACCGAAATTGACATGCTTGGTTGGATGGGCCGCACCGCTCTCGAGCTCATGGGCCAGGCCGGACTCCTTCGACCCGCTCGTGGCAGACGCTGCCGACGAGTACGGCACCGCGCTCAAGAACCTGGTGTACGCCTACCATCCCGCATCCCGTCTTCATACTAATCGCGGCTTCCATGACTGCAGGCCGACTATCGCGCGGGCTCGCGGACTGCAACAGTTCATCCCCGTCTTCGAGGCGATTGTACCTGCGGGCTGGCGGCGCACTGTCGCGGAGCTCATCCCCGTTGCCGCGCTGAAGGAGATCATCCGTATCACAGACACGCTCCGTATCCGGTCCACGGAAATATTCAAGGCGAAGAAAGCCGCGCTGCTTGCGGGCGACGAGGCACTCAAGCAACAGGTCGGGGAGGGGCGCGATCTGATCAGTATTCTGTGTGCGTTGCCGAATGGGTGTGAGCTCTTGTAATGTGTTCGCTGATGATGTCTGAACAGTGAAGGCGAATATGGCGGTGTCGGAGGAGGATCGAATGCCGGAGGACGAGCTCATCGGCCAGATGTCGTATGCATCTCCCACACCTTCACAGACAGCATACAGCATGCTAACTTCACGTCCGTCAGCACGCTCACGTTCGCGGCTATGGATACGACCTCGAACGCGCTCTCCCTGACCCTATGGCGGCTCGCCCAGAACCCTGAGGTGCAGGCCAAACTGCGGCAAGAAATATTCGACGCACAGGAATCCCACGGCAGCGCCGACATCGGATACGACGACCTGGTTGCCTTGCCATACATGGACGCCGTGTGCCGTGAGACCCTGAGGATGTGAGTCACCGCAAGGTTTCTTCGGCTGCGAGTACTCACATTCCGATGACTCCCTAGCCACGTTCCCGCCCCGTTCGGCTTCCGCGAGTACGACCCTATCCTGCTTGGTATCCTATATGGCAGCTAACGGCAATTTTCTTGTGCGACAGGGTACGCAAGGACGTCGTGCTGCCGCTTTCGGAGCCCGTGCGCGGCAAGGACGGCCGAATGATGCACGAACTCCTGGTCCCGAAGGACACCTCCGTCTTCGTCGGCATCAACGCGTCAAACACGAACCCCGCGCTCTGGGGCGAGGACGCGTACAAGTGGAAGCCCGAGCGCTGGCTCCAGGCGCTCCCGGATGCGGTCCTCGACGCGAAGATCCCTGGGGTGTATGCGAACCTGTACGTCTTCAATGCGCATGGATCGTGCGGGCGGGTCCAGTTCTGAGCTTCTTACTGAACGCAGGATGACGTTCTGGGGCGGCGGCCGCGCGTGCATGTGAGTGCTCTTCTCTGCTTCGCCGGGGGCGATAGTCCCTGATCGGGTGGTTCGCGTCTCACAGTGGCTTCAAGTTCTCGCAGCTCGAGATGAGTCAGTCGCTCTCAGCGTCGTATGTATCGGTGTCTCAGCGACTAACTGTGCGTCTGCAGAGGTCGTCCTCGCGGTGCTCATCTCGACGTTCACCTTCGAGCTCACAGACAAACCCGTCTGGTGGAACATGGCCGGCGTGCAGTACCCTTCGGCGGACGCCGATGGCGAGCACCCGGGGCTTCCTATGAAGGTCAGACTGGTCAAACGCGAGGCTTAGGCTCGTCTGAATGTATCGGGCAGTGCTGGCGTATGTACTGTCGTGCGTACGTATCAGTGCGCCTCATTCTTCGTTCGATAAGGCGTTCCGCTGATGTCGCCCGTGATTCGTGTAGGGGGTGAGTTTCGTTACGTAGCCCATATTAGGGTTCCAAGGACACCTCATCCATCGTGATTATTGATGACTTATGTCCGTCCTTTTGCCCCCCTGATCAAGATCGTCGGTGCAGCTTCGAGAGTTATGCTTCAAATCGCTCTAAGTAGGACAGCCCGTGATACGTCTTCTCCCTTCAATAGAGAATCGACGCTTACCGGCAAGAGGCACCCACATATGCATCACCGTGCAATTGCCCTGTCGAGGGCACGCTGCGCAGCTGATCTGCATATGCTGGCCTAGGTGTTCATAGTCACGCTGAAAGCACGAGTTTGCATCGTGCCTTGCCAATTTGATGCTACTTTCGCACAGGAACGACATCGTGGTGTTCGTCCGCGAGCTATCTGGGCTATCTAAACTCATCATCGTCCACGATGCACTGCTTGACATCGCCGTACATTATAGCACCGTGACTTCCTTCGATTCAGTGATATCGATCGATGTAGAGAGCATGTGAGCAACAATTTATGTTCTCCGCCCAGGAAGCGCTGTCGGGAGTAACGTACTACGCTGTGAGGGAGGGCTCGTTTCTCACCAACACTGGTTTGGTATCATCATAAGTAGTTAGTCATCGTCCCCATCCATTGTACATTCAATAGTATTGACAGCGTCCTGAGGCTCGTAGATTTTCCGCATCCCTGGTTTGATGCATGCGGCATTGAGGGTCCTCGTGGCTGTGGTCCGAACAACGGTAGGAGAGCCGAACAACCCGGCGAGTCGAACAACCAAGCAACGACGCTCAGGCGGAACCGAGTTCTCGGGACACGGAGAGGTCGAAGAAGCATAAGACTGTACAGATGTCGAACCAAGGTCGAAGATGGCAGCACGACATCGCTCCTTGCCGCGAGGTATCGGTGATCGAGGATGGCAGGAGGTTTGCTACCATAGAGTGAGCGCCCGATTTGGGCTTCCGGTTGCCTCATTGGGAGAAAACGCCACGAGCTGGAGCGCGATAGATCTGCACTGCTCGATTTTCCCCACCATCAAGCTTCTAGCTTAGCAGATACAAATACCTCACGCTCGCAACGATATTCCGTCCTCCCTTTCTCCCCTTTCTTTTGTCTATCTCTCTGCAGCGACTGTGTCGCCCGTGTCTTCGTCATGCACAACGGCGGCCAACACCCAATGCAACCCCTAGCGGGACCTGGCCGACACGGACAACAGGCTACACATCTAGTGTCTGGAATCCCCTTCTCACACCATAGCGCTCAGGCCCAGAGCAACACATATGCCGCCGCCGGACGTCCCGCAGACGCTAGAGCCAGCATGGTGAGTGATTCCTTTGTTTTGAGACATATCCTGCACGCGTCGCAAGCGGTCGCTCACGAGAAACAACGCCTCTCCTTCCCCGTAGCAAAACGCCCTGCAAAACGTCTCCACTATTGCTACAAGCGCACACCAGAATAGCTCTTCAGCGAACGGGTGGATGGTACCCGTGTCTATGGTGCGTACTCTTCGTTGGCAAATCGTTGCTCTTTAAAGCCATGCACCACACGGGCTCCAATATCGCTCTACATGACTTGAGAAGGCGTCTTGATGCATGTGTGGAGCCTAAATCATCGCTCTACTTCAGTGGTAGCTGGAACGCGACTCTCGTGCGCGCGCGTATGAACACCCTGTATGAGACGGGTAGGGAGACATATTTCGACGAGAGTACCGTTCCGTCATCTCACGGCTCTCTCTGTTCCTCGCTCTGATTATGGAAGGGAGAAGACGAGAGTCTTATACGAGCATGGTTGGAGAAAACCGACCGCTCCCAAATAGCTAGCTTTTCATGACGCTCTCATGACGCTCACATTGCCCTGATGTATACTTAGGCATGGGATCCTGTTAGCCGTCCAGGGGGTTTGGTATCTTCAGGTGTATGAGGCCACTGCGACTCGAATGACCGACTTGGTTATTAAAATATAATGGGCGCTGATATTGGCACCGTTCCACAGAATACGCCTCAAGCGTACCACACTCAACATTCACAGAGTGCCCACTCTCATCGTCCATCGATGTCGAACGGCCAACAGGCACCCGCCCCTCCTCCCGTTCCGGGTTATCAACCTCAGCGACAGATCGCTATGCCTCGTGGCCTCCCTATGCCCTCCGACGGAACATCCACTTCGCATTTACAGTCTACGGTGCAGCGCATTCCGTCTCAATGCATACCCCCTCCTATGGCGCCACCCCAAACACAGCATTCCGCGTCTGCCGCATCGAACATGCATCCGCACATAGTCCATGGGCATTCAAGTGTCGGGCCTACTCGTGCGCAGATGTCTCAAACGAGTCAGTCTCGTCACCCGCCGCCAGCTCAATCTGCCCCGCCTCTGCCGCCTTCCAGTCACGTCCCACAGAACCTGGTCGATGTGCATCGACATCTGGCACAAGCGCACGCTCAGGAGATGCATCAGCTCCGAGAGCAGGCTCAACGTGCCCCACCTCAGCAGTCTTCTGCGCCCGCTCCCGCGCCCGTTCCCCTGCCATCGCGCTCTCAGCCGCTCGCGCATCAAACTGCGCAACAGTCTGCACCACTACCCTCGGGACTTTCTGCCGTCGCCTCCGGTTCCGGTCAGCCGCCCTCGCGAGCACAACCGTCGAACTCATCACAGGACACCGTGTCCTCTGCACATTTCGAGTCCATGACCCGATCCGCGAATGCACAAGCACAGCTCTTCATGGAACCCGCCCGACTAAGCCTCATCGATGGTTTGTCGCGTACGCACAAGGCCTTCACCGACGAGCTTGCGCGGCTGTACAAGATGATCACGCAGCGCGACGGTGCTCTTTGTCAGGTTCAGGCTCAGTACGACGCTCTTCGTAACGACCTCACACGCGAGAAGGCGCTCCGGGAGCGCGCTGAACGAGAGTGCGAGGAGGTAAGGTCGCGGAAGAATCACGTGGAACAAGAGTCGCGCGACATGAACGAGCATGTGCCACGGATGTTGAAAGAGTACTTTGATATGCGCAGAGAACGAGAAGAGCTGTTGCGGGAGATTGCAGATTTGCGGGAGGCGAACTCGCAGCTGAGGGAGAAGGCCGCCGTGACGCGCGTCGACCATGCTGTGGAAGCGTTTGAGTTGCCGGAGGTGAAGGGCCTCGTGAAAACGGAGGACAAGCTTCTTGCGAGCTGCCCTACCCCTGTGAAGACTGAACATGCGTCCGAGGATACCGGCGACTCCACGGACGCTGGGGACCATGACGCCGAATTTGCGGAAGGTACGTCGCACTCCGGTCATACGCGCAACTGGTCTGATGTGGGCTCCGTAGTCCTTGCCACGGCACACGAAGAACGCAAACGCAGGCAGCGTGCAGAGCGTGACCTCGAGGTCGTCAAGTCCATGTTGCAGGTACGTGGTTCTGCAATGCTCCCGCCGGTAACATGAACCGACGTCTCTCCAGGCGACGGGACTACAAACGCCCGCCCCAGAGTGTACTTCCGCCTACGCCCCCCTGATGCCAGCGCCTGAAACCGAACGCGAACCTGACGTACCCGCGGCGGTTTCCGAAGTCGCTCCCACTTCTAGCGAGATGGTCACTGATATCGTCCCCGACACCCTTGTGGAGCAGCCCGACACCTTCGTACAGCCACCTAAAGTCGAGCAGCTAGACAACCCGATATCGTGGTTCCCCGTCTTCCCCCCAGAGATCGTGGACTTGACAAGAGTCCTCGATGACTCGCCGATGCAGCTCACAATAGACCTTCCGCCGCTTACCCGGGCCGCCGAGGAACCTGCGGAGCCTGAGCGGAAACGATCCTTCGACGTAGGTGTCGGTGCGAGTGCACGACCCCCTTCGTCTAAGCGCCGACGGACTATGGACAATATGTGCGCCGAGGTCAGCCCCGACTTGGAGGAAGGCGAGTTGCCTCTGGCTTCGCCGTGCGTCTCTGAAGCCTCCGCGGAAGACGGCGAAGTGACACCTACACCCGCATCAGCAAGCGACGCTATCACCGCTAACCTCCCTCCGACACCCGCTGTCGAGTCTGCTTCCAATACATCAGACCCCAATCATATCTCCCGCCCCGTCTATCCTGCGCTCTGCCTCCCCCTCCCATCTACTAGTTCTGCATTTCCGCTTCCGGAGCAGCAGCAGCTGATGACTCCTGTAAGCCCCGCCATGCCCACGCCATTTGCATCACCGGCGTCCCCACGGAAACTGAGCATGCGTCACATTCCACTCATCTACAACACTATCAACGGCCGCATGAGCTGCCGGATGTGCCAGTACGTTCCGCACATTTTCGCGGCCACAGCGAAACCCAGCTAACGCTCGCTTTTTAAGGGCGCGCTGCGACGAGTTCAGGGACCAGCAGGACGTCCCGTTCGACAAGCGCCCGAAGCCGTACATCCTCAGCGCCGCGACGGCCACTTGGGACGAGATGGCGGGCCACTGCGAGCGCGTGCATCCAAAAGCGTACGAGGGCCTCATCAACATGACGCCAGACCAGATGCGCGTCAAGGAGCAGCAGTTCGGCCTGTGCGGCCGCGCCAGCAGAAAATAGTGCACACTTCGTTGTCTTAACTTATCATCTTGACTTTCCTTTGTAAGTGTTGCGTCTCTCTTGCTTTGATTTTGGCATGTGCTGACGACCTCGCGCAGGTGTTCGGTTCCCTTGCTTTGTCCGTCTCGTCGTTATCGCTATCGCTGTGCTCATCCCCCCGTCTATCTGACATTAATCTCTACCTGTACAGTGCCCTTGCTCGTCACAGCTCACGTTCATCACGCCTCTCCCCACATGTATGTTGTATATGCAAAAACGCTATAGGCGCACTCACATGCACTCTGAAGAGTTCTAAGTGACAGGTCATGTCATTGTCGGAGATGCGTACCATCTCTCGGCTGATGCGCGCGTCTTGCAAGCTTTATTCCCAAGGACAAAGTACCTCCCCCGAGATGCCGTAGATCTTAAAAACACATCGCGTATCCTCTTTCGTTGTGTTCATACTAGCAGACCACCCCCATCGTCTCCCACTCCTCGACTCGCTCCGCATCCACACCGGGCTTTTGTCTACGGTCAACTCCAGCGTCTTGGAGAAGTTCCTCATCGACTGAGGACTCCTCCTAAAAGCCAAACGCCTAAGCATCAAATCGCAGAGGAGTGAGTTCGGCCTGGTCAAATATCTCTGTGTCCGAAGATGGGCCACGAACAAACGCCATCCTCAGAAACTTGCAGTCACAGGCTTAGTATCTGCCGATTCAGAGATGATGGAAGCTGTTCCCGGCGAGGGACGACGAGCGTGTGAGAACGATGCGGGCTATATTACACACTAGCCCAGGCCGTTGAGGCGAATCCGGGTGTAAAGCAAAGAGTCCGTCGGGAGCGCAACATACAGCAATCGACAAAGGTTGATACAAGAAAGGTACGAGGCGACAAAGGACGCGGACAAAGCACAGCGGACGAGTACTAGTGGTGGCCGGGTGGGCTGTGGTGGAACTGGAAGCCACCGCTCGGGAAGTGGAACGCGCCGCCGTGCTGGAAGAACTGGTTGAACCCGCCGTTGAAGCCGCCCTGGAAGGGGTTCCCGCCCTGCTGCGCCGAGGGATCGTTCGGGTCGTCGCCGTTGTCGAACCGTTGCCGCAGCTCTGAGGTGGGTGTGAGCGCGTATTCGTAAGGCTTGTCGACTGCAGGTACGTACCAGGGTTGCTGAGCACCTCGTACGCCTCGTTCACGGTGGCCATCTTGGCCTCGCTGCCGCCCTTGTCTGGGTGGGCGGTCATCACCGCTTTCCGGCTGACCATGGAAGGAATATAAGCGACGAACATGCGGAACAGTATTGAGACACGATACGCACTATGCCTTCTTGATCGTCTTTGTGTCCGCGTCCCGAGCGACGCCGAGAACCTTGTAGTAGTCCTTCTGCTTGCTCAGTTTCAACAGCTTCTGCGCCTTCTGCAACCGCTGGTGGATCTGAATATCCCGATACCTAAGTCAGGCAAATGCTAGCGCTGAACTAAAGTGGTATGCGTACCTCGCGATCTGACCTGCCACCTGCTTCGAACGCACGCTCCAGCAACCGCACCGCCTCCTCCCACTCTTCCTTCGCCAACATGGCCTCCGAGCGACCAATGAGACCGTCCGTGTCGTTCTCCATGTCCTGCATCTCGAGGAGGGCAGTGCACCACTGCTCACCCTTCTTCGCCAGGTTCATCTTGACGTACGAGCGACATATCGAGCGAAGGATAACAGCTCTCCGTGGGGAAGAACGGAGACCGTCGGGAATGGGAATTTGCGGGTGAACTTCGAGTGCCTCGCGCGTCGTGTGCTCGGCGAGCGCCGCGTCGAACTTCGCGGCGAACCCGTCCGTACCCGACTCGTCGGGACCGAGTAGCAGCTTGACCGCACTACGCCAGCTCTCTGACTGCATGAGCTTGTCGAGGTTCTTGAAGTTCTTGTCGAACGCCTTGACGAGACGGTGAAGGGAGAGACACTGCCGGGAGTCGGGGTCGTAGTGGAGACACTGCTTGAGGGTGGCCATGCCCGGAGAGTGGGATTCTGGGGATTCGTACGGGTAGAGGAAGTAGCCCAACCGAGCCATCTTCATCCATACGGCGGTCGTTGGTGTTGAGAGTTGCGATAGCCGGCTACATATTCGGAGTGAGCAGAGCGAGTATATGTGATACGGCGACGACGTACGAAAGATCCGCGACAGCGCTCTCAATGTCGCCAGCTGCCATTGAACAGTCCGCACGCTGCTGCCTCAGCTTCACCGAATGTGACGCAGTAGACAACGCCATAGACGCAGCCTCCACACACGCCGACCAGAGCTTCGCGCGGATCGCCTGCGCGACCTTCTTCGTCGCCAACTCGCCCTCAGTGATCGACATCATCACTTCCTGGGAACCCTGGTCGCCCTTGACCTTGGTCGAGTACTTCCGCAGCGCATCCCGCGCTTCGGTGAACTTGCCCTCCTTCGCGTAAATGCGCGCCTTCATGAGGTTCGCCTTGTCGAAGGTGTCGTTGGTCAGGGAGAGCACCTGATCGAAATCGGCGAGGGCGGCCGGATGGCGACCGAGCGAGTAGTACGCGGTCGCACGTTTATAGTATAGCAAGTAGTCGGTGGGAGCCTGCTCTACAGACAAGTGCATGTGAGTGGATGTTGCATTTCGGCGACATAGCGCGGTGTTCGTCAAGCTTCGCAGTTAACACACAAGCAACCTGAACTCGCTTCTCGTTGCACTTCCATCCATCATACCCTTCACCTCAACCGTTCCGTATCGCATTGACCACTTCACATCCTCCGTCACGGACACTCACCTAGAGCTTCCGAATATGTCTTCGCGGCATCATTGAATTGACCAGCAGTGAGAAGAACGTCGGCACGGCTGATCAGGGGTACAAGGCCAGGAGGATACAGCGCTCCGCCTGAGCCTGAGAGTGTTTGCTGCTCCGCATTGGCGGTATAGACCAGGCCAACGAGAAGAAGCGGTAGTAGTATAGAGAGCCTGAGTATCATGATGTAGTCCTGGAGCAGAGATGTAGATGGGGACAGCGCCAGCGAAGGCCTGCGGAAGGAGGAGGAGGAGGGTCGGGTTCAAGTTGTGTTCGTCCAATTTGGGAACACGGACACGTTAGCAGCTGCCCATGTGGCGCGTGACGCCGAGTAACACCCGCACTTGGACCGCACCCGGACAGCTCGGACCGGAGTCACAGCAAGTTCGCCGTCATGGACACATGTTCGAGAACCCCGACGTACCGTGTGCCTTCACTCCGACGACCATGTGCAATGGTAACCGCGCCCAACAACGTATTCGCGGAGCGCGGAGTATGACGCCTGTTCATGAACATGAAAAGGGCTACTTAATCTTAGCTCGTTTCAACAACCCAGAAGCCATTCCTTACGCTGAACAACTCTGAATTTGACTGCCAGACTCAACAAACGTCGTATCCGGGGACTCAGAAACAGTGGCATATAATTTCGGACACTGGATTACGGGATACTGAAGGAGATCAATCGTTCGTAGCTGCACAGAGGCTCTGTGAACCACACCAAGCCGAGCCCTTCAGGCAGCTCAGGCGCGACGGCCTCCGCCGCGACGGACGGAGCGGAACTTGGTCTCCTCATCCGGGACCGCAGCGCTGTCGCCGGTGTTAACGCTCCCGTTTTCCGAGGAGGAGGCCGCGTTACCCTTGCGCCTGACCGCCTTGATAGCGACGGGGTCGGCAGAGCCGTTCGCGTCGCTGCCGTTGACTTCGGCGACGCTCTCCACGGCAGCGCCGCTGAACGCGGCATTGACTCCCTATTGTGACTATAAGCATCATGCACCCTGCCTCCGCAATGTCGCAAGAACTCACCTCCTCGCCGTTAACGTCGAACCACTGGCGGCTGGCCGGGTTGACTTCAATCCAGGTCTCGAGACCGTTGTTGGCAGAGATGAGCGCCGCGCCGCTGTGGCTCTTGATGAAGGCCTTGCCGTAGATGGTCGGATTGGCGGCGATGGCAGCGATCGTGTCCAGCTCAGCCTTGTTGCAGCTGACAGTCGGCGGGAGGGTCAGCTCGAGGCGCGCCACAGAGTCGTAGCCCTGGCAGCGCGCGTGAGCAAAAAGGAGCATATATCACTAGATTTAAAGCACCTTCTGTATGGTCTTGGCGGCATAGCCCTGGGGGAACAGCGAGTTTGCAATGTTTTGGATGCCGTCGGCGACCAAGGCCGGGTTAGCGAAGGCCAGGTCAACCGTGTAGGTGGACGGCTAGAGCAGAGGACAAAGGTGTCAAAAAGGTGTGCTGCTCTGCTTGTAGCATGCTAAATCTTACGCGGTCGTAGTTGGCACTCATCTGCTTCAGGAACGGCGTCTTTGCGGCGCCGCCGATGGAGGACGACGGGCCGGTCGCGACGAGCTTGCCGTTCACGCGCGAGACCGTGATGGTGATTTTTGCCCCAGTGAGCTCCGTCAGGGTGCCCTGCCAGAGGGGCGCGACGTTGTTCACACTGCTGTCGAGCAGCTCCGACTCGGCGTAGTCGAGGCTGGCCCAAATCTTGAGCGTAGGGACATAGTCCACGTAGCCGGGGCTCTGGTCGCTGGTCAAAACTCAAGTCAGCTTCGAAGCATGGTGTGGCCAGCGGATCGGCGACGTACGCGACACGGCGCAGGACGAGGACCGTGTTCATGGCTTCACCCGGCTGGTCAAGGTTGGTGATGTAACCTGACAGTATCGACCGCCGTCAGAAAACATCGTCTCGCTGACCATGAGGCGAAAGCTTACCAGCGCCGATGTCTACGTATTGGCCGGTCCTGTTCATGACCCGAGCCGTCTGCTGCGCATAGGTCGTCGGAGCCTAAGACACATGGTCAGAAATGCCCTTGCACCGGGCAACACTTTGAGTTGACTCACCGTGAAGTAGAACTCCGGGGGACGCTTGGTGCTGTCCAAGAGCAGGTCGGTGGTCTGGCCAACCTGGAGAAGAGTTTATCAGCATTTTCCATCGTAGAAGTATTACGGCGACGGCTTACAGCGACGGGAGAGTACTCATCCGCCTCGACCGTAGCAGTGTTAGGGTCAATGAAGGTACGGGAGCCCGCGGAGCTGTGCAATAGTCAGTCAAGTCGCTCACGTTGTATGTGTATGCAAGTGCTGTGAGTCTTACACGTTGTTCCAGTCATAGGTAAACGAGACTAAAGTAGAGCGGGTTAGATATGAGCGGGTGATGCAGGTAGATAGTACGCGTACCTCCGTCGTTAAGAGTGATGACCCTAGGGCAGGCGAGCTACGTGAGTATACTTCGCTAAAAGCAGATGTGTACCGCGCTGGCTTACTTCCACGCAATCGGATAAACGGTGCTGAAGTCCGCCTTGCCATCTTTCGGCACGAAGGCGAGCGTGAGGTCGCACGCTCCACCGAGAGACGAGCTGTAAAGTCTTGGTGAGTACTAGTAGCACAACCTGAGCGTAAGAAACTAGAACTGACCCGGTGATGGTGATCTTCTTAGCGATGGCAGTCATTGTTAATTAAGAGAAAGCGAGATTGAGAGAAGAGTTGAGAGAGTTGAGAGAGCAGAGATGTCGAGGATGCTGAGTCGAAGCACGTCCTGGTTCAGCTTATATACTCTGTTGGGCCCAACCTCTAGGTCATCGTCGCAGCCTCTCGTACCTCAGGACGTCCGGCGTGTGTCCTGTCCGGATACCTTCCAATTCTCGTGTCTGCCATCGTCGACGCAGGGTTGCGCCATCTTTGGTGGCGACTGAATACAATCAATGCCGGCAGGCAGCTTGCCGACGTTCTTGTTGTTGAGCACCCTGTGTCAGAGGTCAGCAAAGCACCGGGATTCGCAACATTCTCTCTGGACTTACCGTCTGAAGCACGGACCGAGACACAGGCATTGTCGGAGCGCGGTTCTAGTACGCACCACCACGTTCAGCAGATCACACGTGAGGGGTACGCTAGCCCGTAACGGTAATATTTGCGCGCCGCGACGCTGGACGCGGAGTCGATTCGAGACAGCCCGCGTTGAGCGGACCCTCGCGTACTGCAAAGTGAAGACACCGCTGTGGATCGCTCTGTTGGCTTCGTCCGCTGTTCCTCCGTCGCCGTGTGTAGAAGAGCGGAAAGCTGTGCTATACGAGCTGTTTGTATGTTCATTAGCGACTGCGGGAATGATTGTCGTGCGTACCGAGCAGCCCCGGGCGCTACCTGTCACGACAGTGAGCTCTTGCATGGAGTGTCACGTCAAGATTCTGTGCAACGTCGGAGTCATAAGCGAAGCTTCATTCACAATTCGCGGGAGCGGTGCCTCCTAGAGAACATCGCGAGCACAACATGTGCTCGCCGTTGTGGGAGTTCATGCACATAACGGGTGATATGAGGCTGTCGGTGCGTCGAGGAAGAGGAGCATCCATCCGTATAGTGAATGGAACTTGAACTCTCGTACTTCGAACGGCGCACGCACCGGTAACACGCTGGTGGCGGAACCACTAGTACAAACTGGGATGAATGAGTATCATCGCCACGGTGCCTGAGTCTATTGCAAGAACTTACGCAACATTCTGACTACAGACCGGAATGTAAATCCCCTCGGTCGTATCGCTGACGATTGTCAAGTGTATACTCTATGTTCGCGCTGAGCTGGCAACGCAAAGTGAGCGGATGATTATCTGTGACATCATTTTTGCGCGAAGGAGGACTTGAAACTTGGAGCTGAATGGGAGCCCGCGGACTTGAGGAGATTCAGCGGCGGGGAGCCTCCGCGAGCATCTCATGCCAAGCGGAGGTCGTACAAAAGCTAGCGCAATGACGCTTACTCAGGCTTCGGACCATAGGACGTCGCGTGCGCCAACGCCCAGACAACACCGTCCCTCGACCTGCCTACAGGACAAGGATACTAGCATATGTATCAACATCAATACATGGAAGGTGGCGCACGACGCGTTTAGCATGAGAATACAGCAGGACCTGAGAAAGTGCCGGATGGCGTCAGATTAGTCCTTCCCTACCGCGTCGAATCGGGTGCACTCACCGGGGACGGTGTAGTTGCTGAGGGTCTGGTAGATGTTGATTTTGACGCCTGTCGCGGGAACGTATCAGCTTTGCCACGCCATGTATTGGGGCCTGCACGAAAGTCGTACCGGGGTCGGTGCCGTGGTAGGCACCAGGGAAGGCCACCGTCGCTGGCGACTTCGAGCCTGACCCGCCAGTGATGTTGATCTGGGCACACTCCATGTAGAATTGTGCGCCGGGGTAGCTGGACGCGGCGTGGAGCGCTGGGCGGGTGCGTAAGCCGCAAGCGTATCTGACTGTGCCGTCCCCCGTGCGTGAAACTCACCGATGATCTCGTGGCGCAGGAGGTACTGGCCGGAGGCGATGCAGCTCGGGATGTTGAAGGTCACCTTGCCCTTGTTGGCGATGAGACGGTCAACGCCCCAGGACTGGTCGGACGCGGTCAGTCCGTCCTGGTAGATCTTGAACCACTCCAGCCCGGTGACGGAGCTCTGAGTAGCATCCGGAATCTTTGCACTGCGAGACGAGGTCAGAGACAAGCGCAAACGTCGGAGCAGCGGAGGCTTCACAGGTAAGAGATGACGGGTCCCTTGTGGCTGGGGTCAATAGGGTCGGCGGGGTCATTGGCGACTTGGTTGAGGGTGTGGTGCCACTGGGAGAGCGGTCAGCTACAGTGCAGTCGCTGGTGGCAGCCAGTCCCCCTTACCTCCGCGGTCACCGTGGCCCCAGCGGGGACGTTGATGACAGCCGTCGACATCGGCTGATGGTAAGGGTTGATACCTAAAGTGTAGCCCCGGTACGTCAATATCGAGGTCCTTGTTGCGTTGTCCGGCGCAATGAGTTTGCCTGACCTCCATTGCAAATGATGTCGTTCGACGTCACGTCCGTGATGGGCTAGGGTGCGCATACCGTGAGGTTAGAGCGTAAAACGACTGATGCATGTAGAATAGGCTTCACATACCCCGTCGTAATCCGGGGCACGGATGCCGGTCAGCTCGCCTTGGTCAACACCGTTGACATACAGCTTTTGGAAGATGGTGTGTGCAGAGGCAGACCCCGCGAGGAGTACGGCCGTAACGAATGCAGTGGTCTTCATGGCGGTCAGCAAGAGTTGCGCGCACGCTGCTGGAACGTCGAAAGAGCCCACCAGCTTTATACTTCAAGGAATCAGCACCTATTGGCTGCTTTGCGGGAACCATCCGATGATTGCGTGTCCTGATCGAGGCTTCGACGTAGGGACAATTTTGAGGAAGCGAGAATTATCAGAGTCTTTGCCGCCGTGCGGGAGGCGACGACCGGCGAATCGTGATAGCATTGACATATGACATCATGAGGTATGTTCTCTAGCTGCTAGGCGGTTGCGACGGGTAGTCGAACTCACGCACAAGGGCGTTCCTATGACCAGAAGAAGCTACTAATCATTGAGTTATCCCGAGGAACAGCCAACTGAATGCACGTACTGGGTGTAGCCGGAGCGCAGAATGAGGGTGAATGACTACAAATTTAGCTCAGCGTTGGCACGTATATTTCTGTCTGAGGGAGTGTTCGCAATTCAAAGCTGGGATTTGAGTAAGAATGAGGCGATGCGAAGGGAGGCCGAAGGCTGGTGCCGCAAGCTGGAAGAAAAAGAACCTCGGGTTGTCGGAAGACGGGTGGAGCGACATATCAATGCTCGGAGAATATGCTCGTCGTATCAAGAAGTCATGTGTACAAGGCAGACGAGGCTGTTTTCCCAGGTATGTTGTTTGTCGCCACCGTGGCGTATGCTGCGAGGACAGGAAGGAAGACTTTGAAGAGACTCGACGAGTTCGGTCCGGCGCGAGCCTGTCTACTTCGGCTAGTAGACCCGCGTTCACACTCACGAAGGCAGCCAGGCTTTCGAGCGCAAGCTCATGTTCGCGCGTGATGGCGTCCGGAGTTCGAAAGACCAATGACGGTATGATACGTCGACGGTGATAGCGTAGTGCTTCAAGGAACCCTCTTTTGAAAGGACGTTGAGAGGATGCAGGATGATGGCGGTTGGAGACAAAGCGGCGAGCATATTCTAAGCGCCAGCAGCCCAAGGCCAGGCGAGCGCCCGTACTTGACCCGTACACACAAGTGCCGACGCAATGAACTCGGAGCAGACACGCAGAGGCAGGATGGGGGGGAAAGTACAAATACAGTACTAGAACGAACGGAATAATGATAGTGCTACAAAGAGTCCAAGAAAGATGCCTCCGTGTTCCGTGCGGACATGCGTTCTCCAACGGCCGAACGCGCGCCACATCGTGCCCTCCGCAGGCGAGTAATCAGTACTTGTTGGCGGCGAGGTATCGCATGATCGTGAGTGAGGCGAGTATCTCTGGAGATCGAGGGTCATGTCAGAAAGGCTCATAATCAGCGCTCATATTGGTCACACTCACCGACCGCCATGTGCGTGAAGGGTTCGTAGATGGTGAGCATGTTGCCCGATGTGTTGTACGCGGGCTTTTCTGGGGGCTTCAGGGTGTAGTGCGCGACGACGTAGTTCCGAGAGTCGACACACTGCCGGGACCATCAGCGCCCGGGAACATGAGACAAGCCAAGACGCGCTAACTCACCGACCACTCGTGCTCATTGACGCCCCGGTATATCCAGCGGTACTCCTCCCCATTCGAGCCAGTGAACTTTCGAGAGAGAGATCTGAAGGCAGGCATGTCAGTACGTGGCCATGCACTACACCACGAGGGACTCACCCGGCGAACATGGACGTCTTCCGCAGGTACTGACCCATCGGCATCGATACAGAGGAACCGACGAACGAAATCGTCCCCAGCGCTCCGTTCGGACCGAACTCCAAGATCACGGAGGGCTCGCGCGACACTGGTTGGGAGTAGCGCTTGCTCGACGACCGTCGGCCGGTGTCGTACACCATCAACGTCGTCTCGGCGTAGTGCGCGGCGTGGCCGGGAGGGGGACGCGCGACGCGCAGGAACACGCGGTCGTAGATTTCATCAAAGTCGGAACCCGTGTACTGGCCGGTGCGGTCCTCAATGAAGTAAGGGAGCGCCTTGTTAATCATAGTAGTGTGGGGAGAGGGCTAGCGAGTCGGCGGGAGGACACAGGCAAGGCGGGATACGCCCGCGGAGACTCGAGAGAGTACGGGGAGGGGGGTTAGACCTGAGGGTGCTGCGATGAGAGGGTACTTATACACGGAGGAGGCACATTGACGCCTGATCCGGATGAGGTAAGGCCGAGGACCCTACAGGGCAGAGGACTACGCACATCATCGACTGCTAGCTTCGGGCGTGGCTGCACCAGAAGTTTCACACCAGTTGCAGCCAACTGGGCGGAATAGACGGGGAAGAGAAGCACCGCTGCGCTTCTTCCGCCAGGGCTAGTGCGGAATCGGGTTGCCGCCCACGCCCGCGTCCCATGCTCGATATGGCCCTCTCCGGCCATGATGGGTGCCGAAACTCCCGGACCACTCGGGGGGCGTCAAGCCACAGCGTTCTGTCCGAATGCAAGACTGGTTTGGCCAAGTGAAGGGGGCCACAGCAAGGAGATAGCAGCGGGTCCCAAGCCCGCGGCTTGACAAGAACGCCGCAGCACACCATCCCAAGGCAAAGGGCCCTACAGGCAAGGCAGTGGCTGCGGCGTTCCGCATCAAGAAGCGACAGCTCATAGACCCACGCCTCCCCCTTTCGTGCACCGTTCACGATCGCACTCCACGGTCATCACAGAACGAAAGCCCGGAGGGTACTCACCACGTGCACCTTCACAGACATGTAACTTGCCGCCATGTTCGCGTCGGCGCCGATGGCATCGGTACCAATACCAGCGCATCTCTACGTAGTGTCGTCATAAACGACCCTTGCGGTGAGATTGCTCGTCACTCTCACGGACACGTATGCCATGGAAGAGGGCACAAAGAGGTGCTACGGCGAGTCAGGCACGACATCCGTGACGGAATCTGACATCGTGCCTGCTCTCGCGGCTTCGGTGAATCGACGCACTCGGCTTCCATCCACGGGTCCTATTGCAAGGTGTCTGTTCGCTCGCTCGTGCGTTAGCTTCGTGGTGATGTATTGCGCGGCGAACAAACGTACTCGATATCGCCGTTTCATAAAGGGAGCCCTGGCCGATAATGAATAGCACGTTTCCCAAGGTGCTGTCATGTGCTAGCCTGGGAACTGTCCCTGTTCCAAAAACGCCACGGAAAAAAGGGTTGAAAGATTGAGTACTCTGAAGGGGCAGGTGACTGGGAGGTAGGGCGACAAAGAAGGTGCTGATACTTTGCAACTCGGCAGCGGGAAGTCAGCGCTCTCGAATGGCCGGACACCTGACCTGCCTCGTATAGACTGCGCGACAGCATCAACTTGTCCCGAACGAGGACCATGTGCTGACTTGGACTTGCTGTCGATATACTTGCCACCAGTTAGTGTGTGTGAGTGTCGAAGCTTGAAGCTTGAGGATTGTGAATGTGATGCTGGCGCCGCACGAAACGACGGACGCTCTCCTTCACCCACGCGCTCGATTGAAGTTGTTGCGCCGGCACGAGCGCGGATATCGTTCCGACCTCCCGAATGTACGAAGCGGCGAAGAGTGGCAGGAGGAGTCCAGCTGTGGCCGAGATCGCAGCGGCCATGGTGCGCGCTCACACTCGCATTGACGAGTTTATGATCTAATACAAGAAAGGGGTACGAACCGTGTGGGGTCCGTGAATATTTTGGTACAATGGCTACACCTGACTGACACGCATCGTCAGTCACCCTCGGACGCAGGGACGGCCAAGCAAAAAGAGCAATACAATGTACAACACTCGCGCCGAGTCTCCGAGCCCTCGAGACTACCGGCTATGACACCTCGCTGCTTTGGTGCTTGCTGATGATGTCTGCGCTCGTCTTGGCATCCAAGAAAAGCTCGCCCATCTCGTCGATGTCTTCGAGCTGGATCTCCTTGCGCCCAGAAATTGACGCGAGGATCGACGCGGGCGTGAGCAGTTGCAGTGCATATCTGTGCAATGATGTGAGTATCTATGCACATGCCGCGAATAAGAGAATAACAATCTGACCTTAGTGAGCTGTCGTGCCCTTTCTGGGCTAGGCGTTCGAGAACGCCGTCGCCGAGCTTGAGGCCCTCCACGTTGGCGCGCAATTGAACAACCTTGGCAATCGCATCCTTCTCGTATGGTGCGGTTCTCACGATGAGACACCTGAGCAGCAGCAGTGTGAGTACGGTGTTCCATGTACGTTGAGTTGCCGGTATTCTACTGACCGGTCAAGCAAATCCACAGGAATACCATGCGGGGCGTAGATGTCCGTAGTACCACGAACCAGAGCGTTTCCGCGATTGGTAGCGAGTACTACCGTTGGTGCCATAGGAGACTCCAGGAGCGCGTTTAGGTAAGTGAAGCACTCGATATCCAGCATGTGGACCTGGACAGGGTCAGGACTCGTCGCGAATCACAAACCCGAATCACGTACCTCGTCGATGAATACCACACCCGGGACGACCTCCGCAACGCCTTGGTCAACGTAACCCTTCACCACACGGTTCACTTCTCGACGAAGCTTCTCCGTGATCTCAGTTCGACCGCTCTTCACCAGACTACCCATCACACTCATGATATCCTGTCCCCCCTGTGGCCGCGCGTTTGCAGCATCAAGGTCTCCCAGCGTCACGTCTTGTACGAGCTCCTTGCGCTTGTGCACGTCGCCCTTGGGCAGAGGGACATATGTCTCGGACTCCAAGTCGTACGAGGAGGCGTACGCGTCCGAGCGACCCACGCGCTAAGCACGGTAGGTTCATATGGGACCTACGAAGAGAATGATGGCTCACGTACCTTCACCGCGCCCGTATTTTGCTCGACATAAATGACGTCTCCCACCTGGATCTTCTCCTTCAGGATGGCCTCGTATATGCTCGGGTCGAGTCTCAGCTGCTTCGTCCCGCGGACGGTTTTGAGTCCAATGACTACGTGCGAGACGGTTTTGCCGTACCCGCTAAGAGGGTTTTCCGACTCCGTGGGCGTCAGCTCCGTAACCTCTCCTTCATACACCTCCTTGGTCTCCTTTATCCGAAGACCTGCAAAGAGTCAGCACTACGATATCCCCTGCTAGATGTACACGTACCAATCGCGCGCCGGAACGCCTCAGCAAGGACTTCCGTCTTTTTCACCTCCGTACTGTACACCTCCGAACCGACCATGGGACAGAACGGCACCTTCGCGCCCAGCTCCTGAGAGATAGCCAGAGCGAGAGCTGTCTTTCCTGTTCCGGGGGGACCGACAAGGAGCAGCGCGCGCCCGGAGAATTTGCGCGACTTGACGAGGTCGACGACCACGCCACAAGCCTATAGACCATCGCGTTAGAAGTCCGTCGCGATTTTCCCCACTCTTGTTTTTTCCGATCAAGTCGAGACGACGTACCTCGCGCGCCTCAGTCTGCCCAATGAACCCAGCGCCATCCGACGCGGCGTATCCTTCAGCATTCAGCCCAAGGCCCTTGATATGCGAGTGTGGGGCAATCCGAGAAGAGCGCGTAGCAGACGCGGTAGGTGGTGGGGGTACCGCATTGTGCGCAACTGGTGCAGAGGACGAAGCTCCCGCGGTCGATGCTTTCATAACCGTAGACATGGTGGAGGATATGGGGGAAGAGGTCGAGGACGCGTTCGTCTTCGCGCTCAACGTTCTCAGAGACGCGCGCCGATCAAACCAACCCCGCTTGCACTCCGATCACGTCGTACGCCTAGATTGGACCCCAGAGAGAGCTCCGCTTATATAGCCGCGCGTAGGCTGCGCGACCTGCACCTCGCCGTCTAGACCGCTCCGCACTCACGTTCGACCATGGCCTCCTCTTCTAAACCCTTCGTGCAACCTGGCGAGCCTCTCCATGAATTCTTGCGCTCTTTCTGGCAGCGACAGGTGGATGCGGCGGAGCAAGAAACACCAGACTACCGCCATCCTCCCCTTCCGCTCGCGCGAATCAAGAAGGTCATGAAGAGCGACCCAGAGGTCAAGGTGCGCATCGCAGTACTTTCTCCAAGAATGTAGCATGAAAGGCGCCCTGCGGACACACAGATGATTGCAGCTGACGGTGCGTGATCAAGAACACGGGACCTTCCACGATCTTACGGAGTCTCAGCTCCCATACTCTTCTGCAAGGCCTGTGAAAGTCAGTGTCGCGTCCCTCCTCGCGCGCGAAGTGCGTACTGACGGTAATGCTCTCTGTAGTCTTCATTGCGGAGATCACGGCACGCGCATTTATCATCGCCGACTCCAATAAGCGGCGGACGCTGTCACGCGCGGATATTGCTAAAGCGTTGAGCAAGTCGGATCAATTCGACTTCTTGATCGATATCGTCCCCCGCGAGGAGCCTCCTGGTGCTGCTGGGCAAGCAGGTGGGAAAGGGCAGAAAAAGGGGGCCGCAGCGCAAGGCAACGGCGTTCCCGTAAGTCGCAGTGTTTTTCGCTTGCGGAGTGTAGTTATGCTCAGTGACCCCAGGCCCCGCAGAGCCGAGAGAACTCTCAGCAAGCCTCGATAGAGAACGAAGAAGCCAATGCCGAAGATGTCACAAACGGCGTCGACTTAGAGCAGGTACGTCTACCCATTCCGAGTTCTTAGGCATATCCCCAAACATTCTTGCAGCTTCAGTCGTTGCTTCAGCCTCCTGGTCCAATAGAGCCTCGTTCTCTGTCTTGAGCTTGTCTGTCGGAATCCCTCACTGTGCATCTAGTCCATTCTGTTGTCTGTTGTCGAAGTGTATTGCTATTGAGTATCTTATTCCCGTCTCTTGCTCATCCCATTGCCGTCCTCCGGATGTCTTGCGACGCGCTGGAAGTATCCCCCCCCCCTGTTGGCTGGTCAAGACTTCCAATGCGAACAGTGCAGGATCTTTCGTCAGGATCTTTCGAGTTCTGGCGTGACTTCCATCCTTCGTGACTGCGTGCACGTCCCAAAATAGGTGTCACACATACTCGCACCTTGCGTTGCCACCGCGACGAGGACCCATGCGCAGTCTCGTTCGTGCGCGTCGGACTCGAACCGTTCGGTCCGGTAAGGTGAGTGCGCCAACTTGCTCCTTCTATGACATTATACCCACACGCCCTATAACAAATGCCGAACACTCTAAATTCCCAAGTCTCAAGTAGATCGCCTCACTTCGTTCAGACATCTAGCTTTCGACAGGACTAGGCAACGTCGGAATACTTCGCATGTCTTGCAGGTGCCCAGAGAAACCACTAGATATACAGAGAAGGTGACCAGCAACTAGTAAATTCGATTCAGATACATCGTCATTAAAACCGTCCATTATACCAGAACCCATTCTTCAGGACACAGCCAAGTCAGCGAATGCGCTCTTCGCATACGCTTCAGGCATTCGTATAAGTCGTCGCACTACGTGTTAACGTCGACATGCCCACCTTAAGCGGAGGCCGAGACGGAGGCGGAAGCCACGGGCGTGCCAGTAGGGGGAGGCAGCTCCCGGGTGACGCTGTGGGTCACGGTCCAGACGGTGTTGGTCGTGATCGTCGTGACGAAAGGGTCAACTGCGACGGATTCAGTTAAACGGCGCACTGCGGGTGAGGGATGGTCACTTACCCTTCATGAAGCTCTGGAGCACCTTGCTTGCGGTGAAGGTATCGGTCGTCAACGCCGTGGTGAGCGTGACGTTCGCAGTGGTCGACGACGCGTCGACGGAGGCGGCAGCGTCCAGGATGCCTGCGGGCTGTGAACAGAGAATCAGCGGCGGGCACGGGCGGGTCGTCAAGGCGAAGCGGCACATACAGCTGCGACAGCGACGGCGGCGGCGCTCGCGAGAGTGATAAAGAGAGACTTGAACTGCATTGTGAAAGAGAAGCGAGTTGTGGAGTGCGGAATATGTCAAACGGATGCGGGAAAGATGAGAGGTGCTGAGACCAGGCTCAGCACCGCAGGACTTATAGCTTCTGTTCGCGGCGAATGTGCGTGCAGACGGCGCGTCTCGGCCTGCAGGCTGACAGACGGGCGATGCGGTGCTGCAGAATATAGAGCCGTTCCGAGCGTCGCGCGACGCGCAGTCGGTCATCCGCCTTGCGCCTTGCCCCAAGGAGCGCGCAGCGGGCTATGTCGCGGCGAATGGCAACATGTTCCTGGCGTCTGCCATGGGAACTTTACCTACGAACGATGATGAGGACAGGCGCAGCTGAGTCAAATACCCGCCAATCGCAAAACGTCCCGCTCGGGGGCCGCCTCAGCTTCAGAGGGCGCCGCCACTTTCCCAGGCTGCGCACAGATCCACGCCGCATGCGCTGGGCCTGGCGTTGCAGCCGCAGACTTTACCCTTGCTTCTCGCTTTCTATGGTAACGTTTCATTACGGACAAGTACCGAATTCAGACGGAAAGATAATCGAGATCGTGCGACGATCGCTTGTTGCGAAAGTCCGTGCGATCTCAGATTAGGCACTGATGGACAAACAAACAGAATAGACTACCCAAGCGAGCGGCCGTCCCGCAGCTTGCCGGAATAATGGCGGCTCGTCGCGCACGGAGGTCTCATTTGCCAACTGCTGGGCGAAAGTGGCTCGCAACTGATGCTCCAATTAAGATGTCGTAGGTGACAGATTGTGGCACATCATCAACACTTGTTTGCCAAGAATAAGAGGAACGGGGTGCAGTTATACAGCGGGATACGACGCAGCCGACGCAGCTGTAGCTATGACACAGGCGTTCAGTATGCAGGACGGCTAGGAAGCGGCGCGGCAGCTATAACGTAACAACCTGCCCAGATGACATGAGCACTGTGCGGCAGGAAGCTATCTCCGAGTCCCCCCATCATCAGTCTACCGTTCGGGACCGGAGGATACTACAGCGGTGAAACGAGCTTGAATCGCCAGAGATCTGCAACGACGACCCGGAGGTACACGGACAGACATACTACACGCACCTCGTTCTCGTCATTGACCAGACTCTTGCTGAACGTGTTACAGCGTTCATTGCACTGCTAGACCAACGTGTAGGAGTGAGACTCTGCATGCCAAGCCTGTGTCAACGCTCATAAGCCCGCAGTATGCGCCTACGTTACGAGAAGGGTATGACGGAATGCCTTCACTTGCTGACCAGTGGTGCCAGAAATACTCCACCGACCCTGGTTGACAGCGGGATGGCAGAGAGGCCTGCGCATCGCAGGATGAGGCGTTATAAGCTTTGCGCTGGAGACTGCGCTGTATAGCGTTCCTCCACCGTGACGCGAACTTTCAGTGAAACGATGGCTCAAAGCCAAACGGCTACGCGCCTCTGCTCAATGCCGAGCATTCCCATCCCGCCCTGCGCCACTATAAAACCGCGTCCGATCCGAGGAGCGTGCCGAACTGTGCCTGCGGCGACGTTCTCCCTACGGCGCGCGTGTCCTAGTGTGGTTTGGGTTCCGCACGTAGTGAGACATGTATGGTGCAGAACAAAAGCGGCGTCATGCCAGAGATGGGGCGCGTCGGCGAGGTGAGGTCCAAGGAGAGCATGAGCGGCCCACTACGACGTCTTGAGCCATAATCCAGTGAGCCTCCGATAGACCGCGGGTGCCCGGCTGCGGGTCCTGGGAAAAAGCCGACCATCGCTGCCGCCGGGGAATGGATGTCGAGATGCCCGTTGATCTAGACATCGGTACCAGATGAGCAAGCGGAGGTGTAAGATATCAATAATTGCGGCTTACAGGCGAACGGGGATAATGTACACGTCACTTGTAGCAGCTGATGCCGTTCAGAGAGAACGCGGTACTTTGTCACCGGCGCAGCAGAGAAGAACGTCAAAGCACCCGAGAATTGCGTCTGAACCCGGTGAGCCAATCGCTCACTTAGTGGAGAGAACGGCAGCAAGCATCATAGTTATCGTTCAAACTGCTCACGTCGATGCAGTAAGTGCTGGTACACGGACACTAAGTTCACTCGAGATTGATATCCAACTCGATCTCGGGTGAGTAGGACTTGAGCAAGATGTCCGGTAGTGATTTTCCGTCTAAGTGACCTCATGAGGTGGGTTTCAATGTGTTAGACTGTAAACCAATGCACTTCACCGTTGTACAGGACTGAAAAGACTCCGTAAGAATGAGGTTATAGCCGTTGACCAGTGCATCCTGAAAGCATGTTGCGCAAAAGTCGCGCACCGGGTACCGTGGGCGTCTGTCCCGATCAATTGATCGCAAGCGCGTCGCGGAAGCGCTGGTACCCCGCGTTGCTGTTTGCTGCTACCACCACCGACTCGCGTATACGCCCATAATCCGGATCGTTTGTGCGGTTGAAAAATCTCGTAGGCTGTGAAAATGTTTGACATAGGGAGACACAAAAAATGGATGTCCCTCAGCCTCGTTACGGTGAACTGCGTGCGCAGACCAATGCCGTCATAGAACTCTCTTCGCAGCCGCCATCACTTCCACCACCTCGGAGTCTGGAGTCCGGACTCTGCGATGCCTTCAAGGTTCTTGCATTCTATCATTCCACCCGCACACAGTCTATGAGCTTACCCTGTCCGCAGCTGTCTTTTGATGCGGACAGTCGGACGACGGAGGCTGGCTGAACGCCGTGGACGTCACTGACATCGCTCCTTGGCTCTCAGGCTCATAACTCTTCGCTTCTAGCATGGGTACTGCGCACACCTGACAGACCCTTCGGGAGGCGAACTCGAATGCAGCGTACTCTATCAAACCTGCAGGAAAGGTAGGGATGGACGCCGTGCACCAGCAACTGTCTCGCCACCAGCAACCATCCCTTGGATATGTCGCCACAAACCCGGTGTCTACAAGCGGGTATCTGTGCTGGTGAAGTGCTGTCTGCGGAACGGCGGTGCTCGCGCTTCTCCCGCCTGCGAACCGGCGGCGGCGAGCGACCAGAACCCGAACCAGTGTTAGTGCCCGACACCCGCGAGACATTTGTGCAGGGTGAGTTCTATTCTTTGGGAGACGGCGCTGCGCGTCGGCACTGAAAGCGTCGCAGTTAGGTGATGCAGCGGTCCGCGCTATTTTTGACGTCTGGCAGCTATCCTAAGCCGCGCCTCCATACGCCCCAGGCGCTCTCGTTTGCTATAGGTATAAATCCCTCAGCTTCAGAGCGTCGATCCTCATCCCACACGACACCCGTTTCAGTCTTCTCGTAGCGCATTCTCTAGCCGCCCAGCCTCCGCTTTCGTTTTCAACATGGGCAAGTTTCACTCTTTTGTGAACGTCGTCGCCCTTAGTCTTTCTTTGAGCGGTCGTGTGTTCGGCGCCATTGGGCCCGTCACCGACTTGACTATCTCTAACGCCGATGTTACGCCTGACGGCATTACTCGTGCTGCTGTCCTCGCGGGCGGCGTCTTCCCCGGGCCCCTCATTACCGGCAACAAGGTGAGCCGCGAAACCTTCTACTAGCGCGCTCGTACGGTGCACCGTTACTGAAGCCACACTTTGCGCTGTCAACAGGGGGATGAATTCCAGATCAATGTCATCGACAACCTGACCAACGAGACCATGTTGAAGTCGACCACAATCGTAAGGTGCTTGCTCCCATAATTAAGCCCGTCGCTGACTCGAAGTTTATCTGTAGCACTGGCATGGTATCTTCCAGGCCGGCACCAACTGGGCAGACGGCGCGGCCTTCGTGAACCAGTGCCCTATCGCCACGGGAAACTCGTTCTTGTACGACTTCACCGTTCCTGATCAAGCCGGTACGTTTATACACTTCCCTTTCTGCGGCATACTCTGACGCGCGGCTGGATCAGGCACCTTCTGGTACCACAGCCACCTGTCCACTCAGTACTGTGACGGCCTGCGCGGTCCTCTTGTGGTCTACGACCCCGACGATCCCAACGCGTCTCTTTACGACGTCGATGACGGTAAGCAGGCTACTTGTGGACTTGTATGGATGTATCTCACGCTCCCCTTCAGATACTACGGTTATTACGCTTGCGGACTGGTACCACACTGCGGCGAAGCTGGGCCCTGCCTTCCCGTGAGTCTACTCTTCCTCGTTTGTTAACATAGGCGACGGCCGCTGATACGAGAACTACCAGCGCGGGTCCGGATAGCGTCTTGATCAACGGTCTTGGTCGGTTCTCCGGCGATGGTGGAGGAGCGACAAACCTCACCGTGATCACCGTCACGCAAGGCAAACGGTGAGTCCGCCCTAAGCTGGCCTCAATAGCGATATTGACGAGTCCATGCCCTCCCAGGTACCGCTTCCGCCTTGTGTCGATCTCGTGCGACCCCAACTTCACGTTCTCGATCGACGGGCACAACATGACCATCATAGAGGTGGACGGCGTCAACCACGAGGCCTTGGACGTCGACTCCATTCAGATTTTTGCGGGGCAGCGGTACTCCTTCATCGTACGTTCCCTTGCCCTCGTGCTATATCCACCCGTCTGCTCACAGAGGCTTCTATTTCGCAGCTCAACGCCAACCAGTCCATCGACAACTACTGGATCCGCGCGATCCCCAACACCGGTACCACCGACACCACGGGCGGCGTGAACTCTGCCATTCTGCGCTACGACACCGCCGAAGAGATCGAGCCTACGACCAACGCGACCACCTCCGTCATCCCTCTTACCGAGACGGATTTGGTCCCGCTTGACAACCCTGCGGCTCCCGGCGACCCCCAGGTTGGCGGTGTTGACCTGGCTATGAGTCTCGACTTCTCCTTTGTGAGTCTAACAGTACTCCGTGCAGTTTCGCTTATTTACGCGGGGGTATCACTCAGAACGGTTCCAACTTCTTTATCAACAACGAGACCTTCGTCCCGCCCACAGTTCCCGTGCTCCTGCAGATTTTGAGTGGTGCGCAGGACGCGGCGAGCCTGCTCCCCAACGGCAGTGTCTACACACTCCCTTCGAACTCGACCATTGAGATCTCGTTCCCCATCATCACCACCGACGGTGCTCTGAACGCGCCCGGTGCTCCGCACCCGTTCCATCTCCACGGCGTAAGTCCTTGCTTTCCTCAGTGCCTCGCTTCCACGACGTCCACTGATCCCACACATCCCATGTGCAGCACACCTTCTCGGTGGTGCGCAGCGCCGGGAGCTCGACCTTCAACTACGCCAACCCAGTCCGCCGGGACACCGTCAGTACTGGTAACTCTGGCGACAACGTCACTATCCGCTTCACGGTACGTCTTCTCCGCAGCCCTCCCACCCGTGTGTCCGCTGAGCGCTGAACACCGCCCACCGTGCTGCTGCTGCGCAGACCGACAACCCAGGCCCGTGGTTCCTCCACTGCCACATCGACTTCCACCTGGACGCGGGCTTCGCCATCGTCTTTGCGGAGGACACTGCGGACACCGCGTCCGCGAATCCCGTTCCTAGTACGTCGTGCCTGCTGAGCTCTTTGTGCCCGTTCAGGGCGCTGATCGTGCCTTCCTCCGTGCAGCGGCGTGGAGCGATTTGTGCCCCACTTACGATGCTTTGGACTCGTCCGACCTCTGATCGACGAGGCATGAAGGCTGAAGCAGCTGCGGTCAATTCTCGTACACACTTTACTCGCACATTCATTTTTCTTTGGCTCGGGATCGGAACAAGTCATGCGGGGCCCGGACCGCCTTAACGTAGTACTCGATGTTTTAATCAAGCGGATGCTTCTCAGAATACACACACTGACAGCTCTTTGCGGCGATTGCGCACTGGTCATGTCACCGGTTATAGAGTGCGATGTTCTCATGGGACAGGTACTAATATCGAGGAAAGAATACGGAAGTCATCCTACTTATCCTGTACCCATCTGCGCAGTTGGCGTTGTCAACTGCAGAAGCTGTTTCCGAACCGATCGACCGACGAACGTAAAGCGTCGTGCCATGAGCTCAAGCCCGAGAGCAGCAGCCCTGCGCCGTTCCTAGAGTCCATACGACTGACAGCCCTTCGCGCTTCGGGAAGCAGGTAAGGAAAGCTTGGCGGAGGTTACGGAACCTTGCGTACCTGCGCGGTATGTCCGAGGTGTGCCGTGGCGCAGCGACCACGCGAGCCTCCGCCTCACCACAGCTTTCCGGACGCGCAGTCGGACCGCTCAGCGACCGCTCCCCGCGTCCGCGGCCCCGGGCGCATCGCGATCAGAATGCTGCATTGGGCCCGTCGCGACCCCCACTGGACGCGCTTCTTCTGCGCCAGTGGTTTGTTCCCGCCGTATTCCATTCATGCTTCCGCCATCAGTCCCGTGAGGAAAGGGAGTCTCGTTCAGCGTCGCGGAGACACGGCAGACTACGGCGCAGTAATGGCCCTGTGGTATTCTGACCTGGCCGAGGCTGATCACGACGTTGTGTATCTGAAGCTCTTTCAATGCCCTGAGGTCAGCCGGCTCGGAGCCGCAGTAGAGATAATCGTTCGCCCGCTCGGTTGCTACGTCAAACGAGACAGAGAGCGGGAGCGCCTCCTGCCCGATAGCACGCATCACGCACCTGCGCTGCGGAGGCATACGACCTGATTCGTCGTTGGACGGAGGAGCGGCGACCCTCCGGGAGCCCTACGGTATCCAGCGCAGCGCGTACCATCGGGACGTTGAAAGCAGCGTGTCCCACATTCTGATGCGGGGACGGTGCTGTGGTCGACGAAAGTCGAGGCGGTGATTCGCTGGCGACTCGCGAACCTGCTCAACTACTTTACCAATCTGGGATGTTGCGACGCGCAACGGCGTTTAAGCGCCCCCGCGTTATCCACGCATATCGTGGGAAAGCGAGCGGGCGGTTGCCGGAGTGCGCCATGCGGCCCCGGCTACTCACTGTGAATTCCGATCGGCTTGCCCTCACTCCTCCATGTTCCCCCGACCGAGCGGGCGCGTCAATGGCCCGTTTGCGAACACATATGCAGGATAAACAGTGCGAAATATCAATGTGGCGGCGACACGACCTCGCCGGCCGACACTCGACGCTGTTGATCATGATCATGTCTTGTGAGCATTCTATACGCAGCCTTGGAAATCTCAGGCGAATTTGTCTGAATTGCGCTGGGAGGCTGGCAGCGCAGATCGGTGTGTCGGTGCAGTAGCCGACGCAGCACCTGGCGGAAGCCGACATCTCGGGTACGACTTGATCTCCGCCAGATCACTGCGGTTCCGCCATCGGCCGCGGGGCCCATTCTGTGTGTGCGCTGTAGCACTGTGCATTCAGGCTCAACGTATCCATGCTAGAGGACCGTCCAGCTGTTGGCGCACGATTCGCGCAGAAAGCTGTACAGGCAGATATAAGGATGTCCGTCCGTCAGAGACTCGTCACTCACAAGCCTCTTTTCCTCTTCGCCTTTCCAGCCTCTTCCAACGCCTGCCATCGTCCTCTTAGTTCGCTCGTCCATTCTTTCTGCGTAGTTAATCATGGGCAGGTTCTCATCTCTCTGCGCGCTCACCGCCGTCATCCACTCTTTTGGTCGTGTCTCCGCCGCTATCGGGCCTGTGACCGACCTCACCATCTCCAATGCGGACGTTTCTCCCGACGGCTTCACTCGTGCCGCAGTGCTTGCAAACGGCGTCTTCCCGGGTCCTCTTATCACGGGAAACAAGGTACGTGGCATGCGTTCAGTCTACACCCTACAAGCCTTCTAACTCTTTTACCACAGGGCGACAACTTTCAGATCAATGTTATCGACAACCTCTCTAACGAGACGATGTTGAAGTCGACCTCCATCGTACGTGCTTCTACTGTTTCTTAGTCTTGGCAATGGCTCAAGGTCTCCTCCGCAGCATTGGCACGGCTTCTTCCAGAAGGGTACTAACTGGGCTGATGGAGCTGCCTTCGTCAACCAGTGCCCTATCGCGACGGGGAACTCTTTCCTTTACGACTTCACCGCGACGGACCAAGCAGGTCAGTGCCTGTGGCGCTTATGTTTTCCCGTAATCAGCAGCTAACACTCCGCACCCACAGGCACCTTCTGGTACCACAGTCACTTGTCTACGCAGTACTGCGATGGTTTGCGGGGCCCGATGGTCGTATACGACCCGAGTGACCCGCATGCGGACCTTTACGACGTCGACGACGAGACCACGATCGTCACGCTCTCTGATTGGTATCACACCGCCGCTTCGCTCGGTGCTGCTTTCCCGTCAGTTTGCCCCTGCGCATAGAGTTCGAACCAGATCTAAACGTACTACTTTCAGGATTGGCTCGGACTCTACCCTCATCAACGGGTTGGGCCGTTTCGCCGGTGGCGACAGCACTGACCTTGCGGTCATCACGGTTGAGCAGGGCAAGCGGTGAGTGCTATCCCCTACAGTTGGCACTGTCCCCTTATTGACAGTACTCTCAGCTACCGTATGCGTCTTCTCTCGCTGTCTTGCGACCCCAACTATGTCTTCTCCATCGACGGTCACAACATGACCATCATCGAGGCCGACGCTGTCAACCACGAGCCCCTCACGGTCGACTCCATCCAGATCTACGCCGGACAACGTTACTCCTTCGTCGTACGTACTCCGGACAGTCATGATCACGCCCAGCCCGATGCTAACCCGCCTACGCTCAGCTTACTGCTGATCAGGACATCGACAACTACTTCATCCGTGCCCTGCCCAGCGCCGGTACCACCTCGTTCGACGGCGGCATCAACTCGGCTATCCTGCGCTACTCTGGTGCCTCCGAGGTTGACCCGACGACCACGGAGACCACGAGTGTCCTCCCCCTCGACGAGGCGAACCTCGTGCCCCTTGACAGCCCCGCTGCTGTACGTTGCATCCTGCACTTGTGAGGAGCGCACATACTAACACGCTGTTGTAGCCCGGTGACCCCAACATTGGCGGTGTCGACTACGCGCTGAACTTGGACTTCAACTTCGATGGCACCAACTTCTTCATCAACGACGTCTCCTTCGTGTCCCCCACGGTCCCTGTCCTCCTCCAGATTCTTAGCGGCACCACCTCCGCGGCCGACCTTCTCCCCAGCGGCAGTCTCTTCGCGCTCCCGTCCAACTCGACGATCGAGATCTCGTTCCCCATCACCGCGACGAACGCTCCCGGCGCGCCGCATCCCTTCCACTTGCACGGTGTACGTGTCCCATCTCATATGCTACGGAGCTCCACGCTGACCGCCCTATAGCACACATTCTCTATCGTTCGTACCGCCGGCAGCACGGATACGAACTTCGTCAACCCCGTCCGCCGCGACGTCGTGAACACCGGTACCGCCGGCGACAACGTCACCATCCGCTTCACGGTACGCAGCACTCTCCTAACATTCCCACTGCGCGATCACTGACTCCTCGCCCACAGACTGACAACCCCGGCCCCTGGTTCCTCCACTGCCACATCGACTTCCACTTGGAGGCCGGTTTCGCCATCGTCTTCAGCGAGGACACCGCCGACGTCTCGAACACGACCACGCCCTCGAGTACGTTGTGCTCCCCTGCCCATCTCCGCGCGCCTGACTAACGAGCACCCCTTACAGCTGCTTGGGAAGATCTGTGCCCCACGTACAACGCTCTTGACTCATCCGACCTCTGATCGGCTCAAAGGGTCGCTCGCTACCTGACATAGGTAGACTTATGCACCGGACATTATCTACAATGGACTTTAATTTGGGTTAACGGCCGTTATACACACGCGCACGTAGTATAAAGGTTCTATGGATTGGTCGGACCTACAGACTGCAATTTTCGTGACCTATCAACTGTATATTGAAGCACGACAGTGAATGGAAATAGAGACAACTTGTTGAATCATCTGCAGCTTTGCCAATCCATCTATCCCGCGTACCCTATCTCTATGGTGAGCTTCAAACTTGGGAAACTCGGAAAGCATACCTTGGTACGAGCGTGGGTTGTGTCCGAATATCCTTCACAGTATTTCGCGGTCGAGGCTTGAGCTTGAAGCTTGAAGGGCCAGAGTCCTTAGACATGGACGTAGGGCGAGTGACCGACTGACTGGTACCCGATCGAACCTGGGGTGGAATTGATGCATATGGGTCCCTATTGTTTTTCGATTCTGGAGAGACTCTGTTAAGCACAAGAATAAACATCCAATGCTTGCGATCTAACCAAACAAGCCTATAGCAACCGTACGTAGCATCCTGATCCCGTCACAATTTCCTGAACCAGCCACTTCTGCTCTTCCATAAGATCACGCCATGACATATAAATATCGCGCTCATATCCCTAGCGCATACGACTCTATGTATACCCAATCATCCCAGGCAGAACAAACATACCCAAAGACTTTACCTATACACCGCCCGATGGCTAGGGCCCGACAACATGTTGCCATGCACCCTGTCCGCGTCGATTAATCTGCGCACGTTATAAGACCCCTCCCCCTCGACCATCCTAAAGGTATCCTGCGCGCGCCTCGCCCAATCCATCGCTATGCCCAGCTCCCCATAGACGGTGAGCACTTGACTGCCATACAACAACGCCTTCGCGCGCTCGACTACCATCCCCTCCTCCTCCGTCCACTCCAGCGCGCGCTCCAGCTCCTCTTGCGAAACACAGGGCGGAAATCGCGCGTGCTGCAGGTGCTCTAACAGGACGCACACTCCCACGCGGCGCGCGTCGCTCGCCTCCGCCTGACGAGGAGGTACGATGCACGCCGGGCACGCACAGACAAAGAAGCGCGTGCGGGCGAGGAACGCGCGCCGCTCGATGCGCGGCGCGGCGAGCGGCGTGTATGTGATGGTGATCTCCTCGCCCGCGCCGATGTCGCGCGCCGCCCAGAGCTGCCCGGAGAACGCGGGGAAAGCGAAGTAATAATTCGCGGAGGGCGCGCACGAGTGGTTCACGCGCGAGAGCGTCGGGAAGAGCCCGGCGTAGGAGTCCTCCACAGGGTCGTGGTGAATATCTGGCTCCGCGTCGGACATGCGGATTTCGAGGCAGTTCGTGTTGAGGATGCTGGGTACAACGTCGAACTCAGAAGGCGGATAGGCCGAGGCGAGAGCGAAGAAGGCCTCCTTCGAAGTTGCGGAGAGACGCCCCAAGGCCGCGCGGTAGAAGGTGCCGTTCCCGTCGGTTTGGTCTGATGCACAGGTGAGCGTGCGGCGGGCAGCGTAGATGGGGCGCTCCGACCAGATCAGCTCTCCCGCGTGAATGTCCCGTCGCGCGACCATGCCTTTTCCCTTGTCCGGTACGTCCTCGACGATGAACGCACGCTCGTCAAGTGAGGCTGGGGATGCATCTGGTTGGGACCAGATAGGCCATTCGGTGACTCCGCGGATGTTTTGGTAGTAGTCCACGATGACCATGTCGGCACGGCCTACTGGAAGATAAAGGAAACAGGGTGCACCGTCGTACCTCATATCGGAGACGACGACCAGCGGGTTTGTGGAGACGACGCGTGTAGTATCCAGCGAGTGGGGCAGCATCATTGATGTATGTGTCGACCATCGTTGGGAATCGTCCAGGGGGTTTGGCAAACTGCCTTGTGCCACAAGGGATCATGTCACTAATGAATGCGCCCACACACGCCGCTGTCGCCGACTTACCCGGATCGCGTGTGTGCCTCTCGTCCATTCGGCTGGCGTCCACAGTGTAATGACCTGGGAAGCCGGAGGCAACGAAAAGCCTGGGCGGAGCTCGAGAGGGAAGGAGAATGTGCAACAGGACAATTTTCGCTCCTCGCGCAGGGGCAGGCGGTACTCCATAGTGGATGCGGGATGATGAAAGAGAGTTGATACTATAAGGGCATATCGCTTTATAGCACCCAGAGAGTCATCCATACCGTGATCGCGAGCAATACGCACACATAGTTGGGTGATTGAGCGGTCAAAGTCGCTTGCCAGCATCAGGGGGCTGATTGAACATTCGAAATGTGCCGCTTGATCGCCTTCCAACCCGTGGATGGGTTGGGAAGAATGCATCAAGCAACGTCTCCCAATCGGCTCGGTCGTAGCCGAGCCCGATGGTGAGCGTTGACTGACGTGAGGAGCACTGAGGACATTACGGGGACCTTGCTTCTCTTCGGTTTTATTTTGGACGGCGGGATATGACAAATACACGCACCGTCAAGGCCTGCCCTTAGCTGTCGTCCACACGCGCATTGGAAATTCGCGGCGGGCTTGAAGAGATGCGCGCACAAGCCAGACGTTCTCTGGACAACCCTTGAACGTATCGCGAGGGTCCAAGAAGATCTGGCCTACCTTGGAACCAATATCGACAATCACAGTGATGCTCGATATGTGGATCTGAAAGGTGACGGATGCTCCCGGTGAATCTTTGGCGTACCGTGATATAATGACAACATCTGGGACAATGTGGCCGAGGGGCCGAGCCCGACGAAAGCGGGGGTCGGAAGTTGAAGGAATTGGCTTTGAGAGAGTGGCCAACCAGGATGACTCGCTGCTTGCATGATACGAACTCGGTGATGCGAGCCCATAGACTCCTCCGAGCGACGCTTTAGAACGAGAGCAAGACAGCCTCAGACGCGCGCAGATCGATCCCCGCATCCAACGCAACATGCTCCATCACGACGGAGCCAGAAGGGAGCCCGTCCGACGTCTCGTAGCTCTGTCCCGCCCAAGTCAACCCGGCAGTATCGTCCGCGTGCTGAACCACCACCCTGCGCGCGGTCGCCCCACGGCTCCAGAACGCGTTCACGTCGCTCTGCGCGTCGGACGCGGCGACCTTCGCGAAGTCCAGATCGATGTGAACAGAGGGGCGGGGGCCGGTGCTGCTCGCGAGCCATGCGTGGAGGTTGATGAAGACGGCGCGGACGAGCTTGCCGTTCTCGAATGCAGCGTACCCGGACACGTTGGAGTCGTCGACGGGGAGCTCGACGATCTGCGATTGCTTGCCAGCAGTGATGCCAATGAACGTATTGATCGCGAGACCAGCGTAGTAGCTCGGCTGGACATGCGGGGGCGAGGGAGGGTTCATAGGGGAGCCGTCGACTATGGAGCGGTTGAGCGCGACGGGTTGAATCTGTAGCCATCGTCATAATCTCACTAGACGGGTCGAGATAAATCACTTACGAAGTTGTACTTGTAGCCCACGCCTTCGTGGAAATATGCTTCTTTGATACCCAGAGTAGCAGCCTGGAGCGTATAGTCGATCGCCCATAGAGCGGCTCCCGCGGTGTTGCTGACACCGGGGGCGCCGTGACATCCGATACTGTTTGTTTCCCTGAGGAAGTCGCAACGTAAATCAGATTATGTTGCCCCCAAAAAGGTAAGAGAGTGGGCGTACCCAAGGATGTAGGTGAGCCCCTGCGCCTGGGTCGCGGCAATGTCGGCCTCGAACATCGACAAGTTCCCTCTGATAGCGGTCTTGCTCATGAACGAGACCAGGGGGAAATCGCCTCCGTTGCAAAATGCGGCGGAGTATAGATGTTGGGATATACTTTACGCGCGCGGGATGATCAGCGAATGTGACCTACGAATAGAAGCAAATATCTAGACGTACGTAGAAATAGCCTTCCCGGGCGCACTGTCCAGGATCCCAAGAGCAAAGAGCTCCCGAGGAGTGAACCACGGGCTAGCAAACGCAGCGCCCTGCAGCGACACCGGACCGTCGCGCCCTGTGATCCCGGCAGCCTCGACCACCGGCCCAGCGACGGAGATCCAGTCGGGAACGTAATCCTCCACCGTCCAGTTGCTGGGGCGAAAGCCGTTGAGCTTGTAAACGTCAGCTTCGTTGCCAACTTCGATGCGCTCGAGGACGACGCCAGACGCTTTGACGGCTTCAGTGCGGAAAGCCCCGACGATGGCTTTGGCCATGTTGACCGCGTTGGTGATGTTGTCGGCGCCAAGGTTAACGCCCCAGGTCATCCGTGTGCCGTGGGGGAGGAAACGTGACAAAGCGTAGTACGCATTTCCGACGGTGATGCTCGTCGCTTCGGGGTAAGGTGTTATGGTGTTCGCGGGAGGGAACGAGCTGTCTTCAATCGTGACCGTGGGCGGCCAGAACGTGTGGTCTTCAGAATCGGCGCCCACGCGGATATTGGGAGGTTGGCCGGTCAGCGCCGCGTAGTTCAGAAGCGCGTTGTGGGTGAATTCGTTGCGTGAGTCTACGCCAGTCCATTCGGGCCAGCGATCTTGCTCGATAGAGAAAGACAGCAACGTCGGCAGTAGTTCCTGGGAGTTGCCAGGCGCAGAGATGGGGACCGAAACATTGAGAGCTGAGACCAAGTTGACTAAGAACGTGAACGCGTAGGCTGCGCTCAGTAGAAGATGGTGGAAGTGGATCATGTCGGAAGGTTGAGGGTGAGGGGCCAAAGGGCCAGGGAAGGGACACACCTCTTATATCGCGGCGGATGGACAGAGGAAGCTCGCTGCGTGTCAGGGACGGCGCGGGGATGCAGTCACCTGGCACGACGGCTCTTGTGCATCGCGCGGCCAAACGTCACCAAGTGAGACAGCTGGAAACGTCGAAGCGCTCCAGCGGAGGCAATCTCTGCGAAGGCGCAGTCCCAACGGCTGTATCTCCGTCCCATGCAAGGGCACCCTGTTCGCGAAACGGCATGCGCGGCGCCGCAGGAAGCCTCTTACGGAGAATCTGCACTCTAGGCCTACCACGGGGTCGGATGTAGGTCTACAGCTCGTCAGTGAGGCTCTGCGGAGAATGATGGGTGGACGACGAGGTCACATCGCGTATAAAATTGACCTTTTGCAGTACGTTCAGGTGGCCTATCAGAGCTGTCGGGGAGTAGAAGAATGAATGAACTCCGGGCCGTTGAATTACAGCTCTGCGATGTGTGCGGTCTAATGGGTGTGCTGTCAGCATTGCGTCAGTAAGACATCTGGCCATGTATAATCGATCCTCACTGGATGAAAGTGGTCGTGCGGCGAGAAGTTGCTGAGATGACGACTGTGTAGCAGTGTAAACAGTGCGAGGGGTATTCGGGCATTGAGAGACGCAAGGTGCAGCACTGTACAAAGCACGGTGGTTGACCCGGCAGCGTAAAAACAGCTGCAGAGTATTCCCGCTTAGTAGCAGACACGGTAGCGGGCTCCGAAGTCCGAACCGCTGACCTACCTTGGGTGGTCATTCAAATCTATTCAGGTAGCGTAGGCTGATGAGTGTCTCGAAGTCAGAAGTACATATCTGAGTATGTTGGGGCTCAACCACTTGCGAGTGGGTGAATATATCTGATCGTATATGCCAAGTATTTCTTGTATTTTGCAGCAGTTTCCTTTGTTAGATTGTGTGTGTGATGTTGCAGTGGTCCTCAAAAGAGCTGGTTGTGGGCTGAGCCAGGTATGCCGGCGACGTTGGCAGTGATAGAAACCCTCGGTCCGAGTGTGGTCAGTAGCATGATGTCCGAGTCACTTTACCGCGATCTTATGCTCCGCCTAAACTCCGCTGTCATTAAAATGAAACACAGATGGGCTCACTCAACGGCTAGGTCACAACGGAGCCTAAATATTTGTAACGCCGCACCGTGCAGCTGAGTGAAGTCGTGGACATCTCCGAGTGTAGCACGGAACTTTATCTGCTCTTTGCTACCTGTCTCGCCACGAACGCGTCTACACACCCCGGTCATTCATAGGGCTTCCACAGTGGTTGCGATTATCTGGGAACCCGTGTGTAGCCAATTGCCTCCGCACAGTGCGCCAATTAGCGGGGAACAAGGTATCGGGCTCGGAAGGATTTGAGGCGGCAATAAGACTTCGCTCCCTCCTTCGAGTCTCTTGAATGGCAGGATATGACAAACGTACGTACCGTTGAGGTTTCGCGTGCATTGGAATACTAGGCGGGACTGAAAAGGCGTGCGCGCACCGGAAAGTGACATTCAGATCCCTGGGAACCGGATCGTCATACCGTGTTTAAAATTACAACATAAGATCAGAAACGATGTCTGTGAATCTTCGGCGAGTCACCTGAACGATCGAGGACCGAATCCGACGAAATCGCGAGTCGAATGGCGAAGGGTTGGCGCTAAGAGAGGGACCAACTAGGATGGTTCGTTGCTCGCTTGACACGAGCCCGACAAAAGCCCAACGCGAGTCAATGAACTCCTCCCAACGATGCTCAGAACGAGATCAAGACAGCCTCCGTCGAGCGCAGGTCGATCCCCGCATCCAGCGACACCTTCTCGACCACCACCCGACCAGACGGGTGCGCGTCCGCCGTCTCATAGCTCTGCCCCGCCCACGTCAACCCCGCCGTATCATCCGCGTGCTGGATCACCACCCTGCGCGCGGTTGCCCCACGGCTCCAGAACGCGTTCACGTCGCTCTGCGCGTCGGATGCGGCGGCCTTCGCGAAGTCGAGGTCGATGTGCACGGAGGGCCGGGTCCCGGTGCTGCTCGCGAGCCACGCATGGAGGTTGATGAAGACGGCGCGGACGAGCTTGCCGTGCTCGAACGCGGCGTAGCCGGAGACGTCGGAGTCGTTCACTGCGAGCTCGACGATTTGGGAGGTTTTGGTGCTGCCGATGAAGGTGTTGATTGCGAGGCCGGCGTAGTAGCTGGGCTGGACGTGGGGTGGCGAGGGAGGGTTGAGGGGATAGTTGTCGACTATGGAGCGGTTGAGCGTGATGGGTTGGATCTATCGCCAGCTATCGTTAAGACCCCGTTGTACAGATATAAGGAAATCGCTTACGAAATTGTACTTGTAGCCCACGCCCTCATGGAAGTACGCCTCCTTCATACCCAGAGTCGCGGCCTGGAGCGTGTAGTCGATCGCCCATAGTGCGGCGCCTGCGGTGTTGCTAACGCCCGGGGCTCCGTGACACGCGATGCTGTTCGTTTCGCTGGAAAAGGTACAGCTTGGTTCAGGACATGTTGTCGCTAAAAGACCGGGATGATGAGCGGACGCACCCAAGGATGTAGACGAGACCCTGGGCCTGCGTTGCAGCAATATCGGCTTCATAGATCGTCAGATTCCCTCGGACGCCGGTCTTGCTCATAAAGGAGACAAGCGGGAAATCGCCGCCATCGCAAAATGCGGCGGAGTATTGATGTTGGGAAATGCTTTTATAAGCGCGAGTAGGTTAGCTTTCGTGATCTCCTGACGCGAAGAAAATATCTGGACATACACGGAGATAGCTTTCCCGGGCGTGCTGTCGAGAATCCCGAGAGAGAAGAGCTCACGAGGAGTGAACCCGGAGCTGGCAAAGGCCGCGCCTTGCAACGTGACAGGACCGTCGCGCCCAGTGATCCCGGCAGCCTCTACCACAGGCCCTGCGACGGAGATCCAGTCAGGGACGTATTGCTGCACCGTCCAGTTACTAGGACGAAGGCCGTTGTTCTTGTAGAGGTCAGCCTCGTTGCCGACCTCGATCCGCTCGAGGACGACACCGGAGGACTTCACAGCTCCAGTACGGAACGCCCCGACGATAGCTTTGGCCATATTGACTGCGTTGGTTACGTTGTCGGCGCCGAGGTTGACGCCCCATGTCATCCGCGTGCCGCGGGGAAGGAAGCGCGACAAGGAGTAGTACGCGTTCCCCACGGTGATGCTCGTCGCTTCGGGGTATGGCGTAACGGAGTTTGGAGGAGGGAACGAGCTGTCTTCGATCGTAACCGTGGGCGACCAGAACGTATGGTCTTCGGAATTGGCGCCTACGCGGATATTGGGAGGCTGGCCGGTCAGCGCCGCGTAATTCAAAAGCGCGTTGTGGGTGAATTCGTTGCGAGACTCGACACCAGTCCAGTCGGGCCAACGATCTTGCTCGAGAGAGAAAGACAGCAGTGTCGGCGATAGTCCCTGGGAGTTGCCAGGCGCAGAGATCGGTATGGAGACATTGATGGCTGAGACCACATCGAGTGAGACAGAAAGCGCGGAAGCTATCGCTAGGAGACGCAGCTGGAAGGGACCCATGGCGGCAGGTATGGGTGAAGAGGCCAGAGAGTCGACTGAGGATGCGCAGAGTTTATATTGCAGTGGACAGGCCGAGGAAGCTCGCTCCGTGTCAGGGACGGTGCGGAGGTAGTCATCTGCCACGACCGTTCTCGTGCATCGCGCCGTCAGACGTCATCAAGTGAGACAGCTGGCGAGCGTCGGAGTACGCCAACGGAGGCAATATCAGCGTCGATGCAGGCATGACGGCCGTACTCCCGCCCCGTGCAAGGGCCTCTGGTTCGAGAAACCCGATGCTCAGCGCACATGGAAGCGTCTTACGGAGATCTCGCGCTCTGGGCCCTGAGCCGGGTCGGAAATAGGCCTGTAGCATGTGTCGCCGCTCGTCAGAGATGCTCGAGAGAGAATGGAGGGACAATGAGCTCACATCGCGCACAGCGAAATAGAGGTCATGGTCGTCGTCAGTTGACCTTGGTGTCCGGCGCGCTCAGCGCTCGTCCATCAGAATCCTCGCGGGCGTCGGCGCGTCAGGGTGAGGATGGAGCTGGCCGGGCCGTAACATGCCAGTGTGAGCGCCGCTCCTTCTCCCATGGCCCAGCGGGAATGCCGTCAGCTTCGCACAAACGTGAACATGGCACAGAGTCCGAAGGCTGTCTGCGTTACAGGTGCAGACGTTCGCGTCCTATGTGCTGCGCCCCTCGGCGAGACACGAGTAATACGGTGTGCGCACCTTTGATGAGAGATGGATGAAGCGTCGTTTACCAGTGACGACAGTACTCAGTAACCCTTAACATGCTAGTACTTGATAGAATGCCTATCGCGTTTCGGAGATGGTGGTGTGTAGACAGGTCGAGATCCTGCAGCCGAGCGAACCTTCAAAACATGTGCACCGCCACGTGGCGCGCACGCGCGACATGCATATGAGTACTGGCATTGAGGTTGATCTACAACATCCAGCACTACCCCACACCCACAGTCAGCATTTAAACCAGGAGTGCAAGCTAAGTATGAATGCAGGCGAGTGTATCAAAACGCAAATGAGCAACGGTCCGACCGTCTTCACTGGGCTAGTTATTTAAGGTTATCCTGCTGTCGACTCGGAGTCGGTGAGCGCCGTCGTGTCACTTAGCTGCTGTGGCTCACCTCCCCCTCCCCCCACGCACTCGCAATTCGAACGAGGGCTCTCAGCCCGTCGCCTACTACGCTACAACTTGACTGTCTCTCCCGTAGGCCCTCTAGCGACACCGGCAGTGGCAACAAATGTCGATCTCATCTGTCGTAAACGACGACGTTCTCTATCACATCGCGTCGCTGTGCCATAAAAAAGAGGCTCTCCTCGCACTCATCATCACCTGTCGGGCAGCGTTCCAAGATTTCGCCAAACTTCTCCTCGTGGACGATGTGCAACTACGTTCGGAGAGCCAGCTTATATCGTTCCTCTCTTGGGTCTCAAAAGACTCGCTGCATCGCGCACCGTTCATTCGGGGCCTCCTCATCTCCAACATCCCCCTCCATCATACACCGTTCTCCGTGGCCACAGGAGAGAGACTCACGAATCTCTTCGACTCTCTTCGTTCTGTCCTGGCCCTGCGACGTTTGTCGTTTCAGGATGCCGAGCTCATCTTGGACTCACATCCCAACTTAGCAGCCTCTATCTCTAGGCTCACCACGATCACCGATCTCACACTCATACCCGCAGGCCATCGTTGCTCTTGGCTACTGCAATCCACCCTGTCCCGTCTCAAGTACGTGCATCTCGTCATCGATGACACGGACGGCCGGGGGGAGGAAGTGGGTCAGAGCTCCGCGCATGTCCTCGCGGCGCATTCCACGAGTCTCCTGCAGCTCCACTGGGTGTCGACGTGGACGCTGGCCATTCCAGGGAGCCCTCAGTTTCTCAATGTCTTGCACCTCTCCGTGGGCCCGTCCATGGACCCAATCATAGAGGACTACCTCCTCGCCTTCCCCAACCTCCAAAGCCTCAAGGTCGTCAATCTCGACTGGGACGACACAGTTACGATGATCACGCCTCATCGCGAAAGGAACATCGGAGTCCAGAGACGCACCGGGACGTGGACCCGTCTTCGCGCTTACGAAGGTTCCCCTCGCTCTCTGTATGCTTTTGGGTTGGCCTTCCACATCCCGGAGCTGCGTTTTCCTGACATCTGTCACTACCTGGATCTAGACGCACTTCGCATAGCTCTGGAGGACGCGCAGCCGACCACATTGGCATTCTCCATATCTAAGTCGCCTGGCAGGTGGTTTTATAATCCGGAGGCCGTCACAGTCCTTTCGGGGGCGAAGACCGTACGTAACCTCGAGATCAACCTGTGCGCCTGGGAAGAGGAAATGGAAATTGGCTTGGAACCCCTCATGGTACGTACTTCTCGCGTTCCTATCATCCATTGGGGATGGCCGTACCCATTTGCGTTTAAACAGGACGCGATTGTGCAGATTCTGGCAGCACTTGATCGTGTCGTATCATTCTCACTACTGCTCGACCTCCAATTGCTGGACAAGTTGGCGACATTTAAACAGAAACCGAACAGGGGTCGGCGCCCGTCCGAGAGACTCACCGAAGGGATCGACTACCTTGCCTTCGCTCGCCGATGTACGGCGGCGGGGAAAGCTCTTCGAAACGTTCGGGTATCTCAGAAGGACGGCCGGAGCCAGGAGTCTGACGTGGTTGTCCATATTGACCTTCAAGGAGAGGCATCTTGAAGGAACGCGCTGTACTAGGTGTGCGAAGATTTCTGACTAGGATGGTATTCGCAACATGACTAACTGCGAGCTGAAAAGTAGATTGTCTGTCGATACATTGAAATAATCGGGGGCTGCGATCCACCGTATCTCACTCGTCTTCCTCATCAAGGATAGCCTTCAGCGCCGGATCCTTTTCTATAGCCCTCAGGAGACGCCGCACCACGCGCCCCAGCTCCGCGTCCCTCTTCGACAGCCGAGGCACCGCGCGCGCATCCTCCCTCTCGCCCTCATCGACCTTCCAAAAATCGCCCGTCGCGAGCGCGAGCACGACGTGCGTGCCCTGCCCCGCGGACACGGTCATGTCGACGAGCGTGAAGCGCTCCGGGTGCGTCTGCACCTTCTCGATGAGCGCCTCGTTGCGCGCCTCCGCGTTCGGCGTCCCGTCGCGGTGCCGCGCGAGCGTGTACGTGCGGATGTCGCGCAGCGCGTACTTGGGCGGGCGCGTCGTGTGGTCGATCGCGATGACGAAGAAGTGCAGCGGGGTGTCGGGGAAGTCGCGGCGCGCGAGGGCGCGTAGCTCGGCGAGGTGTGCGTGCGCGTCGAACATGGAGAAGTAGTGCAGGAACTGGTAGTCACGTTTGGTTACGGGCGCGGCCTGTCCCTCTGGTGTGGGGTTATATTGACTGAACTTTGCGACAAAGTGGGGCGTGCTCACCCATTCGCTCACGCTGCTTCAGCTTGCACATGGTTTTGTGGTCGCCTTCCTTCCAGGCTGTTGCTTGGCAGTCCTGTCACGATACTGAGCTGACGTCGAAGGCCTCGGGTAGGAGATCACGCACCTTGGAGCAATAGAAGGTGTTGAGGCATGCCGAGCAGCGGCGGAACTGCTCCCTAGGACCGATTCTATGACACTGAGGGCAGTTGTGAGTTGACGGTGTCGATACGAGAACCTTCGGTCGTACCTTTACGTTGTCGCAAGTGGTACCGTTCCCCTTCTGAGTATCGATCTGGGCCAACACGAATATGCGCTCCTGCGCGAACTCGTAGAAGCGCTTCCAAGAAGATCCTAGGATACTCTTCTCAACGCGCGCCTTGTGCGATCCACGGTCGATCTTGATCAGAGCCGAGTCCACCGCCTGGATGACAGAGCGGTAGATGAGGTAGCGCGGAAGGATGTCGTCCACGATGTCCTCGATCATGGTGTAGTCGTCCGGGTCCAGGTCGGAGAAGCGGGGGCTGCAGTCGCACAGTGCCTGCAGAAGGCCCGCGTTGACGGATTGCGCGACCCACGTGAAGCCGTCGGTGGACTCAAGGCAGTTTCGCAGGTAGCCAAACCCGGAAATCATGGCGTCCAAGAAGCCGGGGTCTGGGGAGATGTTGACCGTGACGGAGAGCTGCACGAGTGCCGCAGTAACAATCCAGATCACGTTTGCGCTGAGGAGAGCGTGGCGCAGGGGGTGGGCGGAGACGCGCGAGATGGAATTGAGGAAGTCCATGTAGATCGTGAGATGTGTGGCGTTGAGTTGCCGGCCCTTGAGAGCAGCCTGGAGACGTGTGAGGGCGAGCTTCGCGACTTCGTCCGCCTTGTTGCCGGTCATCCGGAGCACGCGGTCGAGGGTCTCCTTGTTGGCGAATTTGAGCAGGTTGCCTAGGACGCAGCTTCCCGCGGGAGCGTCTAGTGTCGAAGGAATTGGTTGGCCATCCTCTTCAAGCCAGAGACGGGTGGCGATCTCGACCGTCATCGGTGTCTTCAGCATCGCTTCGCGGATGACATCGCGGCTCTCGATGCAGTACCAGAATGAAGACAGAACGTCGAGCGCCCCGCGTCTCCGGGTGTTTGTACGGTCCAGTCCTTCGATCCGGGAGGAGTAGATGAAGACGCTCCATTTGTAGATGCCAGGCCAAGCGTTCGCGAGCTGCCGAACCAACGGCCCTTCTTCAGGCAGCATACCGCCAAACTTGCTGATCCCGAGCATGGAAGCAAAAGCACAGTTTGCGGGATCTGTGAATTGTGAGGTCGTGTCCTTCGGCACGCGATCTTCCTGGAGATGGGTCAGGAAGACGTCCATGGCATCCTTCAGAGAGATCTTGGCCGCGGGCATCGTCCAGCAGTTGCTGAAGACCGTGATTTCAGCGGGAGAGCCTCTCCGTGCTGCAGCCATGAACTGTGCGGCGATCTTGGTTAGATACGATATATACTCTGACCACGATGCGCAACACCAAATGTCCTCGGCAAGGGCGTCAGTGCGGAGCGTCTTTTTTCTCTGTGAAACTAGGATGTCCTGTATATTCCGGCGCCGGCATGGGTGCTCTTCCTACTCCCGCTCTTGGCGAGGACATTCGGCAGGCGCATCGTGCGCAACGTGCTTACTTGCACTCTTCGGGTTTTGGATCATTTTCTTTTCTAAGAGTCGGAATTGCGCCTCTGTGTTCGCCATCTCTGAAAGTCATTCGGATCAGAATATCGCGTCCTATCATCTCAAGCTATTGGTACTTACTGATAAATCAGCGGGGTTGGCTGTACGATACAAGAAGGAGCCGGGGTACCTTCTCTGGAAACTTGAAGTCGGAACGGTAGCACATATATTAGGCGCTCATAAAGCTTGCCGACGCGATGCCGTAGCGATAACGTGGCGACTCGTGAGCGCCACTTGAGCGCCCCGCTCGCTCTCCACCACGACCACCACGGGCGTTGAGTCGAGGCGGCAAGAGGCTTGAAGCGGGTTTCAAACCATTCATCGGGTGCGCACACCTATTATAACTCATAGTAACAAATAAGAACACATACCGTTTTCTATCTCCTAGCTCGCTTGTTTCATTGTTCGGAGAGAAATCCAACATGCACACCCTGCCGGGTCAATCAGGCATGAGGGAGCACCGCCTTTGCCCTTAGCTCAGGACCCATGCGATTGGGTATCTGTATCTCTAAGCTGGCCCAGTTCAGATTCTAAGGGCGGTGGTGCGCACGACCCGGTGAGAACGCGGCTCGATAAGAGGGTTTTGGGGCTGGTCAGAAGGTCCGCGGCACTTATGAATAGGTCGTCATGCGGGACGCCGCGGGTATCGAGAAGCAGGTTGAGTGAGCTATATACTCGTCCATCTCATGACGGCGACTCCACGCTCGTTGGCGAAACCCACATTCATAGTCGACGTCGATCATGCCTGGTCTGACGACTTTCCCACCGTTTCCGGAAGGTATCCCAACGCACCCGTTACTCGTCATTGACTATCAGCTGGTGAAAGCTGGCAACGAAGAAGAGATTGAGAAACTGTGGAAGGCGGCCACCGCACTCGGGTTTTGGTAGTGAGTGACCTCTCTTCAATCGTGGGCCAAGTTTGTCCTAACGTCTTGTGAAGTCTCAAAAACCATGGCGTTGACGACGAGGTCGACGCAATGTTCGACATGGGCCGCGAGACTCTTGCTTTACCGCTCGAGGAGAAAATGAAGTACGAGCAAGGCGACCAGGGCTTCTCGTTTGGGTGAGTGTCCTTACGGTGGCACCACGTACTCCTTGTATCGCTGACCTAAATGCACTTGATTTTAGTTACAAAGCTGCCGGGGTCCAGTTCATGGATGACAATGGCACGCGCGACGTGACTGAGTTCCTCAACATCTCGAAGGACGACGCTCTCGCGTGGCCCACTCCCTTCCACCGAACGTACCCTTCTACTGTCGATGCACGCATGGAATCTACCATCAAGCCGTTCGTGCAGAAGTCCTTGACAATCAATCATTTCTTGATCGACATCCTGAACGACAAGCTTGGTCTTCCTAAGGGTACTTTGGCGGCCTTTCACAAGGCGGAGGAAGCCAGTGGATGTACAGCACGGTGCATCAGGACGCCTCCTCACCTCGAACAGTCGGAGAAGAATTTCCTCAATCCGCACACCGACTTTGGGTCGTTGGTGAGCCTTCGCCCGTACTGTTGTATGGCTAGAACTTAACGGGCTCAAAAGTCGTTCCTGCACAACCGTTTGGGGGGCCTCCAAGTCCTTCCTCCCGGTAGCGATAAGTGGCTCTACGTGAAGGTAGGACTTGGAGTGCACGAATCTTCCTGTTGTGTTAAGATTGACGGTACACGGAAATTGAGTAGCCGATTCCCGGCCATGCAATCTGTAACATCGGCGACTCTCTCAACATCTTCAGCGGTGGAATACTGCGGTCGAACATTCACCGTGTCGTGTAAGCGAATAATACCCCCTATCGTCTTACGATCTCACGCTCGCCCCTCACAGTCCGCCGCCCAAGGAACAGGCACAATACGAGCGCTGGTCCCTTGTATACTTCACGCGTCCGCATGATGACGTCGTTCTCCGCTCTCTCTCTGACCAGAGTGCCGACATTGCCGAGGCGGCCTCCAAGGCGCCACTCGAGAAGTACAATCCTGGGGTGACGGCGAATGAATGGCTCACGCGCAGGGTGAAGTCGCAGCGAGTCACGAACTATAAGGTGTGGCTTGCATCAAGTAATCGGATATTCTGTGGATCTGATCGAGTGCATTACATGCAGGGTCCCGAGAGTTGGAAGGACCGCAGGGGAACAGAGGACATTACTGTCGTCCCTCACATCAAGATCTAGGCTCCTCTGTCCGCATCCACCCTGTAAGTCGCACGTTCTGTAGTCTTCTCCGCAGAACTCGCTGACACAGCTTGCCGCGATCAGTGATATTTGTACTTATAGCCCGAACGAGGAATACATGTATGCTGTTTAAGATACACCGTCTCTCAGTACGCGGACGGTTGGTGCTCTGTGCCCCTGCTGGCCCTCCAGGTCTCTGGACCCTGGCAAGGCACAGAAACTCGACGTCAGCTTTGGAAAACCCGCGTAAAAGATTGGCACGTACCGTTCTGTTCTTGATCCTTTGGTTCTTGATGCGCCTCGCAAACCACTCCTTCGAAGTCGTCCCGGTGTCGTACTTCCCCGAAGGAAGCTTGGCGACCGCCTCCGCGATTATAGGACTCTCGTCAGACAACGGCCGCAAGATGACGGATTGACCCGGTCGGGTGAAGAAGACGAGCGACCAACGCTCATAGTACCCCTGCTCTTTCGGCGGAGGCCTTTTCGATGTCGGTGAGTTCATTGAACGTTCCCAGAGCGCAGGTTATTGTGCTTACACGACCCGATGGAGGTTTGACCTAAGGATACCACCGCTGAAGATTGTCATAGCGTCCCCGAGGTTGCAGATGGCGTGGCCAGGGATGGGCTAGGATTTATCGACAGGTGAGTGACTACTCGGATGCTTTCGAGAAGTTGCAAGCCCTACCCTGACGTACTGCCATTCGTTCGTGCCGGGCACCATGACCTGCAGCCCGCCGAGTCGGTTGTGCAAGAATGACTGTGCATGCCCTCAATACTGGTATGTCCACGATCACACGCTTGTGACTCACCAGCGACCCAAAGTCAGTGTGCGCGCCGAGCGCGGCTTTCTCCTCCGACATCCCGTCCGGGCGCGGCGGGTTCTTGATGCACCGCGCCTCGCTCCCGCTCGGCTCCTCGCGGAGGTGCTGCCGCTCAAGCGTGCCCGCAGGGAGCCCGAGTCGCTCGCCAAGGACTGCGAGAAGGGTGTAGTTCACTCCGAGCGACTTCTCTATGAACGGCCGGATGGTGGACTCCATCCGGGCGTTCACGGTGCGCGGGTATTCGCGGTGCACCTTGCCTGGCCACGCAAGGGCATCGTCTTTGGAGACGTTGATGAACTCGACGGTGTCGAGCGAGCCCTGCTCGTCTGTCGCGTTCGCGCCTGCGGCTTTGTACCTGCAGGCTTGGAGTGAGATCGCGTTCGGCAGAGGTGCGCGAGGGGACGTACCCGAAAGACATTCCCTCGTCGCCTTGCTCGTACTTCATCTTCTCGTCAAGGGGCAACTTCATCGTCTCTGCGCCCATCTCGAACATCTGGTCCACTTCTTCGTCGGCTCCATGGTTCTTCAGGCTATTCGTGCAGAGAAATTATCAGCATCTGGCCACTTCGGACGCATGGAAAATAGGTACGCACTACCAGAAGCCGAGTTCGGTCGCCGCCTTCCAGAGCTTATCTATCTCGGCCTGGTCCCTCTTCAGGATCAAGTCGTAGTCGACCACAAGCAGGGGATGCGTCGGAACATCGTCCGGGAAGGGTGGGAGGCTCGCGAAGGCGGCCATTTCGTAGTTGGCTGAGTATTGGTGCGTTTACGACGTGAGAAGCGGTCAGTGTAAGGCCTGATCCTCTCCCCCGCACTTCACATGTTTATATAGGGACTGGGGCTGCGGGCGCAGAGATGCAGGGGCCGTGGGACGGTCAGATCGACGTTAGGCGAGGGTGTGCTGTGTGCATCCGACCCTTGCTTCTCTTCTCGTGCGTCTCGTGACGGTGCGTATTCTGCGTATATGGCAGGCCAAAGCCGTCTGACCATGCTGGATGCTTCTTTGATGCGATGTTAGGAGAACATGCCGGGGCGATGATATCATCCCGAAGACGCTCCTTCCCACAGTCGGTGGGGTACAGCGACGACCTCGTCAGTAATGCATGTACTACCTATCATCGTCTACTCACTTTGGCTTTCTTACAGAAGTGAATCTCATACAGGAGCGGAATTCCGCGACGGGTTCGCATACTATTACATGGAGGTATGTGCTGGAGATGCAACTGTCCTATTCACACATAAAAGTAGCCGCATAGAGGCGCTCTCGCGCGGCCTGACGTGCAGCGCCGAGTGCGGAACAACACCTCCCCGACGTCAACTTCGCTGTGTCGAGACCGGCTTTACTCGGCCTCTGGGGGATTTCAACCTCATTCAGCCCCGGACTGCCTGCGACGACCGTGCCGGACGAGTGCTACCACTGTGCGACGCATCATGCATGAAATGGAGTAGAAGAGAAGCAGTCTCCGGCTTTTGTCTACAGCGTCAGAAGCGTGCTAAACAGTATCGGTCTTATGTATAGGCAACCCGATCGATACCAATTGCTTCTAAGTTCATGACGTCTCGAAGCACAAGACCTGAACATATGGTACTCAGGGCTCTGGTGGAACACTGGTCTCGCGTCACGGTTATATGAGTAGGAATCTTGTAGCAAAGGTGCGCGAGATCGCTGCGAATGATTCCCCAGCGGGCATAAGATATGATTGCATTGGGGTTTACATCATGCCTGAAAGCACTCTCCTCGTCGCTGGCTATCTATCCTCTCGTCGCGATGGAGGCCTTTTACCCGGAATCCCTAGCACGGTCTAACGACCTCAACTGCTCTGCCTCCCTCTTCTCCTTCAACACCACCGCTCCCTTCGACCACGACCAAAACGGAGACTTGACCGCCCCGGGCGCCCGGAGCGGGATGACCTCCACCGCGTCCTCGCCCCGCGCGAGCGCCGTGACCGCCCCGACCACGACCCTGGCGTCCGCCCGCGAGCGGTGTCCTTGGAGCGTGATGACGACAGTCTCGAGGTCGGACCCCGCCGCCTGCATGCGACGGGCGAGCGCGTCGAGGTCGAGCGCTGCGATGTACTTCTCGGCTGCGCATGGCTGGCGGGGGGTGAAGAGGATGATGTGCTGCTTGATGGCGAAGTAGGGGTCGCGCGGGTCCACCCCTCCCTTGGTCATGTCCAGGAGAGCCAACACCGCACAGCCGATGGTGAGGCAGAACTTAGGCGCGGATGGACAGAACGGCAATCCCGCGCACGAGCGTGTCCTACAGGTATGATATGTGAGCACGCCTCAATAGTGTGTGGTATGGAGATAGGGAGTAAGGGGTACAGAGTGAACGTGAGACTGACCAGCGCGTGTGCCATATCGATCTTGTCGCGATCCAGAGCCATCCCTAGGACGAGTGAAGTCTCGAGGCTTCGGAGGCTCGCGACGGTCGGGCCGCTCATTGCTTGCGCAAAGATTCCGGGCGCGAACAACCCAACGTCAAAGAAGTCGAGGTGCAGGTACGCGGGCTGGGTAGGGAGCAACACAAGGTGGAGATATGTATAGTGAGGTTCGAGTCGCGGCCCGTATACGGTTAGCCGCCTCACTGGGCAGGTCAGTGCCAGGAGGACGAAGTCGATGAGCATTCCGCTGGCGCTCTCGAGTGTTGTCCACGTCCCGTGTTCAACTTGCAGCGCGACGTTCAGATTATGGTGATCGAGCATCGCCTCTTCCGACTGCACGAGCCCCGCAAGGGTGTCTTTGGCGGTACAGACCGTAAGCGTGCTGAGGTTGGGGAACGCGTGAGCGTAATAGTAGGTGCGAGGGACTTCGTTATTGCCAAGATGCAGGGTGGTGAGGCGTGGGTATTGGATTGTGGACAGAACATGGAATGGGGTGGTAATAGGCCGGCTAACGCAGAGAGAGCGTAGTGTGTCCCGGGATTTGTGCAGAAAGAAGATTGGGCTGCAACACAACTCGGAGATCTCCTCGTCGCCCTGGTCTTCTTCTTCGCCGCCGCCCTCTACGTCATGGACGCCCTGTTCACCTTCCGGAGCATGGACTTCAGTGGGAGGGCGATCAAGGAGGAGAGTCACCTCATTTAATGCGGATTTGGAGTGCTCGAGCATTGCAGTGGTAGCGGGCCCCACGTCGCCCATCTCGAACCTCTCCACCTTTTCAAGATTCGCGAATGCATCCGCGAGCGCGGGGTGCACCCCAAGGAAGCTTTCAGCGTCTTCCAGGCCAAGAAGTTGCAGCTGAAGCACAGGACCAAACCGAACAAGAAAAACGGCAAGAAGCGCGGCGACACGAAGAGAGGGGTAGGAGATCGTGATGTAGATTCTTTTGACAAATTTGAAGCGATACGGTGCCTCGGCAGCTAGAAAGGCCATGAACGACTCGAGGTGGGAGTCGCGCTGGAGAAAGAGGAGTGATGGGATGAGCAGCTTGGGACCATGGTGGTAGAGTTCGCGAGAGCTCTGCATCAGGCGACATATCGTTGCTGCATCGGAGACGTTCATTATGCTCAATAGAATGTCGGCGTTGAGACACGCAGGAGGTGCTATGCGGAAGGCCATCTACACGCGGATGGTCAGTATGCGAAAAAATACATAATGCGTTCAGCGATGACGTGCCTTGAATCTGGCCAAAGTTCTGCCAGATCCGAGTGGGGGAGGGAAGTACACGGGCACGCGAACGACGCAAGCTAGCAGAGGCGGGATAGCAGAGAGGGAAAGAAGGAAAAAGGACGAGCGACGACCTCAGCAGAGCCCCCAGCGAATATATAAAGACTCGCGGACAATCAGAAAACGGGGATCCGCATAGTCCAGAGCGCAAAGTATGTGATTTCGATGCCAATGACGCGCACAACCTCGTGCCACTGAACTGAACGAGGGAATGCCATAAGTCTTTCCGGATATCGAAAGCACCTCACATTTTCTTCAGAGGCTGCGTTCTTGTGCGTCACCGCTATGCTAAGCGCGAGCTGCACAGATACGACGATAGAACACTAAGATAAATTGCAGGAAGAAGCTTCAATCGGACCACACATCAAGTGCATATTGAAACATACGTACCCACCAGGCTATGGTTCACATCCCCGCGGTAGCCGCTTCCAACTGCTTCGCAAGCTCGCCCCTAGCCTTCATGAGACGCGCAGTCGCCTCCGTCACCACCTTCATATACTCCGCGGCCTCCGTCCACGACGTCTGCAGTTCCCCCACCAGCCGGAGCGGGATCGCCTCCACCGCGCCCTCGCCCAGCGCGCGCGCGTCCTCCTCCCCGACGACGAGCACCGCGTTCGGGCGCACGCGATGCCCCGCGATCGACAGCACGACGGTGCGGATCGAGGGCGCGGCCGCGCGGATGCGGCGTGTGAGCGCGGCGAGGTCGAGCGCGAGGAGCTGCGCCTCGGCGGGCCAGAGCGCGCCGCGCGCGAAGAAGGAGGAGGCGTTCTTCACGTCGAGCCCGGTACCGTTTAGGAGCGGGAACTGCAGTCCGGTGCAGCAGATGTGGAGCCCGAGCGTGTGGAGGGAGAGGCTTCCGAGGTGGTCAATCAGCATGTCCTGCACGGACGGGAGGGGTGAGTTTCTGGCGGGGGATAAAGAAGGGGGCGGAAGGCGGTTGGACTTACCAGTGCGAGGGAAAAGTCGATCTGGGACGGTGTGACGTACATTGCGAGTGCGAGTGAGATGTCGACGCTCCGCAGGGCTGCAACGCTGGGCCCGGTCAACGCATCCCGGAAAGACCCGGTGTAGAACGCGGACACGTCGATTATATCGAGGTGGATGTATGCGGGTTGGGCGGGTTCGACGACGGCGTGGAACATTGCGACATCGATATGGTTGGCTGCCGACGGAAAGATCCTGATCTTGTTCATCGTGCAAGACAACCCCAGGAGGTAGAGGTCCACGAGGGTCCCGCTGACGCTCTTGAGCGCGTCCCAGGACCCATAACGTAGCAGCAACGACTCGTTCTTCGCACGGTGCAGATCGAATGCGTCCGGGTTAACGTTGAGTCTGTCCAAATATTTCGGGTCGGTCCTCACGAGGAGAGTGGCGAGGTTTGGGAAAGCGCGGACGTAATGGTGCGTCTGCGGCAGTTCGTTGTCGAGCAAGTTCAACGTGACGAGGCGTGGGTATTGCGGGGCATACAGGACACCGGGCGGGCAGCTAGTGATACACCAGTCGACAGTGAGCTCGCTGAGCGTCTCCTCACTGTTGCCTAGAAGGCATATGAAGTTCCGGTCTTCTTCGTATCCATCCAAAGCGTCCTCGTCCTCGTCGTCCTCGTCGTCTTCGTCCACACCTTCGATGTCTCTATCTTGGTGAAGAGTCTCTGCCATGCAGAGCACGACCCTACTGAAAGTTGCCCGCGAATTCCAGAGCACCGCTGAAGTGGTGAGGTCGGCACCAACAAGCTCTAGCTCATCGATTTGGGTCAATGCCGCGAAAGCCTCAGGGAGCGCAGGATTGGATTCGAAGAACGCATCGGCATTGGAGATATGGCAGATGTCGAGCTTGATCTCCGGGCCAAAACGGACGAGGAAGTCTATGAGAAGTCGGGCGACCGGTGCGGAGAGGGCACCAGTCGAAACGGAGAGCCCTTTGAGGAACTTGAGGCGATACGAGGCTTCGGCGGATAGGAACAAGATGAATGAGGCGAGCGCGGACTCGTGCTCCAGCCTGAGGATTGGCGGGATAAGTAGCTTGGGACCGTGGTGATAGAGCTCGCGCGATATCAGCATTAGTTGACAGATGGTAGACGCATCGGAGAAGTTCATGATGTTCAGCAGGACGTCGATGTTGAAGCGGGGAGGCAGCGGCATCAAGTGAAACGACATCTATACAAGTGTAGGTGTCGGTGAACATGCGATGAAGAACCTGTATGGATAAATGTCGAAGTACTTACCTCAAATTGCGCTGATAGCTGAGGTATGCGCTCTTGGATCGCTGCGTGGTGGTGTTGAGAGGACGACGGTGGTGGTGGTAAAGAAAGAGAGAACGTACGCGTAACGTGATGGGGGAGGACATATATATGTGCTCGGGACGAGACTCATCTACAAGAAGCGGCCGTGAAGTCGATCGTCCATGTCAAGGTTTGCGCGGTATACACTGATGGCAGAAGCTACAGAGCTGCGAACGGAACAACGTAGGGCTGACATCATAGTAGACCATAGTGCATCCTTTTGATGCGATGCATGTTCCGCCTGACAACGACTTGACAGGTCTCATTCTTCCGAAGAAGCTGAGGATTGGAGCGGAGTCAACGTATGTAAACACCATCCCTGTGAAAGTATCTGTATGTCAAACCTTCTGCCAAGATACGGCGCGTTGTTCATACCTGGCAGTCAAAGTCCTATGAAACTGCTGGGAGGGCGAACTAGCGCAGAGCGTGCATAGCATTAGACCAGACGCGCCATCGGCACAGACGAAGCTCGATCCGAGAAGTCACCGTAAGCTGATCCGACTACACACTTGAAGACAAAAGTATTGTGTAGCCTCGATATAGGATATTTTTGCGCCCAGAGGAGGCTCCCAGAAATCCCAGGAACTGGCAGGAAGCACTAAGGTAAGGGTAGTACGACGCTGAGAGAATGGCACGAGTACACGCAGGAATGGGTTGATATGAATTAGAAGATTCTCCAGATGCTCGTGCAAGAGGCCTAATCACCCAGAGCGAATCCGGCCCCGGAGGGGGCCGGTATGAGCCGGTCAGATCACGTAAACACCCGACTTTGACGCCAAGTCGCCCGAGTCTCCACACTCACTCATTCACCACCATCGACCGCCTCCGACGAAGCATGCTAGCGCGGATATGAATACTTGCTTCAGTTTGTATTTTAAGCCCGCTATGACTAGCTTGATTTTGTCAACGTAGAAGGGGCAAGAGCCACATTACCTTCAGCAGAGGTTGCAGCTCACCAGCACGACGGCCCGCATGCATTCATTTTGGCCTGGTTATGCCCTCCTCGACAGTCTACACACAATATGGTACGTGTCTTCCAACTCCACCCCTTGTCAAAAGTTGGTATCACTCATCGTGGTGGAAGTACACCTTAGGCAAAGTATGCATATAGGCAGACATAGATGCCTGACCCCATGGAATTTCCGCAAGCCGTCTTCCGTACTCAAACTGAGACGTCGCCAAGAGATGATCACTTTCCTGTTGAGGGAATTACGAATTTCTACCGCTACTTGAAGGAACCCCGTGGTGAATCTCCAACACCTAGCCGAAGTTTTCTATATCCAGATGTCTTGTAAGTCAGATATCCAAACGTACTTCACAAACGCGTCGGCTTTAGCGCTAACACGTGTAGATCACAACTATATCCTGTTGAGTTGATAACATCAGCGCCTGGCGCAGTAACGAAACTAGGAAGGCCTCACTCGCCATGCGATGCATGATCATTCCATTCCTGTACACACAGACTGCCACCGTGCCCTATAGGCGCAGCCGCGGCGGACGTGCCACAGCCGCACAATATATAAGGACGGGTGAAGGACACAGGATACATCGCCTCGCTGTGCTTACTTCGACGTGGGAATACCCATACTCCGAACCCTAATACACGCATATCGTACTCATGTCCTCGATTTCACCATCCAGCATCTCCTCACTCCCGTCCGTCATGCACACCGCGGCGTACAACATCTACGCCAGGGAGCTCTTCCCGCGAAGGCATGGATACGCACTCTGGCATCCTGAACACACCAAATCCGGCGAGGTTCAGATCGGCGACGTGGGCTACCTCCTCGACGGCGCTTTCTACCGCATGTTCAACGCTACTCGTTCTGGAGAGCAGACATACGGTGTACCGGAGGGCCATGAGCCTTATGTCTTCAAACAGTTCCTATTGAACCAGACCAAGGACGTCATCAAGGCCAGCCTGGTCAGCAAGAGTGTCACATCATACGATATCAGCGGCAACGCCGGGACGTGCGTTCAGTGCCCCCTCTGCCTCATCTGTCTCCCGCCATATCTAATTCGTTCGATACCGCAGGTCACTGCAGGCCGTCGGAGCAGGACTCAAGTTCACCTGCGAGCGCGAGAACGGCGCCTTCGTCGTCGTGAAGCCCTCCGCGGACCGGCTGCAGTTGCACCCCAGCAAGGCCCTTACTCAGTACATCCGCACACACTTTGACAGCTGGAAGCACTTCGCGTCTGATAACCTAGATCTCGATATTCCCCCGCACGACATCATACTCATCTCCGGGACGGTCAAGACGGACGACTGGGGCCTCGGCGCGTTCCTGCGGTACGAGTCAGGTGGCGCGATCAACTTCGAGGCGAATGTGGGGCCTGTCGCGCAGGCCGCGTTCAACGTTACTGTCACACAAAAACACGGCGAGATCGCAGAATGCCGTTCTAAGCCGACCGGCGCAAGCTTGTCGCCACCGCTCTCTGCGATGTCTGATGAGACTGCGGACACGCTAATGGACCCTTCGTCGTCGTCGCTCTCGTTGAAGAGAACACAGACGGGGCCGAGGAAGGACCAGTGTCTCTTCATCCACTACTACAAAATGAAGAAGCGTCTGTTCTTCAACAAGGTGATCAAAGCAGCCGCAGGGCCGGATGAACTCGATCCTGGTTCGGGAAGCGAGGGCGAGGATGGGATGTCGGTAGACAGCGGCTCCGACGATGTGACAAGAGAGTTTAGCACGGAGAAGGTTAGTAACCAATATCGGTATCAAATCGGGCGCGCTGACCGTGTATATAGATGTTTGACCCCGTAGACTACGTGCTGGATTATATCCTAGGCTACGTACTTGAGGTCAGTATCCTCCTACCGGTTTTTATAATCTACTGACGAGAAGGATAGGACGGATCGCAAGCGGACGCGGCTATTGCAGGAATCAGTCATCTATATACTCTGTTTGTGAGCACTCAACCTCCACAATAGTATGTGCCGCGCCCTTTGCTTACCCGTTCCTAGGACGAAGATATCCCAGAAGACATCCCGGCTGCATTGGAGAAATTGCAGCCGCCAATTCTCTTTGTGGATGATGGAGGTGCGCAACAGATTCTATCTATATAACACTGACTGACCAGCTCCCCAGTGGCGGCCCTGGCTTGCGCGGAGTGGAGCGAGGAGTTCAACGAGATCGAGCAGCCGGAGTACAATGAAAGTATGTGTTCCCTCCAGGGGGCTGTTTGGCACCCTACTGATCTTCGTTGGTCGATCCGTAGTACGCGGGAAACAGAAGGCTCCTGATGCTGATCCTTCCCCCACGGATCCTGGCAATAGGGAGCGAAATATGGATGTGGATCGATCTGGTTCCCCGGGTAGTCAGACCGAAACGCCCAACAAAGGCCGTAGGACAGACACTGCCCACGCTTATGAGACCCTCCTAGTCCAAGATCACACCGGTGGCGTGGCCTGCGCTGCGTGGTCCCCCGACGGTCGCTACATTGCTACTGGAGCCGAGGATCACACCGTGGTCCTGCGCGACGGCACCAGCGGAGCATTCATGCACAAGTTCGTCGGCCACGACGACACGCTGTGGTCGCTCGCGTTCTCTCCCGACAGCCGACGCCTTGCCACAGGCGCTAACAACGGCACCGCGCTGGTCTGGGATATTGAGACGCGCAATGTCATGGTCGTACTCGACGGGCACACGAAGACGGTGAACTCGATCGAGTTCACGTCCGACGGCTCCAAGATCGCGACCGCCTCCGTCGATTGCACCGCCCGGATCTGGGACTCGGAGACAGGCGCGCTCCTGCACACGATGGAGGAGGAGAAGGTCGTCATCAGCGCCCACTTCTCGCCGAACGGGAAGTATCTCGCGACCTGCGGCTCCAACTACGTCGTCAAGATCTGGGACGTGGACACCGGCGAGCTGTTCCACACGCTCGTGCACCACGAGGGGATCGTCTGGGCAGTCGACTTCGACCCGCACAGCCGGCGCATCATCACCGGCTCGGACGACGCGATGAGCATCATCTGGAGCGTCGAGTCGGGCGACCCGCTCGTCATCCTGCGCGAGCACCCGTCGCCCGTGTGGGCCGTCGCGTTCTCCCCGGACGGGAAGCAGGTGATGAGCGCGTCGAACGACATGACGATCAAGCTGTGCGACTCGTTCACGGGCGAGCTCCTGTACACGTTCAACCGCAACGACGCGCTCGTGAACTCGGCCGTGTTCTCGCCCGACGGGAACTTCATCGCGTCTGGCGGCGGCGACAACGAGGTGCTCGTGTGGAGCACGCGCACGGGCAATGCACTCGCGCCGATGCAGGGGCATGAGGACAAGATCAACTCGGTGCGGTTCTCGCCGGACAGCGATAGGCTGGTCACCGCGTCTGACGACGGAACCGTCCGGCTTTGGACGCTCCTGAACTTGGACGAAGGAGAGGCTCAAGGGGCTCCGCAAGAGGACTAGCAACTCGAATAGGTATATGACATGTTCATTCGCACCATGTTGTATGTTCGACGCACTTGACGAGATTGGGCAATACACGAATTCCACGCCACTGAGATCACGATGCCCGCCACTCACCTCGTACTTTCTAGTCCTGAGTGGCGCTGCGAATAATCGGCAATGCGAACGGCGGAACGCCTTTGGCCCAGGTACGTCCCTTTGACAGCCTCTCCCGTTGAAACATCCGACTCAAGGGCTTTCAGAGTTTAGGAAAATGTTCTCGAGTAAGCTCCCTTTTACAGCGCGAACTTCGGTTCTGCTCGTGCAGATTTCCTCGTGCCAAAACTGTTTGTCCAGCTGACGAGAGCGTCCGGTAGCGCTCAGTGTGTAGCATGCATCGAGCGATGTCGACAATCGTTCGTTGTCGTCGGCTTGGGAGTATAAGTACCCTCAGACTGCTCTCCAATGCCCTCGCCCACAGCTCGCTCTCCCTCGGCGCATCTAACACCCCTTGCATCTTTCGCAGTCAACTAGATGGATTTATCATCCCAGGATGCAGTCTTACTTCCAGGCGGTACCACTAAACTCATCGGTCACAAGATTGAATCACACCATGGGTATGTTCATGGCGTCTATCAATCGGCAGGGACTCGTATGCTGATACCCAACGTACAGCGTGCACAGACCGATCCAACCTTTGCACCGATGCTTCATATCCCTAGGGCGACGGTCGACTGTCGTTCTGGCTCACACCGAGGACCGCCTGCGCGGTACTCACCTCAAGTTTGAGTGGGCTACGTAACGATAGTCAAACAGCCGCGGGCGCTGCTCGTCGCATATCCTCGCGGCGGCAAGGAAGAAGCGAGCTTTGACGCTCCTCTAGTACCTCCCGGTGAGTAGAGTTATCCAATATGCGTGTATTCGGCACCTTTCCGACGAGAGCACCGGCGACCTAGGCTCGACCACGTTATCCGGCCTGCTCGGAGTATCACTCCCAATGATGCACGGCGATTCTTCATGGGGAGCCACCTTACTCGGGCTGGCTGCGATGGTTCATCGTCATCCTCTGCTCCTATACCCGCTCTCTGAGTCGACCGCGATGGATGGTGTGCGGCGTTTCTAGGCCCCTGGGGAGGATGCAGTGCGTTCATCTGGGGCTCGTCCTCTTACCGACCATGAAGGCTCTGAAAGCGCCATGAGACGTGGGCGACAGTTCTCGACCTCTCATACAAACAGGGAGGGATGGGAGGAGCTTCAGACAAGTTGCCGTATTCCCGGCTGGGGACTGGAAACCCGGGAATCCACTGTGAGTTCTTGAGTTTAGCTGCCGGTTAGTATAGGAATGCAGCGACTGACTGCTATCTTAGGAGAAACAGTCACTCCATACCGGAGCCCAAAGACCGCATCTTGGACGACGAGGATATACAACACAAACCGGCGACCGACATCATCGCCTGCGAGTGGGATGGTGGCTGCGGAGACCGCACGCCGCGAAGGCGACCATGAAAGGGCGACCCAATCCTACGACTGCACGGCGGCGGCATACCCGGCTCCGTACTTTAGATGTGATCAGCCATGAGGCTCTGGACGCGCCCCATACCTCCGCCGGACAGCGAAACGAGAACGACCGCATCGGACATGGCCTCGGTCTTCATGCATGGCGGAGGGAAACCATGATCGCCGACCCGACTGTTTTGATTCGTCAGACAGCTGTCCTACAGGACTCCTAGCATACGCCGTGATCCCTCAACCTGGATACCGCGCGGGGCAACGCCGCGGGTGAATATACCCGACATCCTGCTGTTCACCCTCTCGAGCTCCGTCTCAGCCGGACGGCCTCCGTGTCCCACATGGTCGGACAAGTTGAAGGAATGGTCCATCTGCCCTTGCAGATGTAATTCATGTCGGAATTATGGCTGAGACACTTCGGACTCGCCGCTTTCGCAGGGGGTCCTGCCGTCCCGGGCCTTCCAACATTCTCCCACACAGTTCTCGCGCGAAGCGGTCAGGCCGACCCGCCACGCGTTGGTGCGACGGGCGACGTACCGCCCTCGACGCAGAAGTCACTACACGGCTCCACACTACCTCTTTCGCCTGAACGCCCATCGCGAACAACTCCGACAGGGTCTCTTTGCAGCTCTATCGACTTTATTCGGTTTGAGGGATCGCCGCGGGGAACACATAGGGAGCATCATGATGTGGAGGCGGCAAGCCGAGTTTGGTATATGGGGAGCGTAGCTTTAGCATTGTAAAAGTAATTGCATGCTCTGACTCACCCGGGACCTGAGTAAGTGTGCTCTGGACGATGTCTGCCGCTCAATTGACCAGGTGCGTTCACAGGAGTTTGTGAGCCCAGGTAAATGATATGACCTCGCCGGAGTGGCCGTTCGCAGGCTGGTAGTATACCCGCCTAAGTCTGTAGCTATATGTGCAAAGGTCTGAGATCTCATGCACCGACCCTTTCTGGGAAGATCAGGAGTCATACGCTATATATTACTCGTTCGTGTAAGTACTTCGCGCGCCAATGACATTGTACTGCTCTGCGTACACGCACAAGCGCCTGTTGGCAGACATGCATACAAAGATCCAGAAAGCTCTCTAGCGTACGCACAGGACCAGATCGTGGACTAGTGCTTAGCAGCGATCAGTACAGCAAACATGCACAGCCGGTCCTCTACTGCACCCCTCAGGAGTATAGTCTAGCGTTGAGCTTGTCCACCTCAGCGCCCGACACCGCGCGCACCTCCGCACCTCCACCCTCCCGCATCTCCTTCAAGAACCGCGCACCCTTCCCCCAAGATTTCCGCAGCCCCTCCCCTACCTTCAGCGGGATAACCTCCACCGCGGCCTCCCCCAGCGCTAGCGCGTGCTCCGCGCCCACCACGACCGTCACGTTCTCGCGCCCGCGGAGCCCTGCGAGCGTTACGACAACGGTGCGGATCGACGGGGCCGCGGCCTGGATGCGGCGCGCGAGAGCGTCGAGGTCGAGCGTCGCGAGGTGCAGCTCGGTCGCGCATGGTGCTCCGGGGACGAAGAGTGCGCGGATGTCGCAGTAGCGGACCTCAGTCGCGTGGAAGAGGGGGACCTGGAGGGCCGAGCAGCAGATGCTGAGCCCGAGGGTGTGGATAGAGACGTCCGCGAGGCCGGCGATGAGCATATCCTGTTGGCGTAGAGAGCAGGTAAGGAACGACGAACTCAAAAACACGAGGTGGATATGGTACCGACCAGCGTGTGAACGATGTCAATCTCCTCGGGGCGCACGATCCTCCCCGGGGTGAGCGAGATATCGAGGCTGCGCAGGCAGGCCGCGCTCGGGTCGCTCATCGCCTCTCCAAACTGGCCGTTGTCGAAGCGGGTGACGTCGAACGACTCGAGGTGCATATACGGGGCCCGCGTGGGCCGCAGGATGGGAGAGAGGAACAGTGCGTCGAGCCATGGCCCGCAGATGATGAGCCGCCGTACGGGGCATTGGAGCGCGAGAAGGAACACGTCCCAGAGCGCACCCCGGACGACCATGAGTGCGTTCCAAGTCCCGTACTTGCGCTGTTGTGCCTCGTTGCTCTCGTACGGGAGTAGAAACGAGACAGGGTTTTCGGAGAACGTGCTGAGATGCTGCTGGGAAGCGCTGAGGGAAAGAGAGCGGAGGTTTGGAAAGGCCCGCACATAACGCCGGGTGATGGGGAGCTCGTTGTTCTCGAGGCAGAGTTCGGTAACGAGGGGGTACTGGATGTCGTACAGCGCTTTGGGCGGGCCAGTGAGGCTCCAGCTGGCAGAAATCGAGCGCAGCGTGTGCTTGGACTGGCTCATGAGCAGGATGAAGTTGCGAGCGTCCGGTGCTGGCGTAGACGAATCATCATCGTCTTCGTCGTGTACGCTGTCTTCTTCGTCACTGTCTTCGTCGTCTCCCTCCTCCGCCTCGTCCTCGTCCTCGTCCTCGCCCTCTCTTTCCTCTTCGTCATGTTCGATTTCATCATCGGCTTCACCGATTGGCAGCCCGGAAGACGGCGCTTTGATGAGCAGCGCCACGCTCTTCAGCTTCAACTGAGAGGACCTGAGCATGGCGACGCTCAAGGGGCCCATCTCACTCAACTCGAGCTTCTGAATGCCGCTCAACTTCGCGAACGCGCCGGCGAGCGCAGGGTGTGAGCCGAAAAACGCCTCCGCCTGCCCAATGCCGCAAACTTCGAGTTTGAGCACCGGCGCGAAGCGGACGAAGAAGTCGACGAGCAATTGAGCGACGCGCTTTGATATGGCATCGCCCATGAAGATGATGGTGTGGAGGAACTTGAAACGGTACGGTCCCTCGGCGGACATGAACGCAATGAACGACTCCAGCTCCGCCTCATGAAAGAGCGTAAGGTCACGAGGGATGAGCAAGCCGGGGCCTTGGTGGTACAGCGGGCGTGAGATCTGCATCAAGCGGCAGATCGTCAACGCGTCGGAGAACCTCATGATGTTGAGGAGGACGTCGTCGTTGAGAAACGGACGAGTGCGATCGAGAGGCATCTGCAAGAAGGTACATCGGTCAGTAGACGTCTGGATCACGGAGCGTCTGTATGCGAGAAATACGTTGTTTTGGAGCGCAGACGGCTACTGATGCACGATGTGGAGGATGTGTCGGGGGCGGCCCAACAAGCGCGGAGATGGTGGGGGGAGGAAGGAGAGAGAACGCGCGACATCACGGCCGGGTGAGTGCATATATGCGGAATGGTACTCCAAGGGTCCGGCCATGCCCGCAGGTCGAAAACGTCCAAGTACGCGCGGGACATGGCTTCACTGATGGCAGAAGCGTAGATCCACTTACGCCGCTTCGGGAACCCGAGAGCTTGACAGGACTTTGTTCTACGCAGAAGCCTGGGTCCAGGCTCACCGGCTCCCTCGGAAGCACTCAACGAGCAGAGTTTGGGTGTGGTAATCACCCAACGTCGTGCATACACGCAAGTTTGATAATTAGGCGACCTGGTCGAGGTTTCCCTAGCAGCAGAGCAAATTCAAGATATGCGCTACCAGGTGTCCGTGTCCACGAGGAGCGAAGAGCAAGATTATTAGGCCTGCGAACAAGCGTCACGTTAGGCGGTAGAAGACGATCATTCCTCCTTCAGGAAGACTGGAAAGGGCAGCAAGGACTGGTGAGAGATGAGTACTTGAGTGCGGGGAGCGCGGCACAGCCACGGGTACATTACATGCGTCCATAGGGTATAATCCTGCGCAGTCATGGCAATTATCTATGGGGTGTGCAAGAAAGTGTGGGAGTTAACATGTTAGGTAGCATCCACTCACCTTCACCTTCCTTCTCGCCTTAAAGTATTATACATATGACGATCTAGAACACCAAGGTCAAGGTGAAACAGCAAAGGCGACGAGCGCGAGAAAGGCTGCGATCCCAAGCCTGAATGCCACGCAGGAATCACTGGCACGTCGGAGCGTGCGTTGGACCCAGTGATCATCCTATTGGTCCTGTTGATTCGGTGTAGCCGGGACCGATACGGCGCAAGTCGAGGTCGGTTGTCTAGACGATGTTGATTATGGCCGGAGACAGTTGTACAAATCGCTTAGAATGGCCGTACCGGCGACAACCACCTAGGCACTTGCATCACCAGTGGGAGGTCTACCAGCCTTGCGTCGCGTGAAATCATATATCCTCCTGTAGGGAACATCTGACATTGAATTTTATCGGGAGACGTGTACACGCACCTGTGGAGATTGCTAGAGCGCTGCGTTTGGATCCAGACAGCGTGCGCATCAGACCCTGATCAGAATCGCGAAAGCGAAGCTCGGGTTAACGAGCTGTTCGCCCTCGTAACACACCGCATCTACGACGTGTAAATGATACACAGACCCCCGGCGTACGCGGGGGTGGTGGGCGCGCTAACGGCATCTCAGAGGTGTAGGGCGCGTGTCGTGCGACCAGAGATTGACGTGCCACAGATCTGGTTTCAGCTGAAATTGCCTTCTAGACATCGTTCGGTTCATCAGACATTGCAACAGCAGCTGGCAGAGCAAACACCTCACTCACCGCACGTGCATATACAGATTAGCATTCCTATGTACGTAGCGCCATGATCCTATCACTCGGCGTGAGCATGTGTGCGGAGCTAAGCACGATTATCGGTGCACTGTATCTTACCAGCATAGTCGCAACCCTGCAGAAGCGGCGGGAGGGGAAGGGAGTCAGCGCGCGAGCGCGGCGAGATGAAACATAGTGAAATACCCCTCTGCCACGCAGGGAGGGAAGGCGCGAAGGATGGAATGTAGTCAAAAGGCGTGGACACATCCGATAGATTACTGTAGCACACGAGAGACAACGAGCCGGAGAACCGGAACTCCGTCTGAGGGTGTGGATTGAGGGTTCAGGAATGGCGTCAGTCAGTTGAGTCTGCAGGTGCTAACAGGAAGTCAGCCCGGCCGTTGAAATGAAAAGGTGGGATAGGCCAACCAGTCGTGCGCGCGATGCTCACTCTTCCAAACTCCGGACGGCGATGAGCCCCAGATCGAGGACGTCTCCGCCTGTTCCTTCGTTAAGGCTAGAGCACGTGTATGGGACCGGGCGCGCTGGGGACGGGGGGGAGGAACACTGGGTTGTCACGATGCCAGGTCCCGTATACAACGAGAGGCCCGTCCGGGGCAAGAGAAGCGTGAGGAGGAGCATGCGAAAGTCCCCACTCGCAACCTGAAGCGTGGCATGCCATACCCCTGGAATGAACCCCTCGTGAACGTACCTGTCGGACCCCTCCAGATCATGCTCGGCGATGCCGACGGCAAGCTTGACGCGCGCTCCCAAAGCTGAGTGAGTCAAAGGGTTTGTTGCCCAAGGAAAGTGCTATGTCGAGCATAGCGTAGTCACTTCCGCACCTCTACTAGAAGTACTCTACGTCTGCGTAGCTGAGTCAGTGATCGAGAGCAGTATAAGCTACTAGTCTAGGTACTTACAATAACTATGCACCCATGTGCTACGCGTAGTCTAATTGCAAGAAACTGATGTCAGGGGTACAGACCTTTTTGAGGTATGTTTGAGACAGCCCGCATTCATGTTTCGGGACGTCCGATTGAACGGGACCTAGCCATCTGGCTAGTGCAGCCGACGTGCCAGCAGCGGCAGTCCCTTGTAACATTTGAGTTCAGGTACCCAATGTGTTCGCGGGGAGTGACCAGCAAGATAACGTGTCGTGACGCGAATGTATTCAAGGACCAGACAAGCAGCAGTTACCAGCTGGTGTGGATGCATGAGAGTTGCAGAGATGCAGTGAACCAGAATAAGGTTTCAGGGCTTACAGCCACGTGGGCCGGTGGCGGGCGATCGCGGTGGATCTGTATGTTAATGTCCCTCACGGGCGCTCCCTTTCTTTGTGTCTCGCAGACCAGTATTTGGCTGAGTCGCTCAGGCTGCGCATTTCTAGTCTCTCTTCTGGATTTCACCCACGCTGTCCGTGTACCCTCCGTTGGCACGTCGGAACTTGGGACAACTCATCGGCTAGGCTCATAGATCCGCGGCCTACGTGTGCCCCGTAGAACAGAGCATACCACATCACCAACCTCCGATAGAAGCCGGAGGAACGCACTGCGCACTCATAAACCTCGATCCCGTGTCCCCGATTCCATGCTTGAGGCATCTAGCTTCAGTCCCAGGGTGTGTGGTAATCTCGGTGAGTCACTCAACCCACACGGTACACTGGTATCCTCAACCGTCCTGCGTGCGCAAGCATGATGGTCGTGAACGAGGCACTGACCTATGCATAGGCCACATCGGAGCAAGTCTGGCTCCGAGCCACGCAGCTACCACGTTAAGGAAGTCCTGATAACCCCGCGCTCGGCATCATGTCCTCCATGAAACGACACGCTGAAGCGACGCAGACACGAGCCGATCCAGCGGTCCCGTTTCGATCTATCAGCACGATCGCTCCCGCGGCGTAGTAACCAGCGACGCCAACCATTATTACCTCCAGCCATACTTGGGCTGATGTTAATATAAGAAGCGCTAGGCTCGTCCACCTCACTCGACGCCCGTTTGAAGGGCGGTACTACGCCCGCGCCGTCCATGCGGAACTGTACTGGGCCAAAACGCTCATCCTGCACACCTACACACCAGCAAAAGCGAATTTCTGGGTTCTCCATCATCTCAAATCTTGGTGTATGACGGTCTAAAACGGCGAGTCCGCATGCCATGATATATTTGAATTCAATTTAACCCTTTCAATAGGTACGGCTTGCTATCCCGACATTTGCGTCGGAGGTACATAACACTACACTCGTCAAAGGCGCCCCAAGCGATATGTAGGCCCTTCATATGAATTTATGTGTATTGCGGATCACCCGTGTCATGCCGAGATTCGTTTCAGCACGCTGGCAGGTCCTACGCATCTTCGTCGGTCTCGTTACGCGTTGTGTAGGAACCGACTACGCAAGGTACACGCGTGTAACCCCGTCAAAACTACTCATGTTCTAACATTCATCCACTATCTCTCAGCTGTATATGCTGTCGAATGTCAACAGGTGCTTGAGAGTGCTCACCATGCATGATCTTCAGTCCCACCGTCGGCGCTCATGACCCCTGGCAAAAGGGCCTCCAGTTTGTACGGCAATCCCACAGGACCGCGCGCGCATCCCTCGCTAAGGTACGCACCATCTCTGCTGAGGTCGGGATCATCCCGCTGACAGTGCATGCCACCAGTATCCCCGGTGGACGCTGTTCCAACAATTGGTAAAGCGGTCCCGCACGGCTCATCTGCGTCGATCAGGTCGCGCACCGCCGATCACCACATTTCCGGGGCTCGCTTATGTTTTGATTGAGCTCGGTAAGACGCACCTGAGTCAATTAGACCACATCCCCTCCCTGCCGGGTGCTCTCCTGACTTCGTAAACCCGGAGCCTGATGCCTGAGGGCGAGTCTCACAGCTGCTTCCAAGTTCCAACGGCTGCTCCTGCGGCCGTGGCCGTCGGGCAAGGCGGGGCAGGTAGTGCGGACGGCGATCGAGCAACCGGTGAATGGAAAACCACCGTAGAACGCAGGCCGGTCGCAGACGGTTTACTTTTCGCAGCAGGTACGGCGTGCGTTGTGGTTATATGTATATGGTGATGACGTGTTATTTCTTCTCCCCGGGCCGTCATACATTCACGCTCAGCGATGACCGACAGCAACGCCGAGGCAGCGTTGTTATGCATGTCACCGTATTGCATCGATCCGTTGACAGTGGAGAAAATTCAAATCTGAAATTCTATGATAGCGTTGGTGGTGGTGGGTATTGTGCCATATTCAATGCAGAGCGGAGGATGGTAACACACATGACATAGCGGACATAGCGGAAGCGAGGAGAGACGACTATGAAACAGAGCACGAGAGCGGCAGATTATCCAGAAACACAGACACGGTACTATTGCTACGTGGATCGGGACACGAGAGTTCGACGTGGGACACGAGACAGAAGCAGAGACAGAAGACGGGGACAGAACAACAACCGCGAACACCGCCGTCCGATCGGAGCCACGCACGGCTCCCACACTGCAGCACAACACGCACACGCCGCCCGCTCACGCGTCCTCCGACGCGCCCTCGAGCACCGTCCAGCCTGCGACGGACGGGTGCACGCGCGTGTCCTGGAAGGCAGGTCGCAGGCGCGGCGTGCCCGCTCCCTTGGCCCCGGCCGCACACCCGCACCCAGGCATGGTGCACGCCTCCCCTTCGACCTCCTGCACGTCGTCCTCATCCTCATCGTCCTCGTCGCTCTGCTCTGGGGCGTCTAGGGGCGCCCTGTCGCGCGGGGAGGGGTATGGACGCGCACGGCGCATCTCCGGCGAGGACTCAGCGCGGGGACGGCCGCGTTCGCGTTCCCAGAGGTAAGCCGTCTGCCGTTCACTAGAAACGCGCTGGGGCACAGGGCGTTCACCGCGGACGTACGACTCCGCCTGTGTCGCAGGGCCTTCGAGGTCGTCTGCCTCGTACTCGTCCGCGCTCCATTGCGGGGACGGGGCACGCATAACGGCATCGCCGTCGCGCTCGCGCTCATTCCCTGCGCCGATGGTGCGCACAGAAGACTGCTTCGCGACAGGGTACAGCGCGGGCGCAGCAGGCGGCTGCGAGTAGCTCTGGTGCTGGTAGTACGGCTGATACTGGGGCTGCGAAGCATAACGCGCGGGCGAGCCGCGGAAGGACGAACTCGGCAGGCTCCGCGGGGTCGGCGGGAACGGGGAGGTGACGGCCGAGATGGGCGAGGGCATCGGCGAAGGGGAGCGCGAGGATCCGGGAGACGGCGAGTACGAGGACGAGCGCGAGACGGACGGCGATCCGGAGTCTGCGATCGACGCGGGAATAGAGCCTGCGCGCATGCTGGCTGCCGCGTTCCGCATTTCCGGGGAAAGAGACATGTGTGGGTGCGTCGCCGTGCCCGGCGCTCCATGTGGGACCGACGACGATGGCGAGGGCGGCTGGACCATCCGGGCCACGACGTCTCTGCGGCGCGAGGTGAGGTGGTTCCGGTAGTGTCGGCGCATGTTTGAATTCACGTTGAACTTCCTGTTGCATCCCGGGAATGCGCACGTAAAGGCTAAAATTCCACACCACTACGTCAGCTTCCCATGCAACCATGCAACCAAAAACGGCGACGGTACGTACGCTTCGCCCCGGTGTGCGTGTTCACGTGGATCGCGAGGCTGCTCGGGCGGTTGAACCGTTTGTTGCAGTGCGGGCAGCAGTGGCGCCGCTCGCTGTCGTCCGCCGCGCTCGCGCTCGCCTTCCCCCGCGCTCCCCCCGCGCCCGCGCCCGCCCCAACCGCACTATGCTGCTGGTGTTGGGGATAGCGCGCCTTCCCAGGGCCCGCCGCCACATTCGCAGCTGGGGCCCCACCCGTGCTGGGCCCGGGACGGCCTGCGTGCGCGTGCGCATGGGGATAGTAGGGGGCGTGGGTGGGGATGGGAGCGGGCGCCATGCTGGGCCCGGGGCCGTACGGCATGTGTCGCGGGCCGTGCGCGTGCGTGCGAGAGTCCGCGCCGGCGCTGTCGGTACGCTCGAGCCCGCGCGCACGCGTGAACATCGACACGAGCTCGTCCGCCGGGCTCTGGATCGTGCGCGGGAGGTGGGGAGGGCTCGCTGTGCTTGGCGGCATCCCGTACGACGGGTTCCCGCGCGGCGCGGGTGCTAAGGAGAGCGCGCCGAGTGCGTCGCGATGCGCACTGCGCGGCGGGTGTGCGTAACGCGATGGGTGCCCGAGGTCGGCAGGCTCGCGATCGGTCCCAGGTGGCGGCCGCCAGCTACGAACGTGCTGCTGTTGATGCAGCGCCGCATCCGCTGTGCTCGATGGCGGGCTGCTGTAGTCTGCTGGCGGCGGCGTAGGCGCGGTGGTGGTGGTGGACGCGCGGAGCGCTTGCGGGCTCGGCTGTGGGTGCGGGTGAGACCTGGTGGCGATCGTTGCGGGCGATCTGCGCCCGCCCCGGGAAGCCGGATGGGGATCGGCTGGAGAGCGAGGACGTGCCTGCGAGAGGATCGGCGTGAGCAACGGTGGGGCAACCCCGGAGAAAGCTCGTGCGCGGGTACGTACTGCAGGGGTGTGTGACTGGCTGTCCGCACGGGCGACGGAGAGCGGCGCGAACGACGCTGGGGGCTGCTGGGATGGTTGCGCGAAGGACCCGCGGAAGAGGTCCTCTGCGGGGGCGACGGGGGGTGAGATTGGTCGGACGGGTGCAATAAGCGTTGAACTTACCCGGGAAGAGCTCGTTGAGGCTCGGAAGGCCTTTCTCGACCGACCGCTCGCGAGAGGGCGCGCGCTTGGAGGAGGACCGCGTTGGCGGCATGTCGTGGGATGTGCTGGGAGGGGACGGGGGGCGGTGGAAGCGGCGGAGGGGCGTATATATGTATGGCCTTGGGGGTGGCAGGATCTGGAGGAGCTGATACATATACGACTCCGGACGCGGACAGACGCCGCCACGGCCGCAGAGGTGACGCCGGGGCGGGTTGGAAATAGACAGCGATTTGCTCGTTCGAGATCTTCGCGTTCCATGGACCATCGCCACGTCCCTTCCCTTTCCTGGCCCCGTCCTTTTCCTTTTCCCCCGCGTGCTACTGACCGCTCGCCGCACGATCCTCCGTGGGCGCCACCGGCTTCCTGCACATCGCACACGCGCCGCGCCGCGAAAGGAAACGAGTTCTAAACCGCAATTCCGTCGCGTGCAGGTCGTTGATCACACTTAATTGATTTAGCTCGCATACAGTTATCACACCCGGCCCTGCGGTCTCCGCAGGCCCCAGGGACGCGCGGGAGACGTCTCGGGCTTCACAGCGCTGAGCAGCGCCGGCGAACGAACCCATCGCTTGTGCGGGGCGTGCCTTCCCAGGTCGCGGACGCCGGGTGTACGCTCGCGTTCGCGTCCGCCGTAGGGGGTGCACCCGACGCCCGACGGGCCCCACCGCCTGATAGTCGACTGCCGCTCCCCCTGGTCGCCGCCGCTCGGCGCGCACATCATCGGCGACGTACCACGAAGGAACTGATCTGCGCACCCACATACGCACCCGGCCGGGCGAGGATATCCTCATCTGACCGCGCGAGCGGGGGTCATGCCGAGGATATGGCTCGGATCTATATGTCCGACTCCGCTATGTATGTACGACGGGCGTGCTCATCGCTCACCGAAAGCCTCGCCTGTGCCGGCGATGGCGCGGGCTCGCGCTGATCGCTTTCAAACGCGCGCGCGGACGTCGCGCGTATACACAGTTCTCCACACAGATGAGTGATATTCAAAACATCCAATATTAGCGGAGTAATTGTCAACGCAAATCAGATAGGGTTATACCGTTGCCATCCATCTTGCGCACGGCATTCCCTGTTGGGCGCGGCGGCGGTCGGGATGTGCTAAACGGGCACAAGGATGGGACGCTGCACGACGCGTGCTCGGAAGCCCCCCCCTGGCTGGAGAACGTGTACACCGAAGTTGGCGATGAGCGGGGGCCACGATCGGAGCAGAGCAAGGCGGGCGTGGAAGGGATCGAAGGCCGTTTCGAGCTCAAGGAGGGAGGCGTTGCGAGGCGGCCGCACGGGAGGCGAACAGTCGCGACGCAGGCGAGCGCGCGCTGCCCCTCCCAGCGTGCGCCAGGCTCCGACCGCTGTCGGGCGTCGGGTACGTGCTTGGAAGCCGCGACTGGGCGACCGGCGAGGCGTTCTTCCAGCCAGACCCCGCGCGCCAAATAAGTATGCATATGCATCACCCGAGTCCCTGTACCTGCCGCATTCGTGCGTGCAGCGCCGGGGTGGGCGAGCGCATGCCCGTTTGAGCAGCGGGCGGGGGACGATCGCGCGCACAAGTGCCACGGCGCGCCAGGGGGTGGGTGCGCTGACAGGCTAAGCAGCGTCCTGTGACCGCCAGGGGGCAAGGCGGCCCGCGCGCTGGCAGGAGCGGCGACAGCGATACTCACGACGCCGCAGCGGCCGTGCGCGTGCGTACGTACTACGGGGCAGGAGTCAGTTAGGCACCGCAGCGCGTCCGACGCGAGCAGAATCCGAGCCCGCCGCCCGGGTGGGGCGTCCCAGCAAGAGGCCCGCGTGCGCAGAGCGGACGCGGGTTGCGCACTGGGCTCCCTGCCCCGAGACGAGCTCGCCGGCTGCTGGGATGGTCGGCGGGCGTGGATGCCTTGCGCGCGCAGGCATCCCGCGCCGAGAGGAGGGCGGGGCTGAGGAGAGCGCGGTGTGGGAAAGCCGGGAAGCAGGACGAAAGCGTCAGTGTGCGCGCCGGAATGGGCGTCGATTCGCGGCCGGGCTAGTCCGGATGCGGCAGGTGCTGGGCAGGATTGTCGCACTGATCGGCGAAGGTCAAGTGGGCGAGGATCCTCGGCTTCTACACGTCACACCGCGCCGCCCTCGTACACTCGCCTGCCCGCAGCGTCGCAGGCGCAGATAATTATACGCGTTCGGTGGGCCCATGACACGCTCGTACACGCCACGCGCCTGCAGAGGACGTCTGCGCCGGCGCGGGGGGACAGCCAGACGGGCTGCTGCCATATCGGCTGTACGTGGTTTGCGTTTCTGCGTGTTCCTGCGTCCCATTCCGGCGTCGCGCCCGCGCGCGATTTGGTTCACAACTCACACCCACACTTCGCCGCCGTACCCCCAATCAGCGCGCAGTGATACGCTCGGGCCTTTGAGTGGGTGCGCCGCAGGAGCTTCGCAAGACGTATGACGAGGACGGATATGGCCAAGCGCGTCCCTCACGACGGCGCAGGCAGTCAAGCATCCACTGCGCAACCGCGGCGAACCTGTCAAGCCGCCAACGCGAACCCACGCACGTCTGACGCTCTATTCGAATTCAATATTAAAGAGCTGCACGGCAACATGGGGGACAGACACACGCGCGCAGGCGATTTGAGTGATGGGCCACGCTCAGCCCAAGGCCCCGCGTCGGCTCGGCGGGGGACGTAAGCTGATTGCCAATCCCATTCATCCCGGACGGGCGACGGCGGTGTGGCGGCCTCGTGCGGGCGACGGACGTCATGCCGGGAATCAGAGCGCGCGCGCACGGCCTTCCTGGATCGAACAAGCAGCACAGATTCTCTGAGCACGAAATACGCCGGCCGAGCGCACTGAGGGGCTCGCAGGGACGCGTCTGAGCAGCGCACCGGGCGGCCAGCGATCGCTATCCGCCCGCGGACGTGCAGGGAAGCGTACATACGCAGATATCCGCGCACAGCGCCAGCCCCATCCGCCCTGCCCATCCATCATCGCTCAAGCATGCTTCGTGCGCGGCGCTGGCCGTACGGTGCTCCCGCTGGACTGCATTGTGGTCTCGAATGCACCCGGCGTCGTGCACTGATATGCAGATCGGCGCGCAGCGCCCCGGAGAAGGTGGTCTGCCCTGCCTCGTCGGTGGCCCAGCGCGCTCGGGGTGGATCCGCCGACCCACACGGGCGACAGCGCGTCCTTGTATTCGCCAAGCCGTGGGAGGGCGTGCGGCAACGATCAGTCCGGCGCTGCGAAAGCGGCGGCGGGGGCTGGGAGAGAAAGGGCGTACCGGGCGAGGTGCAGAACCAGGGAGGAACCGGCGGCGCGAGGAAACGAGGAGAACCCGCCCGCGCGCGCAGGCGCCTTATGAGTGGAATGTTCGAACGGGGGTTCTGCCCAGGGGAGGGGCCTCTGTCTCCCTGCGCGCACACCCGGCGGGGGCTGAGCGGACGTTCTTCCGTCGACATCGGCAGAATCCCGAGGCGAGGATCCTCCCGCACGGATGCAGTTGCGCGACGTCGCTGGCGTCACCTTTCAATTATGTGCTGCCCATGTCTGGAAAGTCAATACACAGAATGTCTTGTACGCGGGACAGAGGACACGGAGGACATACGTTTGCCATGAGCGTGTTCGCCGGCCGCCAGAACGGGATATCCGGAGCCTGGAGGGATCACGTATGAGCCGGCGAGCGCTTCGTCTTCGGGAGACTATCCGCACGACCGCGCGAGCTTCGTCGACGTCGCGTCCCCAGCTTGGAAACTGCAGCCAACACGCCGCGCAGCGTCCCTCGCCTCCGACAGCCGGAGCGTGCACGATCACAGGCAGCTGCCCGCGCTTGGCGAGTGCGTCGAGCATCGCGCGCGCGAGCGAGCAGGCGTGCGCGGGCCGGCGGCGGTAGGCAGCGTTCCCAGAGATCGCCCCGCCCTGGATTAGACTATGTGGCAGCGCGACAGAGCCGAGAGGCGAGGAGAGGGCGCGCGGCGCTGCGTGGCGTCGTGACAGGCATGGCAGGATACGACAGGGGGAACCGCAGGGTGCGCACTGGGTCCGCGCACGACAGGCCGAGCACATGCTCGCGGAGTGTGTACGGCACTGGAATGAAGGGGGCGTGCAGCAGTCTCCCTGCCGTGGGCGACGGGCTTCCTCGCAGGTGCTAGCGCGCTGAACGTGGTGGCCGCTGACGTCGCTGGGGGCCTGAGGCGGCGGCGATCAGCCTCCCAGGGGCGTCAGGGGGGCGCCCTCCCATGGCAGTCGGCCTGCCATTGCGGACAGGGAGTGGTTTTTTTGGTCGCCGAGCTCGCCGGGGACCATGCATGCGTCCGCCGCCATCCTGATCGGGCCCCCTAGCGCTCCCGACGAGCGAGTCCGCGAGCGAACGGAGCGGGGCGGCGCTGAGAACGATGCGCTGTGAGCCACGGGGAATGCTACGCGGCGGGAGATCACACACCTCTGTCGCAGTGAGTTGCCGATCGTGTGTGGCTCTGAGCTGATGCTATAGATGATAGCCAAACGTTCCCTAGGATGCGCCACAGTGGTGATCAGGTGCAGCTATCATAGGCGGTGGTCTGCAGAACCGTACGCACGAATGCGTACAGGTGCCGACCTCGAGGCCTGCCGACGTGTCTTCTGGACGAATGATCACAGGCGATATTGCAGCGACCGCGCGGGTGGGCGGGCGATAGGCACGTCTTGTTGCGTAACAGACGATAGCGCACGTCATGGGCATGCAGGGGCAGCGCGTGTGGGAGAGCGAGCAGGAGGGCGTGACGGGGCTGATGGGCGAGGAGGAGGAGAGAGAAGGGCGCCGAGCGCGAGCGACGGGATCCGCGCTCGGCACGGCTAATTGTATGGTCCCCGGACGCGCGCGAATCTTGATTAGCGTGAGAACCGGCCCCCGATGGTAGCCAGATGCCCGATATGGGCGCAATCCCACGTGGACGTGGCCACCCGCAGTCAGGAGACGCGTCCGCATTTGGCGCCATGAAGTTGGAGGAAACTGCGGTAAGTTCAGCGGAGGACGAGCCGCGAGGTCCAGTGGCCAGCAGCCCCGGCTCTGCGCGGTCGTCCTCTCCCCCCCGCCGCCATGTCGTCTGCGCATACAGGCAGCCGAAATGCCTCTCTTCGTCGCTTTACGTCTCTGCTCGCGCCTCCGTGCACCACGCTCGCTTTGTCATGCCCTGCAAGTTCGCCGTCGGCCCACCCTCCGGATGGTGGGGTGTTTTTGCGATACCGGCCATAAATGTGCGCGGCAGCTGACACCCGGTGAAGAACGACGCGTGTGCTGCGACCACCATGAGGTAGACGGAGACGGACATTGCGGTACCTCTCTTTCCCCGTCCCCGTACGCCTCACGCTCATGATCGACGCAGAACCCCCGCTTACGAGGTTGATTCATTAGCGGAAGTGACGAGGTGCGCACAGGCTCCGTCCGTTCGCCGCTCTTGCTAACCCCGTGGCGCCTCATGCAGTCTTCCGACGTCCGACGCCCACCGCCCGTCGATCGAACGCAAATCCGGACTGCCTCAACCACACGGTGTGCACGAATGCCGCCCGAATGAGCGCCGCCGAGGTACTCCTGCATATCGCCCGTTCATTTGTGGTTGGCGCGCTCTCACAGCACCTTCGTAAGACATCACTTGGTATCTGTTTCATTGTGACTGGTGCTTACGGAAAGCCTTAAAGTTCTCCATTGATTCGGGTTGACAAGCTGCGGGTGCAACATTTACCCGGGGCGGTGGTATCCCAAATTCTCCGACATTGCCAGCATCGTCCGATAGCAATGTTGCCACGTCCGTGTAGACGGAACTGCTGTCCCAAAACAGACTGTGCAGTACAGGATGATCAATTTCGTCTGCCACCATTCGGTCTGAACATGACGGGCCTACGCGCAGTGGTGGCGTGGGGCCTCCTCACCATCCAAGTATCTCGATTGAGCTGCAGATAGAGGGGGACACTGAGCGGGTTTTTTGACAACCCGCAGCTGCTGTGCGTACAGTATATCCCGTGATCATCCCACTAGCTGACTTAGTGACAGTCCCACCCAGCGACGACGTCCCTCCGACAGCTACAAGCACGTTAGCGACACCCGCGATGTTCTCACATTATCCTCCCCCGTGTCGTAACTGCACACACACATACACCCGAGTCCTGCGCCACACAACCCATTGTCCCATCGTCAACATGGCCGAGGCGCGCGTCCGTCAGCTGAAACTCTACTCGTGCGCCGCTGAGTGTCAACTGGGTGACGCGGATCTCGCGTCGACAATGCACACTTGTGTCTCGCCCTCCGTCGCCCTAGCGCAGTTCGCGCTCATATCTCCCTGTGGAATCTGCGCCCGCGGTGTGCTGGCAACTGGAACGGTCGCTCTCTCCCCGATATTATCTCCTCGTAGCCGATGCTGGTCGGAGGTGTGACCAGTGCACGCCTGCCATCTCACAAACCATCGCGTAGTGCACACCTGTCATCTCACAAACCGCCGCGCTGGAGTCCCGGGTTGGGGGACATGCAGGTCTAGGACAATGGTGAAGACTTGTGTCCCGCCCCCCGTCGCCCTAGCGCAGTTTGCGCTCCTATCTCCCTATGGCATCTGCGCCCGCGGTGCGCTGGCAATTGGAACGATCACACTCTCCCCGATGTCATCTCCTCTGCAAGCCGATGCTAGTCGGAGGTGTTGTCATTGTACGCCTATCATCTCACAAACCATCGCTCTGGCGTGCCGCGTTGGAAGACATGAAGGTCTAGGACAACGGTGCGTACATGTAGCCTTCGTACTGCACGTTCCAAATGGGTTAATCACCTCTCCTTGCAGCCGGTAATCGTAGCCCCGGAATACGAACCTCACACGTTCAACGCCCACCCATTCTTACATTCGGCGGGCTGCTTTAGAAGACACGCAGCTTTACGACAACGGTGTACGCGTACCGCCCTCATCATAGATGGTTCAAATGTGATAATTGGGTGTCCTCGCAACCGGTCCTCGTAGCTCCGAAGGCCGCCTTTCACGCGCCCCATATGTCCCAGTGGACTTTCTCCCCGAAGCCGCTGCTGTTCGGAAACATCCGTTCTTTCAATGGACATTCATCGGTGTGCTCTGATTTAGCACACCGGCCGACCAACAAAAATGGTGTGTGCAATGGGGTTATCACTCATTCCAACCAACCCTCGCAGCCCCCAAAGGCGAACCCCGCACGCCTTGTTCCCCCCGCCCGCCGCCCACCGCCCACCGCTGCCCGGCGACGCACCAGAGTCCCAGTCGCCCATTCTCTGCAATCATTGTTCTCCAGAGCTCTTCACACCATCTCTGCGGGCATCACAGCGCTCCGACGGGACTGGGACGCCCGCCCCGGGGACCGGCGCAGTGCCTGGGCGCACCACCCCGTTAGGTTGGCCCGGCGCCCCCCACCCGGGCTGCGCGCGCCCCCGCTGGCGGCCCTGCACGCTTCTGGCGATCACCTGGATCCGCTCCGCGGCACATCAATTTCACCACACACACTAGCGCGACGCTAACCCCATCGCGCCGGCGTCCCCCCAGGGCTGGGGGTCGAGGCGTCGACGTCCGCAGGCTGCGGGTATCTGACTTCGTGCGGCCTCACTGGCTTCCTGCGGGGTCGCGAAGCGGTTTCATGCTGACAGCCGTGTACGTCGGCGGCGGGCGTCGTCGACTGCGGGTGGTGCGGCGTTCTCGAGCGCATCCGCGGAACGCCCCGGCGCACTGGAGGGTTCGACTTAGACTTCCGGGGAACGTCCAAGGTGTGGGTGAGCGCAAGGGATGTGTGCATACGGGGATGCTGTGGCTCACTACTTACTGCAGAGCCTGTTCTAAGCGCATGCTGGCTTCCTGGCGTCGCAACTTACGTTGCTTACGCGATGGGGAATGCATGTCGCGGAGCGCAGCTCACCGACGCCGGACGCGCGCCCTCTCTCGATGTCCTCGTGCCCACCATGAAGAGCCTTGGCTCTGAGGCGCCGTTTCGACTGGAACACACGGAGCCACTAGCACCCATCATGTGCAATCAAACTACTCCCTTTGGCCTTATGTCGCCCTACCCCAAATCCGACCTTCCCCTTCCCTCTCTCCCTACGGTCGGGCCGGTCCCCCACATCGAGAGTGCGACGATTGCGCGCTTAGCAGTCCAACTGGCAGAGGCGCCCACAGCACGTCGCAGGTGGACATTGACTCTCGCGCCGTTAGAGGGGCCACAATCCACAATCTGTGCGGCGGGTCAACATGAACGAATATCGGACACTGCATTCGTTGTGGCATGATGTGGGCCCGAACCCAGATGCGTCCGTGGTCCGCGGGTGAGGACGGCCGGCGCTTCCGCCACTTGCGCTGCGGTCGGAAACGGCGTTCACGGCCGGAGTGGAAGGCCAGTGGAAAAACAGAGGTGTGTTGGTTGGAGGGCATACGGTGCGTGTACATCCTGCTGCTCTTCCGCCCGCCACGGGGGCTTGAACACGTCTGACGAGCTCCGGGTTGGTGTAGACCTGCCTTGTTCTACCTCGTTGCCACCAAAGGTGGCCTTTGGCACCACCGTGATGCAGGTCCACTCGGGCGTTGATAATCTAGGTGTTCGACGGATTGCATCGTGCGGTACCGGGTCCTCCATTCTACAACAGATATCGACCTCCCGATCTGCCAGGCCATCCGCGGCCACCGTATTTCCTGCCCTGTGGCCACGGGCCCTCATGGACCACGATGACTGTGCGAGACCCAGGACGTGGTACATCAGGAGACTGGGTTGCGCTCCGTCCTCGGTGGGAAGAACATGTCACGTCTATCCAGTGAGAAGCTCCCCCAACCATCGCGGAATCCCTCACCCATCCCCACATCCGCACTGCGATCTTGCGTAAATGTCGGGCCGGCTTCTGGACAATGTGCGGTGTGCACACGCAGCGCCTTCGACATATCGCTCTCACCGGGGCTCCATGTGAGCCTTCCTGCCGGGCCAGCAGGTCAGTGCAAGTGCGCTCTATTGGACGGATGACGGCTGACGTGCATCGCTGCGGTCTTTAAGTCTTCGGGGAGCGAGGTTCATCGCGGGGCCACCATTCATCAAGGCACTCGCAAAAGCACGCGTCCTTCTATCCTCGTAGAGAAGCGATGTCTGGATGCCGTGCCCTCGCGGGCTGCAAGGTGATGCTGGCGTGCCCGGAGAGCCCACGGGCGGTGGATGGGCTCGACGTCGACGCTCGGGGTTTACCGTACTCGTGCCCGCCCTCGCAAAGTTCCGACCGGGTCTCCAGGGGCAGACATTGAGCGCAATGTTTCGAAGTACGGGACATTCGAGACTTTCTGCTCGAACTCGGATTATCTGTCGCACCCCGTGGTACATCTTGGATCGCTACAACGTGGCAACTCCCACTCCCACCTAGCGACTGCGCGTCGGCGTTTGGTCCTCCGTTTACACCGCCGGCCGCGTGGTGTATACGAAACGAACGGACTCCGAATCATACGGTCATTCTAAGTGAGTTCGCCGCATTATAGCCATAAACGTTCTCCAACCTCTTCACACTTGAGGCGCGGCGGAAGGCAGGGGGCCGGGACAGCCCAACCACGCGATCGCTCCGCCAAGGTTCTATCCCCGCCCTGCAGCGCCAATCCCTCGGCGGGCATTGCCAGGCTGAACCAGAACACGATAGGAAAGACCCTAGAAATGCCCATCCTACCCTCAAAAATCAAAGCTGCGAGTGCGCGGGAGGCATCGTGGCTGCGAGTTCGCGCTGCGTTGCCTTCTGCCGCCGGTGTATGTGGGTCTATTCGGGCGACAGTTCGCATCGTCCGTTTCGCTGTCTGTGGCGGCGTTCTTAGGCTTCCCGATTGCAGCTCGCGCCCGAAGTTACCCCGGCAGGAAATCCTGCGATACGCTCCACGGGTCGAGCAGGAAACGCACCTACCCATGTGGAGGCGTGCAGTGCCGCGCGCGATATCCTGTTCCACCGGGCAGTGACCACTTCTATTCCGGGAAACGTTACTGCTCTCCTCGGTGCTTGCATCGCACGTGGGGCGGTCTGTTCAGCCCGTAGGTAGGCGTGATTGCGCTCTTTACCCACTGCATACGAAACTCTAACACGGAGGTTAGAGAAGTGCTCCGCGGTGGATCGGCCGGGGTTGTCGGCCACAGGAGCGATATATGTCACAACGTCACACAGCAGGCCCAGTGGCGAGCGTACGCTCGCCGTCGGACTCGCGGTATCGTCGCAGCTCCTACGTCGGGCGGAGTCCCGCTAGGGACCAAGCACTTCTGTCTCCCAGCTTTTCGAAGTACGAAGACGTACTGGGGTTCACAATGGACGCCGCTCCGCTGCGAGTGGAGGTTATGTCAAGGTTACTACGCTGCGCGGCGTGCTATCCGCGGCTCCTGCCCCGCAGGTAGGGGGACTAGCGTTCGTTTGCGCCATCACGCCGGGTGTGTCCCCATTTTGCTATCAGTTCGAAGCGCAAGTAGAGGGTCCGCCGCACCGGGGGGATGGCACCGCATTCTGGACGGGAACCCGTCTGGGGTGAGAAGGCCCGTGGCCGCGTGATAAACTCTGCGCAGCCTTGAGTCTATGCAGCCCGTTCTCGACTCTCACAACCGCCCCGAGTGGGAGTCGGCACTCTCACGCCGACCATGTCACGATGATAGCATGAGCGTCGAGAGTCGCCGCGGGCGAATATAGCTTGCCCCTCGGAGAAGTGCGCTTTCGCGCCTTCTGTGAAGTTGGGCGCATGATAGATCGCGGTCATGGTGAATTCTGCATCCTTTTGCAATTTCGGGTGCTTTTTTTGAGTTTCTCACTGGACGTCAACGGGGTTCATGACGTCCCGTACTGCATATTGGCACGGGATACTACCGCGATGTCACGGCAAGCTATGACGTGATGGCGTTAGTAGTGGCTGCATCGGAAGCCTGAGCTTCGTCGTTTCTCTCGATCTCCCAATGCGTCTCTTGGCGCGGCGTCCATATACCTAATGAATCGCTGTAAGTACAAGACCTAGACAGATTTATTGGGCGGCGGTCTGTGCACTCTCGACAGATGGCTGTAAACTGTTGGATTCTGATCCCACTGGGCGGAAGGTCCGGGCCGCAGCAAGGTTCAAATCGAAGGGTCCGATACCAGGCTAGGATAGCCTTGCATAGGCGGATGAGATTTGATGCCCCATCGCAGTTTTGCGTTGGAGGTGACATGTTCTTCTGCAGAAGTAGTTGGAGACGTACAGGATGTACCATGGCAGTGCGGGGTGGCGCCCTATGAAGTTGGAAGGCCTTGTATTCTCGTTTTTGCCCGTCCACTACACCGAAGGTTTGATGAGCACACTACCCCGTTGAATGAGATTTAGCGCAAATTTTTGAGCGGAGCGGCACTGGCCATGCCCCGAGCGAGATGGATGGGTGTAGATGGGGCATCGCTGATGATGAATGAACTTAAGGAACCGCGGGAATTGAATAGGTTGAGCACCGCCACATGGCAACATTGACTCACCACCAGAGATAGCCGCCCGCATCTCTCTCTTGCCGAATTCCCATCCCTTCCGCAGGCGTGACAAATTACTCTTTGGTTTTTCGTAGGTAACTCTGCCGCTCACAGGCGCATCTTTCAGCGTAATCGGAACTGTCCTGTCTGACCTGCAGATTCTCAAATGTCACGCCAGCTTGGCTACCATCTCATGCCGATTTTTGCTAGCCGAACTCGGGCGATTCCCTGTGGCGCGTGGCTGGTGCGTTTTATTCTCCGAATGTCGTTTAAGTAACGTCGTTCACGATCAGCGGCTTGTCGCAGGTATGACCAGATGTCTCGCTAAGTCTATACGACTGATTGTGGCCGCTCGAAGAGGCTCCAACTAGACCATATCGGCACCTGTCAGACGACGCCATGCCGTTGATATCGTCCCCCAGCAATCCACACACAACTGCTTTCGGGAATTTCGTCTCGCCACTCTGGCGCCCTGTACTCGGCAACGCGGTACGCGATTGTCGAGGTGTCGTACGTCTCGACTATGAACGGAGTGCTCACCTCCGCGCTTCTCTTCGCTCCCCACTTCATTGGAGTGAATGACTGACTATACAGGGCCTCCGACGTGACCACATGCTATTGATACCTCGAAACTCACGAGTTACGTGTCGTGCGAGGCAAGTTGCCGCGCCTGAACTCTCCAAAGAGGCCTCCTCGCTTTCGTTATCAATTAACAGATCCGGTTCCGCGATGTTGCCGTTTTTCTGAACATAGCTGTAGGCCCCAACTCTCCGCCGCCGCAAGTGGCCGCGCTCGCTACAACATCCGCGGGAGGCATGTGGTCTCAAACTCTAGAAATGTCCCAATTCACATGCACCGGCCGGGTCCCGCACTGCAACGTGTTTGCCTCTTCTTATGCGAAGTTCTAATTTCCCTTGGACAAGCCGCCTCGGACTGGCTCCGCACTGCTACGAGGCGCCGACCCCGCGACATCGGATGGCGAAGACCCGCTCGCTCGTCCGCTCCTCTTCTGATTCACCGCCCCTCCCAGACCTGCGAGGCTGTTCCCCCCGGCCGCTCCGCGCTGCTATCGAACTCTAGTGCACGCTCGACGCTTGACATCTGCAGGGAAGATCATTCAGCCGTAGGGATCGCATCTGGTACACTCAGGCAATCTTTTGGGCGCAAGATGGGTAGCCTTGCGCGAACAACATCGGGGGCGGGGCCTTTACCCTCTAGGAGGATCTGCGAGCGACGTTGTCGGTACGTTCTCCCAGCTGCGCACGTTGCTGCATGCGTTGACCACTCCCGTTATCAGACACGGCTTCCAGAGCCCGCTGCAACCCTCGTCATCGAAGGCTATCCAACATAGGCATGCCTATCCCTCATCGCCCACTGGAGGGCGCAGGGACAGTACCGCGGAGATTGACTCTACGTCGACAGACGTACCGATCGTATGTGTGCCGCAGCGATCGATGGTCGCCGATGTCGACAAGCACCCTATCCTCCTCAGTTCCTGTAAGCAGCATCCTCCGAAGCTGACGGCGCGCGCGTTCGTAACAGTCCGACCGGCTTGCCCTCTACCTCCACCGGCGTACTATCTGGAGGCCCAACGTTCGCCTTGGACAGCCCTCGAAGACGGCCGCAGACGTACGTGGTTCCTCGGCAGCGTCCAAACTGTCCTTGTACCACTTGCATGTCGCGGCGATGAGACCGCAGGCTCGCACCTGATGTTCTGGACGATGCGGGGGATGTGTCTGTGGATTGTGTGGATACCGGACGTAGCGGGAGATCCAGCGGCCGCGCAGTATGTCGCGCTTGTTGCGCCGCCCTGCTCTGGCGGCCCGCGGGGATGACGAGGGTGTGGGTCTACATCGGCCCTTGTGGGCGATATGGTGCTGCACCCCGCCGCGCACGGCGCACGGTACACGAGCTAGGTACCGATCCGTGCCTGTACATGTGCCCCAACTCTGTCTTGAGACGTATTCTATAACGGCGAGCCTCCCTCCCTGAAGTCGTCCCTCGACGAGCTCCTCGAGGCGGGGTCTGGGCGTTCTCCGGCGTCCATTGGTCTCCCGTCTCCAACGCTCACTCACACACCCAAGGGGCGACTGCGCCTCGCCCTCCAGCCTCCCCGTGTTCGTCTCGACGCACGACGTCGCACCCCCTATGCACGCCACATGTTCCTCGCGCGATTCAATTTGCCATACGGTGCCGATGGCGCGCCTGGCAGGTCTACTACGCCCGGACGGACAGCGTATATTCCTGGCGCGGGAGCCTGCGAGAGCGCGCTGACGTCTATGGCTATCTATTCACCCGTGGGAGCGTTCATTATCCCGCGGACCCCCTCAGTCCAATAAGCTCGCCGCGCAGGCGATCGCCGTAAGCCTTCCACGCTGTCCGCATACCCTCCGACGCTGCGGCCGCATACGTCTGCGGCAACGCAGCACGCTCCGGGCTCCGGGCCCCCTCCGGGGAATGGAGAATGAGGGGGCAGCAGGTACGGGGACTCCTACGCTCGATGCCCTCCCGCCCCCGCTGGGGCGCCCAATTCCGAGCCTGCAGGCCCGCGGCGTCGCAGGCGCTGCCGCCCGACGCCGGTGCACCACGCGCGGCGCCCCGGAAGAGGTCCGCCGCGCTGGCCCCGTGGGTACGAACGAGGGAATCGACGCACGCCGACGAGGCTGAATGCGAACTGCGAGCTTCGAATGCGCCCAAGAAGATCAAGATGATTGATTGGTGGGGGGACCCACCCCGGCGGTGGGTGGGGGAACAGATGGGGCGTGCTACTACACAGGGTCGGGGCGATGGGGGTGCGGGCCCCCTCAGGGGACAGTCAGGGGCGGGACCAGCGCGAGCTGACGGTAACTAGTATACAAAAACGGTGCGCGACATTTGTTGCGATTTCGACGGCAGCGGGGGAAGCGGGAGCTGGGGTGAAGTAGAGCGATAGAGATAACTTAGGAGAACATACTGCGGCTATCGTAGAGCGGCGCATGCGATAGCAACCAACGGCGGGGACAGCATACGACGAGTGGGTCCATGTGCAGTCCAACAACGGGGACAGGGACGGACGGGGGCGAGACAACGCGAGCTGCCAGTGGCGCAAGGGGAATGTTCTTTTGATGCGCGGGTGCGGGCGCTGCTGGATGGTGGGTGGTCCGCGGAGCCCAACTTCAAGCCCCGCGTCGCTCAGCGAGATCGGGGCGCAGGGCGGGAGGCAGATCCCTGCTGGAACGCCGGGCGAAGCGCCGCAGGCGCCTCGTCGCAGCTGCACCCGGGGACGGTGCACGCGCGGGAGCGCGCGCCCTGGCGGGACTGTGCGGGCGGGTACACCTCTGATACCGAGCGCGTGCGCCCCTGGGGGACAGGATACGGCCTGCTCGCGTCGCGATGGGCGATGGCGGGGGTTTCGCTGCGGTCGTCGCTGTCGCCGAAGGACGACATCGAGGAGGACGAGGCGGGGGAGGAGTGCATGCGGTAGAGCATCTGTGGCTGCTCGTCCTGGTAGTAGAGCGGTTGGTACGATGTTGGGGGAGTGAGCGTGTGGCCCTCGCGGTGGTTGCGGTAGTGACGGCGCATGTTTGAGTTTACGCTGAAGCGGCGACTGCACCCCGGGTACGGGCACTCGAACGCTGCGGGGGCGTGCATCAGGATATGGAGGGGAAAATATGGAGGCGCAGGACGTACGTTGGTCGCCCGTGTGCGAGTTCATGTGGATCCGGAGGCTGCTGGGGCGGTTGAACCGCCGATGGCAGATACCACAGCCATGCCGCCTGTCGTCGTCTGGGGGACACTCATCCGCGGAAAGCACATACGTGGGCAGGTTCATCTCAGCCATGATTTGGAGGGCCGATGCGGATCGCGTCTGCATGAGGTTGGGTTGACCCGTATGCGGAGAGCCGGAGTGACGACCACTCGAGTGTCCGCCGAACGCATGTCCAGTAGGGGGGGCACGTTGCAACGGCATCGCAGGACCCAAGCGAGTCGCAGGGGGGTGAATAGGGCCGTAATGGTGACCCAAAGTGTGTGCGCCACCGTTGCTGGCGGTAGGCGGGCGGGTAGATTGCGACGGTGCCTGCGATCCAGGGAGTGACGTCGGCCAGGGCGGGCGTGTTTCGTGGTGGACGTGACCCTCAGAGCTGTCAAGCTATCGCGTGCGGGGTGTCAGGTCGTGCACACGGCGGGCGGCCCGACCAGGAAGGTTACGCTTACCCTAAGCGGAGGCGCGGTGGCGCAACTGGTGGCGGGGGAAACGCGAGCGTTCTGGATGGGCTGGGTCTGCAGCTTGTTGAAGTGGATATCTGGCGGTGTGTTTCGCGATGAGCACTTGCCGCGATAGTGCAGGAGGGGATGAGGGGGCGGGAGGGTACGCACCGGGAAGCAGGTCCTGTATGCTCGGCAAGGTGGGCCGGGAATCCGTCGATGAAGTTGAGAGCGACATGACAGAGGGGACGTGCGGGGGGATTGACGAGGGAAGATGAGATGGGGGGAGAGTTGGGAGGCTCAGAGCAAGGACTACCACATACAAGGACAGCGCGGTTATATACGGACTGCAGTCGCAGTGCCACAACCCCCCTAAGAACAAACGCTGAAGATCACCAATCACTGGGGAATTCGACGAGATGCCCCGGTGCGCTGAAAGGACTTATACGGTATGCTTCGACAGCGCCGGGGGGTACAATTATTGCACCGTGAGAACGCGGCCATAGATACACGGCCTGCCGGGTCCACAGCTGCGTCGCTATTGTGTTCGAGGTCGCCCTAGTGTGTCGTGAAGCTACCGAGCGGACATTTACAGCAATGTCGCAAGGCAATGTAGATGGAGGCGGCGGGTGCACAGCGCCCGCGCCGTGAAAGCTCCGGGATTTGCGATATTCCAGATGCGCGATTCACAGCGCTCGCCGGCTGTGAGCGTGGACGAACCGACCTCGTGGCCGCGCCCATATTCGGAAGATTGTGGTAATTGAGTTCCGTCTAGCGCCTCGATGGGACTCCAATCGCGGACAGGCGGCGATGCCGTGTTGGGGACTTGCATTAACCACCGGTGCTCTCGATTAGCATGATCTGGCGAGAATCGTCAGAAAACAGCGTTGTTCTGCGTACGGCCCGCGTCTGGTGACCACACTTGCCTCCGTTCCCTTGGAATCTGCGCGGAGCCGCAGTGGGCTCCGCAGCTAGCCTCCACCGGTGGGAGGAGTCCGGTGTCGAGCTGGCAGCGGAGGGGAGAGCATCTCGCACCGTGTATTCCATTCGCGGGTGAATGGCCCGCAGCGGAAGCAGGAGCCGGGGCCCCCGTCCCCCCATTAGTCCCCGCCGTTGCAGCGTCGAGCGGTGACTGGGGTGACTCGCGACCGCCGACGCCCAGGATTGCTTCACCGCAGCGATCTCTGACATGGGTGGCATCGCCAGAAACCTAAGTTGCGATGGGATGATATTGGCGTCCACGCGCGGGGGGTGGTGTTTGGTAGTCGCCATGTCCGATCCTGGCTGCCCAGCCGCCGAACGCTCTCTGCCGGCATCACGCCCCGTCCGCCCCGTCCGATACCGTGCGAGGCCGCCCGCAGAGGGGCGGGCGCTGAGCCCAAGGGAACGGTGTTCTGGAGTCATGGAAGGAGGCCGCGAGGCTGAGGCTGCGGCTGGGGGGCAATGCCCATGTGACAGATGCGCGATGGCCCCGGCTACCACACAAGTTGCCGGGGAATCGATGCGGGCCCTCAATTGAGTGTTCTGCCCTCCCCAGAGAGCGTCTTGCCTCTGCCGACGGGGATTCGCCCGACATCGGAGTGTCTGCATCGGCGGAAGAGCCTGTCGAGGACGCTATCTGGCGGCAGCGGTGCCTAACGCGCTGCGCGACAGGCCATTACGGCGTGCATGACATCAACGATGCTGCTGCCCTCCGCCAGGCCCAGGCGGCGCCGGCCAGTTCCGCGACTCTCCACCGACATAGACGGGCGTGAGAGGGGGGAGCAGGCGCGGGCTCCTGTTCATGGCTAGGATCTTTCCCTGAGGCTCAGAATGATCGTGAAATCGCGAAGCGGGTCCGCAACAGAGATTGGTCGTACCGCATCCGCGGTTATTTCCCCCTTACGGATAAAAGCGGGCACCTTTGTCCCGAAGCGTCCTGCACCGGAGGCGCGCCATGCGCTGCAGCGGGGGGAGTGGCAGCGACTCCCATACCTGCCGAGAAGCGGCGATGGATAATGTCAGGCGAGAGAGCCACCAGCACTGCACCGCCGTCCGAACGAGATGGAGCCGTGATAGAAATCAGCGGCGCGCGGCGTCGACCTTGTATTCCTAGCTCGCGTGTGGGTGCTATCAGTCGAAGGACACCGGCGTGCGAGAGTGCAAAGGCTCACTTTGACGGCTCGTCGCTTGCAGGCAACACGACCCTGGTTTCTGGCTTGTGCGCATCCGAATTGCGGCATTGGCCGCACACTGGCAACGCAATTTAGACATCTTTTCTTCTGGAAATGATCCTGAGCCGGCGAAGACTCCACGTTCTTACCCTTCGCGTGCTTTCCTGCATAACGGTCACGTTTAATTTGCGGACGCAATCTTGATCCAGCGTTGGGACTCTCCATCGAACCATAACTGGCACCGCACAACACCCAGGGTCCTGGACGCACCGCATCTTGCGTCCACGAACAAGCTACTTGAAGCGCTTATTTGCTTCGTGGACGCTGGCAACACCACGAGTCCGCTGCGCGCGCTGCGCCCTGCCAGAGTGATTGGTCACTCGAATCTGTTGTGCAGATTTATCGCCTGTAGATGTGTTTGAGTTCGACAAGGTTCGACATACAGATGAGATTGTGCAACATACGAAGATTGATGTCGACTTGCGCAGCGATACGTAGTCAATGTCTTCGCACGTGTGCATAGAATGACTTTCATTCCGTGGGTTGCGCGGGTGAGCCAGGCGACCTCGGTGAAGCTGCGACCAAGATACGAAAGTGCCCATAGCAATATGACCGCATGCCTAAACGTTTCTCCCGTCAGGTAGGGACGCTGAAAGATAGGAAAGCGCTACTTCTTACCTGCGGGTGGAGGCCCGGAAAGATCGAGACGGTTGACATGGATGAATACCCGGTAGGTCCGGGTACACTGCGGTCGTCAAAATCCAAATACACTACCCGGTCGTAGAAATCCCGTCTATAGAATCTCATCCAGCCATCATCCGCAGGTTACAGCCTCTGAATGTTACGTTCAGGACATGTATTCAGTACCTCAGTAGGCCAGTACTGGCGTGTCGCCCAAGTGCCACGTCACAGAATATCATGCTTGTTCCGGGATGCCTCAAGGCTCTTGCGCGCCAGCAAAGTTCCAGTCTTCCGAGTTCGCGCACAGCTTACGCAAGGTATAAGCCCCGAGTTAATATGTCTTAGTCCAGCGTCGAGCGGCAGCGTTCCGCACAAAGTTCGGAATTGGTGGAATGAGAGAACAGAAAGGACGTCGATTGATGATACGATCGGCCAACAAGCGCCCGCAGCGCCCCGGCATCCTAACAGATCGCCGGAAGTCCCAGGCCCGATCCAGGCGCGACGATCCCCACATCCCGCTCCCGACACCGCCCTCCCCAACATACGCCCGCCCTCGAACATTGCGCCCTCCCGCGCGGGCCCGTGACCCACCGCATTGCCACAACCCCTCGCAGCACCCCCCACAGCTGTTACGCGAGCGGTTCCTGCGAAGCCCGCACCCCTCGGCTAGCCCGTGTGTGTGTGCGTAGCGCGGCGAATGTGGTCGCGCAGGTCCATCAGAGCCCGCGCGTTCCCTCCGGAGAAGCCGGAGGGGCTGGCGGTGCAGGCAGCTCGAGCCGTGCACACAGAGCGCCCGCGGGGGGCTTCGTAGAGGCCCCGAGCGAGCAGACGAGGCCCCGCCGCCCATGGCACGGGCCGGGCGCGCGCGCTGCCGGCGACGAATGCGGGCGCCGGGTCCCATGGGGCGGCCTCGTGCTGCGATAGGGCGAGGGACTCAGGGAGGCGTCGCGCGCGGCAGAACTGGGGAAGCACGCGGGGGGGTTCCGCGGGCGCGTAACTGCGCGCGAAGCGTTCGCGTCCGGGCGGGGTGTGTACGAGTGTGTACGAGAAGCCGCGGCCGATGACGCGCGTGCAGAGTGTGAATGCGCGAGAAGAGGAAGGCGGGATCGGGTGTGTTGCGTGCGGGGCTGGTGATGCCGAATGCCCGAGTGAGGAGTGTTCGGCTTTGCCCTAGCGTGGCACTATCGCTCGCCTGACCGGCGCCGTGGGTGCGGGAGGCGAGAAAGATGTCGTGAGCGAACACTGGAACCTTTCGAAGACCATGAGCCTAGAGGCGGGGCAAGACGTAAGGACCTTAACATGCGGCATATGAAACACATAGCCTGAGCGTCAGAAGAACGAAGGCAGTGCCGGATTCAGTGGGTGTGAGTGCGGATGCGGCTCGTACGGTGATAAAAGGCTTTACTTTACGTTCCGTGCGGCCTCGAGGATTGTCTAATACTGCGGCAGCGCAAGCTAGACGGCCTGCGATCCATTAATGACGCAGTCGAAGCAAGACTGTCGGTTGTTAGGCGAATTTCTGCGACGGATTGCCGCGTGGACGCATTACACCCACCGTCGTAGACACAGAAGGCGTTTCAAGCTTTGCGATAAGCGATGGCGTACTTGGGGAGATTGCGCTCCGAATCAGCGTACGAGACGCGATTGCGCAGTAGGAGCACAACGAGGTGCGGCGTTTCCGCTCCCAAGTGCTGCATGCAACCCCTAGCCGCAGCAGGCCCCTGTCCGCGTTTGGAGTTCCGTAAGAAGAGACCATGCGAGCGCAACTAAGAAGCACTCACGACTGTTTGCACAACAGCTACCGAGTCCGCTTGCTGTGGCGTACAGGGGTGGTTCATCTTCACGTGGAGGGGCTTCCTGTTGATTTCGTGTATCGCTCTCATGATCATCTCGACAACGTGCAGGGCGAACCTGGTACTAAGTTTGTCGGCATTGTTCCTCGCACGGGCGTGGCGCGTCCGCGGGCATTTGGATCAGAAAGAAGCGTGGATTTTGGGGAGGAAGCAGTGCGGACCTGCACGTAAGATGGATCGTGCGTTTTCGGAGTTGGATGAGGCCATGCCGGCGGGTAAAACATCGTCCTTGATGCGCTGCAATGTGAAGAACAAGGACCGCAGATTTGAAGTGCTCTGTTATGGGGATGTCGGGCGGCGCACATCGCGAGATCGTTCGTCAGATGCACAGCAAGAGTATGTGGAGTTTGTCGGTAGATGTAGATGTCGGTCATGCGGTGATTTTGAACAACGTGCATGGATTCCTGAGCGACAAGGCGCACTTGAGAGCTCCGGTTCGCCGTAATTGAGTTTGTCGAGGACACTGCCTCTTACGCCATAGTGGATAGATGTCTTGCAGTGCAAAGTTTCGTCTGTCGAGTCGGCTGGAGGCCATGCAGGGAAGCATGGTCTCTGCGCTGGAAGGTTTAGCGAGTACGGCAAACCAGAGGACGGTGCAGTGACTTACTGAAAACGTGCCGAACCGTGAGTGACATCCGCGGAAGGATGTCAAAGAACTGTATCGCATTTCCCCCCCTGAGAGCACCGAGGTGGATGAACGATGATGAGAGAAGCTAGCACGAGTCTCGTGTTCCCGTATGATTCCCAAGCGAGGGTCAAAGACGCGCCAAGTCGGAGTCGGAAGGCGGCAAGCTGATAACACCGAGGTATGGAGACCTGTGTAGCGTCCGTCATCGTTCCGCCGGTAAGCATGTCGGTGTCCTAATTCGATGCGCTACGATCATGAAGCCGGAGTGAGCACAAGGGTAGAAAGAAACATCAAGATATGGAACATGCACCGACACACCTCGTGGGTGATTAATTGATTGGGCCACCTGCACACCAGAGATCTCGTGTTCTCACCTGCTGTCAATGTACTTACTCACTCCCTCGACCGGGGTCACTCTCTAACACCGCTCTGGCCCGATTATCTGGGGACTTTGCCTGTGGAGTCCCATCAATGTGAGCCTTGACGACGAATAGAGAAGGGAGGCGCCACCGAAACGGTTCTCGGCTCTCGGTGGGTCTTGCCACTAGTTTCGAATCTTGACATGGGCGGCCTGTCCTGGCGGCGTGTGGTGGCGAAGACCGTAGTAGGTGCACATCGCAGCTCCGCAATCTCCAGGAGCAAGACACGTGTTTGCGATCAATCTGAAGAAACGCAGTGCCAGCACGGAGGTTTTTTGGGTGGATCCGCCGTGCATATGAGGGTGAGAGAGAGAGGAGACGGTCCTGTAGAATCGAAACGCGAGGCAGGCAGAGCCGGTTCTTCGGGCCGCCCCAGTGTTATCGTGGATCCGTGACGATGTTGTCATTGTGTGCGTCACACTCACTCTCCGGCAGCGGGCGTCTATGGGCGTCTACACGATGCACTCCGCCCGACACGCTTTCGCTCGTGCGAAGTTTCGTCCATGCCTCATGCCCTCGTCCGGCGAAACGCCCCGCCATCTCTCGGTGTATTCTCTGCAAGTGCCCACAGCGCAATAAGTACATGTACGTCTCCCCAGCGCCCCAGCCACATCGGTCCTCCGCGCCTCGATCCGCGCTCATCGCACTTGCAGGTGCTGCCACAGCGCCAGCCGCAGCCTGCTGATCGTCCAGCATTAGCGATACGAACCCCGATCAGCTTCGTATGCTTCCGATAGACGCGGCGACGACTACGCATGGTGCCTTATAGTGAGCGCACTGCTTGGAAGACGTCGCGGGGGGGATGTGTTTCCGAAACGTGCCTTCTTCAATGCCGGCGGGCGTACTACCGTACCCCATGGTCGTCCACAAAACGCTAAATTGAGGAGCCGAAATCTCAGCCATGCGTGACTGCCGCCCCATCAAACAGATAGCGCGGTTCTGGTGGTCATGACCGTCTAGGGGCCTTGCCCCGAACGCCAGATGCAATGGATCAATGTGCGTCGCCAACTCAACATTGGCCCAGGGTGAGAGTTTGCGGCGGCCATAATTCAAAATGCGAGCTTCCCCACAGCGCTGGTGATCTCGATGCAAGGATGCGAGCCCTTCGTCGGAGCTCAAAGGGCGTCTTCTTCAGAGGGCGGGCGCAGCATAGGGGTGTTCCAGCAGTTGGCACGCACCGCATTTGATAAACGTGGTTCTCCGGCACTCACGCCATGCAGCTGCGCCGAGGGGAGAGAGAAGCGAAAACAGGGAGTTGCCGAATTCAAATGGGAAAGGGACATTGTGCGGTCTGCGGTTAATACGAGGGTGGATGCTCGCGTCGGACTTCTATCTGCCCTCGCACCTTCTTGCCTTTCTCTTTCCTGCACTATCGACATGCGGTCAGAGGGTGGCAGCGCAGCCCTTCCTCGGGAGTCCGTCACTCTTCCAGGCATCCGCTCGCTATTCCCGGGTAGGCGCATTCCTACTTTCTCTGTGCACTCAGTACGGCCACTCATACAACTGCACTAGACTTATGGACTGCCCCTCATGAATCTCGTCCTTTCGTCAGCACTGCGAGGAAGTTGCCATATCCACACTTCGACGCAGAAATAGCCGTCGAACCCCATGCCAACGCCCCGCCATTGGTGAGCTTGTCTGATTCTGAATTGCAGAACACGTCTGAACGCACCGTCTACAGAGAGCTGCGCTATCTGATGCCCCAGGCTGCAAATCGATGCGTCAGTTTTCCGACCGAAGGCGCACTCTCCCGCCGATATCGCAGGGCGCCACGGCGCCGGCCCCCACCCTCGCACCACCGGTCATTCAGCTTCCCCCCGGTTTGAAATCGGGAATATCCCGCAAGACGACGTCCTCAAATTACTCGCTGGGCATCATGCGGCTCCACCCACTCACCGCCGACCTCGAGCAAGTCGCCTCCAGCTCGAGTGTAGCTGCCCCTCCGCGAGCGCACTTCCGTGCAGGCCTGATGCCATATCATCAAGAGGAGGTCACCGACGCGCACGCAGACGAGATACTCAACGCTTGCGCCCAGCCAGCGTTCCGTGTCACGGTCCCGACCTCCCTAGGCTGCACTACTGTCGAAGCACACCCCGACGAGGTCGACAAGTCTCGCCCCCACCGTTGTCCGCAGTGCGGCAAAGGGTTCAATCGGCCCAGCAGCCTCGTGACGCACGTCAACATGCACACCGGCGCAAAACGTACGTCATGCCCACTCCTCGTCCATGCGCCCTCCGTTGGAAGATGCTGAACCCTCCGTAGCGCATCCATGCCTTTTCCCCGGCTGCCTGCGGCGCTTCAACGTCAAGTCGAATATGCGGCGACACTACCAACGTCACCTGCGACCGCACCCCCCGCTTCGCACGCGAGCGTCGAGCTCCACCTCCCCCGCGCTGCCGTCGGCGTGGATGACCCCGTCCGACTCGCGCTCGCCGTCCCCGCTCGCGCGGAAGTACCTGGCGCAGATGGGCGTAGGCCGCCCCATGCGAGCCCCGAGCCGCCTCGACCGTCCGGCGTGACGCCGTGTCTACGCTAGGGGCAGCTCTTTTAGGGCCGCTCTCTGCTCCTGCTCGCGCTCCCACCGTGAGCTCCACCTGCGCCCGTCCTCGGTCGCGCACACCCACGCGAGGCGCGGCGGCCGCACGCGGGTCGAGCTGGTGACGCGCCGCCATGACGGGCGAGCGAACCACGGCGACGATTAACCGTCGGAGGCAGGCTCGCACCTCCGCACGGCGGCCGTGCCGTGGGAGTGCCCAGGGAGGATGTGGGCATGGGCGCGCTGGCGAATTTGTCTCTTGGGGGCAAGATAGGGATGGTTTGCGGGCGGCGCGGGACGCTTGGTGCGGGGAAACACTGGAGTTGTGCATTGATACTCGCCGGGCGCGAGTGATTAATGAACACTCGGGGCGGGAGGGGGGTGTTTCGAGTGCGTCATACGTCGACATTGTTTTATTCCTGTATCATATATGGGTGTGCGCACTGGGTCGGGCTCACCTCCGGCTGGGTCTATATTTAAATGCTAATACCCGCTATATATTCAGGCCTTGGGCGGATAGTGTGATATATGCAATGTTACGCATGACCTTCTTGACGCGGACCCGGCCTATAGTCCGACCGCCGGAGGTTGAGGCGCCTCCGTTCTACGACATACGCCGTTGATTCTCTACACGCTCATCCTCCCCGCCTGCCTACAGAGTAGCACTGCCTTCGGGCTACAGCTTGACCCCCGCTGTGTCGTTCGATCTGGTGAGGAGAACACCTTCACCCGGATCGTCGTACCGAAGAACACATAACACGCCGATGCCACGGTTGTTTTTACGGCAAACTCTGTGGGGTTCGAACAGTTCGACCCAGCCACAGGCGTGTCCAGAACTTCATCAGGTGAGCACCTATAGCCACACTAGAAGGGGCTCTGCTTTGCACGTTCCACACTCAAAGACGAGTAAACGGCTCGAGTGACACGATGTCGAGGACATGCGAGTACTCGAGCTTCGAACGAACCGCGGTGATGACTGCGCAGTACCCAAATTGATCTTCGTCAAACCCAGTCCGCGCGAAGACGGGCAATCCAATGGTGAGGATCGACGCCGTGTGTCCATCCCGTAAGATCGAGCCGCTCCCATGCTAGTGCGGGCTCAGGCTGTCTGTGGCGCGGTTCTATCGGTTCTATATGGGTGTCGAGTGAGTCAATTTGGCGGCGCGGTTAACATTCTGATACCACGAACGCGGTGGCTGTATTACTTGAGTCGACTCGCCTATGATTATGGCTGACAGCGTTGACGGTATTGACCCCGGGACATGGGCACATATGGGCCACATGGGCGCTCGGCGTGCTCGGGCGGGCGGCTATGACCGACGAGGCCGAGGGGGGCGGGGACGAGGCGCGCGTGGAAGTGGCGACGCGTCCTCGCGATGATCATCTCCTTCGGTGTGCGGCAACCACGACGAGGGAGGCAACCGCGATAATACTCCTCTTCGATGCAAAATCACTGTGCGCATGGCCTCGCAGGAGAGCACCGCGCGTGAACACGTCCAATGACCGGAGGTGCGATGAAAATCCGACCGAGCCCATGCAGATCATCCGAGTCGACGGAGGACGGTGACTGAGAATCGCGTGCGCTGCGGCGTTCCCTAACGACCGCCCCGAGCACTATCCCTAGCTTCTATACAGAACACATGCCCCGCACTCAGTGACTGGTCCGAGAGCTCAGGGGGTGCTCGGCAAGCAGCACTTATATTACCGCCTCGCGCGCGACGCCGTCGCCGCCGTTCTGCTCTTCCCTCCCTCCCCCTTCCTCCGTCGCGCGACGTTCTTTGGCCGCCCCGACCGGCGTAGACCGCCGCGATGGGTCCCCTCACCACTGTCCTTCGTCTTCCGCTTTATGTCACATTGGTGCGTCCGCCTCGGCTGCCCCCCGCGCGGGGGGCTTGTGCCCTGTGCCTCGCAGTCTGCAGAACGTTCGTTACTGATGTCGAGCCTCGACGCGTGCGGCAGTGGGTTTTTGCGGCACTCCTCTTCATCTTCACCGCTGTGAGATTGAACTACACCCTCCACCTACCGAAAGGAGACCCCCTCAATGGCGGCTCGGACTTTTTTGGTATGTTTTCTGTTTCCGCGACGCCTCATTAGAAGCGCCCGCGCTTACTGTGTGCTATTCTAGATCCCATCGTGGCGCATCTGCTCGTCTGCTCAATGCTCGCTCTCGGGTCAATACCCTTCGTGTAAGCATCATATCGCAGTTCCTCTGAAGGCGTATCTGACAGAGCTGACTCCCGCGACAGGATGCATTGGGTGCCACAGTTGATCACCTCGGCCGCTTCGGCCAACCTCTTCGAGCTCGCAGCGCTCTCTGTCATCTGGTTACTATGGCTCGTCGGATGCGTAGTCTCGACGGTGAGAACCTCCATCTCACGTCTATCGAACGCGTGCTTATCGATGCCCTCTATGTCGTTCGCTGTTCCTCCTTGGGATCACCACCGCGCAGAGCATCTGGCCAAACCTCTCGTTTTGCTACCAATTCGCGCCGTGTCGCATCCTATCTGCGATGATGGCCTTCGCCTGGCTCGGCTGGATCGTCCTCGTCGTCCTCATTGTGCTCGCCGTGCTCAACGCGGTGCAGAAAGCGCGCCCCGCGCGGTCCCCGCTCGTCGTCGAGTGGGCCGCCACAAACTCCTTCAATGCGCGTTCAGAGTACGCGCGGTCGGAGTATGGGGGCAGCAGTGTGCACAGTAGCAACATGAGAGAGGTGGTGTAATATGCTGTACGTTGTGTTTGTTTGCTTGTTGTCTGTGAGCGTTGTATCGTTGTTTGTTGTTTTCGCGTTGGGAAGGATAGTTTGGGTTGGATACCCCGCTGTGACTCTGGACCTGTAGAGGCAGTCTTTTGTATTATTGCTTGCGACATCCATTTCAGTTTGACGTTTCCGTGATTGGAAGTGTCTTCATGCTGAGTGCGTTCAAGCCTGTTCAAGCTGTCAACGTCGTGCGAAGTCCCTCGATAGCCGAGGCGACCCGCAGGTAAGCGCGCCAGTAAGATACCAGCACTTCCTCCATCCATCCATCCATCCTCCATGTCATCACATAGCGTCTCAGAGACGAGCTTTGTCCAGCTGCGCGCAAGGGGATCTGTCAGTTCTTCGCCTCAATACCATTCTGTCTTAGGCCTATTTAATCGGCCCTCTCCCTCCCGTCTTACCCTTGTTCTTACCACCACTATCCCCGGCTTCAACCCACAGGCTTCAGCAACTAGCGCTTCGCATATACTCCCGCCGCAGTTTCCTGCTTCCTCCGGCGCGTAGTCAGAAGGACTCATGATTCAAGCTCACCCCGTTTGCTCTGCAAATTTGGCTCAACCGCGAACACAGGCTGATTATATGTGCGTGAGCTCGTAACTTACGTTGACGCAGCCGCTACTGATCCTAAAGGGGCAGAATCGCGGTCACGAGGGTCCGCGAAGTGCTTCTATACGCGCGACGCGTCGGTGGGCTGCGCCTGGATCGTCCGAACTTGGCGGCGCGGGGCTTCGAAGTACGATCGTGCCTATAAATGAGGAGAGTTTACAGCCACAGTACGTCGAGCCTGGGTTGTTCATGCGCACATTCACATAGTCTGATTTGTGTCTGCGTACATAGCTGGGAGTGTCCATGGTGTCCTTACAGCTCCAACTGAGATGATTAAACTGGGTCAGCTTTAGCACATGCAACGCCGGCGTCTTGAGGATGCGGTAGCATTTTAAGCGCCTAAGCCTCATTTTCTGGAATCGGCATCTCTCGGCAACGATCTGCGGCGGCCTTCATCTAGACGCCGGTGTACCTTTGTGGACTTGAACGCTCTCGCTCATCGAGCCCGACGTCGTCGAGCACGCCCGCCGCGATGTCAAGGACGCATGTGAAGCAGCCGTGGGTGGGTACGTTCATGTCATCCCTCGATTCTCATCTCGCGATAACTCGCCCAGACCCCGCGGCCGCTTACCAAACTCTCCCAGCCAGCGGCGGACGCGCACCCTCCGAAGCACCCTCCTGCCCACCCATTCTGAGAGCGTTCACAAGTACTCTATCGTCCGTCTGCAACTGGCACCGTCTGGAGCCCTCGCATGCCCCTGCTGTCCCTATCCGCAGTCCTCGCTGCCCTCCGACCTTCTATCGCGTCCTCCGCAACACTCGACGGCCCTCCATCGCGATGTCACATGTGCAGTCAGTCGACCGCTTATGCCGCACTTGGGGCCCGCGCGCAACATCCTCCGCTGTTCGTAAACGCCAAATGTTCAGATGTTCTCAGCAGGCCGCCGCCCGGCCTGATCGTGCTCTAATCGCGATGCCACTCTCCCGCGGCTAATCCGAATTCCCCCAACCCTGCCAGGGCCCTATATAGCGGCGGCCGCCTGAGAATTTGCGCGCATCCGCTCTTCCGCCTCTCTCTCCTGCCAATTTGCCTCTCGCTGCGTCTGCTTCAACTTGCCTATCTGTCGCACTTGCTTGCCCGCGATCTACCCTGCCATGTCTGCGCCCACTCTCAAGCTCAACCCCCCGTTCCGCGCGGAGCAGATCGGCTCCCTGAAGCGGCCGCAGGCGTTGCTCGAGAAGCGCAAGGAGTTCGAGGCTGGGAAGTGCACGCAGGAGGAACTGCGGGTGGTCGAGGATGAGGCGATCAAGGCGGTCGTCCAGGTACAGCGCGAGACGGGAATCAAGGGTATCACCGACGGCGAGTTCAGGAGGTGCGTTTTTTCCGGGCATCTTGCGAAGCTCGATCGTAACGGGGCGCGCGCAGACACATGTTCTACGACGGCGTGTTCGACAACCTGGACGGCATGAAGCACATCAAGCCCGTCCCCATGCACATGCTCATGGACTACGTCCCCGATGTCGCCGCGTTCAAGGAGCACGATTTCAAGGGTGCTGACACCTACGTCTGCGTGGTACGTACACAACTTGTTCTTCTCTTCTCCCGAAGGAAGCTCACCTCTCCACAGAGTAAGCTCAAGCGGACGAAGCAGTTCTACGTGCCCCAGTACGAGGCCCTGAAGGCTCTCACCTCACCAGAGGTGCGCCACGGTCTCCTGATCACATCTGCGATGTCATCTGCTGACCGACCGCGCAGGAACACAAGAACCTGAAGATCACGATGGCCGCGCCTGAGTGGTTCCACCTCAGGCACGGCGAGTACGCGTACCCGAAGGATGTGTACAAGAACGACGGTGCGCCCAGCCCTTCTTTTTCGGCGCTGCCAACTCAATCTGATCGGGCGATGTGTGCGAACAGATGAGTACTTCGCGGACATCGCGGTGGCGTACCAGGCGGAGCTTCAGGACCTGTACGCGGCTGGCTGCAGGAACATCCAGATTGACGACCCCCTGCTCGCGTACTTCTGCGCGGAGTCCATGATCAAGGGTATGGAGGAGCGCGGCATCAACCACGAGGCGCTGCTCGACACCTACATCAAGGCGTACAACGACTGCTTGAAGAACCGCCCCGCAGACATGAACGTCGGCCTGCACTTGTGCCGCGGTAACTTCCGCGTACGTTCGGCCGTCTCAATATCACCATTATCGTGTGCGATGCTTATAGGGAGGATATCATGTAGAGCGGAATGCACTTCAGCGAGGGGGGCTACGACCGCATTGCGATCAAGCTGTTCCAGGAAATCAACGTGGACTGCTACTACCTCGAGTACGACACCCCGCGCGCGGGCACTTTCGAGCCTCTCAGGTTCCTCCCGCCGCACAAGGCGGTTGTGCTGGGGTTGATCTCCACCAAGTTCCCGCGTCTGGAAGAGGTCGACGACCTCGTACAGCGTGTGCGCAACGCCGCGACTATCATCTCGGGCGGCGACGAGAAGCGCTCGTTCGAGGCCGCGCTTAACCAGTGCGTATCTCTTTTCTTATAATCACAGCATATGAGGCTGACAGAACATTTTGTTTTAGGATTTGCATCAGCCCGCAGTGCGGATTCGCGTCGCACTCGGAGGGCAACCTGGTGGACGACCACGCGATGCGCGAGAAGCTCGCGCTCGTCACGCGCACCGCCCGCGCCATCTGGGGCGAGAACTAACCCACCCCAAAAAACCGCACATCCACGCACCGCGCCCTTGCCTCCATGAGGGGCGGCGGTGGTAGACTGGGGATGGCGGCGGGCTCAACGCCCGCTCCGCGCGAGGGTGGATTATTACTTCTACTTCTGTGCTATTGGGCACCACAGCCGGCCGAGCCAGCGCCCGGTGCCGCCCATGTTGGCCTGATTCAACTCGATCCTGGGGGCGTGCAGCGAAGTGTATTATGTACTTGTACCATCATACAGAGATGTCGAATACCACCCATACCTCCCACCGGCCGCGGTTTTGTGTGCTCATGGCCGCGCATGAGACTCAGAGGGACGGGCTCGGAATGTCGGTCCGATGTCCCGACGCCACGTGCTGACGCGCGCCATGTACGATGCGACGCGTCGTGTCGCGTCGCGCCTGTCGTTTCGTTCTTCCCACCACCATCAAGCTGCTTACTCTGCGTGATCTTCCTGCAGCTGTGTCCTCTGTGTCCTCTGTTTGGAACTTTACTGCGAACTGCTTTGGACTAGTCATGCTCGTCCCTGTCAACGTAAACATCCCTGGACCTTCTTCTCCCGCACATCGCAAACTACCACCTCAGCTCGTCCAGTTTGGGTCGGACGAGCTCGTGCTCATAGAAATGCAAGGTTCACTAGAAGTGGATGGAAACAAGGATAGCCAACTTGTCGGGAAGCTGCGGCTCGACCCTGCTACGGTACGCCATTCTACCCCCTGTTTTGGAGTTCAGGTCGTGACCTGGTACTAATGCTCCTACAGAATAAGCCGACACTGCTGATCGGCCACCATTTGCTCGAGGGAAAGCTCGTGAACCTCGCGAAACCGCTCGCCGTGCTACATCGAGCCGACGCGCCCGCGGACGCGCCGGGGGAGTCGATGGCCGTAGAGGACTCTGAGCAGGGATCGCAGCAGACAAGCGGCGCGCCGAAGAGCTGGGATATGGTCGCGATCGTGAAACGGAAGATGGTGTTCGCGAAGCGGCCGATGCCTATGGTGGGGAGGCCTGCGTCGGGTGCGCCGCTGTCGCGAATAGGCAGCAAGGCGTAGTTGGGATTTGGTGGTGTTCTGTGGTATGTCCATCGGGATTTTGTGTCGTCGTGACTTGCCCAGAGGCTCGTTTGACGTCTCTTTCCCTAGATGTGTATTATAGCCTGTGTATCTAGCCATATAGCAAGCCCCGCGGTCTGCGAGAGGATAGCCATTGCTGCTTCACCTCAACCTTGGTGTTCTGATAAGATGGTCGTATAGTGTGCTATGCTGCAAGGCAGGTGAGTAGATGTGACTTGACATGTTCACTGGCCCAATCTTATGCAAACCTCACAACTAATGAACATGACCGCGCAGGGTACACCCTCCTAGGCGCATGCAGCGTACCCGCGACTGTGCCGCGCATCCCGCACTCGTATCTGTCACCACTTCTTGTGTCCGTCGACGTCCCAGTCCCCCTTCGGGAGGAACGGTCGTCTTCCGCCTCCGAACGTGACGCTCGTTCACAGGCATAGGTGCCTTTTTCTTCGTTCCTCGTGGACACGGACACCTGGTTGCGCACTTCTTGAATCTACGCTGCTGGTGAAGAAACCTCGCCCAGGGTGCCTATAGACCGCCTTACTGACGAATACACCTTGCAAAGGCATCGCAACTGTGTAGCCACACCCAAACTCCTCTGCTCATGGACGGCTTCCGAGGTGAGTCTGAACCCAGGCTTCTGCGTAGAACGAAGTCCTGTCATACATTCGCTCAAGATCTGGCTCCCGATGTGGCGTAAGTTGTTCTACACTTCTGTCATCTGTGAAGCCATGTCGCGCACCTACTTTGACGGGTTTTGACCCGCGCCCGTGTTCGGCATATAACATGCACTCTGTCACATCGCGCGCTCTTTGTTTTCTCCCTCCTCCTCCCATCTCCGTCCTTGCTACGCCCACAGTAGAGATTCGCCACCTCCCCTTCGCTCCGCTTCATCCGAGTCTTACCACGATACCAAGGTATCTATTGCATATATGCGCGTAGTGATTTGCATGTGTGTTGACAAAAATACTCTCGTGCAGATGTCTCTCGACCCAACCCGCTCGAGTCTCAATACCGACGTCCTCCTAATGTCATGAAGTTCTCCAACGCGTCGACGATCTGCCGTCTGATGCAGATCTCACGCCAGCTCTACCACCGCGGCCCCAGGCTGCTCATCCCTCGCGAGCTCACTCTCTGCCACGAGCCCGAGCTGGAGTCGTTCATCGCGTTCATGTCTGCCGAAGCGCCCTACCGTTTCAAGTTCCTCTGCAACATCATCTTCACGGGCGGCGCGCTCTCGGAGCGCGTGGCCCAGTTGCTCGAGTTCTTCATCCGCTTTGCGCCGGTGCTCAAGCTCGAACTCTGCGGTGTCGCGCTGGCCGACGCGTTCTTCGGCTCACACCCTGCACTCGCAAGCGCGTTCGCTACTTTGATTGGCATTAAAGCGCTCGAGTTGACCGAGATGGGTCCCGTGAGCGCCGCCATGCTCAAGTCCTCCCAGTTGCAACTGACCGGCGTAACGCTGCTCATAAAAGCCCCGCCTGCCGGACAGAGAATTGCTGGTACAGATGATGGCGGCGAGAACGACGCAGACCATGAGGACGATGCCGAGGGAGGAGACGAAGATGACGAAGAAAACGTAGACGACCAGGCTAAGGACAATGGGATCACGCAAGCAGAGGCTCGTAACCCCATCCAGCTTCTGAGCAGGTTCAAGCGCACGCTCCGCTCGTTCTCTGCCAGTTAGAGTCTCACCGGCCCTCATTCGGTGCTTTACAACATTCAGTACCCGCTCGTCACCGAGCTCTGCCTCGAAAACAACGAGCTCCCGATCACCAGGCACTATGTGCGCGCCTTCCCAAACCTCCGCTCCCTCTCCGTCAGCACCTCCCCACAGCACCTCAGCACATTCTCCAAGAACCCGGGAACCTTTCTGCTCCCCTACCAGACGAACGAGGCGCAACAGCTGACTTACGGGACCTGGAACGCACTCATGGTCGTCAGAGGCACGCTCTGGGACGTCTTCCTCCTCGCGCTGCAATGCCCCGTGAGGTGGCTCACCATTTGCGGGCCGTGGCTCGACGCGCTGTTCCTCTCTCCCATCCTACGGCCCACGCAGGCCCCATATCTGCAGCTGGAATCGTTCGACGTCACTGTGTTCGACAACGGCCAGTTCGCGCAAGCGATGGGCGACCCGAGCTCGGCCTGCCTGCGGAGCCTCGACATCTCCCTCGCCCCGGGGAAGACCGTCCGTCCCACGGAGATTTACATTCTACATACGCTGGTCAGTGTTGTATTCGCATCGTGTGTCCTCAGTGTCTCGTCCTTACGCCGTTTCTGCACCCGCAGGACATGCTGATCGCCGGCCTGGCGGAGACCTCCGTCCACACTGTCGGGCTCAGCATCTGCTGCTCGGCCCTGCAGAATCCCCTCCTCCACGCTACCAAGATCCGCCAATGCGACCTCCGCGCGCTCTTCATGCCCGGCAAGCCCTGCGCGGCCGAGCTGAACCTCGCGACGCTCGACCTAGACGCGCTCGCGCACCGCATCCAGATTATGATCCAGGTGGCAGCGCCATCCATCCGCACCGTCGTGGTGACGCTCGCCGGGCTCCGCGGGCGCGAGGACGTGACGGTCGTGGTGGGCGCGGAGCACGCGCTCGCGCTGGGGCAGGATGCGGTGGAGGCCATCCCGCTCAAGTTGGGCGAGGTGATGCGGGAGTCGTCGGTGAATGGTGCGCGATTCTTGCAGGAGGTGCGGGAGGGCAGGGGTCCGGAAGTGCGTGCGGTGTCTGGCGCTGAGGTGGACAAGCTCAACGCTAGAATCTACTCGGATGTGTAGTAGGATACCGGTTTTCCAGATTTGTTGTAATGATCATTAGGAGTCAACAATTTGGCTCTGCACGTATTATAGAGTCTTCAGGAGCTTTGTTCGCGTGTCCTCGATTTAGGGCGCGAACCATCCTTTGCGATGTTACGATTCGAGATCTGTTGACAAGTGTTTGTATATATGCGCGTACGCAGAGTATCGCCGCGTCATTGTAGTGTGCGAAGTACTTAAGCGCGACTTACGCTAAGCGAGTATGGCGCTGCCATGCATGAGATCTGAGGCTTTCGCACATCGCTATCATAGACTAAAGCGAGAGTACTTCTTCCTATGAACGGCCACCTCGGCAATAGCGAGCGTGTGTCTACGGTAGACTTATGTAGTCCCACCTAGCCAGTTAAGCAGTAAAAATTGTTCAGAGTACACTCGCCCAGACCCCGGGTGGGTTGCCGCATGTAATTAATTGTACAATGCAGACGCTACGCTCCCCAGATACCAAACTCGGCTTTACATCCACTCATGCTCCCTCAGGCTGCGTTCTCCACGGCGCCTCCTCGGGCCAAATTGCATCCGAGTCGGTACCGCGGCGGAAAGGGCTGTCAACGTGCGTGTGCTGGCGTGGTGGTGGGAGTGACGCTTACGCTCATACAGCATATGATGAGTAGCGTGTTTGCGGGTGCTTGTCAAGAGCTTCCGATCCTCACGACGCCAAACAGCTACGCACGCTACCCGCGCGCTTCAAGCACATCCGAGTCTCTCTTGTCTAAATAAATCGCAAGAGTTTTCTTGAACAAACTCCGCCCATGCATAACACTACACAATCCAATGGAGTAATATTTCTAGCCCTCTGCGCTTATTTCCACAACCCTAGCGACACGCATGAGTGAACAACTTGTCCGCCGCGACACCCTAAGTTGGAGGCCATGCGCCACCATGCTATGAACGATGCGATGCAGGCCGAACACGGGAAATGGGATAGGCTCGAAACCGCCCGTGGGATGCTCCTCGACCTCTTCCTTCTCGCGCGGTGCTGCCTCGTCCAGCGGCTCATCGTAAGCGGGCCATGGTTCGACCCACGGTCCATCGTGTCCATCGTTCAGCGCATACGTGCACGTTGACTTCTTGGACGTGACCATGTTTTAAACGGAAAAGAATTTATGTTGGCGATGAGCAACCCAACCTTCGCGTGTCTACGGAGCCTTAACGTAGCACTCTCGCATGGAATAGACGTCCCCCCCGAAAACGTTGATATCGCGCGCGCATTGATAAGTCAAGCCATGAAAATCTTTGTCCATTCCCACTCTCGCTACCATGCTGACTTTGTGCATGCGCTCACAGGATGCGTTAATCACCGGCCTCGTAGCGCACTCCATCCACGCCCTACGTAGTCACGGTCACGCATCTAGAAGGATATGAGGTGGACGGCCGTGGTGCTCATTATACACAGTGACAGTTTAGTGAGAGAAAGTGAAAAGAAGGGCGATGAGGGGAGAAGCGTGAGCGTGAGACGCGGAGGGTCGAGCAAGAGGACACGCATGTCGTACTACGCCGAAACGAATGTACACCACCTCAATCTTCTCCTTCCGTTCTAAAAGTCATCCTCCCTCCGCGCTCTCTCCGCGCTCTTCACCGCGTTCATTTGAGCCAATCTCTTCTCCATGTCCGCCTCCATCCTTGCAATTCTGGCATCCATGTCCGCCTCCATCTGTGCCATTTTCTCCTTTATCTGCGCCATCTGGGTTTCTGTCGTCTCTGATTTCTTTGTCAGGTTCTCTATGACCACTTGAGCGTTCTTGAGCGACTTCGCTGTGTTCGCATGAGAGGTCCTCTCGAAGTCCTTGTCAGCCGCGAGCCCAGGCTTCTTGGACAGGACGAGCAGAATATGTGTAGGCTTGTGTGGGGATAACACAGAGTTTTTGAAAGCGCAGGTGTGGCATAATACAAGGTTGGCTGGATGAAGACTCGGTTAGGATGGCGCCGCGGTGTCATCGTGTCCCAGTCCACTCACGGTGATCGTTGGCCGTACAGCTGAGACATCCGAATAGGGATTCTGAGTCGGATACACGAGCTCGGCAGTTTCTACAAGTGTCCGAGCCGTAGACTCGAAGGGGCATGTCCATGAGCATGAACGAGACACGCTGTATTTGTATTTCTAGGGTGGGGTACTGAAGGAGCAAAAAGCGGTGGGCACCGCCTTCATGCGTGAACTCGTTTTCCATAAAGCATTGCGAGCAGTAGTTGGAGTCTGCCTCGCAGGTCAGTCATACGGGATGCGCTCCGAAGCAGATGGAGATCAGACTTACTATCAGGACAGTCTGCGCACTTGTAGCGATCGCCGCATATATTCTTTTTATCCATGCAATGCTCCCCTTTGCATTTACAGCCTCGGCTTCCACATATTAATCAGTAAGGATAATATGCACCATCTGCTCTTCTGTACTCACTGCGATGAGGTTATTTTCCCCTTTCTTCGGGCGTCTGCGGACCCCGCCTGCCGGACGAAGCAATGAGACGTCACATATTCCACTATCTCCTTCGGGAAGGCGGAAAGCTCTGAAAGCTCCGGCATAGTTTGTCTGTGGTCGAAATTTCTGCGCTGTTTCCAGTAGGCGGACACGGCGTGCATGAGTCGCTGGTTGACGTCTTCTGAAGCAGAGAGACAATGCTCAAGAAGTGGATAGAACTCGTTGTCGAAGTCATAGTCGTCTTCAGAGAGTTCTGGCCCTTCCGCCCAGTTAGCTAGATGCCATCCTGGACGCCCGAATATCCTGTCTAAGACATCGTCGTCGCCAATGGCCTCGATATCTTGTTCTATCCTCAGGAATTGGTAGGAGATATGAGCATCAGACCCGGATACGTCTGGTGGGGGGAGCAATTCCAGACTCTCGTAGCATGGCGAGCAGTAATCCACGTCATCTGATTTATAGTCAGTTGACTGGCATCATCATATATATGGTGTACACACCTCCGCCATCACCAATATCGTCATAGACACACCTATATCTCGGTCCAATGATTCGTTCGCAGCCGCATTCGACACATCTAGCATGACTGGGTGGGGTTAGCTGTCCATCGTGATAACGACAGAAGAAGACACACTGTTCGACGGCTTCATGTTCCTGGTCCATTACACCTGCGGTACCACTGATCTCCAGGCACTGCTCCACCTGATCATCCACGACCGAGGGTACTAGCGTGATTCCCAATCGCTTTCGGTAGGATTTCACCACACGGAGTCGGTATCCAGCTAGACTTGTGACGGAAAGGAACAGCGACTCGTCGACATCGAATGATGTATTCGCCTGGAACTTGGGGTCGTACTTCTTCAACTCCTTCTGGATATGTTGCATGCAATGTTTAGACCCCCAAAACCATTGTCTGCGTGAGTGTAGAGTAGCCTGAGGATTATAACTTGTCGCAAAAGGGAAGTTATGCGTGTCATGGAACTAGGAAAGAGCTAAGTCAAAATGCAATAGCCACTGGATCTGCTCTTTGATGACTTACCATGCGGCGCATCAACAATTGCATGGTCTCATCGATCCCTGGAGTTGAAAGTTGTCTGCCTATAAATTCTTGTTGTATCAGATGACTTCTTATATCCAAGGGTCGGGATAAAAACATACTACGGAGGTGATTCAGACGTGAATCCACCAGATACCAGATGGTCTTCATCGTCTCAGAGGCTCTGGACAGGGCAAACTTCTCCAAGACATATTCCTGAGCGATTGAGAGAATAGCGTAGTGGTGTTTCAGGACCAGATATAAAGTCGGAAGGAGTCTCTAAAAACCGGCAAACATGGTATCAGAGACTGGATTAGATGCCTGCATTCTCGACGCATGCTCACCTGTTCTATGTCAGAAATTGGATATTGCAGGCATCCACGATCACTGGAGGTGCTCATGATTCTCTCAAAATTGTGAGAGCCTTCATAAGACTCATAGTTGAGCAGTGTTAGTTCAGCATTGATCTTGTTCTCTTGGATCGTCATAATTGTGCGTGTCAGCTCGAGGAGCTGCTCCTCATGCTGTACGGTTGGATTCGGCACTCGAATGTCTTGCAAGAGCGCCACAACACGGGGTAACCACCTGTCCATGTACCCAACGGCGACCTCACGGTTTTCCTCTGCGGGTTCGAGTTCCGGGATCCTCGTGATGATTGATTCGATGCGTAGGCAGTATATATGCGTGGTGAATGTCGAACCTGCATGAGCGAATTGATACAGGTAAATTTCAAGCATATCTCCACCGGACTGACCGTACACAGAGTATGCGATCCACTGCATGAGTGTGATACATTCGGGCTTTGAGGATGTGAACTGGTTCACATCCTCAATATCGATGAAGCCGTCAATCCGGACATCAATAGCTAAGTTGTTCATGAGCCCAATTATGGTGTATATAATTCATATTTTATGTACATACCTTCTGTGAGGGCCCTGAGCGAGTTAGAGGTGAAATATTTCACACACCAGGCATCCTGTGCTGCTTCTTGAAGTGTGATACCCCGCCCCATGTCCGTGTCCGAGCCGGAAAGCAAACTGTCTTGAAGCCCAGGCAGCTGTGATGCCGTGATGGATACTCTGCTTCCAAGGGTGGGTCGTGATCCACGTTCCAAGTCGATACAGTAACTAGGGTGCACATATAGCGTGGTTTACTTGTCAAGGTTGAGAACTCACTGGTAGAGATTAAGTGCAAATGTACGGGATTCGATTGACCGGTGCCATCCCTACAGACACCAATTAAAAATCATCTTGGCTATATACTGGCTCCGACTTACCATCTTCTTCCAAAGCTTCCGTATGTCCTAATTCATGTGTTAGTGCACCGTCGCCGGAGAAATGAATTCCTTACAGGATCATCAATTTCCTGTGAGTAACAATCATCGATCACCGGGCCCATACTCAATTGAGGCTGAGTTGGATGGTAGATATCTAGAACGAATTTGCACAGGTCTCTCTGCACAAGTTCATCCAATGGTATCTGTTTATGGCTGTAAATCTCTACGCCACTGGACCCCTGTTCGGAGCGCTCGGCCCTCAGAATGTTGGAGGCGAGGTCGATACTTGCGTTATTCTGCAAGCCATACTTTGAGACCGCATACCGGTTAAATCCACTGTGGAAACACAGACCTGATCTGAGACATGTTTCCAAATATCTCCTTCGACTAGTGTCATCCGGGAAAGGTAAAGCGGAAGAGGCGGTCCGCACTCCCGTTGATCTTTACATTGACAATGCTGCATATCTGCCTTAGTCCAATCCAGAATGCAAACTTAGAAAGTTTAGACCGAGACAAACCGTACATTCATGTAAAAGGCAACCAGACCTGATTTGAGCCACTCAAGGTCCTCGGCACATTTTTGCAAAGTTTTCTGGGTGAGTGTCATGTGTTTCAGGACTAAACATAGATATATGGTTGAAGCGCATGTCTACCTTCCACTCCATTTCTCCGTAAATGTAACCTGGTATTGAGTGCATAAATTGATACTTGAGAATGGGTTTCAAGGTGATGCAGAGACATACCTAGTCGACCAACCTCGACACACGTACCAATAAGGCTTCCGAGTCGCACAACAGTATCCTCAAGATATCTGTGGATATTGGTTCCTGAAAGGCGAACAGAAATTAGCATTGATTATAGAGATATGCACAGACTTACCTTCCGGTCCGTGGAGGCCAGTTCGGTGCACCATAATGGTAGCGAGGGAATTCTTGCATCGGAGTACCCTAGAACACACACTGATGATAAGCACACCAACTAGTGGAGAATATATATGTGGACAAACTTGAGGAGACTGCATATCACGCATTCCTGCATCCACTGTATTCTGTTGATCATGTAGCGATATCTCGAGTGCCGCATTGATTTGTCAGACAATGTTCTAGTCTTCTCAAATGCGATGCGAACATCTGTATAAGCAATGATCAATATTCGCCTGCCCTTATAAGAGCACCTGACTAGCTCACGATTGAACATGGGGATGCCGTATATCACATCAGCCAGTGCCGAAGACAAGTATGGCAACCTGACTCTCTGCTGCTCCGGTGTCTGCTCCTGCTGATATTGAGTGTTATCGTATATACGAATAACTGAATTTAACAAGTCTTCATGCACAACACCACCTGAAGAAATTTTCAAGACACGAAAGGGGATACATTCGTTAATAAGTGTTTGTCCTAATTAGCATAGAAAGACTCACGTTCAAGAACATCCCTGGGTTCGCACTCCCGTTTGATGTAAATGGTCGTGCACTTCCATGAAACGTGACTGGTAGCGTCGATGATGATCCACTGCTCCCTATATCCCGGGCCGATACGTTCGTATGTATGTTCGCCGTCGATTTGCCTCAAGACCAGCGCCTGCCAATAACTTGATGAATCGTCTCGGCATGCTAGTGCAGCTATGAAAACGCCCGTGGTCTGCGTGGAACGGAGGGGGAGCTGAATGCGTATTCCGGAGTTGGTGTGGGTGTAATGGGGCTCCGTGGGGGTCGGTAATCCGAGGATGTCCGTCAGGTTTTGCAAGGAAGCGGGGACAATGTCCGAGCAGTCGGCGAAGTCGCGAGGTCTAGATGCGAGCATGTTGTGATGGAAAGAGTACTTCTCCAATCTATGCCCTTCCAGTGAGCTTATAGGTCCCGACAAAGATGTGTGCGGCACACACGCCAGCCTGATCCGCTCTCCCCAGGCAAAGACACTTTGATCGGAGGACTGCCGAATGATCTCGCGCTGAAGGCGCCAGAAAGCCTGTTCGCCGCCCTCGCCATAGATGATGGGCATGCTGACACCGAAGAGGCCCGCGAGAGAGTATGCGCCGTCTTCTGGTCTGGTTGTTGTCCGGTTCGCAGCCCAAGACATGCGCTTCGCAACACTCCACCGGGAGAAGTCGACTGGCTTGTGCGCCCCAGACAGGAGGTCGACATCGATGCTTGTTATGTCTGTGATAACATCCGCGAGCCAATCCCGACGGCCAATGACAGCCCAGTCCTTCGAGAGGAAGACCATGGCGGCGTTGGGGGCGACTAGTTCCTGCAGCGTCCACCCGCGGGTGAACCACTCGCTCTGCCGGAACTGCGACTCCGCGAGCTGCGGATCCTCCATTGCAAGGTCTGGGACATCGTTGAGATAGGCCAAGCAGAGAGCGGCGTCGCGGTACCAGGAGAACATGGAGTTGATGGCCTCTTGGAGCTCGGCGCTGCTCGCCTTGTTGATACAGCACATATCCAGCCAAATCCAGTCGAAGCCCTTCTCCTTCGCGAACTTGCATGCGTTCTCCACCTTTGCCCATGCGCGTGTCTTCTCTGTCGTCCAGGGGATTTTCTTTTTGTTGGCTTGGTTCCGCTCCTCGACGTCGGCAAAGGTCAGCTCGACCTTCTCCCAACGATGAGAGAGAATCGCGTAGCGGGGGGTCTTGGATGCGAACTCCTTGAGCTCGTACATGTCCGTGTTCATGAGCCGCATGGTTCGCCCGTGTTAGATACTGTGTGCGCGACACGTTTGCCACATGGAAGTTGTCAGAAAACGCTGAAGACGAGTCTCGATGCACGTACGAAGGAATATTCAGTCAATGGGTTGTGTGGCAAGATTTTTCGCAGGGCGAGCTATTCAGGCTGACGGTCTGTCGTTTGAAGACGTGATTCGAGAGAAAACTAGGGCTCCTTCAATCATCGGGAGACTAATGAAAGACACTAGGCGTACGTTGAAGCAAAGCGGCAGTCGCCACTGATCTCAGGGTGTGGGAAAGACGACACAGAGGCTTCAGAGTGGTTGAGCGGCGTGCGAGGGAGCAGGATGTAGGAGGTTTATATAAGAGCTGAAAGACCTAAACGATGTTGGATGGCCAGACTGCAGAAAGAGAGCGGGCGTCCTAGGATGAAGGCTGTGTGCCGCGCGATAGGTGGCAGGATCCGGTTCACGGAAGCTTCGCGCGACCACAGACACGAGGTAAAAGCCTTGGGTGGAAATATCACCACTGCCCTAGACACTTGATTGATATGGAAGCAGCGCGCGGAGTGGATAGGTCTATACTCGCCACTGCACAGGTCTTCGGGCCAGCGATGCTCGCAGGTGGAGAAAAGATACAGCAACTTGTCGCATGGGCGGCCATTTGGGCAGATTTCATTTCCTTCAAGTTTATCTCTGTTGCAGGCTATGAGGAAGTCGAAGGCGCTGTAAACGGATTACGAGGACATCGGCAGCTGCTCCGAATAGCATTCCAGTCTGTGACGAAGCGGATTCACTCCGCGCACCACAGAGAGTCTCTGAATATTGTATACTGCTTGGTGCGTGTACATTACAGTATAAAGCACAGATGACAACAAAGATTCTTCCCTTCTCATCGAACCGGATTGAACGAGAGCCGGTACGCCTGGGTGATGGACGTATATGAGCAAGGGCGCGCACCGCCGCGAAACAACCTCGTGAGGCGCTCGCTGCGGCAGAAGTCGACCGTATAGGTAGCGTATCTGTCCAACCAATACCTACTTATTCATGACAATAGAATACCCAATAAGAGACAGTAGTCGTCACCGTCGCACAACTCGAGGGGCACATAAGCTCCAGCGCACGCTTACACCTTCCCGGGAGCGGTAGAAACTCGAGCTTGGAAACGTACTCTCCGTGCGCTCCGAAGGCTATGACGCCGACCACCTGTCAAACTGAACTCAGGATTAGGATGTAGAAGCTGCAAGCCAGTTCTTGTCAGACAGCTCCACCTCAGCACTCGGGCTCAGGCCGGTCCGCTGTATTTGAAAGATGAATGTTAGCGCGTCGTAGCATAAGTGGAAGAGGTGATGGCATACCGTCAACGAAGGTCGGGAATGTAAGAATCCCATTGAAAAATGAGAGGATCTTGGATACGAAGCATGCCGTGCGGCAAGGGCGGCGATGAACCGAGGCGCTGAGCGAGCATCTAATTCGTCGGAACGAACTCGAAGGTATCATGAGGCTCATTCACCTCTAAAACCAATGCAGCGCCATTTATGTCTCTCTATCTCAAAACGCCCTATCTTGCGGGTATATGACACAGGCCTGCTGTGACTTGCCATGAATCAATCGCATACCTCCGGAACCTAGTGTTAGTCAGATACGCGTGTTGCACGAGTAAAGCTTGCATGACACTTACCCTACATGTCTTCTGCGTCCCGAACCTAAACAAGCTGAGACCGAAGTGTCTCAGACACTGTCTGCCAAGTACGGCACGACTACGGTCCGACGCGCTCCTTGGATGGCCTAGTCTCTCCTTCGTATCACTTGAGAAAGAGCAGAGATCTATGATTCCTGAACCATTAGATGATTATGATGATGTATACCGACATACACCCAATGAGGGGCCCAATTGAATAAGCGTACCGCGTAGCGACCAAGAGACGGAATCCCACTCAAACTCCGGATACTTGGCCACTGTTCACAAGGCCATACCATCGTATCCAGACTGAGGGTTAGAGTCATGCAGAGTGTGAGACCCGATCTGGACATCTCAGGTCATCTTGCGGCTGTTGTTGAGCAAGCAAAGTTTGCCTCAATCGTCCGCGACCCATCGACTCCGATATGCCATCTGATAATCAGTATGTGAGTCTATAGATTCATTTGGGAAGGAATTCTTACGAGATATATCAGGTTTATGGCATGTGCGAGCTCAGCGTCGACGATTTCCTCATGCCGACGGCGGCTGCTGCACTGCAAGCCGAGGCAGCTGTCAGCGCGACGGACGCACTTCATCGGGAAAGACGATCTAGGGTACCATGTTACCTCGGGCTAAAGGCAAATTTTGCACCTACAGATCTCAATGCAGTCAGTACTCGAGCCACCAACGCTCAACGGGTATATGCGCACCATAGGATGTGTTCGCTTTGCACATAAGCGCATACGAGCAGGCTTACCATCCGAAGAACGGTCCCTCAGTGTCGCGTAGTCTATGCTACTTATTGATGAGGCTACGTCCTAATCTTGTGCTATAGAGGGATATCGTCCCTGCGCTGGCACGGTGCTTTGTATGGCTTCAGATTTTGAATTCGCGAATGTCTCGGTGACGGTGGAAGACAACACTCAATCTCTCTCGAGGAGCTCCTTGACCACGAACCACCACCTTCGTGAGTTTTCCCACGGTCTCCGTGGGCTTGGAGCAACGATTCTTTCCCTTCCTGGTGATTGCTCTCCCCTCTGGTTGTTCTTTTTGACTCGCGGTAAGTAGTCTAGCTTGCTGAAGGCATCCTGAGGGTGTGTGATAGTGGACTGGTGGGCTGTGCGCGGTTCGCCGCAAGAGCTCCTCGGAGCTGAGTCTCCCTCGGGATTGACGCTGTGGTTGTGCGGGACGCGTGTCGCGCGGCATCTGGATGCCGGTCCCCTGGCTGCGCTGATGCGCGGGCGGCGGGGGCGGGAATCTGATAACGAGGGCCTGGCGGTGCCGTCATGGATTAGAGGCAGGCTGATACCCCCCTCTTTTTGAGCTGGACGGGGATTGGCGCACTGCCTGTGCGCCTTCAAGTTGACTGAACTAGATGAACATGAGCTGGGCTAGGTTGTGGTGCGTGCGCCTCCGACCCTGCGGGATGAGTTCCCTTGCAAGATGAGTAATGCTCCGCACCTCCATGAGTGAGTTTGGTGTGTGTAGGTCGGCTCTACCGCTTTCAGGACTAACGTCCCTCATTCCTCGGGAATCCACGCCTTTCGTGCACCAGGCTGAATCTGTCCTAGTAAGCCTCCGGAGTGATTCGGAGATGGATTAACGATGGAGATGTGGTATTAAACGGTTGCGTGGGCGGTGGTGTGTGTATCGTACGGGGCGGGATCCCTACGCCAATCCGCGCTGCGCGCTCATCACTCTCCCTAGGCTTCTGCATGACTCTCTCCCTTTCCAACGTAATCAAACAGCTACTGCGCACCGCGCTAAAGTCACAGAAGCTGCAAGCGTACCGAGGATATGGCGGAGCTGGCGTTATATTTAAAGTAAGTAAACTGGAACGCAAGGAAGCGCGGCAGACCCTCACCTTTCCTCCCCTGTCCCTCAAAGTCATGTTTGCAATCCTGGAACACTCGACCGTCTACGTTCCGCTGTATGTGACTCCCCTCCTGTCCATTAGGAATCCTGCGCCGCCTGGGTCACAGACAGAGATGTCCGCGGTGGCCCTTTTCCCTGAGCACCCGCTCCAGGTCGGCGATGCTGTCCACCTCCACCTCCTCTCCCACACGGGCCAAAACGCAACAGGAACAATGGAGAACCCCCTGCGAGCCGCCGCCGCCCCCCTTGAAATTAGAGGGAGGATCTCGGGTGAACGGGAGAGGAATCGGTGGGAGGTAGAGTTTGTGGTCATGAACGACGTGGAAGAAGCTGGCGTACGAAGGGCTTTCGTACGTGCGAGCGCGGACCTCCGCATGTCCGCTACTCCGAAACCCCCTGCCAAGAGTCGGAAAGCCCGACGACCGGCACCGCGAGCTGAACAGGAGCTCCGGAGGAATGTTGTAGGTCTGGCTGCGGGGGCTGCCGGGCCGGACATGGAGAGATGTGATGGGGGCGCCACGGGCGCACGTGGTGAGACGGTCGCGGAGCTCCCCGGACCTCACCCGTTTCTGAACGAGCACCGGGGCCGGGCCGGAAGACCTCGTGGACCGCAGCGCCCGAGTGATCGTGGCCGCTGGCTGGTTTACTCGCCGAAGACGATGGAGGCGATGGGGCCTGGGATGGATGTGTGTGGGGAGCGGGCTGGACCCCCAGCGAGGCCGCTGAGCTTGACGATGAGCCGGTCGCTCGTGTGGGCTGCGCCGACGGATCGGAGCCGAAAGGACGGAGGGGTAGATGTGTGAATATTGGTGGCCGGAGCTCGGAAGCGACGGCACGGGAAACGATGGGCATGTACCAAATCTAGAGCGCACGTAATAATGCATCGGCACTCTCCGCTCGTCCTATACTCGCTTGCCTGCATTGTTAACACGACCTCCCCCCCTTTTCCTGAGTCCCCTGCTCCGCCCTGCTGAACGCCTGGGTGTGGTGCGCCGCACTGGCTGCTCTCTCTGGCCCAAAACTGGGCCTGATGTGACTATTTTGGCGTTGCAAGGTTTGGTGACAGATCACCTTACTTACGACACGAATGACTGACGACGGGGCGCCCAAACCCCCAGAATATTGGATCTGCGACGCCGGATGGCTGCGTGTGCTTAAGAACCTGATGGCGCGGGCATAGCTGCGCCCGCCGTGAAGATGGCAGAGGCACGAGCGGAAGCGATGCTGTCATCTGAAGGGTGACTGCGGGGCGCTAGGTCGTTTCACAACAGAACTGAATAGTAAACATAGGCGACCAACAGATGTGGAGCAGGCGTCAAGAACCTACCACAAGATGCCGAATCCGGGTAGCGAATGTACGAACTACGTACGGGCGCGCGTCCACCCGACGCAGCGTTACAAGCATGCGACTGGCTGACGCGCGACGTTGACACCCAGCTGGAGCCCCTCAACCCTGAGCTATGCGGCCACTTCCCCCCTTCTCGACGAACAATGTGGCGGCCTCGCGGAAGAGAATGACACATTGCGCGCGACCACCGCGGCCCCTGGACGTCCGCAACCCGCAAACGCGTAGTGTCCTGGTTAAAGTGGAAATAAACAGAGGTGCCGAACGAGAACATTGTCGCTGGCGGGATGGCCGTAGTGGAAGTGATCGTTTATGGGTAACGAAGAATACCGGCACAAATAATAATGGACAGAAACCTGGCTCGCGCGATATGAGCGCCGTTGCGCGAAGCCCGACCGAACAACCTGGCGCTGAGATACCTCTCGCGCCTTCCGCTACTTAAACACGGCCGCGTTGCTCATCCCTTCTCCTCATCCTCCCCACTAGATCTCTCACCGCACGCCATGTCTTCTCCCCCTACCCCGCCTGCTGCCCTTCCCCCTTCGCCCGTTGAGGCATCTCCCCTCGCCCCAACTCCCTCCCTGGCACACGCTGTGGCTCAGCCCGACGGTGACCGGGGCTCGAACGCGCCGCCGAGCAGGACGACGATGTCGGAGTACGACTGGGACGACCTCCTCGCATCCTTCCCCACAGACGTCCCGACGTCGCGCTCGCCCCATATCCGCCGCCCTCGGTCTGCGACGGTCTCGATGGAAATCATGGTGAGTACACCGTGTCTGCTGAGCAACGACACCCTTTTGAGGCTCATGAATCAACGTCTAGCGCGACGATGCGCAACGTGCGGCGGCTGCGCGCGTTTTTCTCGATGGAGGGGAAGGGGCAAGTGTGCCAGAAACGGCTGGGGCTTGTTGTGAGGTGCGTCCTCCCGCCCTTCTCTGTCCTTCTCCTGAATCCTGACCACACCCTCAGGCAAACGCCCCTGCTGCCCCGGTGGCTTTCCCCTCAATCAGGCCGTCCCTCATCACGCCTCCCCCGTCCCTTGCACCCCCGGTTGTCCAGGCGGTAACGGCGACGGGTGAGCTGGCGGCGCCGCGTCCTCTGCACGCAACCCCGGCGGTAACGCAGCTCGAAGACACTGTGGCTGCTGGCCCGGTGGTGTCCACGGCGCGCAAGGGCAAGAAACGCGCTCGTATCGACTCGACGTCCCCGTCCCCGTCGGCTGCAGCTCGAACCCGCCCACCTCCTCCGCATATGGACACACCATCCCACCGGCAGCGTCTCATGCTCCCGCAGTCGGGCCCGGCCCTTGCTCCTATGGAGTGGGCGGCGCCGGCAGCCTCTCATGGAAGACTTTCCATGGCTACGAGAGCTCTCATCAAGGAAACTCTTCTCCCACCCCCTCTCGCCTCGGCACGACTCTCTGGCGCGGTTCGCCCGAATCAAAACCGACTGCCGCCGTCGCAGGCGGCGCGGGCTGCAGCAGCCTCGCGTGGACGTTTCCGCGATGAGAACGCGGTCCCCGAGCGGCCCATTTTTACCATGGATATCGATCTCCCGCTCGACGCCTCCCTCGCACCGATCAGAGCACACGCCCCGTATGGAGCTCCCCTTCAGTCGTTGGACCTCAACAGGGTCCGCTTCCCGGACGCCTTCGCGCACATGGGCCCACTCCCGGAGGAGGTGGGTGGCACTCAGTCGGACGACGACCTCTGGGCACAAGTAGATGAGGTTGAGCGGCCGAGGGGCGTCCTTTCTGTTCGCGACCGCCCCCCTACGCCGCACCCAATCCACTCCCTTTCCCCTGGCCGCGCCACTCCGCCTCGCGTTGTCTCGCACTCTGCTGCAGCACTCGCGGCCTCTTTTACCCCGTCGCAACCGATTCCAATCCCGGCGGGACCTGCCCAGGCGTTGGGGTCGGTGGTGGGCACGGCAACATACAACGCGGCGGTCAACGCACTCCTCCCGAGTGCTGCCAGCACCCTCCAGTTCACGAGCGTCCCGCCGGGCGGGTTCCCCACAGTCTACTTGGCGGACCCCGACGGGCTGTTCAGGGGGATGTCCCCGGCGCGAGGTGTCGCGCTCCGAGGCGAAGCGGCATGCTTCATCGCACGCATCCACAACCTCAACAGCATGACACAGCAGGAGGCGCGCCAGGCCACTGCGGCGATCGCGACGATCGTCACCCACACGACAGGCGAGAGCAATCCGCTTGTCGTCGCGCCTGAGCGGGACACAGCGGTCGGCCCCCACGCTCGCCAGGGGCCCAACGGCATATCTTTTGGCGTCCTGGGGATCTCGGTTGAGTCGGTTCGCGCCATGCTCCACCAGTCAACGTGGTCCACCCCGATTGGGACCATCCACGTCAGCCCCGCCGCAATTGAAGTATCGCCTTTCATGTTTGTTGTTGGCGGTTTCGACCATGACCATAATGGCAGCATCCTCAACGCCATCTTCGCAGTCTTCAGCGGGCCGGACGTCCTCCCCCATATCGTCCAACTTGTCCAAACCCACCCCATGTACCAGAACGCCACCCCGGAGGAAGCTGCTAGAGCCATTCTGGCGTCGCTGGTGGTGCGTGTGTCGACGCTCCAGAACGGTAATCTCATGGCGGCTGTCTACTGTGACCCCCCCACGCTGTCGGCGGCACGGTGGGTTGAGTGGCGCGCCCGTGTTGCGGCGCTCCCCTTCCCGCACCCCCTGAACTCGACTGGCCACGCGCGCCGCGCCCCTCCGTGCGCAGCGTGCCATGGCGAGGACCACCCCACGCACCTCTGCCCTTTCCAGTACATCCCTGGGTGGAACGCCCCGCCCCCGGGCACGACCTGGGCCCAGCCGGGCTTTGCTCCGACCCAGGGCGCCCCGCAGCCGCCGCCGCCGCCGCCGCCGCCTGCTGGTGGCGCGGCCTCTCGTGGCCGCGCGCACTCTGGTCGTAGGAACGCGAACACGCCTGCGTTCAACGGCCACCGCCGCGACTACCAGGGCGGCGGTGATGGGCGGGCCAGCGGCAGCGGCGCGGGCTCGAACCGTGGTGGACACTCCGGCGCGGGTGGTGGCAGCAACTCCCCCGCCTTCTAGACTGTGTATGCGTGTCTCCCCTTCCTATAATCGTGTTTCTTGCGCGCTCTCTTTCTGTAGTCCCTGTATACCATAGAACCTATCTAATGATCTGCGCATCGCTGAGTTGGGACTGGCCCCGGCATGATCGGACTCGAGCAAGCGCGGCGACACTGCCTCATCCGTCTCCTCGATATATGATCGACAACGATCGACTACCCTGAGACGTCCACTGCTTCTTTTTAAATGGCCCTGAGAATGACGCACTCTCCTCTAGACTGATCGATCGGTCCCTGCCCCTGGTACTATCCCTGAACTCGGTACCGCTGCCACGTGTGCCCCACGCGTACGCTGGATCAACGGGCTCTCCTTCTCGAGCACGCTGTCGGCGCATCCCACGGGACCCCTCCTGAGCTCTCTTTCGCGCCCCTGGCTGGGCGCAACGTGCACCCCCCCCCCCTCCCCTCCTCCCCTACACTGGCACCCCTCCTGTGCGAATGCTTCTTAACCACGAGCACTTCGTTGGTCTTCGCTCCTCGTGTTCCCGCACTTGGCTAAGCGATGTGGTTCTTCTGGCGCCCAAATACACTACCTCCACGGAGCTAGGAAAGCCTGGATGCATCAAAAAGCGGCGGCTTATTTAAGCCATGACGTGCCGCGCCGAGAGGCTCAAGCGTGCGGTGAGTATCCTTTGCCTCTGGCTTCGGATACCGCCCGGTGCATTGTCAACCGCGACGGCAGGGATACGCCGTCTAGCGTTAAGAATAGTTGTACTTATCGTGACACAATCCAACTACTGAAACAAATTCACCCACACACCAAACACCACGGAACAATACCCCTGCAAACGGCATGATGAGCTTCGACGACGCTGGAGGGGACGGGGGTCCGCCTGTCAGTCCTGCCCTCGAGGATGGCGTTGTAGAGAACAGTGATGGGCAGGGGGTGGGGCAGTCGCATGTGCAGATGGCGCGGAGACTGTCCCCTCCCCCACTTGAGTCTCGCGAACGAAGGAAGTCCAGAACGCGCGCGCGAATTCGTGTGGCGACACTTAACATGCGTGGATATGGCGTCGCCCATGGAAATGATGCGCACGCGCGATGGATGTTGATTAATCAGGTCATGAGAGATGAGAAAATCGCGATTCTCGCGCTGCAGGAGACGCATCTCGATGATTCGCGCGCGGCATCTCTGAACGAACTCTTTGGGAGGTACATGTGGATATACCACTCGCCGTTGGAATCTAATCCGACGGGGGCATGTGGTGTGGCATTTGTAGTCAACAAGAGGTTTGTGGATATCGAGAAGTGTGCGGCGAGTGTGATCCAGGGAGGAAGAGCGATTGCGCTCGAGTTCCCATGGGCGGGCGAGACGGTGTTGCGCGCTCTCAACGTTTATGGCCCGAACTCGAGTGCGGATAATGCCCTTTTTTGGGACGAACTGGCGACCTCTCGGACGGGGAGAGTGGACATTTTACTAGGGGATTTCAATATGGTGGAGGACGGAATTGACCGCATTCCGGCTCGCGCGGAAGCGGGGAGGGTGTGCGAGGCCCTTGCTGCTTTTCTGAGAATGCACCGCTTGGAGGACGGGTGGCGGGTCAGAAACCCCCACACGAAAGCCTTCTCGTACATGCAAGGCTCGACTGGTGCTCAATCGCGACTAGACCGTATATACCTCCCTCGGAAGCTCCAGGCGGACGCCGAGGACTGGTCCTACAAGGAGTCTGGCCTTGTTACGGATCATAAGTTGGCGATGACCTCCCTCGCGAACAGGGCGGCGCCCTTCATGGGGAAGGGGAGGTGGTCGATGCCGGCGCACCTCCTGACGGACCAGGAAATGAAGAAGACAATGAGGGCGCTTGGGGAGAAGTTAATTAGTGGGATTGCAGACCAGAGACCCCGAACATCCGCGCGCAACCCTCAGACTCTGTATAAGGAGTTCAAGGATGCACTCACATGTGCGGCAAGGAACCGTGCGAAGGCTAAAGTCCCCAAACTCCAGAGGAGACTCGGCAGACTCCGGCTGGACCTCGAGGTAACGCTGAATCCGCCTGGGGAGGACCTGACTCACTCGGACGAGCGACAGCGGCACGCGGCGATCCTCCAGCAAAGAATTGATGGCCTGGAGCAGAAGCTGTTCACGGGGAGGCGGAGGATGGTTGCGTCCAAACACTGGGCACAGAGTGAAACTATGTCCAAGTACTGGACAAGGCCCAACGTGGCACTGCTTCCGTCGATTGTTATTCCGGAGCTCCGCCGCACGGATAGGGAGAATGGGGGATATACGAACAACTCTAGACAAATGGCTGAAGTAGCGCGCGCGCACTATGACGGCCTCCAGAACTGCGACCCGATGGGACCGGATGAACCGCACGGAGAGTATATTAAAGAAGCCCTTGCCCCGTCGCTAGTTGGACTCACAAACTACCAGAAAGCGGACCTTGCTCGACGCCTATCGCAGGCGGACGTTGAGAACGCGATCCGTGGTGCGGCGTGCAACAAGGCCCCGGGCCTGGATGGGCTCCCCTCTGAGATATGGAAAGAATATCAGAGATGGCAGGTGGCGGATGCGAAGAAGGGGGCTCCTGTCCTCAATATGATGGGAGCCCTTGCGACGGTCTTTAATGACATAGAGATGTATGGTATTTCTGAGGGCTCCTCCTTTGCGGAAGGATGGATATGTCCAATATACAAACTCAAGAAGGACCTGCGTGAGATCGTGAACTACCGGCCGATCACGCTTCTCAACTCTGATTATAAACTGATGACGCGAGCTCTGGCGACAAAGCTTTCCCTACATGCTGCAAGCGTTATTCACCCAGATCAGGCGGGGTTTGTCCCGGGGAGACGAATCTTTGACCACATACAAATGAGCAAGTTAATCATAGAGTACGCGGAGGCGGAAGAAATTAACGGGGCCATTGTGGCTCTTGACCAAGAGAAAGCGTATGATCGCATCGATCACGCATACCTTTGGGAGGCCCTCAAGCACACCAACTTCCCTAAGTCCTTCATAGAGACAGTGAGAAGTTTGTATAAGTGCGCGGAGAGCTGTGTCATCATTAATGGGGCCAGAAGCTCGTCGTTCCGGGTATGGCGCGGCGTAAGGCAAGGCGACCCGATGTCTTGCCTGCTGTTTGCGGTGGCAATTGAGCCGTTAGCCTGTGCGCTGCGCCAGTCGTCGCTCCGGGGCATTCTCATCCCGGGCGATGTTGACAGACTAGTCGCGAACCTTTTTGCGGATGACACGACGGTCTTCTTAGGCGAAGGGGACGACTACGCTGCGGCCATCGAGCCGACTCTAAAGTGGTGCCGTGGGTCGCGGGCCCGGTTTAACCTGGAAAAAACGGAAGTCATCCCGATTGGAACCAAAGAGTACCGCGCGCAGGTTCTTGTGACGCGGAAACTGTACCCGGATGCTAGCCCGATCCCGGGCAGTGTTCACATTGCGCGGGACGGTGAGGCCGTGCGGTCGTTGGGCGCATGGATTGGCAATGAAGTGGACAGCGCGGTGCCGTGGACGCCGCTCATAAATACGATGAGGAGGAATCTAGAACATTGGGAGAAGGGCAAGCCTACCTTGCACGGCCGGAAGATGGCGGTGGACCTCGAAATTGGCGGGCGTACTCAGTTCCTGGCGAAGGCGCAGGGCATGCCCCAAGCGGTCGAGGACAAGCTAACCCGGATGATAGCAGATTTCATGTGGGCGGGCGATAAGCATCCGAGGGTTGATCGCGCGACGTTGTATGCCCCGGTTGAGGAGGGTGGCCTAGGTGTCCTCTGCATAGCAGCTAGAAATGAGGCAATCGATCTGATCCGTCTCCAGGATTACCTCAATCTCTCTCCTACGAGGCCACGGTGGGCTCTAGTTGCGGATGCACTTCTAGCAAGGGCCGTGGCGTCAGTATCCAAACACCTGGAGCCCAAGGCACGGCTGAATTACTTCTTACAGAACTGGAAAGTGAGCACGAGGAGGAAGGCGGGGCTCCCTGCGGATCTCAGAAGGATGGTCAAGGCGGCGCAGAAGTATGGCGCGCGATGTGAGGTGAGACTCGCGTCCAAAGAAGTCAGGGATGCGATGCCCGTGTGGTATCACATAGGCGCGGAACCGGGACGTTCGTCGGCGAAGACGGCGGCTGCCAAGTGTCTCCGGAACAGGCATGGCGTTGTCACTGTGGCTCAGTGCGGACAAGCGATGCACCGGCTCCGACCGGAGAATATGGAACACTCCCCGCGACCGACGTGCCCGTGTGGGGAGTGCACGGAGGACCGACGTGTGTTTGGGTGCATGGATCCGCACAGATGTGCGTGCGCGGCGGAGAGGCTCCTCGGGCGACTCCAGCCGAAATGGAATCCAGCCCAAACGTATCACGCAGATGGTCTGACGCTTACACCGGCACGCCGAAGGGCGAACGAGACGGCGAGGGCGGAGAAAGGCCGGGTGATTTTTGACCCGTCGGTGACCCAGGCAGCGCCGCTTGCAGCGGTTTTCCGTGTGTTCGCGAAGCCGGTGGTTGAGGGTGAACCGGCCGCGGCCAGGCTCCCAAGGCCGTTTGGAGTGTGTGAGGAGGAAGTAGAAGTATTCACGGACGGCTCGTGTATTGGGAATGGGTCGGCAATGGCGCTGGCAGGGAGTGGGGCGTGGTTTGGGCCGGGCGACCTGCGCAACGTGGGCGCGCGGGTCCCATACGACATCCAGTCTAATCAGACGGCGGAGATCTATGCGGTGATCCTAGCGGAGCAACGGGTTCCCCCCTTTGCCCCGCTGCACGTCGTGAGTGACTCGAAATATGTTGTGGACGGGCTCACTGTGTATCTCAGCAAGTGGGAGCAGAAGGGTTGGATTGGTGTGGCGAATGCTCCTGTCTTCCGTGATGCGGTGGCGGCGCTCCGGGCGCGATCGGCGGTCACGACTTTTCGCTGGGTCAAAGGACACTCGCGGGTTGCTGGGAATGAGGCGGCGGATGCGCTAGCCAAGGAGGGTGCGCTCGAGCCCCCGCCTTTCCGCCCGGTCCACCTGACTAAATGGAAGTACGTCCGGAGTGGCGCAGCCCTTGATACCATGACTCAGAGCTTGGCGTACAAGGGTGTGAGGAAGTGGATAACGCGACCTGAAAGACCGCGCACGACGCGCCATCTGAAGCTGATCGAAATGGCGATTAAAGAGGAGTGCAACCTGGTGGTCGTCCCTGGAACAGTTTGGCTCTCGCTGAGGAAGGACCCGGTTAGCAGGAGAACAAGGGATTTCCTGTGGAAAGCAATACATGGTGCTCACCGGACGGGGGCGTACTGGGGACATATCCCTGGATATGAAGGGCGCAAGATGTGTGGACCGTGCGCTCAGGTGGATGACATGTGCCACATCTTGACTCTGTGTGAAGCGGCAGGTCAGGCTGAAGTGTGGGCGCTGGCGAAGGAGCTCCTACGGAGGAAAGGCATCCGCACGCCCCAAGTCTCACTTGGACTTGCGCTGGGCGCGCATATATTCACGGTACTGGATGGCGACGGAATGGCTGTGGTGGACAAGACAAGAATGGCGAGAATTATCCTCATGGAGGCCACCCAGCTTATCTGGGCCCTACGGTGCGAGCGGGTGATTGGATGGGAAGAGTTTCCGGACAGGAGACACGCCCCGGAGGAGATAAGGCGACGGTTTGAAGCTCGATTAAACCAGAGACTCTCCCTTGACCAAAGTGGTACGAACAAAAGGGTGCATAAGAAGAAAGCGCTGAGTTGTGCGAGAGTAAGAGCAACATGGCAAGGACTTCTCAAGGACGAGCACAAACTCTCGGAAGACTGGCTGACTGAGACGGGGGTTTTAGTGGGTATGCCGCCATATCCGGACATGCGCGATGCTGGCTGAGCCAGTGTACGCGGCGGGAGTCCCACACTGTGAGCGTTAGTCACGTGACGCTCGCGTGCATCAAGCATTTCCTCCGTGGTGCAGATGCCTCCGGGCATCGCAACTCTGCAATCGTCTGGGAAGTACTGGTAAGTACGCGCCCAGCGAGCACCTCAAAAAAAAAAAAAAAAAAAAAAAAAAACACTCAATCTAGACGCCCATCGCTGCACGTCGGCTTTCGGCGTTCGGCGGTCCGGTGCGCTGGTCCGTGCGTCAACGCGCCAGCGATCTGCCACTGCTGCCAGCTTGCACCGCGACGATGACATGACCGTCCGTTCTCCATCGTAAACTCTCCTATCGCTTCGTGCCAGAGGTAGGTGGATTGATTGATTATGTACGGAGGTAAGTTTAGATGTTGCAACCGCGATTAGACCGATTCCGTACCCGTCCTGACAGACCTCGGACCTCGCAGAGAGCGTCGGCACGAACGCAGCGCACAGCGTCAGAACTGTACCCGACATCTGCTTCGACTTCCATGGCAGCAGTCATACATGCGCGTCCTGTCCTGGCTGTTCCCGCTGCTCACCATCTCCTGTTCACTCCCTCACTCGTGACGGTCGACTCTAAAGCTCTCGTGCTGTCCCGTCTGGACATTGCTGCGGTACCCAAGTAGCGCTGTGTCAAAATCCATCTTCCCTCAAGCTTCTACTCTCGCTCTTACGGCTCACGCAAAGGTATCTTCTCCCGCCTCTCCGGCTTCCCCCTCTCCGGCGTTGACCCATATCTGCGCAAGTCTTGGACCACGGTGCTACGTCCTTGTCCTCATAACGATGCCCTACACGGAGGCTCTCGACCACCTCAGTTTCGGGCTGTGCCGCGAAGGTAGGTCATTCAAGTGCTCAACCCTATTGGGAGCATCCGTCGTCGCTGCACTCGGTAAGTACTCAGAAATTTCTTCTATTCGGACAGTTCAAACCCACGCATAGGTCAGCGTATCCTATGAGAATTTGATCTTCGAACAGGCAGTCAGCTCTGTAGGTGCATCTAGGCTCCCAATCGCTGCGCTCGACTAACCTCGGCTCATAGCTCGGGGTATTTGTCAAACGCCCCACTCCTCGAGACGGCACCTACACCGGCTAGCTCAGAGGTGATTTGTACCGCATGCGCTCCTCCTCAGGACCGCCGCCGCCACGAGACAAACTCGCCGATTATTAAAATTTCGGACTTCCCAGCTCCTGTCCAAGGGCGCGTCGCGCAGCTCTCCGGCGTCAGCGCCAGACAGCAAAATGCATGGGCTGTGTGAGCTGAGATTCCGCGCGTCGTCCAAATTATTACTCACGCCCCTGGGTGCCAGATATGGGCCTCGCATCATTGTCAATGTCGTAGCAGCCCAACATCCCCTCTACCACTAGATATCACCAGGCGGACAGGCAGGCTCCCACGTCACAAGCATCGCCGCGGGATCCTTGTCTGGCCAAAACTTGAGCATAGGAGGCGCTTTTGCATGCTACCTGTTCCTGCGGTGCATATAGGATTGTCGAGCACATCCGCTTGTCTCTCGGTTCCCAAGGACGTATCCGCGTCCGCGTCGACACATCCCTGCGCGGAGGGGAGCCCACGACGACTACCACATCTCCGTGACTGCGCATCTCGCCCGCGCACGTGCTCATATTTCATCTCGGTCATCTTCGTGTGCTCTCTCCAATGGCCGCACTCGTCATCTCTTTTTCTCGTCACACGAAAGCCATGGAGTCCGTCGGGCACACTCCGAAGCACCACCTACAAGCCATACGACTGGTCCTACCGAGCTGGTCACGAGTTCGCTGCGGAGTCCTATTCGTCTGCAATATCCGGCAGCAGGGCAACAGGTCTACATTTTCTAGAAGCATCGCTGGGGATCCCTTGATCGACCAAAGCACGATTTCAGGCGGCGCATTTCCACAGGATGGTATACTCAAGCCGTTATGGGGTACGTCTGCCAGCGTAGGCACACACTCGAGACTCTCGTCCGGCAAGAAGGTGTTCACGTCTACTCTAGACATGCCACAACCTACGTGCACTTGGACACAGCGCCACTACCACATCCCGGCGTCGACCTGGGTCTCCACCTCGCTGCGCCTCTTGTGCTCGCGTTCGTCTTCCCCCTCGCGTCTCTCGTCGTAGCCCATCACACGTCTACCTTGTTGCGCCCTCTACCTCCAGATTCGCGCAGCGCACCGAGCGGGCCATCAACAAAGCACCATATTCCGAGCGCCGTGCCTCGCAGTACTAGCTGCAGCCGTACGACTAGTCGCACAAAACCGACCCGCGACCGTCTTCGAGGTACCGTATCTATCCCGAGCGCCCCCTTTGCGTGCACTCCCGTGGGTCTAGGAGCGGGAACAAAGCGTCAACAGTCGAGCACCATCACCGCAGTAGAACACGGCGTCTGAGCTCGCGTCGGACTACATCGACCAATTCGCGGTACAGCTCAAGTCGTACACTTGCGGCGATCGCATGCCGCTCCGCGCGTCTCCAGCGAGCGGCCGGCGATGTACGCTGTGCTCCAGGATCCCGAGGGTCCGCGCACCCGCACCGACTCCTGTTATTCGTCGTCCATGTCTTCGCCCCTCTGCTTCGACGTATACCGCATTTTCAGGAGGTGCGGACAACTTGAACAAGACAGACTCGTCGGGAGCAGGCGGTTTGGGTGGGGACAAACACGAGAAGACACTGGAAGGTAGCCTCATTTCGAGTACATTGTATACTGGCAGCGTCTCGATATCCCTCCTCGCTGTACGATATACAGAGAATATATATGCGTCGTTGGTACTCACTTCACCAGGCTGCTGGTTTGAGATTTGACGAGTACGTGGACTCGGACGTGTACGCCATGGGCGCCGTGCTTATATCCTCGTTCTGGTATCTGTACCCTCCGAGCCCTATTTCTTGCTTAGTTTCGTGGGGGTGCCAACTCGCAAAATCTGAATTTCAGAGCCATGGACTCTATGAGCCGCGCTAGACAAATCGACTTGGCGCGAGAATTGAGCTCGACGAAGCGAGCGCGTCACCTTTTGGGCGTTTGGTTCATATGGCGCATAGCATAACGTTGTAGACTAGAGGGTGAACGGCGATGCTTCGCACGCCAGGCCCGATTCCATACTCCGATTGATACTACTGAGAATTTAAACGAGCACGCACCCGTCGTTTGTAATATGAGCAAAAGTTCGCGCCAAGCTATTTTGATTGAGTTTCTTTCAATGGAGGTAATAGTATCTCAGGCCCACCACTATGACTCTTACAAAGTATTCGAGAACCATATATGCGGTATGAGGCCACGACTGGCCAGTGCCACCGTCCACGATTTTGAAGTGCTCTCCTAACTCTCAAGGAAGCCAGGCTGCCAGACAACGTATGCGTACAGGAGGGCTCCAGACACACTTCCGGAAAACAAAATTTGGACTTTGCGGTCTCCCATGAACGACCGCATAAATAGCCAGTACTTCATGAGCATAGCAAATGGCCTACCCACCATACGGTGACGAGAGAAACTCGGAAGTATGAGAGCGGGCAATATTTGCGGTGAAAGTCAGCCTGCCTCCAAGGCGTCCTCAGCCACAAAGCAAACATGCGCAAGCGGGCTACGAAAGTCACGTGGTCTCTACCAACCTCACAAGAAAACCGATTCTTTATGGAATCGGAACGTCCTTCGGGAATGACACATTCGTCGAGTTACGGCCTGTGCGCCCGGCTTGTGCGATAGGAACATGCATATCTGAGTACCGTCGTTGCTTTAAGGGGTAGCAGCCAGCGTTGACATTTGGCACAGCTCGATCGCAACATCAGCAGAACGTGAACTTTACTATAGGGGATGGCGGAGGTTATAACCTCTTGTAATGAACTGTCATATCGGACGCCTATTGTAAGCGCCTAGCATTATAAGGCCCTATAGGTGCCGGTAATATGGGCAGGTGGTTTGCTGATGAACACATCTATTCCTACCCTGGTCGAAATTCAGCGCTCAGGCTGGCTCTGTATCAAAAATGTCGTATCAGCCTCGCGCGTTTTATAGGCTAAGACCGAAATTTATACTGTGGAAGACCCATAGTGGAGATGCATGTCAACGTCCATCTCCGCAATGCAGTCGTTGTGCTCTTTGAAGGGACATTCAGAATCTATGCGCACTTCCGCCGATGACAGCAGCATCCATGTCCGACGCGTAGGCGTGAGTCAAAAACCCTGGCCTCCTGTGCGTGCAGGACTTGACATCATTCACCACGTTGATGGCGCCAGCTGGTAACCGACTGCGAGTACATAGGACTCAGTCACGAAGATCATGAGATGCACCTTGGAGAACTTAGAACCACATGCTATTGACGCGTCCGGGAGGTCTTTTTGAAGTATCCAGACTGCCGGAGAAGGCACCCGTGATCCGTGGTCGTGTTTGCTCTGTTCGATGCCTACGCGATACCAAGAATATACCGTATATCGAGTACACCTGATTATTAACCCGAGCAAACTGTTACTGGACGGGTTGATCTTGGTGACAAGAAGCCGAGACATACCTATATTACTGGCGGTACTCGCGTTCACGTTCACAGATGAACGTCCCACACGGGAGAAGTGCATGCGGGATTGCCTATTTCTCATACGATACGTATCAGCCGTTAGAATGGAAGTCATGCGCGAGTACTTACTGAACGTGTTAGCAATATGTCTTGATGGTACAAAGTACCTGAGAGGCCCTACATGGGCTGGCGGAACCTGGAGGGCATGTCCACGAGGTAGCGCATACCTCAAGCATGCGCGAACTCGTTCTATGTATCGAAACCGACCGGCCGCTCCAGAATCAGCACAGACATCCAAAGAGTCATACCAGGAGGGGATCTCACACGTGTCGGTGTTATGTCCATCGAGCGGCTGCTCCGCTGTGGCCAGTCCTCGCTGAATAGGTATCGGTGCGCTTCTTCTAGTGTTCGTAGGTAAGCGTGTGTGCGGGACCTGTTTATTTTGTTACAAGATGTTCCATTTTGACAAGTGGAAGTCTTGAGGCCGAGCGTACGGATGGGATGCGTATCTCATGATGCTCCGACAAGCAGAGGCGCCCCTACGAATAAAGCAGCGATGAGTGGTGATCAATCACACATACTACAACTGGAATATGCGTACCGCGGAATTTGCTCAGTTTGCACGCGCATGCAAAGACACCTCAAGTGCAAGATGCCAGTGGTCCCCGCTCGCAGGGCCGAGGCCCGAGTTTCTTCTGGGTATGGCCGCTGTCTTGAGTAGAATATTGCACAAGGCGGAGTATTGAACTGATACATGCCAGTCCGAGAACTGGCGCAGTGGTTTTCAGGACTGGAGAGTTCGAGTCCTTCAATCGTGCGTGGTGGAGGTAAACAGGCCCTGGCCAGCTAGACGCCTGTCTGTCGCGCAAGGCACCCTCGACCCTCGGGCACCTCGGCTTTCGGCGCTCGGTCATCCGGTCCGTGGGTCCGTGCGCGAGCGCGAGTGAGACAGGCGCCAGCGATCTGATCAGCCTGCAACCACGACGTCGACGTCTGCAGCTTGGCCAGGCTTGAAGCTTGAAGCTTGATTCTCTGAGTATATGACAGGTGGGTGGCCTATATGTAGGTAATTCCAGACTATGACGTGTGTTGATTATGAACCCGTTCACAAACTGCGACTCAGCACAGCGGGAATGATGACTGCATCGATACGACCGCGGACGGCGCCAGAAGTACGTGAATTGGCTTCGACTTCGATGCCAGCTGCCATGCGTCCCAGACTGGCCCTGCAGATCCTCGGAGGCTCCTCTTCAATCCCACCGCTTGTAATCTTTCAACAAAGCTTTCTGCTGCCCTCGCATTGGACTTTCGCATCCATGCCTTGTACTCAACTCCCTCACTCTCGCCTACCGCTATTAGGTGTACTAGTCTTCCTCCACCAAAACCCTACTGGATAGCCTTCACTAGTACTATCGTCGCCTCCTCAGCCCAAGTCTATGCAGGCGGTGAATCTCACTGGTGTACCCTCTGCCTCGCGGAAACGTCCTGCGCGGACAGCCTTGATCCATCCTAGATTCACATCATGCCATCCACTTACCCTCGGCAAAGCCTCCGAGGATTCCCGTACACGATCGAGAATGAAGAGCTCGCGTTATTATCATACGTGGTATGTACTTGTCTACTCCGATAGCTGGTGTCTCGATGCAGCATCCAACTCGCATTTTCAATCAGCTACCGCCCGATAACCTGGACAAGAATCGCTAGCGAAGGCACCTGAAGCCCATTGAACACCATCGCGAATACCGTGTCGGGAGTGCGGCACAGAAGGCGCACCACAGTCCGAATACCCAAGCGGCTGCATGGCGATCCCGGGAAGCCCTACACAAGGCTCCCTCAGGCCAGGACGTGTCCACATCGGAGCTAGGCAAGCCACCGTGAGCAATTTCTGCAGGGACTGGACGCACATGTACCGCACCCCCACGTAGATCTCAGTCTCCTCACCACCGCCCATCCCGCGGTCGCGTCCTCGCTCGTCTCCCCAAACTATATCCCTCCGCTGCTATCACCCCCAACGTCCTCATCCTCTCTGCATCCCACCGAGCGAGTCGCCCTTCGCATGTGTGACACGCCCTTGCACCACTAACTCCAGCCATACCATCAGAGCTAGCTACACCCGTCACCGTCGGGCCTTATTGCGGCGCGCTCGCGGTGGGGCGAGGCGGAAAGAAGGCACCAACGTGAAGACGCGCACACCATTGCCATCCATCCCCGCCGATCGCCTGCCCGTCCGCGCGTCTGCAGCCAGCGGCAGGCGTGCGTCGAGGTCGCAACCGCTACTGCGACCTCGTGCGCGCCGATTTCTCTCTTTCCTCGCACCTGTCCTCGTCGCTCTGGCCCCGGCACGTCTGCGGGTTGCACAGTAGGTACTGCCCGTCACATCGAGAGGGGGCACGGGCGCTGCATGTCCGACGACGTCCGCGAATGGAAGGGCGCGGCGCTCGGCGGCGAGTATACGACACGGCTACGGCCTGCCGCATTCTTTGAAGCACGCGTAAGTCAGTTCGCGGCCGGCTGAATGCCGTCAAGGACGGGTGAGCGAGCCACGCTGTTCTCTCCATCAAGTCCTGGCCGGATATCGGGAGCGACGCCCTTCAGGGCGCAGATGAACGTACTTACTGCCAAATCCCGTACAATCTCCGACGGCCTCAGCCAGACGGTGCATTCCCTGCCCCAGCAATCATATAGTGAGCTAAAAGTTCTGAATTTTGAATTCACTCGCCCTAACGTGCCTCGACTTCTAGGTTTAAGTATTATCCTCATCAACGACTTCGTCCAGATCCTGCAAGCGTCGACCATGCATGACCATTGAGGACCTATCTCGTTGAAAGCACCTGCGAATTCGTTGTGAGTGTGCAATCATTTCCCCGGCCGCTGGCTCAGGGCCTCACAGCGTTTTACAAGTCTACAAAAGTCGGATCTGGCAACGATGCGCTCATCGTGACGCTAAGAAAACGTAGATATCGGTGTTGTCGTAGCATGCAACGCCATTTTGAGATGGGTAAGATAGGCTGTCTTTTGTATTCGGCATCATCGTCTCACTTACGTTTCTACTAGTTCCCTCGTCTCTCTTCGGGGAAATTTCCAATCCCAACGTTGTGTGCCATGTCTCGCAATCCAAGACGCAGCCATCTGTGCGGTGCCAGTTCGTTGCGAAACAGCCCTACGATGCCCTCACAAGCGAGCGTCAGATGTATTACATATCTGCCGTGCTTCTGGGGATGCCACCACTTCCTCGACCCCCCGCCGGAGATGCGCTACTCATTTTCGCACGTCCCATTTCTGTCAAACGTCTGTATGTAATAGTTCAACCCTCTAGATACGAGGTGATCGGTCCGCGCTATCGCAACTACGCCGCGGGGAAAAGAGTAGTTAGACTTCGACGAGGGGATAGCTACACTCCTGACACGTCGCCCTGTAACCGGGCGCACACCTCTAGAGACGGGACACTTCCTACAACCCGGACGTGCTAGTAGTCGTGTTCAGGACCGTGGGCGGGCCTTCACTTATATAGCCATCTCTGCGCTGGGATCAATACATAACGTGATGTGTTACCCTGTGTCAAATGACATCTGCCCCCCTTGACTAAATCTTTATTCAAAACCCCCAGATTCAAGCCGGTCAGGGTGTATGCTCGTTCGCGGTCAGTTTTGCGCTGGAACGGCATAAGATGAGTGGTGTGTTGACGCGTATTTGCCAAGAGCTTTGGGTCCTAATAACGCCAAATAAATGGCGTCTATGCGGCCGTTCCGAGCGAAGGAGCCCGCTACTCGCACATGCCACATGCAGCAAGAGCGCAGTCTTCGGTGAGCACTACGGTTCCACGTCACAGCGCTGAACATCATGATGCGCCCAGAGGTTGTCATTCAGCTGAGGGTGCGACGATGCTCATTCATCCCAGTTTGTACTAGCGGTTCCGCCTCTGGTATGTTACCGGTGCGTGCGCCGCAAGAAGTACGGTGATTCAAGTTCCGTTCACAGTATGCATGGATGCGACCCTTCCTCGACGGACCAACATCCTCATATCTCCCATTATGTGCATCGTTTCTCACCACGGCGTGCACATGTTGCGCTGGCGATGTTCTCTCGTAGGCATCGCTCGCGCCAATTGTAAACGAAGCTTTGCGGCCCATATGACTTGGACGTTGCAGGGAAACTTGACGTGACACTCCATGCAAGAGGCTACCGTTGTGACAGATTGCGCCCGGTGCTTCTAGGTAAGCACGACAATCATTCCCACAGTCGCTACTAGTAGTGAACATACAAACAGCTCCCATTCCACAGCTTTCCGCCCTTCTGCCCACGGCGGCGGAGGAACAGTGGACGAGGCTCACAGAGCGACCCCCAGCGGCGACTACGATTCGCAGGCCGCTCAGCGCGGGCTGTCTAGAATTAACTCCGCATCTGGCGTCGCGCCGCGCGAATGTTGTCGTCACGCGCTGGCGAAGCCCTTGCTTAATATCCACTAGACATGGTGGTGCGTATGAGCACCGGGTTTTGTGTTTCGTTCCGTGCTTCATGTTGTAAGTCCGGAGAGAATATCACAAATCCCGGATCCTCGCTGACCGCGGACACAGGGTGTGGAACGACAAGGATGTCGGCAAGCTACTTGCCGGCACTCTTTGTATTCAGTCACCACCGACTCTGCATCGACCACGGCAGACACGAGAATTGGAAGGTATCCGGAAACGATGCACTCCGGACGTCCTGAGGTACGGCAGGCTGCGCGGACGAGCTGGAGCTTAGGCCCAGCAGGGTATAAAAGTGTGGCGAGGACGCGCTTTCGAATCAGCAACCTCAACATCTCTGCTCTCACAACCTTCTCTCAACCCCGCTTTCTCTCGATTAACAATGTCTAGCATCTCTACGAAGAAGAGTACTATCCAAATCATTGGGTCAGCTTATGTTGCTTACACCGCGTCGCTAGTGCTCACGAAGGCTTTACAGCGGGAAACTCGGTACACCGTGTAGCATCACGCTTGCCTTCATGCCGAAAGATGGCAACTTAAAGGTAGACTTCAAGACCGTCTTTCCCCTTGCGTGGAAGTAAGCCAGAGCTGTGCACGTCTGCCTGCAACGAATAATACTCACATACTTCGCCTATCCCAGGGTTATCAAGAATCTCAGAGATGGAGGTACATCATATGATTTGCCTGCACGACATGCTTATGCAGCACAATCTCTAACTGGCTCTTTTTGTAGACGAGTTCAAATTTGACTGGACCAACGTGTAAGACTCGCAATACCTGCATGCGGCGCGGGCAACTCGACTGACTATCTCTCAGCTTCGCAGCCTCCCGTCTGGTCATTAACCACTGTGATGACACAGTCAAGACTTGCGAGGTTTCCAAGCCTATCGCTGTAAGATGTTGCAATAACAGTTCTCTGAGCGACGTACTGAGAGGATCTCCTCTCCACAGGTTCGTGAAACTACCGCCCTGCGCTTGGGCGGTGACGAGAAGTACTGGTTCACGGTAAGTCAGCCAATTGTTGCGCCGCATGCTGACAAGGCTCACCGTATAAATTAGGATCCGATCCCCTATCCGTATGATTGGGCCCGGGTCATGAACAGGACCGACAGAAAGGTGGACATCGGCGCTGGTAAGCTTCCGACATCTCATGGGGGCTATGAGGACGTGCTTTTCTGACGGAGGTCGATTCTCTCAGGTTTCCTCGTTGATGAGGCCATGAATACGGTCCTCCTCCAGCTTGGCGTGGCGTATGTCCCCGACCGCTTACTGCACCTTGCTTCAAGGCTGACTTGAATTTTACATAACCAGCGACCGGAGCTCCGCCAACGTGGACTACGTTCCCACGCTCAAGATTTGGGCCGACCTCGACTTCGCCGAGTCGGAGCTGCTCGAAAGACGTGTGAACGATGTCCAGCCCATCTGGGAGGGCACCCTCACGGACTTCGATGGTCGTATCCCCGTCATAGTCAAGCGCAAGAACGGCCGGATTATCGCGGACGGCCCATCGCTTTCCATCACCGGCAACACAAACAGTTCCCTTCTGAAGCAGCTCAGCGCCAACTTCCACCAGGTCAGTCTCGACAGCTTACGCAGGGTGATATTTTTCTGATAAACCTTGTCCCTGCTATAGCCTACCACCTACTCGGTTGATCTCGCCTTCGCTAGCTCAGCCCTGGTCACGGAGGGCGTGCGGAGCATCGTGAACTCGCTGCCCCCTATGAAGTATGTTGTGAAGACCATCCAGAAGGTGAGTTCAAATCAGACCATGTCCGCGCATCTGTGCTCACGAGACACTTCTAGGGCTGCGGCTATGAGGCACGCATCGAGCTGACCCTCCAAGCGACCGTCAGCTGCAGCACGGCTGAGCAGGACATGATCGCCGCCATCAATGCCAGCCCGACCATCTACGGCAAGGCTTTCATCAAGAGCCACGGCGGCGTGACACTCATCTCTGTCAACGACGGCATGGAGACCTGGCTCGAGGTCAACCCAGCCAGCCACCACTGGTTCGATTTTGGCAGCGAGGAAGTGCGTGCATTGAGCGCTGTGGGACTTAGGCACACCATACTCACGGTGATAACAGGATGGCAATGCTGCGTTCAACGGCACCAACGCGGAGAGCTTCGCCAAGGCTAATGCCGCCGAGGTCAACAGAAGCAGCGCGAACGGTGCTCTCGAGCTCGTCGAAGTCAAGGCCGTTATGCGCGAGGGTAGCACGGTCCCCTCCGACGAAGACGAGAACGTCAACAAGAGCGACGTCACTGCCGCCCTCCCGGATGAGACCAAGTTTCGCTCCATCCGTCGCAACGGCGGAGGCCGTCGTGCCCTCGAACTCGCTGCTTGAAGGGCTCGGTCTAGTTGGGTCCACAGAGCCGTGCAGATACGATCGATTGAGTCTTTTCGGTATCCCATAAACCAGTGTCGAAAACATATATGCCACCGTGTTTCAAGTTCCCCAATGTGAGAATTTGAATCGTATTTGAGTGAGCGCGCAGGGGAGACACTCTGCTCATGCATTACTAGACACGGTGCAACACTGCCCAATGCCCAATGCACATAGTCTCGAGGTGGGGTCGACGTCGCGCGCTGAGCGAGGCATTGGAAGTTCTCGAACAAGCCTCCGTGATGGTAAATCTGCTGCGATGCCATCACGGGATGTCCCGCACACCATCGTCGCAGTGGCGCACGTCTAAGCGCGAGGTATCGGATGACCCCGACTGCTTCGCGGCGCAGCGCGAGCCGTACGTCCGCGACGATCATCCACAGGGCAGCGCGCCTCCTATGCGGCAGACGTTCGCGGAACGGTGCAGCGACTGCGAACCCTCGTGCCACCACTCACACTCCGATTCCTCCCCCTTTCCTCATCTTTGCCAGCGCCGTGGCAGCGTGATTCCTCTATGGCTAGATATCGGAAACACCGTGGTCGAGGTGTGCACTATTGTCCATGTCTGCCACGCAGTCGTTGTACATTTAGTACGTGAGAAGCAGGGCCTTGTAGTGCATATGGACACTTACTCCAATGATGGCAACCCCCACGTCCGACGCGTAAGTGTAAATCGAAACCGCCCGAGTCCTGATCTCCTGTGCGCGCTAGACTTCGCATTCACCGTGTTTTTGACGCGGACTGGAGATCGACCGAGAGCACGTAGGAATCCACCATGAAGATCAGTATGAGATGCACCCCTCGAGAAGGAGCTCGGGGCGACAGGCGTCCTTTTGGCGCACGCGGCTGAGGGAGAAAGCGCCCGTGGTCCGCAGCCGACTTCGCGCCGCTTGATGTACACGATCTCAAGGTGAAGGCAGTACGGCGAGTACTCTAAACCATTGGCTGAGACAAAATGTTCGTGGATGGATTAATCCTAGCGACAAGGAGCCTGGACACATCTACATCGCTGGCGGCACTCGCGTTCACGTTCAGATGAACGTTTCACACGGAAGGGAATACATCGCCTATTTCTCGTATATGTTTATCAGCAGTCAGAAGAGAAGTCGTGCTTGGCCCCTTGAGTGCTTACTGAGCGTGTTGAAAACGAAAACGTGTCCCAACGGCCTAGAGTTTCTCAAAGGTCCTACATGGGCTGGCGTAAGCTAGAGGTGAGCCATATCTCATACGCTCGCAATCTCACTAACGTATCCATTCCGATGATCTGCCGCTCCAAAAACAGCATATAGCTACAAATATTCATGTAAAGAGGGGATCTTACTCGCGTGGGTGTCACGTCGATCGAGCGGCTGCGGCGCCGTAGCCAGTCCTCGTAGAATGTGTATCTGTGCGCTGGGTCAATTTCTCCAAGGCTATCGCGTGTGCGGGACCTTCGAGGTTCATTACAAGGTGTTCGGGGAAGCATGTGGCCTGGTAGTCCAGTTTCGCGTTCGTCCGTCGTCTCGACAAGTGGAAGTCTTGAAGCCACTGAGCGTAGAGGATGGCCGCTGGATGTGTGTCGCATGGTGCCCCAAAATCAGAGATGCGCCTACAGATAGCATGGGGACAAGCAATAAATCACAGATCCTACAACCGGTAGTTGCGTACCGCCGAATTCGCTCGGTTTGCACGCGCATGCAAAGATACCTCAATGATTGCAGGATGATTCCCCGCTCGCGGCGTCGAGGTCTAAGTTTCTGGGTACTGCCGCTCGCTTCAGTCAAATTTTCCGCAAGACGGAATATTGATTTTTACGTTCTAGTCCGAGAGCTCAGCGCAGTGGTTTGCCGGACTGGAGAGTTCGAGTGCTTCAATCGTGCGTAGTGGACCGGTACTAAATGCAGCTGAGGCCCCAGCTAGACGCCTATCCCTCGCGCAGGCGCTTTCGGGCACCTCGGCACTCGGCCGACGGCCATCCGGTCCGTGGGTCCGTGCGCCAACGCGTATGAGGCGCCAGCGATCTCAGCCTGCAACGTCGCGACCTCGACGTCCGCAACTGGGCTTGATTCTCTGCGTTCATGGCAGGGGGGTGGCCTAAATGAAGGTAAGTACTGTTGTGGGGATAGTCTTCGGAGCTCGTACATAGTCCCGCATGCATGTACATACAGTTTCCCACGGCTCTACATCCTCTTCCACCACCATCTCGGGCGTCGACCGCGCGCTTTCACCACAAGTACGGATGTCTATTACGTGTGCTGATTATAGTCCCGTCCGCAAACTGCAACTCAGCAGGGCATAAATAGTGACCGCATCGATACGACCGCGGACAGCGCCAGAAGTACGGGAGATCCGCGTCGGCTTCGATGTAATATGCTGCCATGCGGCCAAGACTGGCCCTGCAGACCCCCTTCACTCTCACAACTTGTGGTCTCCCCGCAAGACGTTCTGCTGTCCCCGGGTCGGACCTTCGCCGGTCCATGCCTCGCCCTCAACTGCCTCGCCCTCGCCTTGCTCACGTCTCGCTCTCCTCTACCGCTATTGGGTGTATCGGTCTTCCCTCCGGTAACCAATAATGGATAAACTTGTCTGATGCCGTTATTGCCTCCTCATCTCAAGTCTACGCACGCGGGCACTCTGGCACGTCGACAGTAGTGCCTGCGCACGCACCGCAATGGAGTATACTCAACTACCAGGCGGACGACATAGCCAACTGTAAGTAACGTTAACAACGCCGTGGCGTAGGGAAACTTATAGGTTCTCAGCGACCCTTTTGCACCACAATCCCGAGTGATCGAGCGTTAGACGCCCTTCCCGCCGTGCTTCTGGCAGTGACACCACGACTATATGGATTCCCCATCTGAGATGTGCCACTCGCGTTCACACTAGCTATGCGCCAGGTTATTGCGAGGCTGGAACGTGCTACGAGAAATGTTTCGAGTACACCTCTATCCTACTCTTTCGGCACCTCTGATTTACATTAATTCTACTCTAAGCACCTGGCCCGGCGGAGGTCCTCTATTCTTGCAGCTGTATCTGCTTCTGCTTGTATTCCGCTGCGCAATTAATTTTTCTTGTTTGCTATCATCATGGACGTCAATATGATGTGAGCAAAATTCCGTGGCAGTTGTCATGCGTTTTGACCTGGCTGCTCCGATTGCTCATCAGTTCTTTTTCACTCTCCAACTCGCGGCGGCTGATTCTAGCCGGAGCTCTCGTCCTCTCCTCCCTCGGGTTTGGTTGTGATACCCAGCCAGTGCCGTACTGATCTTTTATGCCTTGAGCTTCTACTCAATAAACTCTGCCACTCGCGTGGAGGTATCTGTGTCGGTGTCTTTGGTGTCCCCCTGTCCAGACTCAGTAGACGTCTACGGGAGGCTTGAACTCGAGCGCTGGACCACCTCGGCTTCAGGATAGGTCATTCCAAGATCTCTACGCCATTGAGAGCGCGTATCGTCGCTACACTCAGTAAGTGCCTATATGCCGTTTCTCGCAAGACGTACGAATGCTTCCAATGGACTTGCCAGACGCAGGTTTCGAGGTGGGAGCGAGTCCGAGTGTACATATATAGTATACAGAGTCGCAAGATCGCAGAAAGACGAGATAGTGAAACATTCTTTACGTCTTCGAGACGGACAACGAGACCATGGCAGGATGGGAGACACATCAAAGAAAGATAGCACGACGGGATGGAGTAAATGTTACTGTACATCCGGACCAGTGGAACCTCGAGCGCCTTCACGTTACCCTACACTCCCTTGCAACCCGTTCAGAATCGCTTGCATCTGCATCATCCTCTCCTCCATCTGGGCCATCTGAGTCAGTTTGCTTTCCATCGTTTTCACTTTCTGCGACAGGCTCTCGATGGTCTCCTGAGCGTTCTCCAGAGGCTCCGTGTTGTCTGCGTGAGCCACATCGCTCTCGTAAACTTCTCGCTCAATCTTGTCAGAGATCACGGCAAAGACATGCGTAGGCCAATGCGGGCCCCGCGCGGTGTCCGAGAAAGCGCATTTGCGGCACAGTACAAGTTCGCCTACGTGATTTGTTTGTTAATCCAGCATATGTCTATATAGTGCAGGATAACTCACGATGGTGGTTAAACCTGCAGCTGATACATCTGTATGTACGTTGTTCTTCGACACAGAGCAAGCCTTCACAATATTTATCGTCTCGCGTTGCGTAGCTTCCGTGAATGGGAGGATTAGAGACAGTGGTATCTGATATATCGCCCATTAGAACATGCCAGCCTGTAAGTCATAGACCGATCTGAAAAGATAAACGAACCACTCCAGGCGTCCACCTGAACACTATCTGCGGCATCGGCCTCCAATATTGCAGCCAAGAGATGCTGTATCATGACTTCCGCGGTACGGTACCGAAGGAGCAGAAAACGATGGGCCCCATTTTCGTGCTTAGACTGGTTGGTCATGAAGCATTGCGAGCAGTAGTTGATGTCTGGCAACATAAAGCAAGTTGCCATGGTCAGAATCATCTCTGGTGATAAAGCTAATGGAGGCCAAGCTTACCGGGGCAGTCTGCGCACTTGTAGCGCTCTCCGCGCAGGTTCTCTCGGTCCTCGCAATGCTCGCCTGAACATATGCAATCATCACTATCATGTGTATTAGCCGTCATGATATGTAGATATTCTGACAGATACTCACTGAGACGGTGTGATGATATCTTCACAGTCCGCATAAACCACTGAGGGTCGCGGGAGGAGACAGTGATTCTTCACGTACTCCACAACCCGGCTCGGGAAAGCAGAGAGCAGTGAGGGCCCTCCATCTACAGATAATCCTCCATCATCGAGGTACATACAGTCTCCCTCACTTGTAGCCGACGGGAGCATCGCCGCATCGAGGGACGTGTCTGACTGGAACCGGTGATCGTACTTCTCCAGTTCTTGCTGGATCCATTGCCGAGGTTTCTCAAGGTGATTTTGTCGACGGATCGCCGGTTCCTGTCTTAGAAGTTTGTCCTCGTTTACTTGTCGATAGCGGCGTATACCCTTATACTGCGAAAAAGAGGAAGGTTAGCTTATAAAAGCGATACAATGTAATGTCATTCAGTCTTCTATACCATGCCGTGTGCGAAGATTGCTATGACTGTGTCGATGTGGGTCCCGGACGACCAGAATTTCCCTATAAGACCGCGCAGTAGCCTCAGTAACTTTCTCTCCGACCCAAGGATCAGGAAAAATGATGTACTGCAAAGTTCTGCTACTCGCTGTTGTGCTAGCTCCCATATACACTTGATCGGAGAGGCCTGGGACAGGGTATTCTCATCCATGACATACTGCTGAGTCAGGGAGAGAATAGCATAGTGGTACTGCATGATCAAGAACAGAGCCGGAAGCATCCGCTGAGCCAAGGCATGAACACCATAAACCTGAGGAAAGGTCACTAATCTCACTCACGTGTTCTATACCGTAGTCTTCATTTTCTCTTGGAAAGGCTTCGTTGGCGGGGTTCATCATAGCGATGAACACGTCATCGTCTTCATCCTCATACTCGTAGTTCATCTGCTCCAGGATCTCGTTGACATCTTGTTCCTGGATCATCATGATTCTGTGTGTTAGTTCGAGGAGTCGCTCTTCAAGCCGTATCTCGGGATCAAGGCCCCGGAGGTGTTGAAGGAGTACCATAACACGAGGTAGACAGTCGTCCATGTAGTCGGCGACAGTATCGACGTTGTCTCTTGCGTAGTCAAGTTTCGTGATTGACTCGATGATCCGCTCGATTCGTAGACGGTATATATGAGTGGATACTAGAGAACCTGAGGAATTGATGATTAATACATGTGCGCGTAACGCCTCAATGCACGCCTGGCTTACCGTACGCTTTGTATGCAATCCATTGCAAGAATGTGATACCTTCGGGCCGCATGTGCGTGAACCGGTTTACATCCAAAGTGCTGATCGTATCGCGGACGTCAATATCGATAGCTGTGATATCTCATGAGTGCAGCCCAGAGTCAAACTAACTGTTTCATCGCCGCACCTTCCATGAGGATTTTGAATGTATCAGAATGGAAGTAGTTCAAACACCACACATCTTGTGCTGCAGCTTCGGGTGTAGTGCTTTCCCCAGGCACATCGCAGCATTGTGTGTCCGCATCGATAGGTGGGGGCGAGAATATGGCTGCAGAATCGAGATTGTTGGACTTCTTGTTCCCGGGGACGCGGGATTCATGTTCCAAGTCGACGAAATATCTGGCGACTCGGAGAACTCATGTGAGAAGTGTCATGCATTTATACGATGAGCGGACTGACCGGTAAAGACCGAGGAAGAAGGTACGAATATTGACCTCAGCGCCCCAACCCTATAGGTATTTAAAATCATTTAACATATGATTCGCTCGTGCAGACCCTGCTTACCTGACTCTTCCAGAGCTTCTGTATGTCCTACACACTCTATGAGAGGCGACAATAGGAAATCAATTATCTGCTTACGCGGTCTTTGATCATTTCAGACGGACACTGGTCAGCGGGCACTGTCTTGATCGAGTTTGAATGAAGTTGATGGTCTACCGGATGGTAGAGGTCAAGAACGAACTTCCTCAAGTTCCTCTCCACGAGTTGATCCACCGGTGTCCTTATGCAGCGGAGCTCCGCAGCACTCAGGGGACTTGATATGTCTATATCACTTGTCTCCACCTCTGAAATGAAGCGAGCAAGCGCGTTGAGGAGTATGTCGTCCCACAAGCATGCTTCGACGCCGCCTAGGCTCTGCAGTTTTTCTCGGATACAGGCCTTTTCGCCGGTGCGCTGCAGCGTGGGGAACAATATTTGACGTATCTTGTCGGGCGACAATACGTAGGATGGGGGATATCGACCTTGCGGATCCTGTATAGGTGCATAAGCACAAACTGGCATATCAAAACAGGTTAAAGAAGCGACAGAGCCGCGACGCACTTTCTTGTGAAGCTCGGTTAACTCTAAATAGAGTCGTCCTATATCTTGAGCGCAACCCTCGAGTGTTTTCTAGGTGTCCATTAAGTTAGACCCATATACTTATGGTCTCTCAAAGTTTGTATCTACCGTCCACTCTTCCTCTCTCAAAATGTGACCTGTCAGGTGACGTATAATTCGTCAACATGTGCGACATTAATATAAGGTCATGAAAACTTACCAAGCCGACTCCCCTCAATGTAAGTCCAAATTATATTTCCTAACCTGACAACCAGGTCTTCTATGAAGCGGCATGTATCTCAGAAGTATTTTGAAGTCAGCTATGATGTAACTTGATCGCATATACGCAGACCTACCCTTTGGTCCATGAGAGATTGTATGATCAGGTATCGCATCAATGTCCGCGAGACCGGCAGGTGTGCGTTCCCTACATTGCCAAGATGACAATAAGTAGATTGACCGCGCTTGGTAACTCATGTGCAGACTCACCTGAGCAGAGCTTCGACTACGCTTGTCTGTACCCACTGTATCCTGATGACCTTGTCTCGACACATCGGGTCCTTGACCATGTGAACTAGCTGCTTTGTCCGCTCAAATGCCGAACGGACGTCTATGTATACTCCGATGAATCGCACGATCCTGAATTTTGGAAGCTCTGACTCACGACTAAGCGTAGGTCTCAGTCCGATCACTGCGGCATCAAGTACCTCAGATACGGAACACCTTGACAATGACTCCGAAGTATCTTGCAGTTCTTCCCAATTGACGCGATTGTCGCGATGGTTAGTACAATACACTTCTGCCCTTGTGTAGGCTGTATCGTAATACACTTGAAGAAACACAGGCAGGACGCAAGTGCATACCGATGTTAGCTGAGGCTTGTCTAGAGCAAAAAATGCCACCTACCTAGGCCATCCATGAACGAAAGCGGCCCGGTCCGCGGTTCGCACTGCCATTGAATGTAAATGGTGGTCGCCTTCCACGGAGGTGGCGCGTCTCCGTCCTCTGGGACCTGGTGGTCGATGGTAATAGGCTCTGGCTGCAAGTACTCCTGAAGTTGGACGCGCATGTATGTTTGACCGCCTTCGATCTGCCTCAAAACAAGCACCTGCCAGTATGTCAAGGAGCCATCTCGGCACGCCAATGCAGCTAAAAAAATATCTCTTGCCCGCGTACGGAGGAGTGGGAGTTGGATACGGATGCCGTAGTTTGTATGGTGGAAGTGGGGCTCAGTGGGAGGGAGCAGCCCGAGGACCTCCATTAAGTGCTGGATAGGCGCGGCCCTGAGATCTGAGCATCCGGTGAAGTCGCTGGGTTGTGAGGCGAGCAGGTTTCGGGGGATCACGTAATCTTGGAAGTTAGGGCCGCCTTGTGAGCTCAATGGGCCGCACATAGAGCTGTGTGGTACATGTGACAACGTGATCTGCGTTTTCCAGGCGAAGATGCTTTGATCGGGAGACCGTCGTATGATCTCGAGTTGAAGGCGCCAGAAAGCCTGTTCACCGCCCTCGCCGTAGGATATAGACATGCTGACGTCGAAGAATCCGGCCAAAGAGTACGCCTGGTCCTCAGGCCTGCTTGTCGTCCGATTCGCGGCCCACGACATGCGCGTCGCGACACTCCACCGGGAAAAGTCGAGTCTTTCCTGACTGTCGTCAGTCTGCACCGAGAGAAGGCTGACGTCGACGTTCGTGATCTCCGCGATGACTTCCGCGAGACCGTCCCTGCAGCCGAGGTATGTCCAGTCCTTGGAGAGGAATTCTATGGAGGCATTGGGCGCGATGAGCTCCTGCAGTGTCCATCCGCGGGTGAACCAGACGCTCTTTCGCAATTGCGATCCTTCGAGTTTTGGATCCTCTGTCGCCAAGTTTGGAACATCGTTGAGATAGGCGACGCAGAGCGTTGCGTCGCGGTACCAGGCGAACATCGAGTTGATGGCCTCTTGAAGCTCGGCGCTACTCGTCTTGTCGATGCAGCACATATCCAGCCACAACCAGTCGAAGTCATTCTCCCTCGCAAACTTGCATGCGTTATAGACCTTGGCCCACGCCTTCTCCTTGTTTGTGGTCGATAGGAGCCACTCTCCATGTGCCACAAGTCGTTTCCGCTCCTGGAGATCTGCGAAGGTGACCTCGACATTTTCCCAACGATGCGAGAGGATTGCGTATTCCGGAAGCTTGTCGTATGGGAACTCCTGTAGCTCGCAAGTTGTCGTATGCAAGAGACGCATGAGTCGTCTTCACAAGTTCGGGGGCTACACATCGACGCTGATACATAAGGATGGTCGGCACATGATAAAGATGATGCTTACCAAAGTGAACTCGTTCTCTGTGCACCGAGTGATCGACACGATCGTCCAAGGCAGCCTGTGTAAGCAGTAGTCGGGCTGGTGATCTGTATATCGACAAGATGATTACGCGTACCGAACGATACTGAAGCACCAGGATTATGCGGTGAGATCTCGGAGGACAGATGAAAGGAGGAATCGCTGGCGTACACTCGAGTACAACGACGGCGACCACTGATCCTCAGGGGCTGCGTGATAGTTGAGAACGGCGGTGGAATGCGGTTCCCGGGGCTCGACAGGAAGTGGGGTGGATACTAGAGGTTCACAATGCAAATATCCAAGTGTCGAGGCTCATAACATGCCGAGGAAGCTCAGGCTAGCGTCTGCAGGACGAGCTTGGCGTGCAATGAGGGACAGCCTCCACACGGCCGCAAACACGAGGTGGATATTTTCGGTGACACTATCGCCGCATGTCGACATCGCACTATTGCGATACCATAAGTCGTGGAGAAGATTGGATGAGGGAAGGGCTTACCTCTGCAAGACGGTCCGGTGACGCTGACGGGTGGCATGAGGGAGCATGGGGACGAATGCGGATACAGTGAGAGCGCGTATTGACGTGCTATGCATCCCGTAGATGATCAAACATGTCTATATGTAGCAGATGAAATTTCTGGCTAACACTGATAATCTCACACGGCATTCGAATCGACGAAGCGGGTTACCCCTGCGCGTCTTTGAGAGCGAGGGATGGGTTCGGCGATTCCACCCGTCTTGAGAGCTACCATAAGAGGTTTGCACCCCGATATTTGGGTTCTGAGTGGAGCCAGCGTCGCTGTATAACGTGGGAGGGATGTCTCAGCTTCGTCGAGTGAGTGCGAGCAAGCCGTAGAGTCGGGGCGCGACTGCCTACAACCAATCCCCGAAATCACGAAGGCGGCGTATGCACTGCCGCATTGAGTGTTGTGAAGCGCCCTCTGCAGCAGAGTTCGGAGCCCGAAGTCACGACGGACGCGCTCAAGTCTTAACTAGCTTATCATTTAGTAGTGTGCGGTACATAAAACGTGAGAGGGGTTGGAATGGCCAACCTGCACACGTAGTAGCGGACACGAGTCCCGTCCCGCTCTTCCAGCAGCACGGATACGTGCGAGAGCGATCATGGCTAGTAAGGCGCGTCTTGCGTGTCAGTGAGACACAGTTCGTTTGAGCAGTATCTTAGGTGTAGGACATCAGGGCTCACCTTGAAGCCGAATACTCTGTGCCAGCACTGCCGCTGGAGCTTAGCATTTCGATTATCCTCCCACTCAAGAACTGCACTAGAAGAGCGTCAGCGCAGACCGCTGGAGCTGTAGCAAAACATCTTACGGTTGCTTAACATCAATGACAATGGATGCGCAGCTGTGGAGGCTGAAGATCATCTGGAATGGAACCTGCCCCTCACAGGAAATGTGACGAGTACGACGCTTTACTCTTCATTTGGCTCCGCCAACTTGGACCGGAGTCCGGGTGCGGGAGAGTCTTTCTTCGATATTCCAAGGGCAGATTATATGTTTCCTGAAGGAGTACGACGTTGCAGATGTTGCGTTCGCGTTCTAGGAGTAAGCGACTACACCAGAATGTGAAATTATTTTATTTGTGCCAAAGAAGCTGATCGGACTTACTCCTGTGACGCAAGAAAGGGCTGTGGCAAACGCGCCCGAATATCAGTTAATCTCCCTAGTCTCAAGGTCAGACATATGTGTCTGATGCAGATGCTTCCTACGTTCCGCTTGTAGGTTATTCTCAAGACGCCCCGGGGCCGCACACGCCGAACCTGGTGTCGACTACTGGGCTTTTGCGAATTCATAGTCTCGACGTGGGTGTGGTGGCGCGAGATTGATTCTTCGTCTAGATTCGGGAGGAATTAGCTGCTATGGAGATCTCGTTACGATCGTGCGGGTCTGGGGAGCTGGAACGCATATGATGCGAGACACTTCCGACAGCACTAGCATACACACATGTAAAATAACTCTCGGTAGTTCTCCATCTACATAATACGTGCGCCCCGCTTACTGGATTTGTTTGTGCGTACACGCGTCCGGCGAGGTCGTTTACCTGGCAGTACCGAGGTTTGACTGCTTCTAGTAGCTTCTGAACGCTCATGTAAGTTTTTGCCGACCATGTCACCGCGATTCAAAAGAAGAGAGTTTACCTTTTCCTGAGGCGATGCGAGGCTCTAAGCACGGAGAGAGCCCACTGTCATGCCAGACCGTACTGACATGACTGGCAACAGTGGTAGTGGAGAACTTCGTATATAGACGCCCGTCCCACTTGCATTCGAACTTCGGCTTTCGGCTTTAATGCGGTCCGCGAGTCCGTGCGGGGAAGGCTAGCTTGGGCGCCAGCAAAGCCAGCTTGCACCGGGACCTCGACGTTGATATCTATGCTCAACCCTAAGCCGACTCTGGAAGATAGCCAACTGACGATATGACCACTGTACGATGGCCCTGCGCTCATCACAGACGCAGCATGTCCCGGTGACGACGCGGCGAACGGTGCCAGCGGCGTGCTACACGTCATACCCGCTTCAACTTCCATGCCACCACGCCATGGGTAGCCATATGCCCGGGGAGCGCTCTGGCTTTCTGGATTCTCAATTTCCTGACCTTACCACCCACGGCGCTTCCTCTTGTTGACATCGTGGTTTGCCCGTGCCCTCCAGGCTCAAGCTGGCTACTGTCCCAGCCCTTCTGCGCAGCGCACTCAACTGCTATCGCTCTCTCTCTCCTCCTTTTTTGGCCCTTACAGCTTCGAGCCGCATTGGTCTTTGCGCTTACAGAAACGTCGGACGAAGCTAGCTGCAATCTGGACATGCGTCATGCGGCACCGGTCCGTATCTGTTTTAAGTCGCGCCCGAAACTTCCCCCCCTCACCAGGTATAACCTTCGTAATCCACAGGGCTAGAGAACCTATCAATCACGCGGTATACCCTCTGCTTAATCTCTCCAAATGGCGAATAATTAGCCACGCCTTTGGGGAAACTCGTACTTCGCTTTTGAAGGGCAACGTCGTAGGTATGTATGACAGACCCGGTGCTGCGATTAACATCTCACGAGAACTCTGGTCGAACTCAAAGCTCAGGGAAATCACCGTATGAGGTCGCATTTCTATCAGATCGTGCGTACGGAGTCGTCAACTGCATGTGTTGCCTATCCGCATCCGTGTTTCCTATCCGTGTCCGTGTTGCCTATCCGCGTCCGGTTCAGGATGACCGCCTCTCTGGCTTGGTGGCGCATCGGGTTCCTTCTCGAGAGCACGTTTCGCGACTCGCTCAGTTGTGAGGCCCAGTCACGGCGGGAGAGTCCGCGCCCTAGGCTGCGCCAGTAGGCAAGTAGTGCATCGTCTACGTCGAGGATGCAGAACGCGTAGCGGCGGACGTCGACACCCAGTCCAGGTCCCCTGCAGAGCTGCCACTGTCGCGCGCGAGTGCTGGCATGCCGTCCAGCTTCACGCCCGTGTCGATCTCGGATTCCGCCGGCGCTTGCGCTCGTTCTCGCCCATGTTGACGCGGATGCTGTACATCGAGAGGAGCTTTGGGGGGAAGTGGAACTCATGGACATGGGCGTCGAACGTGGTGCGTCTTGGACTGGCCATGAGGATGCGATGGGTGTGGCCTTTGTGAGGCGCGGTGGAGGGAAACAATTCGGGGAACTCCTTGATGGTGTAGACCATGAATGGGCCCTCGACGCATTCGACGAGGACATGGGGGAGACGAGGAGAATCGGGAGATTAGGCTCCCTGTGCAGTAGCGCAGGATGAATGTGCCCTCAAACTTGACCGCGAAGTCCTAAAATGCGCCTGAGGAATAAATATTGAACATCGGGATGGATATGTGCTTGCACTCAATGAAAATGTGAACATGACCTCCTTGCCGTTGTAGTCCACAATTTCCGCCTGCACAAATGTCACGCCCACGAGTGGAGAGCTGCAGTGCTCGCTCTCACAGCGTAGATGAGATCGAGCCATGAGACGACGTCCTGGGGGACTACACCATCTGGCGCACATGATCATGGCCTAGGAGCCACTGAATCCTGATAAGGGCTCCACACTCGGGAATACGATGCGCCGGGCATACACAGCGACCATGGGGATAGAGCGGTGCGACGGCGGTGTCTGGAGGAGGGGGAGGATCCTACTGCATATGGAGCGCTGACGCAGGAGGACCTCGAGGGCTGTGACGACAACCGGGGGTTTGGCGGCGTAGAGCGTCGGCAGTGCGTGTGCGGTAGCTTAGCTTGCGAGAGCTTGGCGATAACCAAAGTAGACCTGTGAGCGACGTGGAGGACACGGAGCAGGCGAGGTAGAAGGCGGTGCGCAGGTCGTCGATGCATGTCGTGGGCACGAGTGTGACTAAGACGAGCTGGGATCCGGAGACCACGCATGTATCGCTGGGATGTCGCCTTAGCCTTCGCTCTCTTAGCTATACATGACCTTTATGCGTAACTACACCTTTGCGCATATCAAGTCGGAGATCCTGTTACCCCACAGACCTCATCTAATTTCAGGTCGGAAGTGCTCTACCGCTCTCGGACTGGCCCCTTATATGGCCTACGCCGCACGGTCAAGCATCGAGAATGTCGCATGACGCTCGGACAAGCAAAGGTACACCTATACATCAAGCAATGATCAATAATAATCACACCAAGCCACGACCCGTAGATTGTATACCACGGAATTCGCTCGATGCACGCAATTGCAGGAAAACTTGGCAAAGCAGAGGCTGAGGGCCAAGTTTCTTCCGCGTATGATCGCTGTCTTGATTCGGAATTTTCACAAAACGGAATCTTGAGTGACGCATTCAGTCGTAGAGCTACTGGAGTGGTCTGCGGGACTGGAGAGTTCGAGTGTTTCAATCCCGCGTGGTGGAGGTGGATAGGCCCCAGCTAGACGCATGTCCGTCGGGCCGGCACCCTCGGGCACCTCGGCTTTCGGCATTTGGCCATCCGGTCCGTAGGTCCGTGCGCGAACGCGTGAGCATCTCAGCCTGCAACCGCGATGTCGACGTCCGCAACGTGCTTTGTTTCTATCCGTACAACATAGCATAGGTGGGTAGCTTGAATGTAGGTAAGGACAGACTACTCCGTGCGCTGATCATGACCGCGTTCAAGCGACCCAGCACGTTGCAGAGAACGACATGACAGCGGACGGCGCCAGAAGTAGTACGTGATATCCACTTCGACTTCGATGCTAGCCGCCATATGTGCGTCCAGGATTGGCCTTGTAGATTCCTCGTTGGCTCCTCTTCACTCTCACCACTTGCGCTCTTCTCACAATTCTTTCTGCTGCTCTTGCGTCTCAGCGCAACATGCTCAGCTGCCTACAAACCCTCGCCTCGTTCTCGCCTAGTGCTAGTCTTGCGCTGGTAACCCTACTGGATCATCTTGGCGATGGCTATTGTCCCCTCAAGCTCCTCAGCCCCTCTAGCGCACCATTTCGTTGCGGAAACGTCTTATATGGATAGCTCGGGTTCGTCCTGGTTCCAGTTCATGCCAACCTGCCGAAGGCAAAACATCGGCGGAGTTCCTTGCGCCATCGGTCACGAGGAATACGCGTCGCCACACATGGTAAGCATTCATACATAGTCTCTATTCCGGACTTGTCCACGAGAGGCTATCCGGTCTACATTTTGATATCGGACTGTTACCTTCGCCACGTCAGGACCCTGCATGCATGACCGAGCCCTCAACGACTGCGGCCGTTCTCTACGGCACGGCCCCTGGACGGCGGGGGCGCATCTCAGAATGCACCGGGTGAGTCGAGTTTCCCTGCGGCGTATCCACTCGTGTTTACACATCTTCATATCGAATGCAGCTGGCGTCGCCATGATCGTCACTGCAGGGTGGAACTCGTCTCCACTATCGATCACCGCCAGACCACCCAGACAGGCGCCCCAGCGGAGGCACAAAGCCCCATGGAGCGTTATCGTCAACGCCGAGTCGAGAGTGCGAGCACAGACACGGCTTTACTCCAAGCGGAATACCCAAACGGCTGCACGGCAGGCTTGCACGAGATTCCTTTATGTCAAGACGTGTTCACGTCCAAGTCAGGCACGCTATGGTCATCACTCTGCATGGACGCGGATGCACACCTACCACCGCATCCTCACGCCTATCTCAATCTCTTCAACACTACATCGAACGCCTCTTCGCTTCTCCGAGGCTCTACATGGCAGCTGTCTTTGGTCCGCAACGCCCCCGTCCTTTGCCCAGCCGGTAGAGCACGCCGTTCTGCGTCATGCTATGTCGCTTCTCCGCGCCGCTAGCGGCAGCCATACTACTAGATATAGTCGTCATCGTCTGGCCTTATTGCAACGCGCCCGCGTTGAGGACGGGGCAAAAACAAGGCGCCAATCCTGGGATGACCCGCACACCATCGTCGTATTGGCGCATGTCTAAGTGCGGAGTAAACGAACCCGACTGCTTCGCGGTTGTCTCCCCTAGGCAGACGATAAATGCGTACGACCGCAACGATCACCTGCCCCGCAACATATTTTTCGCAAGTGGCAGGTCGTGCTGCCGTAGATGTAAGCGCGCCCTAAAGGACTGTCCCTGCGTGCTTACTGACGTCGTTGCTTAGGGAATTGAAGAGTGGCCGATGTTTGTCATTGTGGTCATTGAGTATGAGTACACAATGCTTTACCACACTAGTTTACTGATACCATGATTTTTCTCGGCAGCCTGAACACGCTTCAATCGAGCCGTGGGCTCCCAACACGCCACCCGCCACGCCGGGTAGGAAGTTGATCGTCACTTACTAGCCTTACAGGACCAGGCTTAATAGACGGTATATGTGCGGCTCCTGGGGATTAGAGTATACTCAGCTAAAATTCTGTGGAGTACTAATATGTCTTGACCAGAGGAGTTATATGCACATTAAATACGCATGAGCAGTCTGAGTCTGACGCGTACGACGTGAAGCCTGACTGTAACGCGCGCACGTGAGCGCGACGCGTAAAGCACGTGCCTGTAGTCGCGCAATGAGCACGCCATCGGTCAGACTGAGGGCAGACGCAAGCAAATTCGAGTCGTCGTCCGCCTTCCCTCATCCCACCATCATCTCGCCCTCATCGTCCTCGATGGTGTTGAGCCCCTCAGTCCCTCAGCCATGCTCTCCATCTGGCCCTCGGAGGCCAAATATTGACCCTGAACAAAACGCGAAATGCTCACTCCATCTGGAGGATTATCCGGGGTCCTTGTTGCAGTAAGTAATGGCATAACTCATGCATATGCGTTACTTTTGTTTTATGCTAAGGGACACAGATATTGCTCTGAGGAGCGTTGAATGTCGCTTTCGAACGGACTCTTAGTTGTCCATCTCCTCCCCGAGCATCTGCGACGACGTCTACGTCTACGCCTTTGCGTTGCATACGACGTGCTCTGCCGTGATTGTCACGGCGTTCAGGTCCACCTGCCCCAAGGGCCTTGCGAGTTACACAAGCTGGTCCTCAACATTCGACATTCTCCCTGGAGCGCTCCCCTCCGCTGCTATTCCAAATTGCGCGGCCTGGCACCTCCGCTATCGCGCACCACCGGACGTCGCCTTTACGTCCTCTTGGTGTACTCCTGGGGTCATGCTCCGCCTTCGATCACAACGAAGCCCTCCGTCCGGAACATTTCACCGTCTCGAGCCCTATCAGCCGACCTGGATTGCTTTGACTATCCCCTCTTCCGTGTTCGCCGGCAACGAGGCTTCATAATCGGTTGGCAGACCGCTCTTCCTCCGTCGCGCCAGTGCTCCTGTTGTGGGCAACCCCCATCGGCACTCTGGCGCTTTGACAAACGTCTGCATTCTCGCTGGTGTTGGCCAAGGCGCGTTCCCACACTCTTAGCGCCGGTGTGCGCCGGCGTTCGACCTCGCGCACGATAACGTGTAACGATTGAACCGGCCCCTCTTCCGCACTAGCGGTTTACCCTGGCCTATCGTCTTCAATTCGGAATTCGAGCTCTCCTGTGCTTCAACAAGTCTCTGGTGTCCTGTCGTGAAGTGAGTGCTTTCACTGGTTTTCGTGAAACCCGGGCAGGCGAGAGTGGCAGCACTTCGCGGAGGAATACTGGCATTCGGCGCATCCATTGGGGATGTGATGATTACGATTCGAAGACCCATCAGGCATCGTTGACGCGTAAACGCGCACGTCTTATTCGCGCGCGTCGGGTGTCACCCGGCGAGGGGAATGCCCCGCTTTATTCCATTCCTTGAAGTTAGGGTGTCCGGGTTCCTTGCATGTACATAGGCTCCTCACCCCTATAAAAAACCCCCCATTTTGCCTCATCTCACAACAGTGCGAGTTTCGCAACCGTAAAGACATCCACCACCCTCCCCCCAGACCACGAAATGCGCTCCCCTTCCCCTTCTTCCTCGTCCGATATCGCCTCCTCCCCTTCTACGGCCCCTTCCACTCCCCCTCCTGGCCGGCCCACGTACTGCATCGTCACGCACGACGCATCTGTCGCGTTTCTGCAGACTCTGCGGGTGGCCAAGTCCAGCGGTGACCGTGCTCTGCTATTCAGCGGCGCTGGTGCCGTGAAGGAACTGCTCGCCCAGGCGGCAGATATCCTCGAGGATAAGTCCATCCTTGAGGATGTGCGATGGGAGCGCGTCATCGCCCAGGATGGCGGCGCCGAGGTAGAGTACTACCAGACCAAGAGCGGCCAGTCCATGCTGGAGGTCTCTGACGAGAAAGTCTGCGTCGTGCTTGACGCCATCAAGCTGCAGACGAAGCCGGTAAGCCTCCTGACATCCATAACTTCGCCCCATCTAACGCTCTGTAGATTGCGCACGACGATGCACTTAATCGCTTCTGCGAGGCCGGCCTGCGATCCATGATCGCGCTTCATACCCCACCCTCCACGGCCACACTCTATATCCTCGAACGCCCCGCCCAAACTTACCCCCTCCTCTCTTCCGCGCCCGCGACCGCCCTCAACCCCACCGCCCACCCCTTCAACATCCCGTCCCTCGCCGAGTTCGAGCGCGGCTGGACGACATGGGACCTCATCACCCTCGGCATGATCCCACCCTCGCTCCTGCACGCGAAGCCCATCGACCTCCGTCACAAGCCGCTCTTCTACATCGGGCACCTGCCGACATTCGCGAACATCCTGCTCTCGCGGCTCACCAACGCGCGCGAGGTGGGCCCGCGCCACTTCTTGACGACGTTCGAGCGCGGGATCGACCCGATCGTGGACGACCCGGACGCGTGCCACTCGCACTCGGAGGTGCCGGAGAAGGATGAGGACTGGCCCGCGTTGGGAGAGGTGCTCGCGTACCGCGATGAGGTGCGGGAGCGCGTTATACGTAGGGTGTATAACGAGATGGAGAGCGGCGAGCGGGCGTTGACGCGTCGTATGGCGCGCACGCTCATGATGGTGCTCGAACACGACGGGTTCCACATCGAGGTACGCATCTCATTTTGTGAGAGTGGTAGTAAAGTGCTAATCCACTGGACGCTCTTCGCAGACCCTGCTGTACATGCTCATCCAGCGCGCCGGCACGGGTACCCTCCCGCCACCGGGCTTCGCCGCACCCCCATGGGAGGCACTCGCCGCGCAATGGGACACGCTCTCTGCCCCGACGACGCCCACTGTCACCCTCGGCCCGTGCGAGCTCGTGATGGGCCACGACGACCAGGAGCCGGACGACCTCGACACCGCGCTCGAGCATGCGGTCGCAGACCACGAGTTTGGGTGGGACAACGAGAGCCCGCGGCGGGCGGTGCACGTCGGGCAGTTCAGCGTGGAATGGCGCCCGGTCACGAACGGCGAGTTTGAGACGTTCTGGCGGGGCGCGGGCAAGGATAAGGTGGAGATGCCCCCAAGCTGGGTCGAGGAGGACGGGGAGGTCAAGGTGTGTTTCATCTTCTCTTTATGCTCGGACGTTATACTGATGGCAGCTCAGGTGCGTACGCTGTACGGCCCAGTCCCCATGGCCATCGCGCGACACTGGCCCGTGCTCACCGCATACGACGACCTCGCGGCGTTCGCAGCTCACAAGGGCGGGCGTATCCCCACCGAGCCCGAGCTGCGGTTCTTCCTCGACACCTACCAAGACACCTACGCCGAGGGCGCGAACGTCGGCTTCCGCCACTGGCACCCGCTGCCCGCGACCGCCGGCGGCTCGGCGCGCGGCGGGCGCGGCTCGAACGGCGGTGTGTGGGAGTGGACGGCGACGGCGCTCGACGCGCACGAGGGCTTCGCCGGCACGGGCATCTTCCCCGGGTACTCGTCCGACTTCTTCGACGGGAAGCACCAGGTCGTGCTCGGGGCGTCGTATGCGACGATTCCCCGCCTTGCGGACCGGCGCACGGTGCGCAACTTCTACCAGCACAACTACCCGTACCCGTGGGTTGGTGCGCGAGTGGCTTACGACGCGTGAGCGGGCAAGGGTTTTTTTCGAGTATGCTTCTCCTGGCTAGATATGCGTGTTATGTTGTTGTACGATAGTGTAATTTATGCGATACATAGCTATGTGCACACTGCTTTGATTTTATATATCATCCCGTTCCCTCACGTCATGCTTGTGCGACCGATATGTCTTGCTCAGTCGACACCCTCGGTATCTCTGAGCTGGTCGTCCTCATCGGAGCTGTCTGCAGCGTTGTTCGCGCCACCGCCCCAGAAACGGCTGACAAGCGAACGCACGAAGCGCACAGGGAGCGGCTGAGAAGAACATCTCGTCAGTCGATGTGATGATACACCCATCTGAAGTACTGACCGCGACGGCCTGCTCTTCTTCCTCGTCTTCTTCCTCGTCCTCCTCGATCTCCTCTTGGGGATGCACTACGGGGTTCACAGCGCGCGCAGGCTGCATAGGCATGTCATCCACGTCTTCTGCCTCCTCGACATCCTCGGGGTCGACAAAGTTCACCATGAACTCCCCGCCGAGGCCGCCCGGCATCTCCCCTTCACGCTGCTGGAACCGCTCCTCGCCAGCGCCAGCGAGCGCGACCATCATGTCCTCCAGCACCTCCGGCATCTGCTCCGCAACCTGCGCAAACTGTACAATGCCCCCGGGGAAGCGCTGCGCGAGCGCGGGGTGCGCGTTCCAGAAGTCGAGCAGCTGTCCGCGCAGCGCGCCGTCGGGTATGAGGCGCTCGAGCAGGCGCGCCTCCTGGCGGCGCGAACGCGGGCGCGCGGCGAGCACGTCCTCGACCCCGCGGAAGAACTCAGCGTCGTACTCGTTGACGTGCGTTGTGGGCGGGAGCGGGTCGCACGCGAGGCTGCGCGTGTCGACGATCTTGCGCGGGATGAAGGTGAAGAGGCTGCGGCAGGTCGGCTCGTTCACGAGCAGGTGGCGGTATATGGAATAGGCGAGCGCGGGGAAGGAGAAGCGTGCGTGGAAGAGCTTGGGTGGGGCGGGCGAGGCGGTGGGGAGGGTGTTGTAGACGGAGGCGACGGTCTTGGCGAACCAGGCGGCGCGGGCCGCTGGCTTCCAGAGGGACGCAGCGCGTTGGGCGTATAGATGAGACAGCAGGTGGAAGATGGCGAGGCTGTCGGAGAGCAGCATGCTGCGGGCGGAAAGTTAGCTAAGGCAGCATACGAAGGAGATTACGGAGGCGAACCTTGCATCGGGATGTATCCTAAACGCTGGATGCCCCCGAATATCGCCACTCAGCGAGATGTCCGCCTTGTCTGCCAGCAGCGGGACTACTGGTGGGAACTTGGTGATTGCCTCCTTCAACGCCTCCGTACTCCGCTCGTGCTGTGAATCGTCGTCAGTCAAAAGCGTCAACTGGATACTGGTTCGCTCACATCTTCATGCGACGCTTCCTCGCGGATGAACAGTGCCAGAGCACGAGAATACGCCATTCCCGGCATGATATTTGGCACTAATCGCCGCAAGTACGGCGATTTGCCGTCCTTGGCCTCCTTCTCGACATCAGGCTCAAACAGATCCCAGAGGTCGATCAGCCACTGGGTCATGCCAGTCTTGATAGCGAGGTACTCGAGGTGCAGGATGGCGCCATGCGGGTCGCTCCACGGGTCAAGCGCATACATGAGCCTTGCAAACTCGAATGCCGTGCGGACGCAGCCCCGACGTTGCAAGTCACTGCAAGCGGCGTGAGTATACACTCGTGCACGACTTCGGAACTACATACCTTATTTGTCTGTGCAGTGCGAGGAAAAACGGACGGTTCTCTACGTGGTCGAAGTCGAGACGATTGGCCCCACTGGTGAAGTTGAACGCGCCGACAAAAGCGCGCTCATATGTGAAGAGTGCGCGGTCGACGAAGTCTGCCGCTGTGCTGTGCTCTACAGAATAGCGTAAATAAGCCAGCTGAAAACGGTTGGAAGACCATCTACTCACCTTCTCGGTGATGATATACTTCGGAGAGCTGGAGCAGCGTGTCCGCGTGGTATGGCAATGCTCGGAGTAGTTGATAAAAACCCTCCGGATCTGAGGTTGCCGTCAGGATTTAGCTAGCTGGAGTCGAAATGACGGCGCGCACCTCCAGACAAGACAGTACGCATGAACTCGAAGGTGACGGCACGATACTTCTTACTGTACTCAACAGTCCAAAATTTCTCTCCGTGCAGTGGCTGCCACCCGTGTCGTCGCAAGCCGACGTCAAGTTCCTCAGCGGTGAGAACGCGAACAGAGAGACCTTCGCGCAGTTGGGCGGGCCACCACGTAGGTTGTGGTCTGGTAAGATTCGATCGCTGAAGAACAGACTGCCGCGCTGGCCCCGATGATGATCCCGACTTCGCCGCAGAAATGACCTTGGATCCAAAGAACTTGCGTAGCTCTGCTTCGCTATCAAGATGTTGCAGGGATACTCCGAGAAGCGCTGCAAGAGAACGTGCTGCGGCAGGTGAGGACGCCACCTCGGCGGATGCGGCAAGCTGCTGCTTCAGGTCGGGGTACTTTAACGAAAGCTCGGCGAGAGCTTTGTCGACGTCGTCCATGCCATCTTTCTGCTTCTCCTTAGCTTTCTGCTTCTTCAGCGCCTTGCGTTCCTTCTTTGAGGGTCCGGACGGGGTGTTGGAGTCCTGTTCTACTTCAGCGTCGTGAACGGGTTCGGGAGCATAGTTTTGAGGGGCAGGAGAAGGGGCAGCAGGTGCAGCGGTAGAAGCCTTTTTCTTCTTACTCTTCTTCTGCTCGATGACGTTAGCAAAAGTCTGGGGGGAAGAATGGAAAGAGCTCACGAGCCTTCTTCGACTTCGTCGATCGCGTTTGCGCTACGTCTTCATCGCTGCTCACGTCGTCTTCATTGGCCATGAGCTAAGGTAAAAATAGATTAGCTACCTATCTTCAACGCTACTTCGCAACTCAAGTGCATCCATCGGCAAGAAGCCACCTACTCAGGCCGGAAGAGGTCTCGGTAGTGATCAAGAGTTTATCCCAGCACGCGGCGTTTCAATGCACGTCCACTGACCGTCTCAAAGGGAGTAGGATGAAGAAGGCCCGCACGCAGACGGCCGAGCTCAACAATCCCACCGAACGCCCTGCAGCAGAAGGGCTGTGGCGGAACTAACATGTCACGCTTGGCATGGGGGCTTTCTGGAGAGACAAGGTCCCGGATATACACGCCCACAGCGTTGCTTGCAAGTGAAGGAAAACGTCCGGTTCTCTAACCAGTGACCGTTCAAGCACATTGTCTGTGTCAGTGGTGATCAATCGATGCTGGTCGTGCGCCATAGCACCCTCTTGCTTATCCGCGACCTTCAAAGTACTTACATACGGCCATATGAAAGTTGAGCTATGTTCCGAATGTTTCGGTGTTATTTCGTCAGTGCGCGTCCCCCTCACAGCCCAGCCACACAGACCACCCGCGTCCAATGATCCATGTCGCTGCGCAAGAGGGCGAGCACCGGCCGAGCATCACAGTGGGCGCACATTGCACTCGGATGCTGGAGATCCAAGTGGCTCACCGGTCGCCCCTACTGTCACATCCGCTTGTTGCGCAGCACATCTGGGCAACAGGAACAGACTCTTTGAAGTGAATATGTAGCACTTACAGCGGCGAAACCACCCACTGCCGCCTTTGGAGGGGCGATGGGTGAAACGGATGTACTGCCCTCCGACTGCTCCTCCGTATCCTTTTTGTCGTCGATCTTTAGAGCCTCGAGCTCTTCCTGCTCTCGCAGCTGACGCTTGTTGAGTCGTGGTGGCATAGCTAGAATCCTAGAGCAGCAAAATCTAGCAAGCGAGCGTGGGGGGAGACGAAAAGAGGAGGATGAAGTCAGAATTCCGGGTCCGGCCAATTAGCGCATCGCAGTAGCGTGGCGGAATGCCGGCCCGGGCAGGCCGTGGGGGTAATCCGGGCGTCTGCGCGAGACCCTTCTCATTTAACCGCCAAGTGCGTCAGAGCTCATTTCTGTGTCTTCCTCTCCCCTCCCCTCTCCCTCCTTGTGGTTCTCTGGTCTGCGTAGACGACGCGCACAGTCTGTGGAGACCTCTGAGTGGTGATATATATGAACAATGTCAGCCAGCACCTCATGTCAGGTATGTGGTCTACCCTGCTCTGTCTGCGCGGCTGCTCAGTTCGTCTGTTTCAGGTGCCCTCTCGGGCTTCGCGTCGACGATAATACTGCAGCCATGTTAACAAATTCCTCATGATATGCTCTGCATGCTAGTAATGACTTTCTCCCCGTCTGGTAGTTGACCTTCTCAAGACGCGTATACAACAGCCGGACCACCTCAACAAGCTCAAGCCGTCGCTGTCCCCACAATCCACCCTCGTATTTCGGACCGCGCGCGACATCGTTCAATCGAAGGGGGTTCTAGGTCTATGGAGGGGTACTACGGCATCGCTGTTGCGCAATGTCCCCGGAGTCGCGCTCTACTTCACGGGCCTCAACCAGTTCCGCGCGTTCCTCGCCACGTCGCCCTACTTCGCGCCCTTGCGCGCGCCATCCGCGTCCTCCTACTCCACATCGACTTTGCCGAAGTTGACTCCGCAAGGGAATCTCCTAGCCGGCGCGGTCACACGCGTCGCGGTTGGGTTCCTGCTCAATCCCGTGTCTGTTCTGAAGGCCCGCTATGAGGTTCGCTACCCCATACCTCCGCGGACGTTCGCGTGTGCTGACGCGCTATTGCAGAGCTCCCTGTACACGTACAACTCCCTACCACAAGCGTTTATGGGCATCATGCGTTCCGGCCCCTCCGAGGTCTTCCGAGGCGCAGTTGCGTCCTCCCTCCGTGACGCGCCGTACGCGGGTATATTCGTAGTGTTCTACGAGCACATCAAGAACACCATGTGTAAGCACATCCCCGACTGCTTCGTGCCTGAGTCTGACTACATACCCAGCGAACGCGGTGTCCTCGGCGCCAAACGCGGCTGGCCTCCCAATACCGATCTCGACCTCTGCGGCGGTCAACTCGGTATCGGCGGCGTCTGCGGGCGCGCTCGCGACACTCGCGACGCAGCCGTTCGACGTGCTGAAGACGAAGATGCAGGTCCGCTCTGAGATCAAGTACCGTGGGCTACTGAGCACCGTCAGCGCGATATGGAGGGTGAGCACTGTCTCTTCCCCTGCGCGTGTATAGGGCTCGGAGGTGCTGAATCTAGACGGGGTGCAGCAACGCGGGGTCGCCGGGTTCTTCGACGGGGCGACGTTGCGTATGTCACGCAAGATCTTCAGCTCGGCGATCGGGTGGGCGGTATATGAGGGCGTGCTGGTCGCCATGCGCTCTGAGAGACCTTGAACGTTGTGCTCGGATATATGCTCGGACAGCACGGACACACGCCACCACTCTTTGTAGAAATTCTTGTAGCATCTTGCGGCCAAATGTTATCACCCTGCTTTGATGTTTGTTTACCACTGTAGGGACTGTGCTTCACGGACCAGCAGTCAGAAGCATTCGGTGCATAGGACGTCGACATGGAGTGCCCTGGCAGGACTAATACATATCATAGATACAAACATCTTACAAACAGCCCACATAATATACAACAGCGCCAAAAAGAAGAACTGGGAGAACATTGGCTGCTACTCAGCGCTCAGCGGCCTGCGCATTTGGCGGTGCCGTTAGCGCGGGCGCCGTTGGGACCCGCCGAGTGCCCCAAAGACGACGACGAAAGATTGCGAACAGACCGTCTTGCAGCCTGCCCGTCTTATTCTCCTGAGCAGTGAGTCGCTCCTTCAGACTCTGCAGCCCGTCGACCTTGTCATCCAAAGCCATGATGCGTGTCTCGAGCGTCCGTAGCTGGTCGGCTACGGCAGCCATCGTGTCCACTGGAGCCTGTAATCCCCACAATGGAAGCAGCGCGCCGTCAGCCTCTCACGCGCCTGAGTATCACGTACAACGGAAGTCGACTTACCGAAGCCGTCATGCGGAAGGTCGGCCTGAGATGGGGCGGCATCGTGTCGTGGGTGCCGAAGATGCAGTGGCGCAGGTCTTCGTAGGGCTTGCGATAGTTCCAGGGCTGTCCGCACGGACGTCAGTCGAGCAGTAGGAACACAATCAAGGTACGCACGGAGTCATAGTACTTCTTGAACAAGCCGTCGGCGTAGCGGTCGACCTGCAGGGGGATATTCTTCGCCTCAAAGCGCCATCCGCGGGAGAGGTCGCGCAGCCGCCCGTCAAAGGCGACGAAGATGGCGATGCACGAGGTCGCGATTTCCTCGATCTCGATGACCTCGTCGTGGTGTATGTATCGCTGGTTGCGGATCTTCGTGACCAGCTTGCGCAGGCGCTGCGTGAGGATGTACAAGAGCGGCATCATGTGCTGTTCCCGTTGTAGTATCAAGCGATTAGACACCGCGGCATGAGAGAGTGAGGACGCGCGTACCAGCTCAATACGGGAGTCGCCGACGACGGCCATGATGGAGGTCTTGTCCACCAAGTGCACACCAAAGTCGTGAAGACGGTTGCGGATCGTCTGCTCTTCGAATTGTCGGAACTCCTCCTGGAGCCGGCGCAACTGGTGAGGAACCGCGATGATGCCGGAAAAGTCCTCGACATCGGCCACGAGGATGAGCGGCTTCAGGTGGCTGAGGATACCTTTCACTGTGTCCCAAGAGTGGGCTGGCTGCATCTCTACGCCTTCGACAGAACGCTGCAGGTCCCTCATCATGCCGTCGATCTCGCCGTAGTACCTATGAGTCGAAGAGGTAAGCCCAGGATAGGTATAAAATTCACGCATTATGCTCACCATGCATTGTTGTTGTACCATCCACAAGCCCAGCTGTGTTTCCTTCAGCGTCATGTTTATATGCATCAACCGAAACGGGGCTTACAACGCGAACCATTCCGGGTTTGTCCAGTTAGGACGCCGGCGATTATCCGCGGTCAAGAAAGCGTTCAATTCGAGGACTGTGATGTGGCCGCTGCCGTCGTCGTCAATAATATCACCGATTGCAGAATGGTCTGTTCATATCGAGCATGTAATTAATAGGAAAGAATGTCAACCCGAAGAATATCACGTACACATCGCCCGCGAAAAGAACTCCAGCGTCCAATGGTCATCAGCCGCGGAACCTTGAGCTCGGAGTTGACGATGATAGTGTTCGTGTATCCCTGCCAGACACGCTCGCTACGTTAACAATTGTCCCTGTACAGGAGATATCACCAACCTTCCACGAAGACTCGGCATTTGATCGTAGACCGCCAGCCCTGAGTTCATGTAATGATCCTGGTTAGCATAGCAAACACGATTGATCGTCGATAGTGGAAACCCCGTACATTATCTGGGGGAAATGTCAACAACGGAGACGTTAAAACAAGGTGAGGTCACTTACCCTGCCACAACTTCTGAAATTCTTGGTTCTCAATGAGCTCATGTGGACCTTCGTTGAGCTAGCCGACGGCAGTGAGCGGATGAAATGGCGTAGAAATGACAACAATCACTCACTTGTACCAACGTCGTCGCATCGGGGCGCATGATCAGCGTCTCTCGAGCCTTGCATTTGAAAGCATGTATCGGTCTGTCGCCCGGCATGAGGCAGCGATAGCTGAGACTCCAGCAGGAGAAGACCATTACGGTCGGTGACACAACACGTACGCATGTCTGTGCAAGAGCATATCCAAACCGGTGTTGAGGATACTCTTCATGCCGTATGTAGCTTTCTCCCCTAGAAGCGAAGCTACCTTCTCCACATGGCTAGCATTCTGGAACAGGACGATCAGCGAGATTGAACGGGCTTGATGCTTGATTTAAGCACAAATGGGTTATATACCTTCATGACCGCATCCGCGCCGCCGTTTTCACGGATGAAGCTATCAGCCTCTTGAGTTGCCGGGTCGTAGATCCGACTCAGTCTCTCCAGAATTGCGGTCGTATTGCAGACCACGGTGGTGAGCTGCACATGGGCGACCGACTTGTACATGTCGTCCATGTCCTCCCGGTGTTGCTTGAACTCCTTGTCGATATCGTGAAGCTTTGACTTGTGGAGGTGGGCGAACAGTACTTTGACTAGCAAAGATCATTAGTCGATAGCAATGCACTACGAGCCTCCTATACCAACCTGTCCGTTGCCACTGATGTGTATGGTAAGTGCTGTAGGACGCGATGAATAGCGGACTTCAGGAAAAGCATAACTACTGCGTACTCGAGGAAGTGTCCTAGTTGATTTTGAGCTGTCAGCGTGCGTTGCGAGTTTCAGAATTACGGGAAGGTTATACCAAATCTCTCGATGGTCTTGGCCATACTCAAGAATAGAACCTTCATTGCTTCGCTCAATCTCTTCTCCTCGTCCGCCGGGATCTGGTTGAGAAACCTCATGTGGAATACAGTCTTGGCCTATGGAAATGATCTTCAAATTCGTGGCCAATGAGAATTCTATGTTGACACGCACCATCGTAGCATGGACAACGGCGATGTGTGCATCGTTCTCTTGGTGTTGTATCTCGAGGTCCACCGCAAACTAGGAGAACGCAACGTGAATAGTGAAATTACTCTTTTTGGAGTGATTACCCACACTGATCGCAGTGACTACGGCCTTTCAAACCATTAAGTACCATTGCGCGACCATTTATGCGGCCCGGAAATGGACAGCTTACCTTCGCGGCCGGATGGATATCTGCAAGGCCTTTGGCAAATTCGAAAACCTTGCTCGCGCCCCGCAACACCTTGCCGGCCATCTCGTCTACCTCGTGCTTAACATGCTTGTCTGGTCTACGTTCAGTACGTCAACGCGGTAGGTGAATGGCGCATCGTAACGCACAAGACATATCCTCAAGCAAGCTAGTGACCTCTTCGATCTGTCGTTCCGCGTCAGATTCCAGTTTGTCTGGATAGTATTGCGTCAAAATTGTTACGCGCGGAGATTCGGTAGTGAGACACGTACTGATGCGTTCTTTGGCTCTAGCAAGCAGTGTACTTTCTGTATTGACGAGGGGAGCAGAGGCCTCCCCGTCACCCCGGCTTGAAAAATAGGAAAGCATCGCCTAGGTGAAAGTGGATAGGAAGGGTGGGCTGGCGACGATCTACTGATTCGCCGACATACTTTATAGCATGGCGATCACGCCTCATGTGGTAGCATGCGTTGCAGACAAACCTGTCTCTGCATCGACCGGTGTCCCAGTAGATGGTGTGGTGGACGCGGAAACGCGCGGCACAGTCGAAGAAGACACAACGCTCCGCCGTGCTCTCGGAAGCATGTGTGGAGCACGCAGCACCCCAGGAAGCCCCGTCGGATGCTGCGACGCTCCTTGTAAGTAAGACATGCACAAAGTGGGGTTGCTGGCGTACAAGGCATGTAGAACGAAAGCGCTTTGGTCCACCTTGCCCCGGACCGGGACGTGCACACGGTACAGGAGCTGCCTCGCTTGGGTGCGGACGAGTTGCGGTATACTCGTGTTGGGCGACAGCGAGCTGCGGCTCGTGAGGTGTCAACGGCGGCTGGCTGTGATGTGAAATAGGTGGATCCGCCCGCTTTCATTTGGTGTCTGCATAGTTTATATGCGGAAACTGGTGAGTGCCCTGTCATCGGTACGGTCCAAGCGACTTGACTTCGCGGGCACAGGGACCTCTTGGTTTAATTTGCCTCAAAGTCAAACTTTGCGGGACCTTAGGCCTTAGCGCTCCGCTGAGACGCTGTATCTTGATGAATACTCTTGGAGCTCAATTCCCTCAAATATAAGTTATTTGCATGTACAGGCTGTACGGGGCAGGTAGAGCCGGCAAGCCTGCTTGCGTGCTATATTTACGGCGTATCCTGCGAAAAGCAAACAGTCTTAGCACGTCACTTGGGCCCCATAGAAACTGAGATGTCTGACTCGCAGTGTTCTTCCATCTCGCGAGGCGGTCAATCGTGTGAGAGGCAGCCAAGAAGCAGCCCCTTGAGTCGCCCGAAGAAGCTCTTTGCATGTTTCCCCGAACTGGCCGGTGCGTCTCGGGAAAACCCCTTCTCCGCGATGGTCGATGGCGAAGGTGTCCTCGACTGTGCTTCAGCAATTTGCCCGTTTGATGTGGCGGAGAGGCGGTTCTCGAGCGCCGTTACACGATCTGACAAGGCCGCCAGATCGCGAGCCATGTTGTCAGTCTAGCAAGGCAAACAGCTTGATAAGTGTCTCTTCCCATAGATGCCTGAAAACGGACCGAGCTCTGCTTCCGATGCATGCGTGTCCCGAAAGGTCTAAGGTGGCGAGGGAGTGTATGCCCGCTGCCGAAGATGCATGTGCACAACACGTCGTACGCTTTCTCGTAGACATGCGTCTAGCATGGAACAGATGGTCAGTAAAACGTCGTGCTGGTGAGCAGCAGCACAGCATACCTCGCGATAGCATTTCCTGAATAGACCGTCCGCGTAGCGATCGACTTGCATGTGAATGTCCTTCCCTTCGAAACGCCAGCCCCGGAGTAGATCGTGCATGCGGCCCTCGAACGCGGCAAACACGGCGATGCATGAGGTGGCCAGCTCCTCTAAGGCAATCAGATCCGCGTCCTCGACCAGCTTGTGTTTGGTGATCCTGCCGACAGTGTCCTGCAGGCGCATCATGAGGAGATACAGCAGCGGCATCATGTGCTGTGCGATCCAGAAAGTGGATGTTAGTGCCAGAGCGCGCGTCATTGTGGGGACGCGGAACTTACCAGTTCGATGCGGCTGTCCCCGACAGCGGCGTTGAGTGCGGGTCTGTCTATGAGATGATGCCCCAAGTGGTCGAGGTTATTCATGATCTTTTCCTCCTCATAAGCCCGATACTCTTCCTGGAGGTGGCGGAGCTGATGCGGAATCTTGACGGTCCCGGAGAAGTCTTCCACATCTGCGACGAGCACGAGCGGCTTCAAGGAGCCGACTATGGTTTGGATCAGGTGCCACGAGCCGTGACTGTGACTCTGCTCTTCGGCGACGGAACGGACAGAGTGTTCGACTTGTTGGACGAGGTGCTTGATGCGGCGGTAGTACCTACAAGTCAAATCAATCATCCGTATACTTATCACCAAGATACTTGTGGCGATCATTACCATGCGTTGTTGTTGTACCAGCCGCAAGCCCAGCTTCGATCTCGATCAGCTGTGTGGGACGCTTAATCACGGAGATGGACTCACAAGGCAAACCATTGCGGTATCGTCCAGCGTGCCAGGCTTCTCTTCTCGGAGATGAAGTCGTTCACTTCCGAAGCGGATATGTAACCACTGCCGTCATCGTCTACAACATCCCCGATAGCCGAGTGATCTATTGAAGGTGTGAGCTTCCAACGAACGACGACAACGACGGACCCGACTCACACATGACGCGGGAGAAGAAGTCGAGTGTCCAAGCATCCTTGTGTGGGACCCGCGAAGTCGCACGATACTCCCGGAACTGTCCTTGATAGTATTCGTGGAGCCCTAAGAATCGCCTCGTCTTAACGTCGGCACACCTCAAATAGCATGGGGGCCCACCTTCTACGAAGACGCGGCATTTGACACTGGACTTCCAACGCTACATATCGGGGTTTTTGGCGTTGGTCATTTTGTGCCTCTCACTATTTACGCAACCTTGACTCACGTTGCCTGAAGTGGGGTCAGACGCCGCTTATGCCTCGAACAACGCAGAGTGAACTCACGTTCCCAGATCGTTCGAGTCTCAACGTCCTCAATCAAGTCATGAGGCCCTGAGTTCAGCTATACGGAGTTATGATGACTGGTATAACGCTTGGAGCACTTGATACCCACACATCCAAGAATAGCCATCTGCGCGTTGGACACAGAGGTTATGACAGCGTCCTGGACGCTATCGAGCTTCTTCAGGTATCTGACACTGGAGAGCATCACATCAGATAGGAAATAGAGACGCGCAAGCGTGTAACACATGCGTGTGCTTCTCCAATAGATCGTCGAAACCTTGGTGGAGTGTGTCCTTCATGCCGACGGTCGCCTTCTCGTGCAGAATAGCTGCCACTTGCTCGACTAGCTCAGGATTCTGCATACGTGCGACGTCAGCGGCTGTGAAGTCCAGGCGTAACAGGTTGTGCCGCACCATCCTGACCGCATCGGGCCCGCCATTTTGATTCACGAACGCTTCGGCCTGCGCGACGTCAGGATCAGCGGTCTGGAGCCGCCTGAGGATCTCCACCGTGTTGTCGAACACGTTGGCCAACTGCATCTGGGTCATCGTCTTCCTCATTTCGTCTAGGTCCTCGCGGTGCTGCTGGAAACGGTTGTTGAAGAGTTCTAGCTTCTTCTTGTGGATGTGAGAGAACAAGACTTTGTCTGAAAAGACGCAACCTGAATAGAACTAACTTAGTGAGAAATGGTCTTCACATACAGGTCTTTTGCCAGCAAGCATGGTATGTGCTGAACAGGCGATCGATGAGTATTCATCAAAAATACGACGGACGTGCACGTACTCCACAAATCCTCCTATGAGCCACCAGTGTCAGTCTGAGCGCCACTCGGTTGTGGCAACTACGCACTCACCGAACTCGCGTATGGTATCCGCCATGTGCTTGAATATAACATTGAGTCGCTCCTCGAGCTCCTCCTCGAACTTCGTCTGAATGCGGGTCAGAAAGCGGACGTGGTAGACCGTCTTCACCTACAAACAAAGCATCAGGCGAAGTGACCGAGTGAAACTAGCTGAGACTTTACCCACCATGGTCGCATGGACGACGACAATGTTCGCATGATTCTCGTGTCGCTGTAGTTCCAGGCTGACGACTTTCTACAAAAAGTAGTCGTATCATTGTCCGAGCACAAGAGTTTGCAAATTGTTTGGATTACTGTAAGAGCGCCGACCACGATCTGCGTGATAGTAAGCAATCATGGTCAACTATTGACTCGAAGGTAATGTGCGTACACCTGCGATAGGATGCAACTCGGCTACGGCTCCGAGGTAATCCAAGACGTGACTGACCCCTTCTACGAGCTTCTTGGCGATCTCCTCAAGTTCTTCCTTCCCGTGGAGTGCTGGGTGTTCAATCAGCACCGTATACGATTGGAAACAACAACCGGAACGTACCTGATAATTCGTCGAGGAGCATGCCGACCTCTTCAATCTCATTCTCGGCCTTCGGTTCCAGTTGCTCTGTAGGCCCGGCGTTAGATCGATCAGTGAAGACTGGATGGCGGCTCACCGAGTGACTCGTGAGGCTTGTTGATCGCCTGTTCCGCCATGTCGCTCATTGGGATCGGCGTTTCTTGTAGCGTCGGGTCGGATGGGCTCGGCGAAGGAGGCAGTGGAAGCGGTCGTGGCGAACCCATAGTCCTCAGCATAGTTCGGAAACAAATTGCTGTACGGAAGAAGTCTACGCTCGTGTGTGTGTGCCGTAACGCACTCAGATGAACAAGGCTATATACTAGTTTTTCTGGCTCTCCTCGCCTTGCACGCATTGTTGTACGCGTCGTATGGTCGGTCTCTGTAAGAGAACGATCGGTCAGCTGTCGCCAGAACTAGCAAGGCAAAATTTTACTGAACTGACTGGCAGAGCACGGCAGCGGAATACAGAGCATACATCGAGAGTCCAGCAACTGTGCGCTGCCCACGGTCACATCGCAGCGTTGGTGGCGTCCACCAATGGGTCTATTCATCTCGCTATTCCCAGTCTCCGACAAGCATGGAAGCTGATTGTCGGATCAAGGATAACACGACGGTGAAGAGACGGTGTCCTCGCTGTGCCGTAAGGGCTACCTGCCACTTGCAGTCAAGCGAGGTCCTCGCAGTCGAACTGAACGATGGACTGTGTGCCTGCGTTCCGAAGTCCGCCTAACCGCATCGCCGTGATTATAGAATGTCTTTAGAAACGGGTCCGCCATTTCAACCAGAGTTCAATGCACGGGAAGGGCCACAGCATACTCACCAGAGAACTGCCGGGGTCTCGATCCTGCAGTGGAGGCGCCTCGCGACATGATCGTGGCGAGCTTCGGACGTGAGGTAAACATCCCTGTAAGCTTCCAGATAACACTTCTCATTTGAATTGTGTTCCCCGGTCAATCCACAGCGCGAGGCGGAGACGCCGCAACTCCGGGCCTCCACAACTCAGCATTGCCACTCACACTTCACCCCGAGATCGCGCTCGCGGCCTTGCCGGTTCACGCAGGCAGCCTGGAGTGGCGACAAAAAAGGATTAGATAGCAATCCAGGTTCGTACATGCGGTCCGATGGGGGCCCTATTACTGGTTCTTCTTCTCCTCCGCGCTGAAGCCCTTCGGGATCTCGTTGGAGAGCGGCGACTGGATGCTCGCGAGCGCAGACACGCCGAGGAAGATGATGGGGAGGAGCACGAAGAAGGCGACGAGGAGCGCGAGAATGAGGCCTGGCGTGAGCAGCTGGTAGCGCTTCAGGATGCCTCCGGTGGGGCTCGGGTCCGAGGGGGCTGCTGCCGCATCGAAGGTGGACGAGCTTCCGGTGGACTGGCGGCCGTGGAGAAGCGAGGCAGGCGACCCGGAGTAGATCACTAGGTAGTTGGAGAATGCGGCCTCGATCTTCGAGAGCTCGCCGGACAACCACGACTCTGCAGGCAGGTCGTTTCAGTATGGACTTTGCGTATTGGGTTCACTGGCGACGTACGGTGCTCCGCCATGCTGCTCTTCCGCGACGCGCCTTCCTCGCCATCCTCGAGGGCCGGAAGGGAGATGGAAACAACGTGCCTGCCCTTCCCAGCATCGACCTCCAGGTCGCCAAGATCCGGTGTGTGGCTTACGGAGTGCGAACCGCAACGCTTCGCAAGGTCACCCGCGAGGTCACGGAACGGGTTGGCGTGGTGGCTTCCGCTTTCAACATACGCGAACTTCAACGAGGACGGCGCGCTGGAGAGGGACTTCGCCACATGGCAAGAGGGCTCGAGAGCACGTAGGTCCGACGCGTGAAGCTAGATGACCCGAGCGAATCAGTGCAGGACGACAAGGAGCTTGAAGCAGTAGGCGTACCCCAGCGTGGTCAATGACGACTACCGCGTCGTGCTCGCAGATATTATCATGGTTGTACAGCGCACTTGCAAGCGTATGCGAATCCGTCTTGTGGCCTTGCGCGGCTGCGGATGAGGACAGCGCGTTCGAGCTACATAGCATATACCTCAGCGAACGTCTCGGCTGAAGTGCAGGACAACATACTGGTGAGACGACCAAGCTAGAACAGGGTGGGTATGAGAGTACGCCGACGCCGCCGCGGGCAGAAGTGCGAAGAGGAGAGTGAGGGCACGGCCTGCCATGGTGGTCGGAATGGTCCTGCTCGCCGTCGTCCGCAACCGCGACGTCAGGTATGCACAAGCGCCCGTGGCGGACGTTGCCGAATGAGCGCTCTTCGCCGTGCAGCACGGCGAGCGCCGCCTGTGTCTGCTCTTTCCACTCACTCCTCGTCCACCTCAACGTTTCGCCATGTCTCAAATTCACGCCTCTATTCCCTCCCAACCGCGCGCAAAACAGCTCCGCGCGTGCCTCCTGTGCTCGATTGTCCAAACACCCGCCGACTTCAGGAAACATGGCTGCCCGAACTGCGAAGAGCTCATGCAGGTGCGTTCCTGCACACACGAATAACGTCAGAGGAAAGCTCTGACACAGGTGTTTTTGCCCTTCAATAGATGAAGGGGTACCCTGATCGTATCCAAGCATGCACCACTACCCATTTCGAAGGAGCCATTGCAGTCATCAACCCCGAGGACAGCTGGGTGGCCCGGTGGCAGAGGACATGTGCGTGGGTTCCACTTTTCTTCATAATTCTGCTCTAAACATCTACGTCTCTAGCCAAATACGTCCGTGGGATGTACGCGGTGCGCGTCAAGGGCCGCGTACCAGAGGACGTCGAGGCCGAACTCGAGAACCGGAACATCAAGTACCGGCCACGAGATGGCACCGAGCAAGACTGAACACCGCACCCTTGCCGACACACTCTTCTCCTAGACTTCTTGTCTAGATCACGTCTGCTCGCTCCACCTCGCTTTCATGTACCCGTACCGGTCGCTGTAATAACAGGTTTCCCTCCCGCATGAATTCTCCGTCCATCCAGCCATGACAACAAGATACCAAGTTCGTCCGCGCAAGACAGGATTATGCAAGTTATGGTACACAGGTCTTCGGTGCATTTCACTGAAGACCTATGTGCCATAGCACCGGCATAGTCGTCAGCGGTTCCGTTTGAAGACTGCGCTAGGGTTGCTCCCGCATGCATGTCCAGCTTTTTGTGGTCTACTTATATACTGCGCCGAACTGGTGCCACTCGACGCTGCACAAAGACCATTGCATGCCGTCGCACCGCGTGCGTATACTTATAGAGCACAATCGATGTTTGATTCGATGTTCACTCGTTTGTCATACCGAAAATACACACACACACACGAGAATACAGGTAGAAGAAGTACAGCGGGCTCTGCGAAGACTCTTTAAATGTTCCATCCTAGATGAGATGTGCTATTAGGTGCCGACGCGCCACTCCGAACCGCCGCAGGCTCGCTGGGTGTGCTTGCAACGGCGCTAGCTTCCACGTTCTTGCCAACAACTTGGTCGTAAAACCACCTTGGCAAGATCCCCACCCTGTCTTCTCCAGCCTCCACTTCCTTGACTCCAACCTCGTCAAGCAAGGAGACTTTCGCGCCCTCTCCGGGCGCCAGAACGATTCGCCAGACCCTGGCCGACGGCTCGCTCGGGGGGCTGCCCTCGCCGCTAGGTGCTTCTGTGGGTTCGGGGGGAGCGGAGAGCGTGGACTTGAGCGTTGTCAGGAACTGCTGGGCCCAAGAGAAGCATATTTGGGGATCCCATGCGCCTGGCTTCCCGCGCACGAGGCGGGGGAGCTGGACGGTCTTGAACGACTGCGTCGTCGTGATCTGTCCTGCCGGCGTTCGGAATCCTACGACGATTTCCTGCGGAGCGGTAAAACATGCTGTCTCGTTTGAGGACGGCACATTTGCCTACCGGAACACCTAGTAGGAAGGATTGCATGTAGAACTTGAGCATTTTCCTGAAGCAATGTTAGTTGCGTGGTGCACGCGAGTTTGTCGAAAGCTCACTTTTCGAAGCGAGCCTCGTCGCCTGCATTGCGGATCATAATCGAGGTCTTTAGCTCAACGAACGTATCCGTTCGTCCATTAAACTTATCTGAGAAAGAGGTTAGTGCCTGACGTGTGCCCTGAAAAGGGCTGCGTGATTCACCTCGTACGCAGTCAACCTCGCCTCCGATGACCAGGCGATTATCGCCGAGCTTGGTCTTGATGAGGCTACACCACTGAACATTGGTGTCCACGTCCCCGCCCCATCCTACCGGATGGCCCTTTGCGCGCTCAGGAATGCCTGGCCGAGAGGACGTACACCACGATTCGAAGGAGTACCCGTAGTACGTCATTTGACGCTGTCTAGGGGCGAGGTCTTCTCTGTACAGGCGAGGGGGTTAGACAGCATCTTGTCTCAGGGATGAATACGTACTTTTCGTGAAGCCGCGCATCGGATAGATGTTCTTCAATGTATAGCGTACCGCCGACGTACATCGCGTTCAGCTCGCATCGGTCGCGCTCTTCGTACGGTGCAGTCAAGATCCTCTCTCGCACAGACGATCAGCCGGGTTCGTGCGCGCACGCGCGCGAGGGAAGCATTCGACTCACTTGGTCATGATCCCTCTCCAAGTGACCACCGAGATATCCTTCAGCCACTTCCCGCCGCTCCCGGGGCCCACATTCGCGTCGGCTTTCGACATGACGCGCTCCACCCCGCGAAGCAGGCCATCCAGGCGCGTCCTCTCCTCCGGACGCTTGATCCAGCGATCGTAGCCATACTTCAGGTCTGCACCTGGTGGGGGGTCAACGTAGTAGCGGAGCGCGGAGTCGGTGAACTGGAGCACGCGCTTGGGTGTGTACGAGAACGTGAGAAGCCCGGTAGGCTGTTGAAAGGGCACCGGCTGAGAAGTGAGGCTAGACCGTGTATCCGGGTATGCGAGGGTGTGGCAGGCTGTCCGAGAAGGTGAGCTAGGCTCGGGGTCGACTTCTTGCCGTTGTTTGGGCGGTTTGGACTCTGCGGGGGAGCGCGAGGCTTTGCGCTTGCTCATGTTTCTCCGTACGTTCTAAGAGCTTGTCGCGCGCTGAGTGTATTGAGCGGAGACAGGGTCGAAGAGGTCTGCAATATTTGTGTTGCAGCAGCAAAAGGCAACGCTTATGTGATGGCACCTATAGCACGCGCTAACTAAATATAGAAGTACTACTGAGCGAGGGGCTTTAGCGCTCATTCGCTTGCTTTCATACCACGACACTCTGGGCAGAGCAAACGTGATCCACTCGTTTTCACTCCTGAGAACACGATGTTCTGGTGTCTACATCCTTTCTCCGTCTCTGTTTGGCATTTGCCTCCAGATCTGTCGGATATAACCGCTGGCCTCAGTGGCCTGGCCCTCGTATAAATATACTTACACTCAAGGTGGCTGTGCGGGGCGCCACAACGAAAGCCACATACCACATCGTCAAGGTTAGCTCACAGTACTTGCAGGCGGATTGTTAGCTAACTACTTACCACCATTTAGACTGGCGGAAGGTCAGGAAGTCGTGCCCCCTAATTTTCTGCGGTATGAGTTGAACGATCAACATCCTAAATCAAGGAACAACGATGTATGAATCCGCACCCGTACGTCCCGTGCTTTCTTCGTTGCCTGGCCCCGTTAATGGTGAGCTGATCATGTGTAGGTGGAAGATCGATGTGTGATTGTCCAGACTTGTCTTGGCTGTCCACTTGACCGTTGGAGTGTCGGACTGTCTGCATGACGGTCGTCTAGGTCACCTTCGTCGACCACATGAAAATTGCCAATGGATGTCGACGTTGACGTCGGATCCAGCACGGGGTTGGGCGGCCCAGGCTTGGAACACAAACGCGCGCTCGTGACATGCGGTACGGTATTCAGTTAGCCTCCTACAGCCTACTCTCCGCTCGCATCAAGCCGATATATGCTTGTAAGCGACAGGAAACACCGCGAGGTGAAAGTGCCGGTGCTCAAAAAAGCTCTGTAGGTGCCAATAGAAGCTTCAAGAGTGGTGACACTTACTGGGCCCATCATGGTCCATCCGTGTTCCGAGCCAAAGTCCGTGCTCTACAAAGCGTCCGAGTACCAAGATCGTGAACTGGGGGGAGTCGAGTCCCACGTGGAGGTAGACGCCCGATCTACCGCCGGGCAGTGGCGGTGGTTGTTGACAGGTTCAACTCGTTCATCGTCTCATCAAGTTGTGCAATCATATTTAACGACGTCAAACTAGACATTTATATGCCATTGTAAATGAACTTTACAGGGAAAACACAGCAGGTACGTCCCCATGCAGCTTACTGCGCTTCAAAAGACCTGACTCGAGTTGTCAGCGACTTTATAGATGACGTTCAGTGCTCAACTACGACGCAACACGTCGATGCAGCCTGGTAATGCACAATAGGGTCTCCATTGCCTTGTTTCTGCATACAGGATATGCTTCCAACGCGTGAAACCATGCATAGTAAGAGAGCACGCGAACGAGGGTCTAGCCTTGCTGGTCAGCCTCTCGGAAGTGAACTCAGGCTCGATCCAAACCTCCCGCAATATATTATTCTGACCTTTCAAGATGTTAGACTTTACGTATCTCCATTCGTGCCCCCATTACACCGCACCCCACATCTTCCAATATGCCCGCTTTCCGTCACACTCCCCAGATGGTCCACGACGGCCTCCACTTCAACCTCCGCGTCTCCTACGATCCCTCTACCCGCCAATCTACACGTACATGGGTCTGGGAGAAGGAGCAGGTGTTCGTCGCCGACTGGCACCTACACCTCCCCAAGGCAAAGTCCACCGGAGAGAAGGTACGTCTCCCCATCCACCCCACAGCGACACAGTTCCCGTTGCTCACCATCCCAGTTCCCTATGGTCTCTCCGAGGGCACCTGCCTCCGCCGAGCCCTACTACCCCGAGTTCGGCGCAGGCCCCCTGAGCTGCGTCTCAGAGCCTAAATCGACACCCGAGATCGGAGCCCGCTACTGCCACCAATTGCACGCAATTGTCCCGGAGCACCTTGCCTACAAGGTCGGGAAGCTCGCATCCGCACGGACGCCTCTCCGCGAGCGCCTCCTCACCCGCGAGTTCTGGCACCTCCCCCTCGTCGGGGAGGACGGCGGCGCCGGCGGGGCCGCGTCCACGAACTCCGCGGGGATCGAGATCAAAATCGTCCCCGCTCGGGACGGCACGACCGTGCTCGCCGAGGGCCTGACGCACCACCAGGCGGCGCTCATCCCGCTCGGGCAGGCGCAGAAGGACATGGCGATCAAGTACCGCTCGCTGACGGCGAAGCGCGGTGACTTGCTTCAGCCTGCGGCGGCGCAGCAGGTGAACGCGATCAAGTACCGGACTGCGATCGGCCACTAGGCGGTTTGCTGTTTCGCCCTGGTGGCGAGCACGCGCACAAACCTCTAGTGAGTTGGACACTCGCGACGCGGGAACGAGACCGGTCGGGTCCTGCTGCACCCGCGGCGCTCTGCGCTGCGGGCACGCCTGGGAGGACGGACTGTAGACGCCAGTCGCTATCGGGGCCGGGAAGCCGGGGGTGAGTGCTAGCCTCCTCACCCTCGGGGGACCACTATGGCTCCGTAAGGCTTCAGGTGGAGGTCCGGGGGCGCCGTTACATGCTCTATGCTTTGGCGAGAGTGGCGTCCTGTCATTGCGACACCTCCTTTCCTTCTTGTCATATTTTTGGCAATGGGGGTTTGTCCCTCGATGGCAGCTTCGGCTGGCCTCGTTCTCGGTGGCTCGATTCGCTCTCGGATTTCGCTTCGATCTTGTTCTCAGACTGGCTACGTTCTCGGTTTCGCTCTCGTTCTTTCGCTCTCGGACTCGCTCTCGCTCTCGTCTCCAAAAAAACACAGAAAACCCGAAAAAAGTCCAAAATAATAACGCGAAAAAACATACGCATAACATAGAATACTCCGTACATAGTCTCGTCCTAGGTTACTCTCCCCTCCGTTGTACTCCTAACCTCCCCCAGACTCGGCACCTCGACTTCAACTTGGACCTCGACATAGACGACCTCGACCCTCAACATGCTGCGCGCTCCCCGGACCGACGGATCCTCGACACACTCGACGGCCACCGATCTTCGTAGGAGTCATGAACCTGCGATAGGGAGGCGGTCCTAGGGTTTCCCGGCTTTCTCCTTGTCTCTCCCTCCCTTCGTTCGCTCGCTGTTCCTCTGCCTTCCTCCCACAGATTTTCCTTCAAATTTCAAGCCCAGGACCCCCGACCCGCAAGCCCGCAAGCCGACCGACCCTCGATACGAATGGCAAGACCTGGACGATACCGCGGCGGCGCCTGGCCAGGACCTCATCCACCCTGCGACCTGTGCTTCGTCGCAAGTCCTGCCGCTTGAACCCACTTGCTGGTCAGGCCTGTACGCGCATCCTCGCGATCGCTGCAGCCATTATTTTTTCCACACCCTCTTCGCGAGGCGTTCCTTCGGGGACTAGTTTCGTTCCGTTTCGCATTCAGTTCGAGGAGGATTCCTGGCCTCGTCGTGAATGTACGTTCAATCGCTTCCCACAATCAATCTTCGCTAATTAGTCGGAACAATGTACCCAGCTTTGTGCTGGTTAGCCGCTATAAAACGCTCCCACTGTCCCCAGTGCTCACGAGCTGTCTGTAACGCTGTACTTGGTTGTGCGCTTGCGAATGTCGCATGATTCGTTCGCATTTGTCTTGCCTTCATTTGAGTAAATGTCCGGTCTCTCCCCCGAGCCAGCCTGCTACGACACGCAGTCTACAATCAGAGTCCGGCATACTCGAGTGCAATGACCATGTGAAGACTCTTCAGGCGCAAGCTGAGTCCCGAAGCACCGTTCCAGTCGTTTGGGGTAAAGCCAACGCGCGGAAGTGTACGGTATACACCAGTTTTAGGCGCACTCTAGTACTCCGACAACTTTCCGAAGATTGGAACAAGGCAGACGCAGGCTACGCGTAGGACAACGTTTTGATTTGACAGTCTCTACATGAACGGTACACGGATGGGAACAATTATGTCGCGTGAAGGGACGAGTTGCTCATGATCTGCGAGAACATCTGGAGCGCCGCCTCGCCCGTGCTCAGCGAGCCGTGCGTGTACGCGGGGACCTCGTGGCCGCTGTATGAGGTCAGTAACGCGAAGGTAAACATTAAATATAAAGATTACTCACGCGCCGAAGATGCGGACGTAGGAGAACGTGCCGGCGTTCTTGAAGAGCCCGGCGGCCTGCCCGCGCACGGTGAAGTTCGCGAACTGCTGCTTCGCGTACGTAGCAGTAAACTGCGTCTGCAGCGCGTCGACCATCGCCTCCACGCCGTGGAAGTTCAAAATGTAATCCTGCACCAAGCATCAGCACACCTGCGCGCACTCAGCACCACACTGAGCAGGCTTACCGCATCACCATCATACACAATCGTGCGGACGCCCGCGTTGATGACCTTCTCGAGATTCGGGCGCGAGTTGGTCATCCAGTCGCCCGTCGCGGCGAAGTTGCTGTACACGTCGTCGTTCGTCTCCTCCCACGTGGACTGCGCGCCGATCTTCTTCATGAGCGCCGAGCTGCCAAGGTAGGTGTCAAGCGCGGGCGGGTACGGGTCGGGGTTGCGCGTGAGCACGTAGTAGACGTCGTAGTTGCCTGCGAGCGGGGAGAGGATGTTGTTGTTGCAGAAGCTCTGCGCCTCCGAGCAGACGTCCTGGTCACCGGTGCTGTCGCACTGAGCAATCTGGAGACGGAGGTGAGCATAAGCGACTAAGTAGTGAGGGTGATGTAGGTTACCTGGTCCCTGCAGCCGCCAGACCTGGTGAAGCTGGTGTTGGCGCGGGTGATGACAGACTGCGACACGAGCGCGTGGTAACTGGCGGCGACGCTGTGAGCCCGATATGAGACATGACGACAGTAAGGATAGCTTACGGGTTCGACGCGGCGTAGCTGATGTAGCCCGGGTACTGCGAAAGCGGGTCCTACAGGTCACAGTGTGAGAACCATGACATCACTGGGAGCATGCGAGAAAGCGTACAGTCAAACCATCACCAACACCCAAAACCTTCAAGTTGATGGGGAGACCAGAAACAGTGCCCTTCGCGATGGCCGCATTCTGGTCGAGGAAGTAGCTACGGAAATAGCTGTTAGGCCCAGATGGAGTCGGATATTACGCGGCAGAACTTACGCAGCGAACGTAGGTCCGTAATGACCGCCGTACCTGCAACAATAGACTTCTCTTAATGAATGTTGAATGAAGAAGCTCGCGGAGAGTACGTACGACTCGGTCCACAGCGCAAAGTCGTTCTTCTGGTACTTGGCGAAGCGCGTGTCCTTGAAGAAGATCTGAAGGAAGCTCCAGATATCCTCTGCTGCCGCCTGCGATGTCCCAACATCGGTCGTGCCATAGGAGAAGCCCACGCCGACGGGTTGATCGATATACAGCCTGGATCGGACGCCGTTAGTGGGGTTTGGAGGCGGTAGCATGATAGACGCTGTGCGCACATGTTCGAAACTTGGTTCCACGAGTTGGGGTTCAAGTTGACGCTCTTGCTGTCGTTCGTGATCCTGCATGGACCGTGCTCCTGGAACAGGCCGATCATGCTAGAACTCCCCGGCTATTATTACGCATCAGTTTTGGGTTGGTACCGCGTGTACGGGTAATGCGCTCACCCCGCCGTTGAGCCAGATCGTCAGAGGCGCGGTGTCCGGGTTGCTACGTGACTCGAAGAACCAAAACCTACACATAGCGTGACCAGGTCAGTAAGGCATACGTATCACATCAGGCGCAAAACCGCACCATATACTCTTGTCCGACGCCAAATCGCCGTATCCTGAAGCTTGGTTCACCCCAGGAGTGGTCTCACAGACGCCGCTGTTCTGTACGACGCGTAGTTTGCCCGGCGTCGTAGCAGCAGGCGCAGCGTTGATGACATCGGTTTTCACCTTGGGGGTGGTCTGAACACCGCCAAGAACTCCATTCACAACGGGGACCTGGCCACCGAAGACAGTGGCGGCGGGCAAGGCAGCTAGCAAAGCAGTGAAAGCGGATAGCCTGAAGAGCATGATGGCAAGAGAGGAGGGGGTGAGGGAAGCTGTCAGCCACAACCGCTGAAGGACTGCACGGCCGGATTTTATACCAGACTGGGGTCCGAGATGTGATAGCGATGCGCGCGGCATATTCCCGCACTTCGCGTTACCTCACAGCGGAGCATCGGACTGACGCTATCACCGCTTCTCGCAAGCATGATGCATCGCGCGATATCAGTGACGGGACGGGAGGCGCGTTGAATGGGCCATGAAAGGAGGAGGCATGGTCATTCTTGCCTGCATTGGACGAGAACGTCTTGTCCACGCTGTGTGCTCCATAGACGCCCATGTCCATGTGTGCACTTCGCTTCTTGAGCGGTGCGTTGTCCCCGGCGGTACCGTGCTGTTTCCTATCGCCAGCCAAAGTTATTTCTGGACATCAACCCATGATCAGAGACCGCCAGTGGTGTTGAGACATATACCGCATCGGTCCTTCGACGGCGTACTTACCTCGCTTCGCCGCCGTGGTACACCGATGCAGTGCGAACAACAATGCTCATGTTGCGTTCTCTCATAGTAGACGAGTGTTAGAAACACTCCATGAAGCGGCTAAGTGCGCAGGTCAGTAATCACGGCAGTGTCAGCATAACCGCAGTATGGCCACGATATTTGAAAAGATGCTATAACGATAGTAGCACATGGGGCTACATAGGACGTACCTGTTCCTGTGTCGAGCCTCGAGGATCATGCGCGCACTTGGGTCAGTTGTTGCGGCAGCGGTATGCATCACGGTACGCAGCTTGTCCGAGGGCCAGAATGGACGGCACATGCTGAGGATTGCCATCCAGCTACCGCGTTAAACAATTGCAACCCTGAATTCTTCAGTCCTTGACGTAGTCTAAGTGAACTCCGCACATGAATCACGAATGTAGAGCATACCTGTGCATGGTCTCGACAGCTTCCGCGGAACTGCTCTGGCGCAGACCATAGTTCCCGTGATGGAGGGAGAGCATGTCGATTTGAATCCCGCGACATGTGGACTGTTTCGGACGGAATAGCCATGAGCTCGAGGGAAGTATACAACGTTCCATATATTAGTGCCATGTCCATGTTTAGAATATAACCAATCAGTGCAACGACGCCCCTCCGCTCTGCCGCGCAAACACATCGTCAATACAGGAAGCAGCTCGATTCCCGGAAAGCGAACGCACCTGGACGAGCTCAATCTCCCAATCCCGCAACTCGCGTTTCCAGAGGTGCGGCGGCGCCTGCCAGAAGTCCTGGTACACTGCGCCCTCAGCGCCGCTCTTCGACGCTGACGATGCGGCGGTCGCAGCGTTGGTGCTAGAAGGTGCGCTCTGGAACTTCTTCACGAAGTCTGCGAAGTGCTCCTTGAGCTCAGAGGGCGCGAACGGATGAGGGTGTTGCTCCTCGGGCCCTGTGCAGGTTACCGGTTAGCGCCGGGTGTCTAGGCGGAGTGCTTGTATGCGTACTAGCGGGCCATTGCCGCCTGCCGAGGAAGCGAATGAGGGGTTTGTGCGCGTTGGCAAGACGTAGTGAGGGCAGCATGGTAGTCAGTGTGGTCGTCGTGGCTGATAGAGAGTGAGATGACGGCGGGCACCCTTCCGCCGACTCCGAATTACTCCGAAAGCGCTCCTGCACAGGGCTCCTCGGGGGCCTGCGGTGTGCAGACTACCCCCGAGGACCCTACGAGCATTCCGTGAACCTTCCAACTGTCCTCCTCCGAAGTCCGTGCATGTCCGTGCCCATACTACCGCACTGTGTTCCGACGATACTGGCTGAAGTTTAGTCCATGTAATCTGCTTGAATACACCGCAGCTCTAGGCAAAGTGAATGATGGTGCGCGACCATCGAAGATACGTACCGTGTTTTTGTGGTCTGAAGCGTCCCGCAAAGTTCTCAGCTGTAAGACGTCATACTGCTCCGGCCCCGTTTCGCGTACAATGTTCGATACATAGTCATACAATCCATATGTGTCTATTCTCCTATCGTGTCCTTCACCAGTCGTCTGCGCTCTCGACCTCGGCAGCGTCCAACGGAGGCCAGAACGAGTCGATCTCGCCCGAGTCCGAGTCTTCCTCCGCCTCCTTCTCCCCGCTCTCTTCGCTCTTGTCCTCTACACCGTCTGTACTACCGCTCTCTTGTACAAGCGGTCTCCGTCCGAGCGTCTCTACGGCCTTCCAAAACATAACCTCGGCGTGCTGCGTGGCCGCATCCGCGATTTCAGGGAGCAGAGATGTGTGCGGAGGCGAGACGATGATCCCTGCGCCGACAGTTGATGGTGCGGGAGGGTGAGGTGCTGGATGATGTATATAGAATACGGTGAAGAGTGGAGTAGTTGGCTGTGGGTCCGAGGATGTTGGTGGTGGTGCCGTGAGTGTGAGGGTAGCGTCGAGGTATGGTCGCAAAAGCTCTTCCGCAGAACGCGACTGCTCAGCGGAAGATGCGCATGGTAGCGAGATATTGATAATCCCTAACGTCATTATTCAAGCTGAAGAAACGGGGATGTACTGCGAAGAGACTCACATTTCCCTCTTGGCGCAGACATGCTGCCCTCACCCGTCACCAGAACGTGCGCAGCCGTCGTCGACGATCCGCCAACCAGACTGCCAGGCGGGAAGACGAGTACCACGGTGTCCACTTCGTAGTTGGGTGGAAGAGGTGCGCTAGGTGTTTCCTCAGCTTCATCGTCTGCCGCGTCTTCCGTTTCGGCCTGAGCTGCGGCCGGCTCTTCCAAGGGCTCGGACGGAGTGAACGATAATGGCTTGTCCACGATTGCGACACATCTAGCAACTGCATAAACAGAGTTCGAGAGGGCGGGAGTGGATGACGATGGAAGATTGACAGTCGGACCGGGCGAGACGTAGTCAGGCGACGCGAGAAGAATTTTCGCCGTGAGCGGTTCATCAAAGTCTTCTAGCTCCACGCTATACCGTATTTCGGTGTTTGAAGACGTAGAAGCCTTCTCATCATGTTGTGCGGCATCCGCCGTCGGTGGAGAAGACTTGACTGCTACCACGCGTCGTCCCAGTATGTAGGTACCGCCCTTGACGGCGGATGTGCGACAGAAACCTTGAGCAGTCTCGCCCAGGCCACCATAGTGTCCCACCAGAAACGGTGTAGCACCGTACCGCCCTGCTGAGCGGAGGTACTGACGAATCCTGCTCAATGCTGGGAGGGTAGGCTCTAGCATGCATTATAAGCATAGAAATTACAGGAGTGGACAATGTACATACCATCCGCGGTGATACAGAATGCCAAAGCATATGTAATCGCCGTAGCCGGCTTGTCGCTGAGGCTGAACGCCTCGCGCAGAAACTGTAAAAAGGGCATGCGTTCCTTGCCCTCAAGCTCCTTCTTGCCCTCAAATTCTCCTGCGGCGAAGAGGAGGAAACGCATTAAGCGGCGCTTCTCGAGAAGAGACAGCGCCTTGCTCTTGAATACGTCCTCTTTGCTCCCGGGAACGCTCTGCACTACGCCAGGCCGATCGTAGACCGCGACCTTCTCCAACAACTTGAAGGAGCCGTATCGCGAAACACCGGAAGCTACAAGAGAGTCGATATGCGGGCCCACAGAAGGCACGATAGAGGGCGCAAGTGGCACAGAGTATTGTCTGGACTGTGGCGGGATGGTCGGCGAGCGCGATACGGATGTGTATCGAGTTCTCTGGTTCGCGAAGTAGCTTGTGGGTGATTTCTCGGTTGCTTCAGCCGTACGGGAGTCAGCCCACACCGCTAGCTCATCCAACGTGAGCGACGCCTCGTCTCCGCCATAATACTGGTTGTTGTCGACGTGCGCGACCTTGAAGCCTGCCTTCGAGAGTGCACTGCAGCTATGGCTTCAGAGCAAGGTACGAGGAGAGAGGACGCACTATGCTCACGCAGCTGCGATGGACTCAGAAAGCCCAGTGCCGAGCACGAGGACGTCGAAGTCCATGTTGATCACGTCCTGTTCGCGGTCGCAAGACTGACGGTGCTGCTGGTCGAGTGCAAGGAGCGTGCGCAATGACCGAGATGCGCGTTCTTGGACATGCGATCGGCGTCTCCGGGCTCCCGGGGCGGGGGGCCGGTGGGCGGATCACGAACGCCCGGAAGAAGCCGGGCGCCTCCGCGGTTTCCTCTTTTCAAAAATTTGGACCGTCCTTTTCTCCCAGGCATTTCTGCTCTCACCCTCACCTTCCCCTACATTTACTCCCTCTACACTCCTCCCCTCCCTCCTCCTTACCCTTTCGCAATGGCCAAAGCTGCAGAGAAGAAGGTTGATAAGAAGGCCGCGAAGGACAAGTCCGCGAAGAAGGCTGCGCCCTCTCCCGCAAAAGCGGCAGCGCCGAAGCCCATCTCTTCCGCAGAGATTCTCAAGAAGGCAAAGGAGCAGGTACGTTCATTGTCTACTCGCAACCCATCTCTCGCTCATTGTGTGCAGGCCAAGACGAAATCCAAGGGCAAGAAGGCAGAGAGCAGCAGCGAGGAGTCGTCAGAGTCTGAGTCTGAGGAGGAAAAGCCCAAGGCTAAGGCCAACGGCAAGGTGCGCATCGTTTCCTCAGTCTCTCGCACCATTGTAAACGCAAGGCGTTATACGTAGGCGGCTGTCAAGGCCAAGGCCACTGTCCAGGCCAAGGCAAAAGCAGTGAGCTCGAGCTCCGAGTCCGAGTCTTCTGACTCTGACTCTGAGAGCGATGCTCCTGCTGCCAAAGCCAAGGTCGGTATCTGGAAAAGTTTTTCCCAGAAGATTTCATTAACGCAATTTTCTCTAGGTAAAGGTCGCAGCGAAGGCCGCGTCAAGCTCCAGCGAAGAGTCCTCCGACTCCGAGTCTGACGAGCCCGCCGTCGCCCCTAAGGCCGCTGCCAACGGCAAGGTTTGTTCATTTCTCGCGCAAGTATGAGCCTTTTACTCACGTATGTGTACAGAAGGTGGTGCCTGCTGCCAAGGAGAGCTCTTCCGATGAGGAGAGCAGCGACTCGGACTCCGAGTCTGAGAAGCCCAAGGCTGCTCAAGTGAAAAAGGCGGCCGCCAAGAAGGACTCTTCGTCATCAGACGAGAGCTCCTCCGAGGACGAGGCTCCCGCTAAGGCGAAGGCCACCCCGGCTTCTGCCAAAAAGGCTGCTCCCGCGGCCAAGGCCACTCCCGCCAAGAAGGCCGACTCCAGCAGCTCTGAGGAAGACTCTGAGTCTGGGTCGGACTCTGATGATGATGATGACGAGGACGTTGAGATGGCGGATGCTTCGGCGGCACCTGCAAAGGGTGCGTCTTTTTAGTCATTGTTTGCGTTCTCGAAACTTACTCCATCATAGGCAAGCGGAAAGCTGAGGATGATTCGGCTGCGCCTGCTAAAAAGGCCAAGGTGGCGAATGGCGACGCTGCTGCTGTTGAGGAGGAGGGCACAAAGAGCATCTTCGTCGGAAGGCTCTCATGGAACGTGGACAACGACTGGCTCGCCCAGGAGTTCGCCGAGTGCGGAGAGGTCATCTCCGCGCGCGTGCAGATGGATCGCAACACGGGCAAGTCTCGCGGATTCGGCTACGTCGAGTTCGCGACGACCGAGGCCGTCGAGGCCGCGCTGTTGTTGAACGGGAAGGAGATTGACGGCCGCCCTGTCAACATCGACAAGAGCGAGCAGAAGGACAAGGGCGCAGCGCGCGAGAAGCGGGCAGAGAAGTTCGGAGACAGCGCGAGCGAGCCCTCCGCTGTGCTCTTCGTTGGCAACCTGAGCTGGGATTGCACTGAGGACCAGGTGTGGGAGGTGTTTGGCGAGCACGGCGACGTTAAGAGCGTCCGTCTCCCCACCGATCGCGAGACTGGCCGGCCCAAGGGCTTCGGCTACGTCGAGTTCACGGACATTGAGACCGCGAAGAAGGCATTCGAGGGTCTTTCGGGCACGGAGGTTGCTGGACGTCCCATTCGTCTTGACTACTCCCAGCCCAGGGATAACAGCGGCGGCGACCGTGGCGGCTTCCGCGGCGGTCGCGGTGGTGGACGCGTGAGTGTTTCTGCTCTTATGTCTCTTTTCATGTCGCTGACCATTTCTACAGGGCTTCGGCGACCGTGGTGGCGGCGGCTTTGGCGGCCGTGGTGGTGGCCGCGGTGGAGGCCGTGGCTTTGGTGGCGACAGGGGACGCGGTGGAGGTCGCGGCCGCGGTGGCGACCGTGGTGGACGTGGCCGTGGTGGCCCCCGCACCGGTGGCATCGTCCCCGCCGAGGGCAGGAAGACGACGTTCTGATCTTCTCCAAGTGACCTATTCTGCTTCTCCTCGATGCTGTCCATGCCTGTCTTGTGCTTGTGTATGCTCTTATCCCATGTTCACTCGATGTAGTTACGGCTTGCTTCTCGTATAACATCTCAATTCAATCACATATGGACTCCATGAACGTTTAACGCCCAAGACCAGTGTGCTTCCAATCGTTCTTATATGGCCTCAAACCTCGCATTGTGTTATGGCTGAAGTACATGCCATCCGCGTCTGAAAAAAACGGTGCCCGCGAATTGCACCTTCGCAGCAAACCACCCACGTACCTCACAAGTCCATATTTTAATATGTAACGGCGTGCATCTTGTAAAAATCGGAATGCGCAGAGAAACAGCGTTGCGATCGTGAGGGGGACTAGCAATACAAAACACAGCAAATCAATCCTTCTCTGCGTACGCCAGGAGATGCCGCTCGATCTCCGCCGTGTCCATGACCCGCCACTGCCCCCGGGTCTTCACGTCCTCCTCCTCGCCGTCGGAGACGATGCCAATCTCGACCTCGTCCGGCTTGAAGTCCGTCGCGTGCACCGTCGAAATGGCCTCAATCGCCAGCTGCCCCGGTGTGTCAGCGCCTCTCGCCCAATATCATGTACGAGGGTAGAAGATGAAGCGCACCTCGATGACCTCCGAGCGCGTGAGCGTCTTGCCCGCCTTCACCGCGTCCTCGGCGCCGCGCCCGGAGTCGAGCTTCTTCCACTTCTTCTCGAGGTGGTTCATCGCCTCCTGCTGTTTCTGGCCCGCGGCGGTCGCGTGGTAGCCGACGAAGTAGCCCGCGGGGTCGAGCTTGAAGCACTGCGGCCCGAACTCGGGGTCGCTCCCGATGAGGATCATCGCTATAAACCGCACCAGCGGCGTCAGCAGTCCGGAATGGGGTGAGGATGGGGGCGACGCACAGATGCCGAGCGGCCGCATGCCCGCGCGCTGGGTGTAGACCTGGTTGATGTTGGCCATGCGTCGCGCGAGCGCGTCGGGCGTGATCTCGTAGCCGTACTTGTAGCGGAAGTCTGCCGCTTCGGAACGTGCACGCATGACTTGTGCGCGCGCGTCGGCTGCATACAAGAACATGGTGAGGCCAGTACGCAAGCAGATATCTTCAGGGGAACGCACCGATCAGTCCGGTCATGACACAGCCAATGGTGGGGGTGATGCTGAAGAGGTGGGTGATGGTGGAGGCGTCGAGGAGCTTGTCCTATGGGCAGAGGTTCAGGCTCGGTCGGTCGTGCCACAAAGGTGCAGGCTTACGGGGACTTTCTTCTGCGTGATGACCACTGCGGTGTCCTTCCCCCTGATCGCAACAGCGGTGTGTCCGGAGCCTGAGATGGCCTTGAAGGCATATTCTACATAGCGGGGTTTGAGCAATATTCTGTGTGCACGCGTAGGCTTGTTACTGACCTACTTGGTACAACCGCCCCTCGGGCGAGAAGACGGTGAGGAAACTATGGGTTCCATGTCAGTAGCAGCTATCTGTGGGATTAAAATAAACGCACCGATCGTAGGAGGTCCGAGACATGGTGGGAGAGGATGAGGAGGCGCGGTGCAGATGGATGGAGAGGACGCGCAAGTCAACGCGACACGCGTATCCCGATCTCACATGGGGTTTCTGGATCTGGACGGGGTTAGGGTTGCTAACAGGCAAGATAGACGCCTGTGTGACTCCAGTCACGTGGTAAGCAAAAGTACCGCGGCTCGAGCTCAGCTTTCGAGCTCATCCTCTCGGAGTACTTGTTCTCGTCTGCCGCTGCTTGTCTTTTACGCGTTCTCGGGTGGTATTATTCTGGGACATCTTTGGAACGACTGGCTTGAACTCTGTGCTCCTCGAAGTCGCCAGCACGGGTGGTAGAAGGCGGCAGTCGGTGCGCAGGGAGCGGAGAGCACTATGAAGGAGCCCGTGTCCCACCAGGCACCCAAAGTCATGTACGTTCCCTCAGCTACATAAAATAGACAGTAAACTGAGTCATAAATATAGCAAAGCACTTCAGTTCAGCTTGCTCAATAACCAGGACACGGTCAAGCTTGCCGAATTCGAGGTCACCCATCGCGATCTATACACCCCCATCGACCGCCTGCCCGTTAAGAATGGTGTGCTTGATCGTCGTTTAGTACGTCCCCTTCACGCGTAACACATGCGCTTGCATCTGAACAGGCGCCAGGGAACGACAGAGAAAAGCGCCTTCTGCGAGACTTGCGGCCTGAACTCGGTGGACTGTGTGGGACACTATGCATACATCAAGCTGGTCGTCCCCGTCTTCCATATCGGCTACTTCAAGCACACCATAGGCATACTGCAATGCATTTGCAAGGTCAGTCTTATTCACTCGACCGCGAAACCAAAGGCCAACTATCCTTCAGACATGTGCGAGGGTGCTGCTCGAAGAGCCCGACCGTCGCTCTTACCTCAAACGCTTCCGAAGACCCAACCTCGAAAACCTGCAGAGGATGACACTCGTCAAGTCCGTCAACGCGCTCGCCCGCAAGACGGTATACTGTCCATACTGTGCAGCTACGAACGGAACCGTCAAGAAGGCAGGCGCCTTAAAGATCATACACGACAAGTTCCGCGCGAAGAAAACTGCCGAGGAGATGGAGAAGTGGAAGAGGACCTTCGCTCCTGCAATAGAGGCCCAGAAGGAGTTGGGCATGTACGTCAACAAGGCGATCCACGAAGACCTGAACCCTCTGAAGGTTCTTGACTTGTTCAAACGTATCTCTGACGAAGTGAATACATTTGTTTCTCAACCACGCCTGCGTTTCACTGACATCTCATCAGGACTGTGAACTCCTTGGACTTCGACCGGAGTACGGTCGGCCAGAGCAGTACATCTGGCAGTACATTTCCGTCCCTCCCGTGGCGATTCGGCCGTCGGTAGCACAAGACGGCGCCTCGAACGAGGATGATCTCACCGTCAAGCTTACTGAAATCGTGTTCAGCAACGCGCTGATCAAGCAGGGTCTCGTCAAAGGTGCTCCTACCGCACAGTTCATGGTTCGACTCGCACTCACCTTCTCTGTTTGCACACCTATACTCACAGTTTTGACCGTTTCAGGAACAATGGGAGTTCCTCCAGCTCTCCGTCGCCATGTACATCAACTCCGAGCTTCCCGGCGTGCCATCACAACTCGGCCAGAAACCCATCCGAGGGTTCTGCCAGCGTCTGAAGGGCAAACAGGGACGCTTCCGTGGTAACTTGTCCGGAAAGCGTGTCGACTTCTCCGGCCGTACCGTCATCTCCCCCGACCCGAACCTCCGCATCGACGAGGTCGCCGTGCCAGAACGGGTCGCGAAGATTCTCACATACCCCGAACGCGTTACTGGGCACAACATAGACCGGCTGAAGAAGGCGGTGCGAAATGGGTGCGATGTCCATCCAGGCGCAAACTACGTGACTGCGGGGAGCAATGGCTTCAAGAAGTACTTGAAGTTTGGTAACCGGACAGCCATCGCGGATGGCCTTCGTATAGGCGACATCGTGGAACGGCACGTCATTGACGGTGACATTGCACTGTTCAATCGACAACCCAGTTTGCACAAGGTAAGCGTACAGAAGGTAAGATGGTGCGCGCATATACTGACTCAAATGTTCCGTAGCTCTCTATCATGTGTCATAGGGTAAGTCACCGTCATGGAGTTATGATCGCACGTAACTGACAAGAGTGCAGATCAAAGTTCGACCATGGAGATCATTCCGTCTCAACGAGTGTGTTTGCGGTCCTTACAACGCTGATTTCGATGGAGACGAGATGAACCTTCGTACGCCGCATGCATACTACCTCCGTTCGACTCCTGCTCACCAAACCTTCAACAGACGTCCCGCAAACAGAAGAGGCGCGCACGGAAGCCCTCGAGCTTATGAGCGTGAAACACAACCTCGTCACCCCACGAAACGGCGAACCCGTGATCGCCGCCATCCAGGACTTCATCACCGCCTCTTTCCTCCTCTCCCGGCGCGACACCTTCTTCGACCGGCGGCAGTTCACGCAGATCTGCTCCTACTTCGCGGACGCGGACCTGCAGATCGACATCCCCCCGCCCGCGATCTGGAAGCCCGTGCGGCTCTGGACGGGCAAGCAGGTCTTCAACGTGCTCATGCGCCCGAACAGGCAGTCGAAGGTGTTCGTGAACGTCGAGAGCAAGTGCAACAAGGAGGACAAGCCGCAGGCGGCGTGCTACCCGCGCATGCGGCCTGCCCCGGACTTGTCGCCCAATGACGGCTGGCTGGTGATCGTGAACAGCGAGATCATGTGTGGCGTCATGGACAAGGCGACGGTGGGCAGCGGGAAGAAGAAGTCGGTGTTTGGTGTCATTATGCGCGACTATGGCCCGCATGAGGCAGCCGCAGCGATGAACAGGGTAGCGAAGCTCTGCGCACGGTATCTTGGTAGGTCGCTCGCTGGTTCAGACCGAGACGACACTAACGTGCCGCAGCTAACATCGGGTTTTCTCTCGGTATCAACGACGTCATTCCCGGACCTGTTCTGTCGGGCAAGAAGGATAGCATGGTTGAAGACGCATACGCTGCCTGCGAGAGGCTAATTATCCGGGCAAAGAAGGGTCTACTGGAGAACAAGCCCGGTTGCGACCAGGAGCAAACTCTTGAAGCGGAAATCTCCAAGGTGCTGTCCGACGTCCGTGGAAATGTAGGAGAAATCTGCATGAAAGAGCTGAGCCGCCACAACGCTCCCTTGATCATGGCAACGTGTGGTTCCAAAGGTTGGCCGCACGCCTCCTAAAACTCTATTTCACAGCTGACACTCCACAGGTTCCGTCATCAACGTCTCCCAGATGGTTGCCTGTGTCGGACAGCAAATTATTGCCGGTCATCGTGTACCCGACGGTTTCCAGGACCGCTCGCTGCCCCACTTCCCCAAGAAGTCGCGCGACCCGCCGTCGAAGGGCTTCGTGAGGAACAGCTTCTACACAGGCCTCACCCCTACAGAGTTCCTTTTCCACGCCATCTCGGGTCGCGAAGGTCTAGTCGACACCGCCGTCAAGACTGCTGAGACGGGCTACATGCAGCGACGACTTATGAAGGCGCTGGAGGATCTCGTCACGCATTACGACTCGTCCGTGCGCAACGCCGTCGGTGGAGTGGTGCAGTTCCGATATGGTGACGACGGCCTCGACCCAGCATGTCTCGAGGGTGACGCTCAGCCTGTGGACTATGAGCGAGCATGGCGACACGCCTGCGTACGCATAATGCTCGTTCTGTGTCCCTTTATATGCTCACTTTTTCTGTGTTTAGTCCCTTGCTTCCAGGGCTCCCCGTGGTCTGCTACCGTACGAGATTATCGAGTTCGTCGATCACGAGCTCTCGACACGCAAGTACACCACCGAATGCACAGCAGCGTATCTCGCGACGATTCGCAGCTTCATCTCCGAGAACATCGCACAACGGCTCGGGGAAGTGCGCAAGCGGCACGGCATGTTCGAAGCGCTGGAGCGCGAGGACGAGTGGGACGCCGATACCGACTTGACAATGGGTGCATCAGGTATGTTCTTCCACAGCCTCCGTCGAGAACAGCACGTACTGATTTGTGCTTGTGCTTGCAGACGCCGACAAGGCCGCCGTCGACAACAAGATCAAGGTGACCGAGGAGCAGCTGCGGCTGTTCCTCGACGTTTGCTGGACGAAGTACGTCAAGGCGAAGATCGAGCCCGGGTCCACCGTCGGCGCCGTCGGCGCACAGTCCATCGGCGAGCCCGGCACGCAGATGACGCTGAAGACGTTCCATTTCGCGGGTGTCGCGTCCATGAACGTCACGCTCGGGGTGCCGCGCATCAAGGAGATCATCAACGCTGCGAAGGCCATTAGCACGCCCATTATCAGTTGCAAGCTCGTTGCGTACGACAGCGAGGCTTCTGCGCGGATCGTGAAGGGGCGGCTGGAGCGCACGCACGTCGGAGATGTGAGCCCTTTGAACATATTTCTACTGAAAGGTTGCATGTTGAACTGACTATGATAGATCGCATCCGTCCTCGAGGAGGCGTGGGCTCCAGAGTACACCTACATCGGCGTGATAGTCGACATGAAGACCATTCAAGATCTTCAAGTACGTGCAGCTTCCAGCCACCCTCAATTTCGTGGTTACTTATATTTGCTGTAGCTCGAGCTCACGCTGGACGACATCAAATGGGCCATCGTAGGCGCGCGGAAACTCAAGATCAAGCAAGAGGTAAAGTTTTCCCTCGCGCTATGATCGACACGGTCTTGACAGATTTGTAGTCCATCACCGTCATCCCGCGCAAGAACCGCCTGCGTATATACGTAGATGGGGCCGACAAGTATTATCGCCTGCGCGAGCTCAAGCGGGCGTTGCCCGACGTCGTTGTGAAGGTGAACCTCATCCCTATCTCTATGCATGCACCACGCTCATCCCTTCGACTCTGTCCAGGGTGTGCCCACTATCAGGCGTGCTATCATCAACATCAAGGAGAACAACGACCACAGGGGCAAAAAGGGTGACAAGGAGCTGCTCGTGGAAGGCTATGGCTTGCAGAAGGTCATGACCACCCAAGGTACGCAACTATCCTGCTCGTTGCCTCCGTTTATTGACATTAGTCGTAGGTATTGTTGGCGAGCAAACGACCTCCAACCACGTCATCGAGATCGCGCAGGTCCTCGGGATTGAGGCTGCGCGGCGAACGATCATCAACGAGATTCAGTATACCATGCAGAGTCACGGCATGAGTATCGATCCGCGGCACGTCATGCTGCTTGGGGACGTCATGTCCTACAAGGTATGTTCGGGCGGACACCCTGCTTGGTTGATACTCATGCATTATCCATCCAGGGCGAAGTCCTCGGTATCACGCGCTTCGGTGTAGCGAAGATGAAGGACAGCGTGCTCATGTTGGCTTCGTTTGAGAAGACGACAGATCATCTGTTCGATGCGTCTGCGTACGGAAAGACGGACAGCATTGCTGGCGTGTCCGAGAGTATCATTATGGGCAACCCCGCTGCAATGACGGGTACCTCGATGTAAGTGCCAGTATATCTGATATATCGCCCACATACTGACTGAACTTGTGCAGGCCCGCGCTCATTACTCCTGCGCCGTCAATAAGCAAACCAAGAAAATTGTTGTTCGAGGGGGCTTTGTGAGGTTGTATCGACACTATGTATTGTACCTTATTGGCATCTGTATTATTGTAGCACAATCTCTTCATCTTCCTACCTATTCAATCTACTTCCTTGAGTGAAGGAGGTAGCACATACCGTCGGATGAGGACACCACCGAACCGGGTATGCTTTCTCGCGGATAGAGTTTCTGAATTACCACTTCCCCCAAGGCCAACTTGTCGGCGGCCGCACTGCCGGTTGACAAAGCACGACGATTACTCATCTGTATCGATCTCTCCAGGTCCAACTGAACGCAAGACCTCCACCATTCACTCTCCTCCTTTGCGCCATACCCAACCGTAATACCGAACACCATGAGCGTAAAGATCCGCAGCCCTCCCACCAACGTAAGTTCTCTCTACCACACAACTCACACAGCCACAGGCACATCCGCTCATCGATCATCGCCATTCATACAGCTCGACGAGATCGCCGCCCAAGAGGCGCGCTGCGTCCTCCCCCACTTCACCGCAGACACCGCCTGGGAGCTCGGGACGCGCCTGCGTGCCCGCCTGCAGGCCGCCTCGCCCACCAAGCCCGCCGTCGTGAACATCACGCTCGCGAACAGCACGCAGCTGCTCTTCCACTGCGCGTCCGGGCGCGGCACGCTCCCGGACAACGACACCTGGGTCGCGCGCAAGCGCGCGGCCGTCTTGCGCTGGGGCGCGAGCACGTGGGCGCTGCACAACAAGTACCAGGGGAACGAGGGCGCGTTCGCGGCGAAGTTCATGCTCGGGGAGCGTGCGGGCGAGTATGCGATCCATGGCGGGGGCTTTCCGGTGCGCGTGAAGGACGTGGAGGGGATTGTTGGGGTTATCGTGGTCAGCGGGCTGTCGATGCAGGAGGACCATGAGGTGATCGTGGAGGTGCTGGAGGAGTATCTGGCGGCGCTGAAGGCCTGATGGCGAGCCTAGGGATTGCATAAAGGGAATGGTAGTAGGCAGAAATACGCGTGATGTACAGTATCTAGTGGAGGGCGCTATCGGTGTACAGCGGGAATCCAGGCATTATGCGCAGGTATCTAACACGTGCGGTATGCTACAAGTCGTAAACGGGTCGTCACAGTAACTCGTGCAGCACCTTGTCGTACTGGTGCGGCAGGTGCGAGCTTAACATGTCGCGTGCGAAGATGATCTGCCCGAAGACCTGCTTTACGTCCAGGACCTCGAACAGGCGCACCTTATCCTTGGGAGACGCTTTCCCAGACCCGGCGCCGAGACGATGCGCCCGATGTAGATCGCCGTCCCGCAGTGCCCAGAACACCCGCCCAGGCGGGAAGAGGTCCGCCATCTGCATGTTTGCCTCCAGCGTCTTGCGCATCGCAAGGAACTACGATAGCAGTGCTGATAAGCAACTCGTCGTTATTAAGTGGGCAAGAAAGCGACTCACCCATTCGTCGTCACCCTCTTCTACCCTGCCCATCTTCCACTTCAACGCCTTCTTCGTAACAGCCGAGTACCCATCCGCCTTGCCGTCCTCCCTATTCTCCGCCGCACATAGCCACACCGCACCCCGCGTCAGATCGCGCACGCTACCCAGCGACAGACGGGAGACGATGTCGTGTCCATATACGAACGAGGTGATCAGCCCGGAGGCGGCCGCCTTGGCGCTAAGGCGCGGAGAGACGATGCAGGGGGGTGCGAAACAGTACGCGGTGACCTTCCGATTGGCGGGAAGGCCTGACGTGCGATATGTGAGGCGCGTCTCCGGAGAAGCCCACATCTAGAGAGGCATGAGATACCGCATAAGAACGCGAGGATACAGTGCACTTACCAGAGCAAGGAGTCCCGCGACACCGGCACCTAAGCTGTGACCGCAAAGAACCAGAGCTGCGAGGAGATGTCAGCGATCATCAAGTCCCCGAGAGGTTGAACACTTACAGTAGCCCTTGTTCTTGCGCAACGCATCCCGCACGACGACATGAACCGGCTTCCCAACACCACCCATCGCCCGAGCCATCTTTAACATCCCTCCGTGTACAACATGCACAGCATCGTCCGCACTCTCAGACGGCACGCGTGCGCGCGGGAAAGGCTTGCTCGATGTGCTCGCCCGGTCCGAGTCCTTGCGCGTGCGCGGGAACGGAACGGAGAGGTCCATCGGGAACGGGAATGACCCGGGGATATTCTCGAGGTCCTCGTCGAGCTCGTCGATAGGCTCCTCGGGGGCGGGCTGGGCAAGCGGGGACGACTGGGAGGGTGGCCGGTGGGATTTGTTGTCGGCACGGGGGAGGGTGAAGGGTGCGGGTTCGCAGGTAAGGTCGACGGCGACCTCGTTCAGGCTCATCGTGCCTCGGATGACGAGCACGACCTCTTGCCGTACGTGGTCCGTCAGGACCCAGAAGCGTGGCATCTGGCTGTCTGTACCAACGTGCGCGGTCGGAGGCTGCTTCTGAGGAAGAGCAATCAGATCAAGTACGCATATAGTCGGTAAAGCGAACTTACTGCTGCTTCTGGAGTGGTATCGTGAGACGAATGCGACTTCGCCCAGTTGAGGAAGATATCATGGTCGTGTTTGCCCATGAGCACGTCCCACCACGAATAGGACGCCGTTCCGGGACCGCTTGCATCTGTACCCGCACCCGTCGGGGGCGTATTCGGCGCGCCCTGGGGCCCGGCAGCTTCTCTTTCGGAAGCGTCAATAGCATCAGCGATTTGTACCTCCTCCTTCTGCCGCTGTCGCTCGGAAGGTGAAAGAGACACTCCGAAGAACAGCAAACTAGCTCCACCGTAGCCGGCGAGGACTAGTTTGGAAAGCCGTCTGAAGGTCTGCTTGAGGTCGTCCGCCGAGGCCGCAGTTGACGGACGCCGGATAGTGGAAGGGCGCGGGGGACGAGGAGGGGCTAGTCGCGCACTAGGCCACGAGCCCGGCACCGGAACTTCGGTAATGTCAGCGGTGACGATCTGCCCGCTGTGTCTCGGGTATATCGTGTCCCCGGTAATCGTAACACGAGAGTCGACGCGTTGGCGCGGTTGGGCGGCGTGCGATTCGTCGTAGACGGGCACTTCGCGCATATGCCTGAACCACTGCTTCTCCTGCCACTCGCTCGTGACGCCCTGCAGCGCTGCGAACCCTGCGAGTGCCTTCAGGACTTCTCCGAGGCCGTACCGTTCCTCCGGGAGGCCTTCGCTCTCGGCGGGTTCGTTCCATTCGCGGCGGACGAGACCGACGAAGCTGGCGAGGGAGAAGCTTGCTTCGTCGCTCCCGGGGAAGATGGTGGTGAGCATCGACAAAGAGGAGTTTGCTGCGACGAGCGAGGTTGACGTCAGGGTCTCTCCGAGCAGGATGGGTGCAAGCGCGACGAATTCCACCGCCGAGATAGCTGACGAGACCGCCCCGCCAAAGAGTGCGCCGGCGCCAGTGCTGCCGCCGAACAAAGTGTAGTCAATGACGGTGCCGGTCAGGCCGGCAGCTGTTGACGCTACTCCGCGTGTCAACGAGAACTAGAAGTCGGTTGGTTCAGTTATCACTCAACACCCATAATTTTGGAGACGCACTCCGAGTCGTGTGCATGCCTTCGCGGCGGAAAAGCCTACAGAGGTGGCGGTTGAGGCAAAGTCAAGGCTGAGGCGGCCATATTTGTCCCAATTTGAGAGCATCAACTAGCTAGCTGTGAAGCGCAAAAGCAGTATCTTCTACAGGTTGTACGCAGAGCACAGTGAGTTTCTGGAGGGCGTGGAAGTAGCGGGAAACCTAGGTGAACGGGACGGGGGCGGGGTGGTGGTGGTAGCAATCACAAGCTCAGGCGACTGTGGCGCTCCCTCTTTGTCGTCGATCCAGCACAGCCACCTCACCCACCTCGCGTGCCCGGAATTCGGTCCGAGCTTTCCTCTTCCTCCCTCGTCATCGTGGCTGGCACTTCTTGGCTTCCGAGTCTCTTCTCACGCGACAACGAAGAATGGCAAGTATACAATTTTACGGAATTCTATGGGGAACTTGTATATGAGTGTAGTGTACCGCACAACAGTACTAGTGGTTGCGTTGCAGTCCAGCGTCCGGTTCCGGGCCAGCCCCCAAAGGAACGCCTTTCGAGGAAGGTGTAGAAGAAATATAGCTGCAGCGATTGCAAGGATGCGCGTGCAGGCCTGACCAGTTCGCACCCTGCAAGCCGCAGGACTTGGGACGAAGTATAGGTCGCAGGGTAGATGCGGACCTGGCCCAGCTGCGTCGCCGTATCGTCCAGGCCTTGCCAATCGGGTCGGGTCGTCTTGCTAGTCGTCGTCCGGAGCATATATTAGCGAACATTGTCGAGTTGAATAAGGAGTCAGACGTACCCTTCGCGATGACGCCGTGACTTCCCCTCCAACGAACAACGAACACGAAACGAGAAAGGAAACCAGCCCCCGAAAGGACGCCTCACGAAGAGGGTGTGGAAAAAATAATGGCTGCAGCGATCACGAGGATACACATGCAGGCCTGACCAGCAAGTGGGTACAAGCGGCAGGGCTTGCGACGGAGCACAGGTCGCAGGGTGGATGAGGTCCTGGCCAGGCCGCGCCGCCGTATCGTCCTCGGGTCCAGGTCTTGACATTCGAGTCGGGTCGGTTTGCGGGGCGGGGTCCTAGGCTTGAGGATCTAGAGAGAATCTGTGGGAGGAAAGCGGAGGAGCAGCGAGCGAACGAAAGGAGGGAGAGACAAGGAGAAAGCCGGGAAACCCTGGAACCACCTCCCTGTCGCAGGTTCATGACTCCCGCGAAGATCGGTGGCCGTCGAGTGTGTCGAGGATCCGTCCGTCCGGGGCGCGCGCAGCTTCAAGGTTGAGGGTCGAGGTCGTCCATGTCGAGATCCAAGTCGAGGTGCCGAGTCTAAGAAAAGTCAGGAGTACTACGGAAGGGACCGGTATCTAGGACGAGGCAATGTATGGAGTATTCTATGTTATGCGTATGTTTTTTCGTTTTACTGTTTTGGACTGTTTTTTGGGTTTTCTGGGGTTTTCTGGAGACGAGAGCGAGCCCGAATCCGAGTCCAAGGACGAGAACGGGAGCGAAACCGAGAACGAAACCAGTCCGAGAACAAGTCGAAAGCCAAGTCCGAGAACCGGATCGAGTCACTAAGAACGAGGCGAGCCGAAGCTGCCATCGAGGGACAAAGCCCCCATTGCCAAAAATATGACAAGAAGGAAAGAAGGTGTCGCAATGACAGGACGCCACACTCGCCGAAGCAGAGAGTATGTAACGGCGCCCCCGGACCTCCACCTGAAGCCTTACGGAGCAATAGTGGTCCCCCGAGAGTGAGGAGGCTAGCACTCACCCCCGGGATCCCGGCCCCGACAGCAACTGGTGTCTACAGTCCGTCCTCCCAGGCGTGCCCGCAGCGCAGAGCGCCGCGGGTGCAGCAGGACCCGACCGGTCTCGTTCCCGCGTCGCGAGTGTCTCAACTCACTAGAGGTTTGTGCGCGTGCTCGCCACCAGGGCGAAACAGCAAACCGCCTAGTGGCCGATCGCAGTCCGGTACTTGATCGCGTTCACCTGCTGCGCCGCCGCAGGCCGAAGCAAGTCACCGCGCTTCGCGGTCAGCGAGCGGTACTTGATCGCCATGTCCTTCTGCGCCTGCCCGAGCGGGATGAGCGCCGCCTGGTGGTGCGTCAGGCCCTCGGCGAGCACGGTCGTGCCGTCCCTCGCGGGGACGATTTTGATCTCGATCCCCGCAGAGTTCGTGGACGCGGCCTCGCCGGCGCCGCCGTCCTCCCCGGCGAGGGGGAGGTGCCAGAACTCGCGGGTGAGGAGGCGCTCGCGGAGAGGCGTCCGTGCGGATGCGAGCTTCCCGACCTTGTAGGCAAGGTGTTCCGGGACAATTGCGTGCAATTGGTGGCAGTAGCGGGCTCCGATCTCGGGAGTCGATTTAGGCTCTGAGACGCAGCTCAGAGGGCCGGCGCCGAACTCGGGGTAGTAGGGCTCGGCGGAGGCGGGTGCCCTCGGAGAGACCATAGGGAACTGGGATGGTGAGCAACGGGAACTGTGTCGCTATGGGGTGGATGGGGAGACGTACCTTCTCTCCGGTGGACTTTGCCTTGGGGAGGTGTAGGTGCCAGTCGGCGACGAACACCTGCTCCTTCTCCCAGACCCATGTACGTGTAGATTGGCGGGTAGAGGGATCGTAGGAGACGCGGAGGTTGAAGTGGAGGCCGTCATGGACCATCTGGGGAGTGTGACGGAAAGCGGGCATATTGGGAGGTGTGGGGCGCGGTGTAATGGGGGTACGAATGGAGATACGTGAGGGGCAACGTCTGGAAAGGTCAGAACAATATATGGCGGGAGGTTTGGATCGAGCCTGAGTTCATTCCGAGAGGCTGACCAGCAAGGCTAGACCCTCGTTCGCGTTCTCTTACACCAAGCATGACTTCACGCGTTGGAAGCAGATTTGTTGGACATGAAAGACAGAATGACGTTTCCGTAGAGGCAAAAAAACTTTTAGCAATGTCTTTCCACAATGAGTACAATGAGTACACTGCTGTATGTCGCGTTTTCGTTTTCGAGGCTCGGACTGAGTGGCAAGTATACCAGATCCAACTACGAATGGAGTTAGCCCTCAGTTCTGACCTGTCACAGTGCATATAGGCATACCTCGCCACATGTTCTGTCTCATGTGAACGATCATATAATGCGTGGAGGTACTAATGCGTTCAGCCTGAGCCAGTGGAGAAAGTGGTTGGTGGACAAGCCGGCGCTGCCGCCGACCACCGCCACAGAAGCAGTGATATTTGTGAGCGCTCAAAGCCCACGTGCGCTATCTCCTGCCACCACCCGGCCGCCACTTCAGGCTTTCGACCAACGTTGAGACCGTTTGCTATCCAACTTTCAGCACAACCGGTATGGAAACGATTCGCAATAATACCATCGCACACGTAGCTCATGTATGAACAGGATATCGGCCTGGGAGCTTCGTATAAGTATACGCCAGTCACAAGATGAACAGGTGACGTTATATGAATCTGATTCTCTAGTTTTGTTGCTGACTCTTGCTCATGGACGCAGGGGCCCTATCATCCTCGTAAGCTGAAGATGTTTCTCTGCGTGTGCATTTTGTTGAGCTCGGCTTCAGACGATCGATGAAGCGGAGGTAAGGCTACAGGAAATGTGATGAGGTCTCGCCGTTTCTGAACAAAGTTGCGCACTGCTTGACCGAACCTAGTACCTTCTGGACCAGCTCGTGCGTATGATGCGTGTCAATGAGTCTGTATATTCTGCTAAGCCACCATAGCCTCCTCCGTCCTCCGATGAAGAGCCCTTGGTAACGAAGCTCCGAAAGCGGCTCCAGGACCTTCTGACTTCCCTACGGGCGGGTGCGGAAGGGACTGCTGGGGGCGCGTAGGGCTGGCTAACACGGTGAGTGGCAAATTGAACAACTCGATTTATGTACCACTCCTATTACAGTGTACGCGCTGATGTCTAGTATCTGTAGCAAATGGACACTGACCGCTAAAATCGGTCGTCAAGATGTCAGTGTCCGGATGAGTATTACAGCTGTGTCACAGCGTCTCTGTATCCTCCCATATCAGTCTTCACGTATTTTGTATCTCCTATTGAAGAGGCTCTGGGTGTGAGTCGCCGTTACTGGTACACAACGGGTGTTGGGGGCGTTTGTAGGTCCAATGCTGGATTTAGCGCTCGTGGCGATCTTCACCGTGAAGGGAGTCGAGGGTAAGTGTGTGGTTGGACCGGGTTGTTCGGTTCATCCTCGACTTGCCCCTCCCATCACCCTCTATTCCGCCAGCTTGTCCTGTGCCTCGCGCTACCTGCTGCATCAAGCCCTCCGCCGAGAGTTGAGCTCACCTCTGCTGCCTGCATCTAGGTCCCTTTGCTCTGAGCCTGTCTAATACTGGCACCACAAGTTGCGGGCTGCGCTGAATCTTCGCAACCATGGCTCCAGGACAACTCTCCCCTTTTCCCTCCTGTGCCTCTGGCCTCGGCTTCATGACTACCCCGGACTGTCTCAATGCTAGCTCCCTCCTCACGCCCACCGCCAGCATCTGCACCATCTCCTCGCTCACCCCAGGAGGAGACACCGAGGCCGCTTTATCCCGCGCACGGGCGAAGACCATGCAGACGAAGGAGATTTTGAAGTCTCCCCAGCCCCACCGCTTCCACCTCGTGCTCAGCAGCGGGCGGCGGCGGACCCCAGAGATACCTAGTTTGCCCTCGCGGCCGAGCGCGCAGTGGAGGGATGGACTTGGCGTGCCGGTGTCTCCCGTATATAGCGACGGAGGTGGGAGCACGGAACTTCGACGTAGTCGGCCGGATCTGTTCTCCCCAGCTGTGAGTCCACTGATGCCACCCGCGGACATATACACGGTGAGTGCATCCTACACTGACACGGGTATGTTGAGCTCATACGCAGCAGGAGGATGCACGTTTCACACACTCACCCGGCACAGAGGACTACTTGGATGATGCAATGCCGACAAGGTCTCAGGAAGAGCGGCGAGAAGAAGCATGCGAGGTTGAATATCCCGCATCCACATACTCCGCTCGGTCTGCAAGCACTGCATCTGCCTCGTTCACACTCGTCCAGGACCGGACGAGTAAACGGCTCTCCTCCGCTTCCGGCACCGTCTACAAGGACATGTTTACACATGACTACCAGAAGACCTCCCTCCTAGATGAACGGCTGAGCGACACTCCTCTGTGCGACGGCAATATCTCCACATGTCATGTTGATGCAGAATCAGCAGAACTTGACACGTCCCCTCCCACACCTATGATTCTATCGGAACAGCCGTTGGACGACATCGTGGAGATCCCCGAATCGGAGACACATCCTAGCGTATACAGCGGCGGCGACGCGTCACAAGCTAATATCTCACACACTACCTCAGGCTCTTTATACAGCAACAGCTCAGCTTATACCGGCTACGACCGCGACGATGTATCCTGGCCCGGAAGAATTTCAGTCGAATTGGCTCGTTCGGACGAGGCTCTCAGTGAAGCTGCTGCGCCCACACCAGCACCTATTCCCTCATCCCCACCCAAACCAACCTCGGCGCGGGACAGGCGCAAGTTCGCCCTCCGGCGCCAGGCGATCTACGCCGAGTACGGGTTCCAGATTGCGCTGCCCGACTCGGGTTCGGACTCTTCCGTCAAGATGCTCGCGAACAGCCCGCAGAAGAGCAGGACGGGCCGCCCGCAGATGCGCGCCGCGTCCGCCTATATGTCCAACAGCGGCAGCGCACGCTCTGGGTTATCCTCGTCGACTTCAAGCGAGTCGCGGCGGCGCACGGCGGCAGGCGCGGACGGGGACGAGGATGAAATGCAGCTGTTTGGCTCGGCGAACGACGTGGACAGACTCGGCCGGTTCTCGGTGCAGGAGGACATCATGGCGGCCACGCGGAACCCGCTGCTGGAGGATCGCGCGGAGCTGAGGACGAGCACGCCCCAGCGGTCAGCGAAGGGAGGCTCTACTGGCCAGCGGACTGTGCTCGGATACGGCTCTCTCGGTCCTGCGTCTCTCTCTGGTCTGGGCTTCGACTCTGGCAGCCCTGGTAGTTATCTCGCGGCCCCTCGCGATCTGGTTTGGCATTCTGGCTCTAGCACTAGCTTTGGCTCTGGCGACGCGCGGCAGGACGACTCGGACTCCCCGTGGGCCCCACTGCGGATCCGGAAGCGCATGGTACCCGCGCACAGCGAGCTGAGCTGTATCTCGGTGAGCGCGTCGGAGCGGAACGCGCGGTGGTCGGCGTGGGAGTTCGACCGGGGGCATCACCCGATATTGCAGGACTTGCTGGACGAGGTGGACAGGGCGCTGGAGCAGTGGACGTGGCTCGCGCAGCTCCGCGCGTATCGCTATGTATGAGGTGGCGGCGTGGCTCTGCAGGCGGAGCGCGATTGGGCGAGAGGATCATGTTACTTACGTTTGAGTTAGCGGCAGTCGATTTGTATACCATCTCTTTCTTTTATGGGCCTCAGCATAAAAAGTGTGCACCGTATGAGATGCATACGGGAAAGCAAATGATAGCGCCTGTGACCGTCTTATCGTGCAGAGACCAGGCGCCAGTCACCTTGGAGCACGTCCGACCATTGGAACGTCTCCTCGGCCACTCCGCCGTCCTCCTCGACCACCCCACCAAACGACAGCTCAGCTGAACCTGGCTCAGCAACGAGCTCGACGACGAGCTCTTCGTCGCACTTCGCAACACGCCCGACGTGTAGAAGTACCTCCGGCGTGAACGTAGCGAAGTTGATCCCGAGCGCCTGCACGTAGGAGTGAGCCGCGAGCGCTAAGAAGAGGTGACCAGAGAAAACGGACCTTCCAAGCGACAGTTGTCCCAATTTGCACCTGTTCCTTGTCTGTGATCTTTCGAAGCGTATCCCACCGCGCAGCAACCACCACGCGCTCCGTCGAGGCCGAATCGTCCTGCGCACCCGCCGCAGGCACAGCGGCGGGCACCTCCGGCACGTCGTCGTACGGCAGCCCCCCAGCAAACGTCTGTTCCTCCTCCTCGTAGTCCCATTGCGCCTCCTTGACAGGCGCCTTCTTCTTTTTCTTCTTCTTGCCCTTGGCGGGCCACAGGCCCTCCTCGACGTCCACGCTCGTGACGAACATGTTCGCGGGGAGCAGCCCGCGCTCCTGCTTCTCGGACGGGGGCACGAGGCGCGGCTGTGCGCGCGAGGAGCTCCGCTGGGACTCGAGCATGAGCCCGGCCTCGACGACGCGCGCGTCTGCGTCGACGTCCATGTTCTGTTCTGCCGCTGGCCGTGGGGCGTCGGAGAAGAGGATCTTGGCGGGAACGCCCTGCGTGAGCGCGTGCTTGAACCCGCGCCGCTTGTTCTTGTTCTGCAGGGAGGCCATCAGGAACGCGGGGTGTTCCTCCACGGCCGTCTCTTTGCCCTTGCCCTTGGTCTTGCCTTGCGCGGGCGGGGCGAGGGCGGTGGGCTCGGGCTCTGGGGGCGACGAAGCGGGAGAGGCGTCGTCTGTGCGGGCACGCTCGCCGAGGGGGATGTCGTTCACGCTGGCGGGCTCGGCGGTGAGCGAGAGGCGCTCGTACATCTTCTTGCGTCGTCGGCGAAGGTTGCGGCTGTGCGTCGTAGGCTTCCCGAACCCGGGCGGGATGGATGGGTGAGTGGAAGCAGCGGGTGCAGGAGCTTTGGCGGTGCCATTGACTTGTTTTCGTTTTGAAGGCTCGACGGCTGGAGCGCTTGAGGTGGAGGATGTGGACGAGGAGGAAGACGAGGAGGAGGCGTCGGAATCTGAGTCCGAGTCCGAATCCGAGTCTGAATCTTCTTCAGCTGAGTCCTCAGAGTCCGAACTTGAGTCTGAGCTGGACTCCGAAGACGATTCGTGCGGGGCTTGTGGCCTCGATTTGGAAGAGGCGCGGTTCTTCGCAGGAGGTTGGGGTACCCGAGAAACCGCCCTGCCATCGTCCGCTTTTGTCCGCTTGCGCGCAGGACTGGCTTCGTCTGGAGAGGCTTCAGTACGTAGCGCGAGTAGAGAGCACTGATGGATACCTCGCAGGGAAGCTTTTCGTTTGCCTGGGCGTTTCTTAATGCTATGGAGGATAGAGACTATGAGAGCCTTGGTTGGGTGAAGATTGTGAGATATGCATGCGGACGTACACTACAAGGTCTCCATCGTGTACAACATCGATTGGGCTCGTGTCCAAGAGCTCAAAGTCGTCTAGGAGTAGGAGGATGTCTTGCGGGCGGACGCGTTCATGAGCGAGGGGTAGAAGGTCGGTGCAGAGAGAAGTTTTGAGATCGAGGATGGAAGGAACCGCATGAGTGCTGAACCAGGCCTTGACGTGCGGCAGAGGCGCGACAGTTTCGACCTTTACGCGCATACCGGGTGGAGAGAGGACGTCGGTAGCAGGCCGTGGTGGCGGCGAAACGGCGGAGAGGATGAGTGTGAGGCGCTCGTGCTATAGCGCACGTGTGGCGGACGTGTCGAGCGAGCGCGCCAGCGAAACTGTGTCACTCTCCCGCTCAGACACGTCCTCCTCCTCAACCCCTTCCTTCTCTCCCGCCACCACGACGTGTCCGCCCGCCCGCTCGTTCTCGCCGCTGCTTTCTTTCTAGCGCGTGCTCTCGGTGTACTCTAGCTTGGCCCAGCGTTACCCGTTCCAATCAGGCCACCATGGCCAACTACAACTATGACGAAGCCGGTAACATGGCCGCCTACTTCGTCCTCACCTTCCTCACCATCTTCCTCGTGCCATACACACTTGCATCTCTCGCCGCGAGCAGTACGTCCTGATTCCGCTCAAGTCCGATACGCCCCGCTGAATGTATATGTTTCAGAACCTCCTGCGCTTACTGGCTGTCAGTGCCAGCAATGCACCACTCAGCGCGAACGCATTCGGAAGCGCGAGGGTGGCTCCCTCTTGACACCAAAACTTCGGAGACGGTACGTGTGTCCTGTAGGAAATGGGCGGACTGTGTCTGACCCGAATGTACCTCTTACAGAACTCTGATCATCGCGGGCGGGTGGTCCATCGTCGCGTTCCTTGTGTACAAGGTCATGAATTCCGAGACGCAAAACAAAGTTTACGACCCCTTTGAGATCCTTGGTATCAGCACGGTAAGTCAGTCTCGGCGGCTCGATTAAATGCTTCCGCTAAGCACTTCCATTCAGGGTACTACCGTCAAGGAAATCAAGTCACATTACAAGAAACTCTCCCGTAAATTGTAAGTCATAGGGTTTCGCTGGTCACGCCGTGGACTAACCTCACACTCTACAGCCATCCGGACAAGGTCAAGCTTGCCGTGAACGAAACAATGGAGGCAGTTGAGGCCAAATTTGTTGAGATTACCAAGGCCTACAAATCGTGCGTCGAGATTCCCTCGCTATGTGCGCATTGTGCTCATAAATCATGCTGCTAGTTTGACGGACGAGAACATCCGCAAGAACTGGGAGATGTATGGGCACCCGGACGGCCGTCAGGAAGTGTCCATGGGTATTGCGCTACCCAAATGGATTGTCGAGAGCGGCAACAACATCTGGGTTCTCGGCGCATACGGTGTGATCTTTGGCGGTGCGCTTCCTGCGATCGTGGTACGTGATCTCGTTAACACGCTACTGCTGCGGCGAACCTGACGTCGTCTTCGTAGGGCCGTTGGTGGTTCGGCAACCGGGAAAAGACTAAGGACGGTGTTCACACCCGCAGTGCCGCCGCTTTCTGGAAGAGTCTCTCCGAGGAGTCCGGCATGGACGACGTCACCAGCTCTCTGGGCAAATCTTTCGAGTGGGAGCTGCCCGGGTCTAAGGCGGGTAAGGTCGACGCGGAACTCGCGCAATTGGAATCGCAGATCAAGGAAAAGCTGGGTGAGAAGTGGGATGAGCTTGTGAAGCTTGCAGAGGCCTCCCCCAAGGATCACAAGAGTCGCAGGAGGGCATTCGTCCTCTTGTATGCGCACCTGCTACGCTTGCCTATCCAGAATTCGACCCTTCTGAAAGGTATGTTTGGCATTGATATAATTCGCTGCAAGCGCTAACGAATCTACAGAGCAAACACAAGTTCTTCTCCAGACGCCTACGCTCCTCAACGCGATGCTCAACATTTCCATGGCGCGGAATTGGCTGCTTCCTACGCTTGCCGCTATGCGTCTTCATGCATTTATCGCACAAGCCATCCCTCCAGGTCAGGCAGACCTCAAAGCCGCTCAGCTTCCTGGCATTGCGCCATCAGACGCCTCTTCCCTGCCCAAGTCCGAGTCCACCGACTTCTCCGATGCGATTGCCTCTCTCTCCAAGATCGACCCCGCTGCACTGCCCGACGCGCAGAAGGCGCTCGAGCGCCTCGGTCATGCCGAAATCGTTGATGCGTCGTTCAAAGTGATTGGCGAGCGCTACGTAACCCCGAGTTCATTTGTCCACCTCGTTGTCAAGGCTCGCCTGGCGCCTCTCGCGAAGGATGGCAGTGCGGTACCCCTGCCTAAGCCCGAGACGAACGACAAGCGCGACCACGAGTTCCTGCTGAGTAAGAAGGATATCGAGGACCTTCCCCAAGGCGAATACACGAACGGATACGCGCACACTCCCTACTGGCCTGCCGTGAGTATACCTATGATTTCTCATCCACTACTGAGCTTATGAGACCGCACAGAACCGCAAGCCGTCATGGTGGGTTGTGCTCGCGGACGTCAAGTCGAACAAGGTCGTCGTCCCGCCATTTAAGATCGCAGACATCCCCGTCGCAGATCCCGCACGAGGGCTCGACTACCGGTCATACAAGCTCCAGTTCCAGGCACCGCAGACGGTCGGGCTCTTCACGTGGAAGGTGTTCGTCGTAAGCGACACGTTCGTGGGCGAGGAGGCGGCACGGGACGTCGTGCTGAAGATCGACGACCCGAGCGTGCTCGCGTCAGAGGAGCCCGCGGACGACGACATCTCGGACCCGGAGGAGGACTCTCTCGCGGGCCAGATGGCGCTGATGCGCGGGGGCAGCGTGAAGAAGCTCGCGGATGGCGAGGGCGAGAGCGACGACGAGAGCGACACGGACGGCGAGGAGGAGCAGGGCGGGAAGGATGACGATAGCAGTAGCGACAGCGATTGAGTAATCGAGCGTGCCTTTTTTTGTGGGTCTGGTAATTTATCGCGTGCGTTCGGCTTGAGATTCTTGATTGTCCCATGCTTGCGGCATGTGAGTATGTGGGCTTGTGCGTCTCGATCGAGGAAGTAATGAACGTTGCAGTGCCGGTACTCCGATGAAACGAGGATATTGACGTCGATATTGCTGAGAGCCGTCGGTGCTCAAGAGTTGGAGACTTTATTAGCTGAGCAGAGGCTCCCACAAAACTGACCGGTGCTTCAAAAGAGGTGTCAAAGCATAGTGTATGCGATTTGCGCGTAGATCTGAGAAGCACAGCCACTTCAAGCTGGTACGAAGCATCGTCAGAAACTCCCAGTCCACCTTCGTAGAGCATTATCGAGGACCCCAATAATTTCTAAGACCCGTGATAGTGGCTAGAGTCATCATTGCTATGAATCTGAGTGACAGAGGCAGTGAGGCACTTTAAACCTTTTGCGTAAATCCCTTTGTCCTCAGTGTGACAGTCTGTCACACGCGCTCTTCTGTTCCGGAGTTCGTGACTGGGCGTCTACTACTCTTCAACTTGAACTTCATCTTAGCCACCACCGTTCGACTTACGCTCACCATTGTCCTACCCCCCGCCACACAGAGAAAACGTGGAAACAATAGCGCGTGCTTAAGCCAGGTCCTCGACCTATAAAACATCACCGACTCGTCTCTGGTGCGTATCCTCTCTCTTACCCCACCACCCACCCCCACCGCTCACAATGGCTGCTCCCCAACCCGCCCCTGCCTCTCCTAACAGAGCCAGCCGCCTTTGCAATACGTTCGCCACTGGTCTAGTCGCCCTGACAGATAAACGAAACGAACTGCGTTTCAGCATGCATCGCAAGATTAACGTCGTCGACTATGAGAAGTTCATGGGCGACTTCATGCCCAACGCGACGCTACCGGCCCCGCCCTCATTACTGTCGTCTTTGGTTTCGTCGTTGCCATGGCCGCTACGCGCCTCCTCAGGGTCTACGCGCACGACAAGAGCGTCCACGGAAGCGACGAGGCAATCATTCGTCAATCCTTTCAAGGGCGTTTGGGGAGCCGCGGGAAGCGAACAGGATATGTACACCATAATTGTGCGTTCCTTTTCGCTAAGCTTATGCCCGCTGTTGATGCTCATATATGCTCCTTAGACATCGGCTCTGAACAAGTCGAAGATCTGCAAAGGGTACACGGTAGTAGCGACCCCACACAAAGCCGACAAGACAGACGACAGTAGGCAAGCAGTCGACTGTGGCTTGTACCCCAACGATGCACTCGACAGGGTTGAGGTCACGACGGAGACCCCGTCCAAGCTCGGCCGGACAGACTGGTCGTCAATCGAGATCGCTATCGAGTGCAAGATGGACGCCACCGCCGGCGATCCGTTCGACGAGACTGACGACTTTAACGAGCCTGAGGCCGACACCCGGCGCAAGGTGCTCGGACAGGTCCTGAACTATGCCGAAAAGGTATTCGACCGCCAGCATCGGACCGCCCAGTACATGCTCCTCTTCCTCGGCAACTTCGCTCGCATCGTTCGTGTCGATCGCGCCGGGATCTACGCGACGTCCAAGTTCAACTACTGGACAGACGGCACGAAGCTTGCAGCGTTCCTTCACCACTACGTCAATCTCGCGGCTGCTGAGCGCGGCCACGACACCACCGCTGTGCGCGTCCTTCCCGAGTCGAAGGAGGGCCAGCGGATGTTGGATCGAGTGAAGAATATCGACCCGGAAGACTACGTGGCGAAGAGATTCGAAAAACTGCTTGACCAGGAATGGCCCTGGTGGATGTTGGAAGTCACCGATGAACTCGACAAGAAGAAGAAGCGACGTTTCCTAGTGGGCAAGCCACACTTCCAGGCTCCCGGCGTCGCCGGACGCGCCACTCGCGGCTACATCGCCCTCGACGCGGACTCGGACTCTGACGACTTCGTTTATGTGAAGGATGCGTGGCGGGTCGTCAGCAAACACATCGAGAAGGAGGGCGCCATCCTCGAGGCACTGAGGGCGCATCGCGTTCAGTACGTGCCCACGCTCGTCTGCCATGGCGACATACCCGGACAGAAGACAGAGAGTCAGGCGGTGTGGAAGAAACACCACCCCAAGGAGAAGTGCCACATGAAGCACCACCAACATTATCGACTCGTGACCAAGGAAGTCGGCAAACCGTTGGAGGAAGTCTCCAGTGGCAACGAGCTCATGAAAGTGATGTACTGCGCAGTACTAGGTGAGCGGGCTCAACTCTGAGACTCCACAGGCCCTCCTTTGCTGATCGGTCACTCGTTATCCTAGCCCACTCGCAGGCGTACAAGAATGATATCATCCACCGCGACATCAGCGCTGGGAACATCCTGATATACAAGAAGGAGGACGGACTATGGTATGGACTCCTCAACGATTGGGAGCTGTCGAAGAAAATGTCGCAACAGTTGAAAGAGGGGCGTCAGCCTGACCGAACGGTTCGTTATCACGTCTCGCTAGCGACCTGCGTCGTTGACACTAATGCACTTCCTTCTTTCAGGGAACTTGGCAGTTCATGTCCGCAAAGGCGCTGGACAACTATACAAGAATGATCGTCATCCAGGACGAGCTGGAAGCATTCTTCCATGTCATGCTTTACATCGCGCTCCGCGTCCTTCCCCACAACTGCCCAGTCAACGCGGTGCCCCGCCTTCTCCGCGACTACTTTGACGACTACGCCTTCCATGAGGACGGAAATCTTTGCGGGGCGGCCAAGCGTCAAGCGATGCGCAACGGCTCCATAGACATCGCGGCATACAACCCGCAGAAGAAGGACGATCCGACGCCTCCTGCCACTACGCTGCATTTCGTATGGCCGGAAGAGCTTGACAGGGTCTACCCGTTGGACGAGGTCTTCACCACGTTCTTATCCTGGCTCAGTGCGTATTACGCTGTCACTCTTCCCTCCGAAACGAAGGCGACCAAGCCGGGGACCAATGCGGCGACCATCAACCCTTTCAATAGCGGCCTGCTGGGAGAATTGGCCCCGCCTGATGGGATGGACCAAGTATTTCCGCGTGCGAATGCGTCCACGTCGCAAAATCCTCTCACGACGATCGTCGAGAATGTGCCGTCTGGACCGTCTCGGGAGTCTCTCAAAGAGCTTGCCAAGAACCTTGAGGACCATCAGCCCTTGCTGCAAATGCTATGGCTATCCCTCGCCAAGGATTGGCCTGCTAAGAACTCGGACCGTTGCACGGACAAGAAGCCCGACAAGAACACGCCCCTTCAGACGGAGAGGACCAAGACGGGTTCGAAGCGCGGTTCCGAGACGTTGGAAAGCGCGACAAGCAGTGGCAAGCCTGCTAAACGCCCTAGGTCTTGAGGTCTCATCATATTCTTCCCCCAAATCATCTGGCTTTACGACGTTCGCGCTCTCTTCATGGTGGCTCATTCCTCCATCCCTACGCCATATCCTCGATCCCACTCATCGCCGGTTTCCTCTCAGTCTGGGTATGTGCCCCGGCGTTTTCCGCCAATCACCTAGCCACGTCGCAGGATCTCTGCGATTCGTCTTCGACGACAACTGCTCACCTCGCGGTGCCCCGGAAGGCCACCCACATCGCGCGACCTACCATTCTCGACCTTCCTACGCGCAACGAATGCTCGCCCGCCGCGGCTGCCTCCGGGCGACAATCCCGTCCGCCTACCCCACTATGCGACGTGCGCGTTGGTCTGTTCGTGTACTACGCGCTACCCCACGACATTCTCCTCCCATGCCCCGCTTCTCACTCCTCACCTGAGTGACGGTGGCGATCAATACGTCGGTCCGTGGCCGTCGAGGGATGCTGACTGCGCATACTTGTCCTCCCGCGATCGATTCCGTGTTCCAGTACCATCATCGTCCCGTGTTCTCACTCTGTATATCTCCTGTATATAACATATCTCTCTCTGTGTTTGACTCTTCGTACTTTCATATTCCGTTCTCACAGATACCCCGGACTACTACTTGTGTATATATCGTAGAATTGTGTCGTTTGTACATGATGTCATAACCTCGGAAACTATATCGTCCACTGCCGTCGAACCGGCCGACCGATCTTGCGTGCTTTGTACGTTGGTTCCCGCCCGAGCAAGTACTCTCGTCAACTTGATCGCAAGTATCTTGTATACGTGAAGCATACGCCGCAGACTCTGCTCGACGGTGTCAGACCGATGAGATCTACGCTACCTCACCGCGGGCCGCAACACGCACGCGCCGTGGGCGAACGTCGAGGTGCGCGAGGTCGCGTTCGCGACAGATGAGGAGGCGGGCGAGCACGCGTGGTTCATGCCCGTGAAGCAAGTCGCGAAGCAGGGCGAGGCGGAGCCGACATCTTCCGAGACCGCTGTCTAAGCCACAGAAGGAGGGCGGAAGAGCAGAAGGGAATAGAGCGAGAGCGAGAGCACTATGTCATATTAGACGAATGTAGCGTAGGCTAGACGGACGGCTGCGTGTGGGGACGTGCGGAGGGTATGTACAGAACGCGGACTACGGTCAACGGCGCAGCGGTAGTCACAAAGGTATACGCGCCAGTCCGGGCCTGGCAATAAGCTTAGCGGTTCTGGGACACGCGCGCCGCGGTGCTAGCAGCGCGCTGAGACGGAACGGAAACGATTAGAGAACGGAACAGGAAGCAAAAACAAACAAAAACCAGCGCGTATCCCCTCCATTCCCTTCCCCATCCGCACCTGGACGCGCTGAACGGAGCCTCAGCCGAGCTTGCCCTCCTGGATCGCCTTGCGTATCGGGTTGTTCTCCTTCGGGAGCGCGCCCGTCTTCTCCAGCCGGTCGAACAGCACGAACAGCTTCTCCGCCTCGCGCTCCTTCTCCTCGTCCGACATCTCGATAGGCGCCGCTGGCCGCTCCGCAATGCCCGTAATGGGGTTGATGGGCACGCCCGACGACATCGCGGCAGGGCCCGCCGCGCCGCTCGACCCGCGCGGCGGTGGCGGCGCGCTCATGATGCCCTTGTTGAACAGGAAGCCGGCAACGTTTCCGTACCCGACGTACGACGACAGCGTGCTCGCTGTGGCACCATTCATGTCAGCATTTCATAAGTCACCGAAGTACCGAGAGCGACGCACCGTCCGAATCGCACACGGCGAACAGCATCTCGCCGACGGCATTCTTGAGCTTCGCGTAGTGCACGGACGCGAGCAGCCGCAGCAGCCTGCCTAACAGGTCCGCGCGGCCCTCCAACGGACTTGTGCGGTCGAGGTCCTCGGGTAGTATCCACGCGCGCATGCGCATGCGCGAGCCCTCGTCCGCCTGGCACAGCTTTGTAATGAGTACCGCGAGCGGCGTCAGGACATCGTCGAGTGACTGGTCCGTCTCGCCCTTACACCGTTCCCGCACGCTCCCGTCATCGGGTTCGACCGTACCGGGCATGTAGTGGTTTAGCGAGACGTCCAACAAGTCATACGAGCGCAGCAGGACGTCGATGGGTGTTGTCATCGCATGTGGAGACGACGAGCGTGATAGCGACCGGCGGCCCGCAGCCAGGGCAGACCAGGCACGGTCGAACGCGCCGGGCTTCGGGTCCTTGGCCGGCCCTCCTGTTGGCGAGCCTGCTTGACTACTGCTGCTGCTGGACGTCCGCGAGGGCTTGCCTGATGTATCTGATGAGCTTGATGCTTTCGAGGGTGGCGGGATGGGGGAACCGCGACTGTTCGTCGTGCGGGGGAACCATACGGTGCGCAGAGATGGTGAGACCGGGATCGTGATTAGGGAGTGGATGACATGGGTCAGGGGGGCGGCGAGTGGAGCGGGGAATGAGGGCGGTAGCGTGCTGAACGTGCGCAAGAGATAGGGAAGGATACTGCGCGGGGTGATGTCAGTATATGCACCTCGGACGATGAGCGTTGCACACGCACCCGTCCAAACGATCACTCCAGCAGTCGCCCATTACTTTCGGTTCGTTCGTATTACTAGATTCATCGACAAGCTAGCGCAGACACTTTAGTCGATATTTAATAACGAGCAATAACGATCGGAACTCGCCTTAGGGTAGTGTAGCAACAGATTAAACGTAAACTTCAATAGGTCGGTCATGGCTTCGCGTGCAAATTTGGTGCCGGTGAGGATGCCCCGCGTCAGATGGTCGAGCTTAGTGCCGATGATCTCGATGACATTGCCCGGGTGGCCGGCCGGTTTTGACTCGACGAGCGATTTGATGAGTTCGCCGGCAGCAAAGATAGAGACCGTGGACAAGAACAGAAGGCGGGAAGCCAGGAATATGCGCTCGGGAATTCCAGATTTCTGCGGCCGTTGAGTGGGATGTGGCGAACATTGAGCGGGATGTGGCGAGCATTGATCGGGATGTATTGAACATTGAGCGAGATGTAACAAACATTGAGCGGGATGTGGCGAAAGCACGGTCGGGAAAAACGCACCTCCAGAAGGTCCATCGCAAAGTCGCCGCCTCCGACCTCTTTCTTGATAAACGTGGTACGCGCCTGGTCCACGAGGAGCATCGCGTTCGCCACACATCGAATAGCCTCGTTGGAGGCCTCGGGATCGTCCTTGAACGTCCGCGAGAAGGATAGCATGGCGGAGAGATTCGCAGGGGAGGCGATGACCTCGGACCCTGCGGGATTCTTGCCTAGATGTTTGACGGCTTGGAGAGCAGGTGCGGCATCTATAGCACGCGCGCGATCGCCCGGTTCATAATGCGGCGCGAGCGGGAGGGGAGGGGATAGGACGGACCTTTCGTTGTGAGCCTGCTCTTCTTGCCGCCGTTAGCATTAGATTTCGTCAGATCGTCGATAATGGTCTGTATGAGCTCTCCGCGTTTAGCATCGTCGATCTGCAGGGGGAGTGCTAGAGAATGGGCGAAGATGAGCGAGCCTGACCGCGCGACGGAACGGGAAGCGCCATGCCATTTGCGATAGTCTGGAGGACTTGCGCGACCTCAGAGCGGGAAGAGGTTGGGGAGAGGGCGGTGTAGGCGTTGAGGAATCTGGACATGAGGCGTCGTCGGACGCGTCGGGGACGCGAAAGTACTCGGAGAGCGGGGTGCAGACGGGATGAGGCAAAGAGTGGGCGCAAGGAGCGGCGAGTAGGTGGAGAGAGAAGCTCCGGAAATGGTGTGCGTGAGTTGTGCGCAGTCGTGGCTAAAGACGTCGGGCTCGTGAGGAAGGAAGCTGAAGAGTGAGTTCGTGGATGTGGGGGGAGAGAGCAAGCCGCAAACGGGGGCCGTATGAATGTTTCTGGTGATGGTAACCAGCTGGATGACATCCCCGACCTCCTCTCCTTGTCCTCTCCCCTCTCCTCTCGCTCGGCCCGAGGCTCTGTATGTACCCGCCGGGTTTTGTTATCGGAGTACTGCCACGCAAGCCGATCCGGTATAATTAACACTTGTTCTCGCCGAGCTTCATTCTACACGCGCGCTAGAACGATCTACAAAAACATATGGCCTGCACACAGCTGATCCTCGCCGAACCTTCCGCGAGTCCTCTCCCAGTCTATCTCCGTACGCCCAGAAGCACTCAGCCAGCGTGAGATGTCATCTGCCTTGGCCTTGGCCCCGCACTCCCTCCGTCCAGAGTCCAGTCGCTCGCCCTATCTTAGGACGCCGTGCGCGTGTCCCACCACGGCCAACCGCTCCCGCCCAGATGTGAATGAGGCCCGGTCGCAGTGCCGTACGGTGGTTGACGCCAAGTACGCGAGCAAGGCCGCCGCAGAGCGCGGCAAAGTGGTCTTTGGCAGCTGCGAACCGCTTGTCCGTTGCTACAGGAACGTGTCGTGTGTGTCGCCAGTGTTCCCTGGGAGAGCCGTTAGACGTGCGCGCGCCTTCCCGCCGTTGTGGGCTCACCTGCTAATCCGTCTATACACCATTGGACATGCCCGCGCCAGGGCCTGCGGCGTCCTCTTCCATCTTGATCGGCATCGTGAGATCCATGGACGAATCCATGAGATACTCCTCGAGCTCCGGGAAGTTCTGGATCAGCGCCTCGTCCAGATACTTCTTGTACGACTGTCCAACAAATGCCTCAGCACCGCTCCGTCCGCGCCCGATGCACTGAATAGAGAATACCCACGTCAATCGCGTGTATCTTCCCGTTCATGAACTGGTTCTCCGTCGCAGCCCGCTCCAGGCGTTCCTTCGTGAGCAGCATCGGGTTCCGCGACTGGTCGATGTCCACGAGAACTTGCATGGGAACCATCGTGTCGATGGTCTGCGCCATGTCGTCCAGCGTCGCCAGGTGGCTAATCACGTCGTTCCTGTGGACCGCGTCAGCAATAGGCAGCGGTCATCTCGGCGCGCTAGTACTGGGAACAGGTCGCGGCAAACGTCCTGCGGGGCTGCGGGATGTGTTCCGCAGAACGTGTTCCGCATTCCAGGTGACCGAGTTTGACAAAGATGGACACGGTGGCAGTGACCACATACTGCGGCGAGCGTACAAGGTCAATGCGCGAGGCACGAGCTCGCCACTCCAGTACGCACGATGGAGCGGGCAACATGCCACACACCGCACGATGTTCATACAGTTGGTAAAGAATCGATGGGCCGTGGTTCTGATCGCTCGCCTTTTAGCTTTTGTTAACCGGTGAGGCCGTACAAACATGCGGGATATATTGGCACCCCAGGACCAGGTAGGCTTACAGTGCTGGGCTCTCACAATGCTGGTGAGAGCCACAGCGACCGCCTGACGGCCCCAAGGGTGAACGGCCGAAAAAACGGCCTACCGTTCCTCCACAAGCTGTACACCGCTGGTCACCTCGGGCACTCGACCAAGCCACCAGAACGCGGAACATGAGCCGGAACGTGTTCTGTGGTACAGATCTCTCCGTCGCCGGGACCTTTTGAGGTCGCGGGCTCAGCGGAGTCTCTGTTAACGTGCGCAGCATACAACCCCGCATATTCAGAGACACTCGGCCCTCGCCCGACTGGTGGTGTAACCACCGTAACCACCGCAAGCGCGACCGCTCCATCCAGATAGCAGACCACTCACACTCTCGCCCCGACCTGCTTCCCCGCGCCTCCCGGCTTATCCTTCTCCTTCGTCAGATCGCCCACAACGGTCGTCCCGAGGTGATACAGCGCGTTCGCGAGCCCCATCAGCTCCAGCTCGAGGTCGCCCTGCACGCCCTGCGGCGGCGGCGACTCGGACTCGCGCGGGCTGTCCGGGGCGGGCGCGGGTGCGGGCGACGACATGGTGTTCACGCTCAAGCTCAGGTTGCGCGCCATCGCTGCTGCCTTAGTCTAAGTCTAGGCGGTGGGGCGCGTGGGTGATCACGGTGGCGTGCCTGAGAGTGAGATCTGAGTCCGAGCGAGTCCGAGTCTCCGAAACAACAGCGGAACAAGACAACAGTAATTGCTTAAGCGCCCGGCTTGTACTCACTTCCACGTGGCGCAGATCTCATCGGCTCGACACCGTCTAGCAGAGCCTGCGCCTTTTACTTTACAAGATACTTACTTGCGAGCAAGTTGACAAGAGTACTTGCTCGGGCGGGAACCATAGTACGAAGCACGCAAGATCGGTCGGACGGTTCGACGGCAGTGGGCGGTGCGGTTTCCGAACTCGCTACATTCGTCTAATACTTATGACAGTGCTCTTGCTCTCACTGTGACTCTACTTCCTTGTGCTCTTATGCTCTTCCGCCGTCCCTCCTGCGCTCAGGCAGCAGTCTCGGACGACGTCGGCTCCGCCTCGCCCTCCTTCGCGACCTGCTTCACCGGCACGAACCACGCGTCCTCGTCCTCCTCATCCGTCGCGAACGACACCTCGCGCACCTCGACGTTCGCCCACGGCGCGTGCGTGTTGCGGCCCGCGGTGAGGTAGCGCAGGAAGTCCCCATGCGAGACGACGGCGATGCGCGCCTCGGGGCGCGCGCGCAGCCACCGGCGCACCCAGCGCGCGCGCGCGCGGATCGCGTCCTCGGAGGCGGCGTAGAAGCCCTGCTTGGAGTTCCAGTCGGGCGTGAGCGCGGAGAGGTCGAGGGGGGCGTATTCGGGGTCGGCTTCGAGGGTTGCGCGGTCCTGCGAGGGCCGTGGTCAGTGCGGGGGTGGTAAGTGGGATTGGGAGGGAAGGGACGCACGGAGCCGGTGTCGCACGGGAGCGCGTTGACCTCCTGCAGCTGAGGGAGGACGACGAGGGGCTTTCCGGCGGCGTCCAGACGGGCGCGGAGCGCGGGGTAGCCGTCGAGCGCGGTGGACATCGTGCGGCGGAGGCCGCTCGCGACGAGCAGCTCTGCGGTGGCCTGCACTGTGTCTTTCGTCGCCTCGTTCAGCGCGGCGGCTTGCGAGCGGCCGCGCGGGGTGAGTTTGGCGTCGGGGACTGTGGGTGGGTGTATGCGTTAGCTGGAGTGCCGGGTGGAGAACAGGGATACTGCGTACTACTGTAGTCTTCCGCGACACTAGAAAAGAATGGGAATGGTCAGTGTGGTCGCATGTTTGAGATGAGAATCGAAGTGCTCACTTATGTTCGGCCTCGGCGTGTCTAGTGAGGTAGATCCGCTTCTCGGTGGGTTTCGTCATCTCTACTGGAGCTTCTAGTGGTATCGAGCTGCTGGAAGGTATGCGGTATGGGTGGTGGTGGTTGAAAGAGACGTCTACAAGGACCCGAAATCGATGCGAGACGACGGTAAGAGTCAGTGTGCGGTCCGATCATGTATCTCGATGACGTCATTAATTTGGGGAGGCGGTCTGTTCAGCGCCGTGGTATGTGTAACGCGCGCGATTTGTTTCGACAAGAATGATGAAGTCAAGTGCTCTACGAAGTACAACGAAGGTCCGATATTTCCATCCATGCACGCGTCTATATGCGCCGCGGTAATGCGGATATACTACAAAGTTTCTACAGCATCAACCCGCCCACCAGCACCTACGCCCAAATGCCCGAGTTCAACCTCGGCCCCCACCGGCGCACAAAATACCCCAGCGCAACCGGGCCCACAAGCGTGCACAGCAGTATCGCCCAGATACACAGCAGAAACGGCTCCTCGCTCAGCACCCCGGGGACGCCGCCCCCCGGCGCGTGCTCGGAGCCCCCACGCGCGAGCTGCGCGATGAGCAGCCCGATCTCCCCCCGTGCGACCATGGCGGCGCCCATGAAGGCGGCGGCGGGCACGGAGGTCGAGGCGCGGTACTCAGAGGGGATGTGGGTCTTCTCCGCGACGTCTTGGGGGTTGGCGGGAAGGTTTGGGGCGGTGCGGATGTCGGCTTGTGCCTCGGTCTTCTCGTGGAGAGCCGGGTGGCGGGAGGTGAGCGTGGACGAGCGCGGAAGGCCCTCCTCATCGTGCGGCGACGTCTGCTCTGCGCGACGTCCCTGCCTGTATGGGGAGAGCAACGAGGCGCCACGCCGCCTGACGGAGGCATATACCGCTGGGGAATAGTGCAGGTATGGCCCGTAAAGAAGGATGGGCACCCCGACGGCGAGCTTCGCGACGCACATCAGCACGGAGTACACGATCCCGCGCCAGATCATCGCCGGGCGCCAGAGGTCGAGGAACGGCTTCGGGGGCGCATCAGCATCCTATCTGTAACGCTGTAACGTAAGGGGATTTGGGGGGACTCACGATGGCGAAGCCGATGCTCGCGAAGAAAAGCGGGAGAAGCACGTATTCCTGAACGGGCCCGAGGAGGCGTGTGAAGGTCTCCTCGAAGGAGAGGGAGTTCGCGCGGTGCTCGGAGCCGAGGGTAGTGTCCGGGGCGGGGGTGGGGTAGGGTTCGTCGGCGTCTGGCGACCCTGCAGGGGCAGGGGGTTGCGAGATGTAGGTGAGCATGAGTCCGCTGAGGTAGGAGCCGAACAGCACGCTCGTTCCAGTATCTAAATGCCTATGAGTACGACGCCGACACGGTAGTGTGTGGGGCTTACAATGTGAGATGGTAGCCATAACGCTGAGCATGGCCACCATGAGGAACAACTTCGCAGCGTCCGCATGCATCTCCGTCCCCCACCCGCTCTCCGTGAGCCTCTCAAAGCCCCACGGCTTCCCCGGCCTCGCGGGCGCACACCAGCGTTCCCCACACCCACTCCACCAGAACACCGGCCGCAGAACGAAACGGGACACAACGGGCGCGATGAACGCCATGAGCACCGACGCGAGCAGCGGGCGCACGACCGGCCACGCGATGCTGCTCCCGCCGACCGCGGAGGTGTCGTGCTGCACGAGCGCGAGCGCGGGCATGACGGCGGCGACGACGAGCCCGATCACGTCGTCGATGATCGCGGCGCTGATGAGCACTGTCCCGATGCGCGACTGTTTCAGCGAGTTTGGCGGCGTCCCGGCGGACAGTGTGGCGGAGGTGTCGGCGCGGCGTGCGGGGGAGAGCGTGCGCGTGAGGGGGAGGGCGCAGGTAGTGCGCTCCGAGTCGACGGTGAGTGTGCGGCCTTTGGTGAGGGAGGCGGAGGAGGATTTGGCGGCGCTGTTGAGCGCGGCGAGTGTTGTGCCGAGGCTGTCGGAGGAGAGCGCGGCGCCGGCGGCGAATGCCTCGAGGGGGCGGTAGCCGAACCCCGCGTAGAGTGAGGCGAAGGAGAGGGCGATGGGAAAGATGATGCCCGTGGCGGCGCAGACGAGGGAGAGCGGGAGGTTGGAGAGCAGCATGCGGAGGTTTGAGGATAGGCCGCCTGTGAGCTGTGATGAGCCATTGGTATGAACAGTAATGATGAGATAATGTACCTTCAAAGACGACAAGGACGAGACCTATATAGCCGAGCACGGTGAATGTCGCTTCCCAGTTCACATGCAGAAGGCCGGCGAGTGGGGAGCCAAATATGATGCCTAGCGTGATCTCGGCGACGATGCCGCCGTGGATGAGGAAGTCCGCGGCTACGCGGATGATGTTCAGAAGGTAGAGAAAGGAGGAGAATACCAGGAGATGTATGAGCGTCGGCTCGTGGTACGGCAGTACGGCGGGCATGATGTCGGCCGGGGGGTATCGGCGGGTAAGGCTGGGTTCCGCGGGGACAGCGGAGTGTAGGACACGCGTGCACAGCCGACATCGTTGGGTATATATGTCGGATACTGTGGAACATAGGAGATACCAAGGGATTAAGGATGGGGACAACTCTTGGCCACGTTCTAGATCCTTGGCCCGTCAGTGACAAGCAATACCAAACTTCTCGGCAAGCGACATACCGCTTTGGGGTTAGGGTTACATGGACCACGATATCCGGCAACAAATATCGCTCAACAACCCAACGTGCTTCCAAAACTGAGAGTAGTGGTTGGTTGCTTGTCTCACTTGTCGAGGAGGTTTATCATACCTTGGGTGATTCTAATTGACACAGCTGTGTTACCACAAGGGCAGCTTCCAGCATTCGAAGTCGGCACTCCAGCGCTGGCTCTTAACGCCCGCTTGGCAAACTTAACAAGGTTATGAAGTGGTGCATATAGCCCGGGATCTGTTCCTGCCGCAATGCATGAGTAAGCGGCCGCACAGATAAGGGCAGCACGCAAACTTACCGCCGCATACATCCGCGCAGTGCGAGTCCCCCATTCCGTGTGCCCAGCCCGTGTTCCTGGCCAGCGGCATCCCCCACCGGCGATCCGTTCGTCCTCTATCGGAAAGTGGTTCCTGGAGGGCCGAAGCAGCAGCCTACGCCCACACCCCAGCATTCACCCTTGCCCCCCACCGCCGCACAATGAGCCCAAGGCTGATCGGGCCCACGAGCGTGCACACCAGGATCGCCCATATACACAGCAGGAACGGCTCCTCGCCGAGCAATCCGGGGGAGCCGGAGGAGGGGGAGCTGCGGGCGAGCTGCGCGATGAGGAGGCCGATCTCGCCGCGCGCGACCATGGCCACGCCCATGAAGACGGCGGCGGGCGTGGATGTGAGGATGCGTGGGGGTGTAGGCGGGGGTGGGGGAGAGGGAGAGGGAGAGACGCGTGGTTCGGGCTTCGAGTCGCCGATGGGAGGGGGCGGCTCGTGCAGTGGTTCTGAGCGAGAACTAGGGCGCTTGAGCTTCGCAGAAAGCTCAAATTTGGCCCGGACGAATAGGCCAGCGATAGTGCTCCTCGTCCGCCGACCGAGCAAGGGCGCGTGGTGGGTGAGCGGTCCGTGCAACAGGATCGGAAGCCCGACCGCAAGTTTCGCAAGGCACATGAGGATCGAGTACACGATCCCGCGCCAGATGATCTTGGGCTTCCAGAGGTCGAGGAATGGCTGGAGGATTTATCAGCATGTATGCGCATGTGGCGAGGGGGAGAAACTGGTTGGCTCACGATGGCGAAACCGATGCTTGCGAAGAAGAGCGGGAGTAGGACGTGTTCTTGCACTGGGCTGACTAGACGGGAAGATGCGGCCTCGAAGGAGAGGTCTTCTGTGCGCTGTTTGTGGCGGCGTTCGCGGTCTGTGCGTTCAGCATCGTCCGTGGAGCGAGACGGTGTGGAGGGAGGTTGCGATATATACGTGAGTATAAGACCTGCTATGTATGCACCGTACAGGATGCTCGTGCTGGTATCTAGACGAAATGAGACATATCAGATCGCATTTCTTGCATGTAGATATATGCGCCCTACAGTACGAGATCGCAGCCATAGCACTAACGGTCACAACCATGAGAAATAGTTTGACGGCATCCGCATGCTTCTCCGATCCCCAACCGCTGCCTATATTCGCGAAGGGCCGCGTACCCCACGGTTTCTCCATGCGCGCTGGCGCGCACCACAGTTCGCCGACACCGTGGTACCAGAAGAGCGGTCTCAGGATAAAGCGGGCCACGAGAGGGGCAATGGCGGCGATCAGCACGGAGGACAGGAGCGGCCGTATGATCGTCCACGCGAGGCCGCTGTTGCCGGACTGAGAGGTGGGGAACTGGACGAGGGCTAGCGCGGGGATTACGGCTGCGATGACTAGGCCGACGACGTCGTCGATGATCGCGGCACTTATCAGCACGGTGCCTATGCGAGATTGCTGGAAGGAGGAGGCGGCGGGTTCGGTTACGAGCGAAGGAGATGTGGTCGCACGTTGGACAGGGGATGGCGAGCGGGTGGTAGGTAGAGAGCAGTCGATAGCGTTCTTGGTCGTGGTGGTAGGACTATGAGAGCCATTATTGGAAACTGAGTTGGAGTCTTTGGTGACGCTATTCAACGCGGCCAAGGTTGTCCCGAGACTGGTAGAGGAGAGCGCGGCGCCGGCGGCGAACGCTTCAAGCGGCTTGTAACCAAAGGCCGCGTTCAAGAGCGCGAAGGAGAACGCGATTGGGACGCCGACGCCGACAAGGGCACATACGGTAGACAGGGGGAGGTTCGAGAGCAGCATGGGGAGGTTTGAGGAGAGTCCACCTACGAAAGAGAACGCCGTCCGGTCCGTGAATGATGATCAGAGGATTCGGACCGACCTTGAAATACGACAAGGATGAGGCCAAGATAGCCTAAGACGGTGAATGTTTCCTCCCATTCTATCGGGAGCAGAGCAGCGAGAGGTGAGCCATATATGATGCCGAGTGCAATTTCGGCGACAATCCCGCCATGGAGCAGAAAGTCAGCGGCGATTCTGGCGAGGTTGAGGAGGTAGAGGAATGAGGAGAAGACGAGAAGGCGGATGAGCGAGGGCTCCTCGTACGGGAGAGAAGTAGGCATTATGTAGCTCGAGAGACGTGTGAGAGACCGCAGAGCAAGACATGGGACGGCGAGCGCAGACGATTGAACAACTTGGAGTATGCGAACAAGTCAGAGCAGCTCAGAGAGACAGTCCGGCATGTTCGGACAAATTCAGCGGGCGCCACCGTCGCGGAGTTCGCTCTGGCGAGCGTTCCTGTTCGGGTTAGGGTTATGGCTCATTTCAGCCACTCATCGCAGTCATCGCATCTTGCACTCGAGCGTCCATGTCCTCGACAGCCACCACTCGCTAAATCTATTTTATCTCTGTTAGGGCTCTTACACACGATGCGACGAACATAAATCCTCTTCTCGCACTGTGCTAGCATGCCTCTGCTCGAAAGTTAACGCGAAGACCAATCCACACTGTGGTCAGCCTCCCGGCCAGGCTCGATCGCAACTTCCAACCATATATCTTCCTGGCGTCGCACGAAGAAATCCCCCCACTTGCCTTCCTCCGCACCACCACCAACCCGGACAGGCCCCCTCGACATGGCTCCCTCGACTGACACACTCCCTTCTCTACTCGGCTAAAATGGGCGGTCACCTGCGGCGCGCTGCGCTGTGGGGACCTTCGAGGACGGACCGTAGACGCCAGTCGCTGTGATGTCGTGAAGCCAGACGCGGGGAGTGCTAGCCCCTTGCCGACGGTGGACCGGCCACTCACCAGGGTAGGGTTGCCCGGGACGCGGAGTGCTAGCCTGCTCGCCCGCGGTCGCCCGATGATCTCTGTATACAGCATCAATCTGGCCGAGGTCTGGGGGCGCTGCGTGCAATCTGCTCCGGCGGCAGCGGCGTCCTGTCATGGGCACGACTCCTCATCCTCCTTTCCTCGACTCTCCTCGACCTCGACACGACTCGGCAAAAAGGGGGCTTCGGTCCTCGCAAAAGGCGGCTTCGGCTCCACCCCTTCTCGGCGGCTTCGTTCTCGTTCTCGGACTTGTTCTCGGACTTTTCGTTTCGTTCCGTTCCCGTTCTCGTCTCAGAAAACCCCAGAAAACCCCGAAAAAAGTCCAAAATTCAGTAAAACGAAAAAAGATACGGCGGCTACGGTCTTGTTCTCGGACTTCCCGGACTCGTTTCGTTCTCTCTCGCGTCTCCAGAAAACCCCATAAAATCCCGAAAAAAAGTCCAAAATAGTAACACGAAAAAACATACGCATAACATAGAATACTCCATACATCGTCTCGTCCTAGATTCCGCTCCCCTCCGTTGTACTCCTGACTTCTCTAGGCTCGGCACCTCGACCCCGCCTTGGACCTCAACACGGACGACCCCTCAAGCCCAGGACCAAGACCCGCGACCCGACTGGCAAGACCCGGACCCGAGGACGATACCGCGGCGGCGCCTGGCCAGGACCTCATCCACCCTGCGACCTGTGCTCCGTCGCAAGCCCTGCCGCTTGCATCGTGCGAGTCGGTCAGGCCTGCACGCGCACCCTCGTGGTCGCTGCAGCCATTATTTTTTCCACATCGTCCCTTCGGGGGCTGGTTTCGTTGGTTCGAGGCTTGGGGGAGAGGGCGCGGACTCGTCTGCCGAGGGTGCGTCTGCCTCCTTGCTCTACTCAATCCTATTCGTTGACTCGTGCTTCGTTGCAGACTTCAACACCGCAAGCCGACTCGAATACAAGACCTGGACGATACGGCGGCGCGGCTAGGCCAGGACCTCATCCACCCTGCGACCTGGGCTGCGTCGCAAGTCCTGCCGCTTGCGTCGTGCGAGTCGGTCAGGCCTGCATGCGTGTCTTCGTGATCGCTGCAGCACAATTTTTTCCACACCCTCTTCGTGAGGCGTCCCTTCGGGGGCTGGATCCGGTTTCTCGCTTCGTTGCCGTTCGCTTGGAAACCGCGCCGTCGAGGCACTTCGGGTATGTGGTGTGTACGTTGTTTTGGGCCGAGTGTTGACTATGCCTACAGGAGTCGCGCGCAAGACGCGATGGTACGGAGGCTTCTCTTTCTCTCGTTTGTCATAACGTTATTCCAAATCTACTGTGCACTATTCTCTACCACGACCCCGTTACAGGTGCGATATATCCCCGTAGCCCCAGGTCGGCCCGTAGTCCACGGTCTCAACGACACAATCTCTATGACATCGTCTGTGCGCTCGACTCGGATGTCGGCGGTCCCGCGCTAACCAACCTCGATCCCTCATGGATATCCTGGATGGCGGTCTTCTTCTCAGTGCATCTGTGACCGAGCAACTGATCGGTGCATATCGCTTCCTGCCTCAACGTCCTCTTCAAACAAGATAAGCACGTCTTGCCTCATGCCGAGTCCCGAACGCTTACGAACCACAATGAGGCTTGTTTATGTACTTCGAGAAGTGATATGCATAGCTTCTGCCAGAAATCCACAGCCATACGCTGCGGCCGCTGTCGTCTGTGTGGCCACAGAAGCTTCTTAATCTGCGCTAGGCTGTGTCCGAGACCACCCCAAATGAAATGAGGAAACGCTGGCGCGACGCGCACTAGAAAATCACGAGGAGCGCTTAGCGCTTCTCATCGCTACCTACACCCCACCGGGCGGGTTCCGACCTATACACCGATTGTGGTGTATCAAAGTCGTGTAGGTATGTGAATAGTGCGTTTGCCCACACAACTGACAGTTTAGCCAAATATTTTGAATAGAAGTCGGCGACTACCGACTGGCTTTTGGTTCCACGCCATCTCTTGCGGGCTGTGCTTGCTGCTCGAGTGCTTCATCCTAGGACCTGTGGACGGCCATCGCACTGTCATCGTCCTCTGTGTAAAATCTTATATGCTACCATGCATGTTTCTTTGCCCTCCCTGCCGTACACCCGCTGTGCTACTGCGAAGCTGCCCATTGCAAAGGCCAAATGCAGCTGCATTATCCACGCGCTTGATCAATCTCCGCCACGTTTTCTTCTGCACACGGAATTGCACGATCGATTCGGAGCATCGCGCGTGCAATTCCCAACTATGGCAGGTCTTCCCGCAAACACTGTACCTCACACCGCCCTCAATTCATCGGGCTGTACGGCTGTGTCAAACCGCACGGCATGCGCAGAACGCCGCGGTTTTCATGGAGGCTGTTAAGATAGTACCAGGCCGGCCCCGCGTCCTTCGTCTTCCAAGTCGCAGACACCCATCCCAACGCATCCCCTAGACCCTCCCCTCTTCGATCTCCATGGACGCCGCCCTTTCAGAATTGCCATTCTTCCCCTTGCTTTACTATCCCGAGGAACCCACCATCACTCAACTACCCTTCGCCTCTGCGGACTTTGTGGAGAATAACTTTCTGCCGCCTCGGCCTTCGTCTGTCTGCGACGCATGCTGGGAGGGTCCCTTTGCCATGCGCTTCGGGCTCCCCTTGATGTCACCGCGGAGCGGACAGTGGTACCGGCGGGGCTGGCCTGACACGATCTCGTACTGGATCTCATCCGCAGAATTAGAAGCTCGTTCCGATGCCGGCTGCGTCTGGTGTCGGTTCGTCCTCGACTCGATCCTTGACAGACACAATTACACCTCATACATTGCCGGGAAAATTGGACCGATCAGAGTCAAAATCAAGGCAACTACAGCTACATGGGACATGTTCGACATGCCACACAACCTGGTATTCCCTTATCAAAAACTACATATATACATCGACGATGATCACTTTAAAGAGGCATTTGTACACACGGATTCAGGTGGGTAGGGGGATCAGCATGTACTCTCGAGCTCAGCGTTAGGATAGAGCTGACAGATAGGATCTTCAGATGACTCAGCAGCACCCTATATTGTAAATCGAAGCCCTATCCCGGACGTAGGATCTTCCCGTGCCCTGGCTCTCGCAAAACAGCACATCGACGAGTGCATCCACCGACACCAGTGTTGCACAAGTTCGACGTCTCCTAGTAGCCCTCGCCTCCCTACGCGCCTCGTGGATTGCACAGACCTTGCTCGACCACGGCTGGTTTCCACACTGGCCGGAGAACACGGTGAATATCTTGCACTGAGCTATGTGTGGGGCAAGGACCAAGTTCACAAGACCACGAAATCGAACATATCCCTATACGAAGAAGGAATCACCCTCTCCCGTCTCCCCCAGACCATCCACGATGCAATCTACGTCACGAACAAGCTGGGCTTCCGGTGGCTCTGGATCGACAGCCTGTGCATTATACAAGACTCGGACGAAGACAAGCTGCACGAAATTAGTCGCATGCATCACGTCTACCTCTATGCGCACCTGACGATAATGGCCGGCAGCGCAAAGGACGTCAGCGAGGGCTTCCTCTGGCAGGACCGCCGATCTCCCCCGGATCTTTATCCTGACGGAGTTGGTTCTGTGAAGCTCCCCTTTATCTGCCCTTCACAACCTACGACCCTCGCCGAGCACCGGCCCGGGGAACACTGTTCCGACTCTGCGGCATGGTGCCGGGTCGGTACTGTGACCATTACTTCGGAGCACAAGCTTTTCCGTAGCTGGTCGCATAGCGAGGTGCTGGGGTGCATGGCAACACGCGCCTGGTGCATGCAAGAGTACCTGTTGTCCCCACGCTCCCTCATCTTCGCCCCCGGTGGACTACTCCTGTTCAGGTGCCGTACGATGATGGAAAATGTCTGCAGGGCACCACATCGCCAACGCTTCGGGAGTCCCCAGCTACCCCAGTCTCTCTTCCTCCCCATCCCGCCTGCAGCAGAGCCTGGTTCCACACAGTGGGGAGACATGCACGACAATTGGAGAGATGTTGTCGAGGACTACACCCGCCGCGCAGCTAGCGTCGAGTCTGACAAGCTGGTCGCGTGCGCTGCGGTTGCGGAGCAGTTCCATCGTGCCCTGGGCTCTGACGCCTACCTTGCTGGGCTGTGGCGCTCAGACTTGCTCAGACACCTGCTATGGTCATCCGACTATTATCCGGATACAGCGGATCTTTCGACACACTCCCCACATACTCGCCCAGCAGCCTACCGTGCACCCTCCTGGTCATGGGCGGCGATCGATGGAGTAGTCGAATATGACGAGGATGATCTCGTATCCTACTGCACAGCGGCGGGCCAGCGGATGAAACCCCTAGCTTTCGTGTTCGTGGAGGTCGTTGACTGCTGGGTTACACTCAAAGACCCAGCGCTACCCTTCGGTGAAGTGACGGACGGGGCCCTCGTCCTGCGTGGAACGTTGATACTCTGCCCTGGCAGTGGTAGACTGGCTACAAATTTCCATAATTTTTGGGAGGTCCCCGTACCGGCGTCTTTCGAGCAGGCACGCCGCCACCACCAGAGGCTTGGTGACTTGAACTTGGATGAAGAAGACGAAGTCTACTTGACGAAACGAAGCCACTGTGTAACTGTCGTTCTCGACAACGAAGTCACGGATGAACTGCCAGAGGACTTGTGGCTTCTCCCGTTCGGGTACTCCGGAGTCAGAGGCGGCGGTGACTCTCCTCGGGTGCATGGGATCGTCCTCGAGCTCGTTCCACCATCGGCGATCGATTCAGGATCTGAACACCCGGAGAAGAGTCTCTTTCGAAGGATTGGGTACTTTCCGGCTCCAGGGTACGCGTTGCCAGAGTGGGACCCGTTAGTTTGGGCTGCGATAGACGGAGAACTCCCTCGAATGGACATTGAGATCGTATGAGTCAACGAGAATTTGATACATGTAATCCGTTGTTGATTTGCACTCGGGAAAGCATGGACTGGGTTTTGATCATGTAGGAACACGTATTTCCTTGTGTAACTGTTCCACGATACTCTTATTATACCTGTTAATCTTCGTAGGCCAACGACACGATCGTCTTCTTAACTCGATTCTATCCAAACACGACCCGCGGCGAGAACCGGCCCCTTCGTCTCCAGCCACCTTTTCAACATTGTTGCATAACGTGGCGTCCACCGGAATCGAGGGCGCGGACTCGTCTGCCAAGGGGGCGTCTGTCACCTTACTTGATTCGATATAAGTGGCGTGATGATAGGGCAGACTTTCGGTGAAGCTGGAGTGGAGATCGAGACGCGCCACTACCAGCTATCCCAGAAGAAGAAGAAACCAAACAAGATGGCTGGTTTTCGACGGCGGGCTCTGGACGAGTTAAGGCGAATTATGACAGGATGGTGAACGAGTATTGTAATATATGAATATATGTTACCCTCGAAATGAGGCACGTCCTCGCATTGAGTTCTATTGCGGCGAAGTATCCTGGTATTCTGACCATCTAGAAGGGATAGTGTCAGTTCTGCGAGTGCTGCACTGGTCACGGCGGTCGTCATACCCGAGAGAGGTCAGCAAATCTTGCAACGAGTTTTCGCCCTCCGCTGGGGCCATGGGCTCTGGCGGGAACGCGCCTGACGTTGAACTGAGGGATGGGGGGACATCAGCCGAAAAGTCGGTAGCGTGCGTCGAGGCACCGTCGCTCCGGAGGGCTGCGCTTGTGGACTGGGTATTCGGCTCTTGCTGCAGCAGCATCTGAAAGATGAAGGGCATGTTGGGTGCAGGACCCGTGGATGGCTGTTGTAGGAAGGAGCCGCTGTAATCGTGCCAGCCTGAGCTAGAAGAAGGGACCGCGTTAAACGAGCCGGCTGGGGTCTGGAGAAGGTCTTCGAGATGGAGGGGCAGGGGAAGGACGATATCCATGTTCATGCTACTCTCTGACGTTAATTGAGAGCTTCCCGGGATGCCGTGTGCTTGCTGGCCGAACGTGAACACGGACGGGCTGAACGATCGCTGCCCTCCGTGATTAGAGGCGGGGCGCGGGACGGTTGGACTAGCATTACTGCTTGATGCGTGGTGCTCGGTCGGCGGATCTGTGTTTCCCGTTGGGGGTGCGTGGGATTCATCTTCCAGCAGGCGGGATAGCATGATCCTAGGTCGCGAGCGTCAGCCAATAGGACTACCATCTTGTGGTGAGCTCCCTCGAATGGAACGTACCACAGGCCTCGAGCACCCGGGGTCCTGCGAAGCGATGTTAGCTTGAACAAGAGGCTGAAGTGCGAAGGCATTACAGACGTACTCGTCCTGTACTGCTTTGACCAGGCTCAGACACGTGCGCACGTATGCCAGGTCCTGGTCCACCGCGGGCGCATTCCCGGCCTGCCTATTCGCCCACCGCTTGTAGAACAGGACGAGGCCGCACATGTTCAGTATACCCTAGATCCCCGCACCCGCGTAAGTGCCACGGCTCTCGTGCGCATGGAGGGAGGGACAACGGTGCGCACCAGGTTCCGGTAGACGGGCGTCCCTATGCGCGCGCAGAGCTCGTCGAGGAGCCGGATGCACGCCCGCGCGGCGTTGGTGCAGATGATCAGCGACGGGAAGGAGAGCGGCGACTCGTGGTACGGGAGGATGAACGCGCGGTGCACGCACACCTGCACTTGGTAGAAGTACGCGTGGAGGTTCGCGGACTGGCGCAGGAACACCTCGTCTTCGCGGTGCGGGTCCCATTTGACTGTGTGGAGATGGGCGTGAGCTGCGTGCGCTGCGGCGGTGGGGGAGGGACGTACGGTGGGCGGGCACGGAGTCTGCCCACTGGTTTAGCGAGGAGTCTAGCTCGGCGACTATGCGTTGCTGCTGGTTGCCATCGTCCGCCAGGGTGAGCGATTTGCGGATGGCGTACTGTATGTAGATGCCGGCGAATATCGCTGTCAGTAACAGTAGTTACTTTAAAAGGTAACATCCTCACGATCGTACGTGTGGCGTAAGCTAGTATCCGCGCAAGACGGATAAAGCTGTTGTAGAACGAGAGCTTGGAGGGCTTCCCTAGAGGCTGCCGGGGTGCTGTTCCCGACTCGCCGTGTGTCCAATGCTCGTCGTCGCACTCCGTCAAAAGTGGCACATCGATGCTACCCAGTAAGCGAGGTCACTTAGCCCACAGCGATATAAAGCAAGTAAAAGGTGCGACGTACTCCTCTTCGAGTACCATGCATGGCCTGCCAAAGGCATGACTGATATCCCAATCCATCACGACAAGGACCCTGGAATGCCGTTTCCTCAGCACCGCGTAATGGGGGAAGCGGCGGATCTAGCAAAATTCCATACCAAAACGCTCGCCGCCATAGCTCATTCTCGATCGTGAGCGACGCGGCGCCCAAGTGTTTGCGGTGCGCGCCGACCTCCAAGGCTCGCCGGAGGCCAACGCCGGTGACTGTCCAGCTTTGGAGTATCCGTGTAGAATTGTGGAGAAACATAGTCATAAGCTGTATCAGGAACGCATGCGGCGGGAGTGCACTTTTTAGCAGAGCAGACGAGGGAGGAACGTTTTGGTGGTGCACGTACCGCACAGACCTGAAGGTCATACAGTCTCGACGGTGCTCGGTAAGACTTGCGAGCGCGCTCGACTTGAGCGAACCATTTCCAGCCACGGGAAGCTGGCGAGTGGGTGCCGTGGGCGAAAACACGTGGGTCGGTGGAGAAGCGGGCTCCGTTGGCACAGACCAGAAGGACCGTCGCGCCGAACCCGCCGTCGCGGAGATGCTCTCCGTTACGCAGACTGTTCAGAAACGTCGGTGCATGCAGGAGCGGTGTGTATATATTCACGTTGGTGAAGTAGAGAGCTATGAGGTAGTCCATCAGATCTGGAGGAGGGAAGTCCTTGAAGGGGGCTATTTCAGCCTCGGGCTCGGGTTCTGACCACTAAGAACGCCTCATTATTAGTGCGTTCGCATTGAGGATGTTTTACATACCGCATCCTCCTCCGCTTTCGCGCTGTCTGGTGAAGGTTGAGTATCCACGATAGGTGGTGCCTTACGCGCGTCATCGGGTTGCTGGGCGAGACGCTTTGCGGTTCGTATGAATACCAGCCCGCTAGACTTGCCGTGATAGTTGCGTGCAACAGGGTCGATGGAGAGCTTGCTCAGCCCTTTGATGACCTCGTTTTGAATCCTCACGCTTTCATCTTCGTTAGTGTGATCGGCGTTTGGTTCTGCTGGTTTCGGGGGCGGCTGAGGGAGGGAAGTTGAACTGGCTGAGCCCGAGACGGGCGTGATCATAGAGGAAGCGTGGACGATCGTGGAGCGTAAGGATGAGGAGACGGAGCTGCTGGCGATGGGCGAGTTCTCAGGCTCGCCATCCGGCTCGTTCTCCAATTCGTGAGCAAGATCTATGCCGGGACATCGCTGATGGGTTGCATTAGAAAGCATAATACAAGAGCGAAAAGAACAGACCTGTTTGAAAAGCTTCTCCAATTTTTCAAGACGGCTCTCGAGGCTCTCGACATAGCTGCGATCGGCGCCATATATGAGCATACAATACCCGACAGTATCGTATGCTGAGACGGACCTATTAGGATAGTCATTACGCTGGACGTATTATGTGGTGAGTAGGCCTGTCGCATGACAGCCGGGCAGGAATTGCACACCACAAACGGCTCGTCGTATGTGCATACAGCGTTGCGCGATTTGCATTTCGAGCAGCGGCCGCTGAGTTGCATAGGTCCGTCGCCTAATTAAGTTATGAAATTCAATGAGAACACTGCATATGTCTATGTTATGGATGTGTATGAATCACATTTTACTGTAATAACGATAGAGCAGGTTCAGCACTGGTATCAGGGGCAATACGGAAGGAGCCATACTCTTCTTGCGACGGCAGTAATCGCATGCTCTGTCTGACTTTTGCACTCTACGCTTCTTGGTCGGTCGTGAACCGGGCTTGGAAACGTCACTGTGTGCTTTAGGTGCCATGTGGAAGAAGAGGTGAGGGAGGAGCAGCGCAATAAGGGACGTGTTTATGTTGCTCTCCCAACCATGCAAGGCAGTGCAGCCTGGGACGTTGGATTTCGACGGTAGAATGCCTTTGCCGGGCTGGAGACGGAGATGACTGCGTGCTTAGCACACTCGATATTGCCTCGCTCACAGGCTTGCGCAATGGCTGTCGAGGTCTGAGGAGGACAGCATTATTTTGAGACCTTTTACTTGTGTGGTTGCTATCCGACGAAGGACGGTCGGTGGAGTGGGCGCCTACAGCAGAGGACGGGGCGCTGGCGAGGATGTCCGTACGCTCATCCTCCTCCCATCCCACCACCACACCCGACGCTTGCCCTGCTCGCTCTCGCCTTCTCTCCCTCTTGGGCTCGGGCTGCGTGACGTTCGTTATCCTGCTCTATGCTCCTCTATTGCTCTGCTTCTTCTCTACCGCCGTGCCAGCACGCGTCCTTCGTTCACCCATCTCAATCTCACCCCAACAACGCTACACCTCTCTAATTCTACGCTCTCGCTTTCTCTGTAGCTTTTCCTATACCTTGGGCTATATCCGCGAAACAATACCACACAACTTGATACTCACTAACTGGGGCTATCTACAATGTCTGACGACCACATCCAACATCAAATCCATGGCGACATGACCTACCCGTCCGACGAAGAACACTCTGTCCTCGAAGACGATTCCGATGGCGAGGACAGAGATATGGACTACATGGACGACGACGACGGCTCCTCCTCCCTCTCTATCCCCAATGAGTCCATTGACTTTGACCTCGTATATGCCCTTCACAGCTTCGCGGCTACCGTCGAAGGTCAGGCCAACGTCGTCAAGGGCGACAGTCTGTTCTTGATGGACGACAGCAACAGCTACTGGTGGCTCGTCCGTGTCCTCAAAACGCAAGAGGTCGGCTACATCCCCGCGGAGAACATTGAGACACCTTTCGAGCGCTTGGCGAGGTTGAACAAGCATCGCAACGTTGATGTACGCTCGCATGCATCATCTCTCACTGCCGAAAACTTATATATGCCTTATAGCTCGCGTCCGCAACTCAGGCCGAGCTTCAGGAATCACGCGATAAACTCTATTCCACCCGCACGGGAACGGGATCGAAAGAGGGACACACACCATCCCCTACTCCGGGCACGCGTGCCGCCCGGTCCCAACAATCGAGAGGAGTCCGGTTCTTCGCCGGCTTTGGCGTCCACCGGTATGCGCCGGCGATCTGGAACGAGGAAGAGGAGGAAGAGGAGGACATCGAGTGGGACGACGAGGACTACGAGGACGAGGACCCGGAGCTCGCGGAGGAGTGGGACGACCACGAACGCACCGTCACCGGCAGCCAGGCGCCTCCCTTCGGCATGGAGCCCGACGACGGCATGAGCTGGGAGGACGGCGCGGCGGAGGAAATGCAGCGCGAGCGGATTCAGATCGGGGGCGCGTCCGCCGAGCCCCTCGATCCCGCGCGTAAGGACTCGGGCGTGCTCTCGCCGCGCGAAGACACCGGCGTGCAGCCGCTGCGCCCGCGCGACAAGCTTATCATCGTGCAAGACGAAGCACCGACGTCGCCGGGCTCGCCTGGGCGCACGATGGACCCTGCGCAGGCGACGGAGACGCGCAAGTTGAGCATGACGCCGCCCGTTGCGCGTACCGACGACCTCGCCGGCGGACCACTCTTGCCCAGCGCGATCATGCACCAACAGTCGGAGGAGCGTAAGCGGACGCGCGAGGAGATCGAAGCGCTTGAGGAGGCGTCGCGCAAGAAGGCGCATCTCGCGGGTCCCGCGAATGCACCCAGAGGCAAAGTCACCGCCACGGTGTCTGTTGGTGACGTCGCCGCCTCCAAGGTTGCGGCCGGCAAGCTGCGCAAGGACCGCGATCGTGATACGACTGACGATGAGAGCGGGAAGGAGGGGAAGGACAAGAAGAAGAAAGGCGGAGTGTTCGGGGGACTATTTGGGCGCAAGAAGGACAAGGAGAAGGGGAAAGACAGGTCGGACACTGGCAGCGCGGCGAGTGCGGACTCGCTCAGTCGCGAGTCGGAAGAGTCGGGGAGGTCTCAGCACTCGAACACGCTTACGCCGCCGACGTCCGCGGAGGTCTCGTCGCCAACGACGACAAGCGCGCGGCAGCAACAGCAGCAGGCGATGCTTGCACAGAAGAACTCTGCGGACCCGAAGAGGCTCATGAACCAGCAGCAGCCGCAACAGACCTCGTCTCAGCAAGTCTCTCCGCAAGAAGCGTCGCAGTCGCAGCAAAACCGTCCACAGCCAGATGGCCAAGTGCAGGTGCAGCTCTCGCAGCACGCGTCGCAGCTTCGGCAGCGCGACCAGCAGCAGCAAATGTTGTACCAACAGTACCTCAATCGCTCGCCCGCGACACCACCCGAGGCGCAGCCATCATATGGCCTGCAGTCAGCTGCAGTCATGCCCGGCGGTTCCATGTCGTTCACCTCGTCGATGAGCTCGGCGTCCGGACTCACGGCGAGCGGCTCGCGCCCCCGCCCCGGTTCGCTCGTCCTTTCGCCTACTGCAATGGACGGACAGGGCGTCGGGTTGCCTGACCTCAGTGTCGTCCGCATCTTTGCCGGAGACGCGCTCCAGACAGAGGCGACCTTCAAGACTGTGCTATTGAACACGTCTACGACCGCATCGGACCTTGTGCGCCAGGCCATCCAGCGCTTCCGTCTCCCGGCGGGAGAGGACGAGAAGGACTACTACCTGACCATCAAGCAGGTCGAGGGTTCCTCCGCGGTTCTTCGTGCGGACGAGCGGCCGCTCGGCGTGTTCGAGTCGCTCGTCGAGGCCGCGATGGAGATCCCCAAGGTGAAGCGGAGCAGTGTGGGCAGTATCAGCTCGGTTGCGAGCAACTTATCCATGCACCCGGCGATCAAGAAGCTGTCGATGAACGACTTCACGGACGACTCGCAGGTCAAGTTCTACCTGAACCGCCGCGGAAACGGCGACGATACCTTCGGCGAGGAAGGGGATGAGACGCTGCTTGCGGAGAGTGTCGACGACGAGGGTGGCGAGCACACACGCAACCGCCCGCAGTACCTCTCTGTATCGACTGCGGGCGGCAACCACGTTCCGCCTGAGCGGTTCAGCTCGCCCTCGTTCCGATTCGGGATGCAGCTGGTCATCTACCCAGAGGACCTGCCGGACGACATGGTGTTCGACCCGCAGACGGAGGCGATCGTGTTCAAGAGCACGCTCCGGAACCGCCCGCAGGCGAGCCAGGTGCCGTCTCCGGGCATCTCGCAGGTGCTGCGCAAGAAGATCTTTGTGTTCCCGAAGAATATCACGGTTGCGGAGGTCATCGAGCAGGGCCTTGATAGGTTTGGGATCCCGGAGGGTGTCGTGGACGGGGGCGACGAGATTGAGGATAAGATGACGAAGCGGCGAAGCTCGTCCCGGGTGCGGTATGGCTTGACGGTGGACGTCAATGGCAAGGGCAAGTGTTGTGATTTGAGTTTGCAAAGTCGCGCGCTGACCAGATTGTACTCCAGAGCGCGAATTGTCGCCCTCCAGCAAGGTGATCGACGCGTTCACCCGCGCGCCGACTTACCGCCAGGTCGACCGCAAGTTCGAGAGCAAGCGTCGCTCTGTAGATTCCGCTCAGCTGTTGATCGGTTCTGCTGACGACGTCCGGCCGGACGACCCAGTCTTCATCTTGCGCCGCGCCATCGCCTACCGCAATTCCTCTACAAGGCATCGCTCGTCTGCACCCCTTGACGAGCTCGCTCTGCAGCACTTACGCGACTCTATCGCCAGCTCCAGCACTGCGTCCGACACCACTGCACAACCCGAAGAGAACACTCGGCGCCAGCCGTCGAAGCAGGACATCATCGCCGCCCAGCGTGCGGCGACGCGCGCGAACCAGCGCGCGATTCTGTCGGCCAACACGAACCTGCAGCGGGGCTTCGATGTGGTTCTGCCCGGCAACGCGATGCTGCGCAGCTCGCGGTATGAGGTCGATGACCGCATGCGGTACTCGTACGTTGAACCCGATGGGGAGACATACGACATCAGCGATATCGTCGAGGAGGAATGGCGCGGAGAGGTCGGCCCGCAGGGTGCGAAGACGAACCCGGCGAGCGAAGATCTGTTGCATGGTGTGCTCGCGCACGGCAAGGACGGGCTCGGTGCGAAGCTCGACCGCGTGCTGAGCAAAATTAAACACGAGAAGGGCGCGGGGCGTGCGCCGTTGTCACAGTCGTCGTCGGGCCAGACGGTCGACTCGGCGGACTCGCTGAGGATGAGCGCGGACTCGACGTATTCGAACATCGAGCCGCCTCACCAGACGTCGTCGTCCCGCACAAACACGCCGACGGCGCACAACAGGAGTGGGTCGGCGTCGGTCACGGGTGGCCAGCGCGTCGCTTCTCCGATGCAGTCCCGCATGTCGAGCTACAGGACGGCGAGCCCGGGCGAGTCGGACTACCAGCGCTCGCATACGGCCACGCCCACTGGACGCAACGCTGCTGCACGCGGATTCCCTCCCCCGCACGAACGCCAGTCGTCGTTCGCGTCCGCGGTGTCTGATTACCGCACGGCGACGCCGTCGTCGCCGCGCGAGCCGATGCCATCGCTGGGGCCCGCGAAGGAAGACGAGAAGCCGAAGCTGGTGCTGCCGAAAAACGACTTTGGGCTGAACGAGATGATGGCGGTAATCGAGATGCGGGCGGCGCTGAGCGCGAAGACCACACCGGAGCGCCCGCCGCTGGACTCGGTGGAGGAGATGCTGTTCGGACGGCCGCTGGACCGGGCGGCGCTGCACCCGCAGATCAGGGAGATCTACGCGAGCACGTTCGCGCAGTTGGAGGAGATGGACCAGGTGCGTGTTCTTCCCGCGAGTGTGCTGATCTGCGCCGGTTCTGACGTTTTGGATTGTAGACGCTGGACGAGCTGTTGCAGCAGGCTATTCATGTCCACTGAGAAAGGCACACATTCTGACGATCATGACGTATTTATCGCGGTCCCCGTCGCGTGTATCTTACAGCTACCCCCTTTGCTTAGTATTTATGCACTGGCTATTTGGATTTCTGCGTTTCTTGCGCGATCGCCATCTCGATCGATTGGTGCGCGATGGGTCCTTGTTCTGCGGCTGCTGAGTCGAACATTGTGCTCGACTGGGCCCGTTCATTTGATAGCCTTTGGGCCGAGGCGGACTGCAGCACGGGCCACCTCATGGAGTCCTCGTTGCGCGGGACCTGTGCGGAGCGGTGTACAGCACAGCGACGACATTCTCACCTCGCTCTAGGAACCACTCTCACTTCTGACTTCTTCCAACATCGCTTGTCACCATGCACCTGGAACTTCCGATGACGCTCAGGAATCACAACATATCTATGGTGAGTTTCGTAATGTCTACGGCGTGCAAAACACTCATGATGATACTCCATCCAGTCCACGCTACAGAACCTCTGCCACGTGCTGCTCAAAGCCTTCCTAGTAGCGTGGCCGCTCGCCTACCCCGGTGGCGTCGTCGCCGTCAAGTGCTGGCGCGCGGGGGACCCCTTCCGGCTGGTGGCGCGCATACGCGTCTGGTTCAGCAGCCTTGCTGGGAAACGCGAGCGGCCGCGGTACACGACGTACAGCACCCCGGAGCAGGAGGACGTGTACTGGAGGTCGGCGGAGCGGACCAGGCGGGCGTTTGGGGCGTCGGACGCGAACGAGACGCCACTGGGGGTGCCACTGGTGCGGTATTATGTGCCGCGGCTTCCGCCGGCGTATAGGGAGACGAAGGGGGTCGACGCGGAGGCGACGGAGTACCAGCTCTCGCCGAGGGCGTTTTGTAAATGGCATAGGATGGTGTTCCGGGGACCGGTACGTCTTCGTTTTTGTGGTGGCGGCGAGTGGCGGCAAGACTTATCCCGTCATACCCACAGATGCACCCCACGTTAAAAGAGGCGGCGAAGCAATTGCAGTATTTCAGCAGCCGTGACCGGAGAGAGATACACAGGATATCCAGGTTGGTGAGCGACGAAGAAGTGTTCTGCGGTGGCGGGAGACGGTGGACGCCACATTATGCGACGATGTGGAAAAGGTGGCTAGAGACGAAGGGGCCGGACATCGCCGTCGTGTTCGAATAGAGTACGTTTGCTTTAGGATTGTTGTCGTGTACCTGTACGTTTCTGTCTACTCATTGGACTGTCCGGCCGGGCGCCGGGGAATATACCCCTAGTATATGCGTGCAAGCATGTAGACGTTGAGACGAAGTCGGCGCACAGGCATGCAGGCCACTCTTAAGCGAACAAGGGGGATGCGGATACGAATGAAAGTGAACGAGCTTCCGCCACACATAATTCATCACACATTTGACGGATCGAGAACAGAGCACAGTGGATTCAGAACAACAGCATAACATGATACACACGAACGACGACGAATCACTAGTCCAGCTCCGGAAGGAACGCCTCCGGATGGCGGCTTCTTGTGTGGGATTCCTATAGACATCGTTAGTATACGGCTTCGAAGTACACGCAGCGGACGTACCTGGAGTATCGAGACGGCGTGCTCTCCTGTAAAGGCAAAACCGGAACGAAACCAGCCCCCGAAGGGACGCCTCGCGAAGAGGGTGTGGAAAAAATATGGCTGCAGCGATCACGAGGATACACCTGCAGGCCTGACCGACTCGCACGACGCAAGCGGCAGGACTTGCGACGCAGCCAAGGTCGCAGGGTGGATGAGGTCCTGGCCCAGCCGCGCCGCCGTATCGTCCATGGGAGGTCTTGTATTCGAGTCGGCTTGCGGGTTTGAGGTCTAGAGCCCGTTTAGCGGATATGAACATGGTCGAGTCGATGAAGGAGGAAGACGCACCCTCGGCGGACGAGTCCGCGCCCTCTCCCCCAAGCCTCGAACCAACGTAACCAGCCCCCGAAGGGACGATGTGGAAAAAATAATGGCTGCAGCGACCACGAGGGTGCGCGTGCAGGCCTGAACAACTCGCACGATGCAAGCGGCAGGGCTTGCAACAGAGCACAGGTCGCAGGGTGGATGAGGTCCTGGCCAGGCGCCGCCGCGGTATCGTCCGGGTCTTGCAGTTCGAGTCGGCTTGCGGGGGGTCCAGGGCTTGAAGGGTCGTCCGTGTTGAGGTGCCGAGTCTAGATGAAGTCAGGAGTACAACGGAGGGGAGCGGAGTCTAGGACGAGGCTATGTATGGAGTATTCTATGTTATGCGTATGTTTTTTCGTGTTACTATTTTGGACTTTTTTCTGGGTTTTATGGGGTTTTCTGGAGACGCGAACGAGAACGAGACGAGTCCGGGAAGTCCGAGAACGAGACCGTAGCCGCCGTATCTTTTTTCGTTTTACTATTTTGGACTTTTTTTGGGATTTTGTGGGGTTTTCTGAGACGAGAGCGGGAACGGAACGGGAACGAGAAGTCAGAAGCCAAGTCCGAGAACGAAACCGTAACCGCCGAGACACCGCGAACGGTGCGAGCCGAAGCTGCCTTTTGGGGGGGAGAGGGCGCGAAGCCCCCATGTTCAAAAATAAGGGGAAGAAAGGAAGGGAGGAGTCGCGATGACGAGACGCCACCCCCCGCCGAAGCAGGAGGTATGCAATGGCGCCCCCAGACCTCGACCAGAAGCCTTGTGTACGTGGACCATAGCGTTCGCCCAGGAGTGAGGAGGCTAGCACTCACCCCCGAGTTCCCGGCCCCGACAGCGACTGGCGTCGACGGCCCGTCCTCCCAGGCTGCCCGCAGCGCAAAGGAGCGCCGCGGGTGCTGCCGGCCCTGGTCGCGCCCGTTCCCGCGTTGCGTAGTGTCAGCCGACTAGAGGTGTGTGCAGTCCGTCGCCGCCAGGGCGACGGGAGCCGCCTAGTGGCCGACCGCGGTCCGGTAGTAGGGCGCGAGGGACCTGCTGCGGCGCCGCATAGAGAAGCAAGTGGGTGCGGTGTGCGTGTAGTACTTGGTCGCCATGTCCTTGGGCACTGCGCGGGATGGTGCACGGGGTGCGGAGGAGAGAGTGTGGGGGGAAGAGGCGAGCGCGGGCAGGTTGATATACGGCTGGCGGTTTGGATCGGGACTAGTCCCGCCCGCCGAGAGGCTGACGGTTCGGATTGGAGCGTTGTTCGCGTCCTGTGTGGGTAAAGTGACCATGCGATAGCGGTTCGTTTATTATGGAGAATACATCTAGGACGAGTGGGAGGTTGGGACTCGGGAGACTGCCTCCACACCGGGCAACCCAAGTATGGGTCATGAGAGCATGAACTGTCCGTTCGAGTTCGGCACTCACGTCATAGTTTACGTTCATCATCCCATAGACGTCCTGAGCGCCGCTGAGCAACCAAGGGAGGATAAACGTAGCAGAAACCATGGATAGTCGAGAAAGAGCAGCGCGAAGGTTGATTCGAACGAACTGCCTGAACGGGAATGCGGAACCAACTCCGCGGCGATCGGCGGCAGCTTCGTCGTTCACTCGTTGTCCTCCCACCACCTGCAAAACAGAGCTGGCTTTCCCTGTCGTCTTCAACTAGTCGCGAGAGGTCTTCAGATGAAGCGGATCTCTGCAGTGATCAGCAACCTCGCGAAACTCACGTGTTTTATAGCCGCTCCGCCTCCACCACCGATATCAAGACAGTGAAGCCAATGCTGGTTAGATATTGGTTCCACGTCGGCCGGGAGAGACTGTTTCGTACGTTGCAGTTCCTCAGGGGGAGGAGCTGTGACAGGGAGCTTCGCGAAGCGTTTGAAATTGGCGGGATCCGCCCTCGGCGGGAAGCAGTGCACGCGGCGGGCCCTTCCCGCCCGCTCTTCGTGCGCTCGGTAGCCCCATCAAGACATTGTCCTAGTCCACGCTGAGCCTACTTATCTCCCGTATACCGCTATAACTTAAAACGAAACATCCCACGTTGCAACCGCCCCGCTGGGTCCATTCGCTTCTCGCCGCGTAACCTGCACCTTCGTCGCCATGCACCTCATCCCAACCGATATCGTCCTTGCCGTCGTCTCTGCGGGCCTTGTGAGTTTCATTCCAGTTTCAAGCCACCTCGTTTACTAACCTTGCTTGCAGGGAGCTCACCAAGTCTTTAAGCGCTTCGAGCCTGACAATTTAGCAGCCCAACTTGCCCTGCTCGCGCTCCCTCCGACCCTCTTCTCTGTTGCTCTCAATTCCCATGCCCCCCTCCTGGCGGCAATAACATACGCCTTCGGCATCTATCTATCTACCCTCGTGCTTTCCGTAGTCGTATACCGCCTCTCTCCTTTCCATCCGTTAGCCAGTTATCCCGGCCCCCTATACCTCAAGGTCTCTAAGCTCTCCCTGATATGGATCGCCAGCCGGGGCGCCCAGCACAAGTTCATCAAGCAACTTCATGAGAGATATGGAGACGTAGTCCGGACAGGTTTGCGTTTTCTCTTCGAATTGCAACATCGCCACCGTCTCCTCACTACTATGATTAACAGGGCCAAACGAGGTCTCTATTCGGGACGTGGACGCCCTCCCCTCTGTCAGTACCATCCCCAAGGATCCCCGTAAGTGCTTACCACCCTCGTGAAGCTTGTCACACTCATCGCGCGCGCCCAGGCTATGGGTTCAACTCCAAGATGGCGTTCAGCAACAGTCTTTCTCTCATCGCTGAACGCAACCCCATCGAGCATGCTCGCCGGCGCAAACCGTGGAACAGAGCGTTCAATGCCTCCGCGCTGAAGGGCTACGAAGAGATCGTCGCAAAACGCGCTAATGCGCTCGTCCAGGCACTCGCTGCTCAGAAGGGTGAGGTTGACCTTGGCAAGTGGTTTGCGTATTTCACGTGCGTGATTCACTCTTGTGCGGGATGCCGACGCTGAAAGCCTGTCCACAGGTTTGACTTTATGAGCGACATGGCGTGAGTCTTGCGCAGTCATGCTTCGTACTCCTATTTACGTGCAATCCTGCAGGTTCGGTGGCGGATCCGAGATGATTCGGGACGGCAGCTCAGGGAGCAAGTGGCATGTCCTCGAAGAAGGCATCGTGTGCGTACTGTGCTGTTCGGAGCGTTATTTCGTGCTCACAGATCTGCAGCTACTTCCATGCTTTTGGACAGCTCCCCTGGGCGATTCTGTACCTGCGTCGTATCCCTGCTATTGCGCGCACGACTCAGCGTCTGGTCGCCCAAGGCCGAGGCCTTGCCATTGAGCGCCTCAAGAACGGCTCGCTCAGCCGCGACCTGTTCTACTATCTCGTGAGTAGCCCCGCCGCACTGCCGCCGGTCTCTTGTAAGCCACGAGCACGATATCTTATGCATTGATCTATAGAACAACGAAGACGGGGCAGACGCGGTCACGCCACCCTTCCCGGAGACCGTCTCGAACGGCGTGCTCGCCATGATCGCGGGCGCAGACACGACCTCCATCGCGCTCTCCAACCTCTTCTACTTCGTCCTCGCCGACCGCGCCGTATACGAGCGCCTGCAAGCGGAGGTCGACCGCTATTTCCCCCCGGGAGAGGACCCGCTGGACACTAAGCATCACGCAAGCATGCCGTTCCTCAACGCCGTCATGTGAGCGTCCTCCGTTATGGGACCGAGTCGGCTCACACTCACCGCGTTTCGCCGGATAGCAACGAGACGCTCCGCCTCTACCCCGTCGTTGTCGACGGCAGCCAACGGCGCGTGGCCAAAGGGTCGGGCGGGCGCGCCGCAGGATCGTAGTACGTACGCTCCACGCGAACACGAGACCGAAGCACTGACGACATCCGCACACAGCTACCTCCCCGAGGGCACGACGACCTACGTGCACCTCTACTCCCTCCAGCGCGACCCGCGCTACTTCTCCGACCCCGACGCCTTCTACCCCGACCGCTGGCTCCGCGCCCCCGACGCGGACCCGGCCTTCGTGCACGACACGCGCGCGTACGCGCCCTTCTCGTTCGGGCCGAACAACTGCGTCGGGCGCGGGCTCGCGCTGCAGGAGATGCGCATGCTCGCGGTGCTGCTCGTGCGGCGCTTCGAGATGCGCTTTCCGGATGGATGGGATCATCGTAAGTATGAGGAGGGGCTGGAGGATTGGTTTGTGATCCAGAAGCCGGCGTTAAAGGTGGTGCTTACGCCGAGGGTGGCGTAAGCTCAGGAATTTGGAGTGCTACCGGTTCGGACCGGGCTTCTATGTCGCACCATTTTCCGTGTCGTGAGGCCACGCATTGTGTGGCGAGCTCGGTCACCTGGTCGTCTAGCCAGACAAATTTCCTCCCTCGCCCTCTCTGCCTGCATTGTATATTGTGTCGATGATATCGCCCTGATGTACTCCTTGGGTCTCATGCCAGACATTTCACGTTCAAGTCGCGTCGTCCACGCTCCTACTTAGTACGGGCTGCTACCTTGTTGAAGGCCGACTAACCGGTAAGCCCTATTCCCTCAGACTACGAGGTACATGTATATCAACAACATCTCCGGCAGGATCACCACCGGTCCTTGTGCTTCTCATGACTTCTTGACTCCGACAGAGCTCGCCCTACAGCGCCCACGAACTAAAGTTGTTATCGGGACGCCGCCGCCCGTCCGGCGGCAGCGGCGGATTTGCTTCCGAGTCGCACCCTGCCAGGACCATCATACATATATAGCGAGTCTTGCTTCGCTGCCGCTGACAGCTCCGAGAAAGCTGCACCTCACAACACACTAGAACATCTTATTAGCCAGTAAAGAGGGAGACTGTAAGTCCACGTCAAGACGCCGCCGCCCATAATGCTTCCATTAACGATATTTATGACAGTGATGTGGCTGCTTTCCACGGAAAAGCTCGAGCTTGTATATTTCAACAACCTACAGGAGGTGTTAGAAAAGCCGTCGCCGAAAGGGTATGCAGTATCTGCTCCTATCTGGATCAGCTCCGATTGCGAGAAGCTGAAGCACACTAACTGTCTCAGGGCCACGAGAAAAGGATACGCAATTCTGTCGCATGTCTGGGCTAGTGGCCATCTCTCCGCAGAGCAGACTTTCGAGGATGTTCAGAAGCTGATACTCAACATCAGGAATGACCTCAGGAACCAGGGGCCCTATATGGTAACAGGTGGTTGGATTGAGCGCTGGAGACTCCCCCCCAATATGCGGAGACGCCCTGTCTCCATCCGCGGCCATATGGAGCCTATGGAGGCGTTCCCACGGCTTCCCCGCGCGACTCACCAACGACGCCCTCCCCGCTCACAATTAAAATTATTGCGGCCGGCCTACGGAAGGCCAGATCTATGAGCTCGTACGTCGAAGCAAGCGCGAGATGAGGTTTGTCGCAGGGATGGAGAACGTGTCTCCATATGGAGGCCCCTGGAGCGCTGGAGTCGGGCGTCTCCGTCTGGAGGATTTGGCTTTTCCTGATGAAGGGAAAGACGTCTTACGAAGATGAAGGGAACGGGATACACGCCAAGGTTCGCGGATGTGCGCGCGTCGCGAAGCAGCTAGGATTCGGCTGGGTATGGAACGATACATGCTGCATAGACAAGCGGAACAATGCAGAACTCGAAGAGGCGATCAACTCCATGTATAGATGGTACGCAGAGGCGGCGATCTGTCTCGCCTACCTACACGACGTGCCGGATGGCTGCGCCGTCAAGACACAACCCTCGGCCTTTCGTGGCAGTAACTGGTTCAAGAGAGGGTGGTCGCTCCAGGAACTTCTTGCACCTCGTTGTCTCGTCTTCCTGTCCAACCAGTGGAAGTATCTTGGCACCAAGGCGGGGCTAGCCGACCTACTCCAGGAGATCACTGCCATCGACACTGACGTCTTGACGTTCCGTCTCCCTATCCAGAGAGTCAGTATCGCTCGTCGCATGTCGTGGGCATCGAATCGCAAGACTTCGAAGACTGAAGACGAGGCGTACTCCCTTCTCGGCATCTTCAACATCTCGATGGCCACAATCTATGGGGAGGGAAACTATGCGTTTCGGCGACTGCAGATGAAGATCATGAAGTGTACTGCCGATCACACACTCTTCGCCTGGGGAGATACGTGGTCACCCACTGTCCGCATTGAGTCTTCCACCCCCATTCAAACCCGTAGCGGACCCAATCTTGCCACATCTGCACCCAGAATTTCGCCACATCACCCGCATGACTTCCAACCGCCCTCTTTCGAGAAGAGCAAATCTCTATTTGCATCATCTCCAGCTCAGTTCCGGCATGCGTTGATGACGGTAACATCGATGGACGAGGTAGCCCAACAGGCACGCAAGTGTTTCCACATAGATTCGGACGGCATTCCTGATGACGCCGTGCGTACTCTACACCTGATACGCACGCGAGTGAACTCACAACCCCCCGCAGACTGTCTACGAACATCGTGTGACTAGTTTGGGAGTTCGCTGCAAATTCCTCATCGTCGTCGGACAGCCATTTTCGCTTGCGCTGCTTCTCTGCAAGAACGCCTCCGGTCTATGCGTCGCTCTCCCCCTATGGCCGTCTCAGAGTGGCTCCGACTCCCTTCCACTCTTCCGCGCGGGCTTCAGGTCGTCGGATTCCACCTACAAGCTCATCACCATCTGCGATTCTAATATACAAAAGCTCCGCTATCATGGCTGGATTCCCTGGACAGGGGGGAACACTAAGGGCGCATCTTCTTCCCGAGTCAGTCCGGGAAATGGGGGTCACCTTGAGCAGAACACGTCAAAGGCGTCAAACGGTACAGCTCTGATCAGGAGGGCATACATTACCGACATCCATCCCTCTTCTTTACCCGATATCCATCACGGCCTTCAACTCCAAGAACCGCACCTTCTATACATTCCTTCCTGGATCATCTCCTATCTAGACATGTACGGGCTGAAGCTGGATAGCGACCCCCCTATAGAGCCAGACAAGGCTATCGAGCCACCCTCTGCACTACGCATCGTCTCAAAGCACCAGCCCGCTCTGGACGCGATCGAATTTTCCATTACGTTCGGCCGCTGCGGGAGCTCGAGGAAGATGTTCGCGGCCGTCGCATTCCCTGCCGTCGCGGACCGGAGCTTTGCAAAGCCTGCTGCTCAGGGCGACAAACGTCGGCTGAATACAAGCTGGTCTTCGCCGTCCCCCGCGGCTCCCCATTTCCGAGGTCCGGGTTTGCGATCCCCACAAATCTGTCCCAAAACGAAAACACATGTTCACATCAGCTCCTGGAAGACTAGGTCGACCTACTACGTCTGTGAGAAGAAGGAAGTCCGTCTAAGCGTTACACCCTGGCCGGCTGCTGATTCCTACTGTCTGGATATCGGGCTGGAGGGCGAGTACTTTTCCTCCCTGCAGAAGCTCCAAGCTGGCCAGGCTCGAGGGCAGGCCCGGCCCCAGCCGACGGGCACTTCGCGGCAGATCTCACCAGCGTTGCCAAACTCATCTGTCACGATGCCCAACCCTGAGACGACTGCTCTGAAGGGCCAATCTCAAGATTCCCCATCGCGACGTCTTCCCAGGCATGACTCACTGACATCCCGCCGGCCCCGGGATGTACATATGGAAGCAAACCTGCAGGCGAAACTCGTGTCTGCTAGTGGCGTTACACCTATGGCTCCGCCAGCTCGTAATCTGAAGCCTCGCGTCCGGGCTACGACTGTCTCCGCTCCTTGGCAACCACCACTGCTGTACGACGACCGCGGGCCATCGATGGTCAGACCCGCAATGAGTCGGACATCTCAGGTAGTATTTACGATGATCTTTGTTGTGGATTGTGCTGACACATCAGCAAAACCGTTAAAGCTAGGCTCCCCACCCGTTTCAAGTTCCCAGCTGGGGCCAAGGACACCAAAACGGCAGGGCTGAGTGGAGGCCTCTTTGGGAGGGTGCCCTTCAAGTTAGCACCGCGCGAATTCTTACTGGCTGCTTCACGTCCTAGGTCTTTGACAATTTTGTCCGCTAACATGCTGTACACCCTCGTGAACCTGGTCTCGGCTTTCTACTAGTAGCTCATACATAACACGTGGCTATCTGAAATGTATCCTTTTTGTGAGGAGTTTCGATAGTTGAGGCTATGTAAGTCTATGTACTCGGTGTGTGGGAGCCTAGGTGGAAGCTCGAAACACAGCACCCCCGAAAAGAACTACCGCCACGGTGCTAGTCGAGAGACCTATGTGGCATACGAGTGCGCTGAGAAGGTGCCCTGCGTCCATTCTCCTTTGCAGGTGACACGAGCTTTCAGTTGTAAGGGGCGGCTAAAAAACCAGTATAATGATAACTAATGGACGCGCGGATAAATCAGATACGGGTGAGGGTAGGCTCGTAAACCAGCCCTACGTTCGGAGGCGGAAGATAATCGTTGTCGATATAATCAACACGCCACCAGAGGAATGAACAGAGGTCGTACCCAGGAGGCCGAGTAGGCTAGCACCCCGCGTCCCGGGCAGCCCTACCCTGGTGAGTGGCCGGTCCATCGTCGGCAAGGGGCTAGCACTCCCCGCCTAAGGCTTCGCAACATCACAGCGACTGGAGTCCACGGTCCGTCCTCTGAAGGTACCCGCAGCGCAGCGCGCCGCAGGTGACCGCCCATTTTAGCCGAGTGTAGAAGGGAGTGTGTCGGTCGAGGGAGCCATGTTGAGGGGCCTGTCCGGGTGGTGCGGAGGAAGACAAGTGGGTGATGACTTCGGGCGAGGCTAGGAAGATATATGGCAGAAAGTTACGATCAAGCCTGAGCACGCCTCCGGGAGGCTGACTTTTCCGCTCGAGATGTGCTTAGGCTGAGCGCGAGCAGTGCTGTGTCGTGGATATAATCCATGTTCCAGCGCAAGCTTCTTGGACCATGTCAGAAGTCCCGAGGGGAGCGGTGAAGAAGATGAATTAAAGGCGTAGAGACGCGGCTGTAGGCCGTGCACTTATATACTACTTACAAACGAATTTTCTAGTACTACCTAAGTAATCGCTTAGTCATCGTGTCCTAATCGAGAAACCATACGAACTTTCCAGCGCTAAATCGCGCATTCCAACACTCCCCCTCGATTTAGCCAGCGTAACCCTAGCTGGGCGTTATCCCAATAAATCCGAATTTCCCCACAGTGCCCATCTCTCGCTTGTACGCCGTAGGAGCCTACGTGCTCGCGGTGCGCGGGCGTCCCTGCCCCAATGCACCGGGTCCCTACCACTACGACGGAGCCTACCCGCTCACAAGAGGACGCACCGTATACCTTCCCGTTATGGTAACGGGCGCCTACCAGATCGTGCCGGAGAGAACGAGCTCGGGCTCGGAATCGGAGTCGGTGGCGAGGTTCGCGACAGCGGGCCGGTTAGGGCAGTCACGCGCGATGTGGCCGGGCTTGTTGCAGGCGTAGCAACTGCCGGGCGCATTGCGGAATTTCGGGTCGTTCTGGCGCGAGCGGCGCGGCTGGCGCGAGACGAGCGCGGTGTCGTCGGGATCGACCGAATCGGGCGACGAGTCGGGGGCGCGGCGCGCTTCTTCATCGACGAGGGCGCCGATGACGTCGAGAAGCTTGAGGGTACCGGGCGCGGCCGAGAGGGTGCTCGCGATCGAGGCCCAGGACGAGTGCAGGTTGTAGATGAGAACGTCGATGACGTCATCGTCGCAGAGGGAGACGCCGATGGCCTTGAGACGGTTCGCGAGGTCGGTAACACGGTTGGTGTACTCGCGGATGGGGGCGCGCGGGTCGTGCGCGGTGGTATAGAACTCGCGCTTGAGGGCGATGCGGTTCGCGCGGGAGTTCTTCTCGTAGACACCCCGGAGGGCAGACCAGGCTTCCGGACCGTTCTTCGCGTCGCGAATGTAGTGGTATTGGTCCGGATTGACGGTAAGGCCTATTATGGTAAGCGCCTGTTCCGCGGACTTGTCCCATTGGTCGCTTTTCTCGCGAGTGGTCGGACGCTCCTCGGTGCCGTTGGCGACGGACAGACAACCGGCGCGGCGCATAACCATCTGGACGGCGAATTTCCAGTCCTGATAGTTGTCGGCCGAGAGCTTCGGGACGGACGAGAGAAGGGAGTTGATGTTTTCGGCGGCCATGGCGGGGAGATAAGATAAGAGAGCGAATAGATCGGGTAAGCGAAGACAGATTAGGAAGGCGAGGGCGAAAGTCGGCGACTAGGGTCTGAGCGCAGGGCTCATAACCTGTCAGAAGTCCCGAGGGGAGCGGTGAAGAAGATGAATTAAAGGCGTAGAGACGCGGCTGTAGGCCGTGCACTTATATACTACTTACAAACGAATTTTCTAGTACTACCTAAGTAATCGCTTAGTCATCGTGTCCTAATCGAGAAACCATACGAACTTTCCAGCGCTAAATCGCGCATTCCAACAGACCAGTTTCTTTGAATTGGATGTAGCCGTAAAAAGATGAAGAGGCCGAGTATGCGACTTGCTCGAACAGCAGTGGTTTATACCTGTAGACGAACACGCTTAGTCAGTTTTCCGGTTGAGATTCGAGAACGGACTGACCTGTGTTAATTTCCTTAGTCGATCTTGACTTACCTACTCTGCGACCCATGTTTCAGCGAAACACGGCACCAAAGGAAGCACAGATGATATAGAGTACCACGTCGCGTTACATCTGTCCCTTCCGCATTAAGTTCCTACGCACCCTCCTGCGCTCCCCACCAGCGCCCTCACCCTTTCCCCAGCGGAGGAACGGCACCCGTCCTCGCTCGTAACCCGCGATCTCGCACGCACCGTCGAGCGTGCGGAAGTCGAGCATGCCCCACACGGGCAGCTGCAGCTCGCCCATCACGAGTACACGTGCCGCGGCGAGGTGGTGCGCGGGCACAGGCGTGAGCAGTTGTAGGCGTGTGTGAGAGAAGGGGGTGAGTGCGCGGACAAGCGCGAGGCCGAGGCAGCGGGAGGTGCTGGGGAGAGGTGGGGCGGCGCCCTGGGTGTAGGGGAGGAGTGGGGCGATGGGCTCGGTGGGAGCTTCGACCTCGCGAGTTCCAGGCTCGCAGGAGACGAGCGCGACGATTGCGCAGTTGAGCGCTTTGGGGGCTTCGGAGGGGATGACGTCTTCGGAGCCGGCGCCGGTGAGGATCAGCTCGTCGAAGGCGGTCTGCCAGTCCACTTCGTATGGCGGCTGGGCGCAGAGCGGGAGCGTGGTGTTCCATGCTGTGGCGGCGGGAGACGCGTAGGGAGACGCGGGGCGCTCTTGTGGGAAGACGGCGTGGAAGTAGGAGAGGATGGCGAGGTTGCGGTGGTCTGCTGCGGTGTAGTGAGCGAGGACGCTATCTGAAGAGACGTTCTCTACGTGGTAGTAGTGAGGACCAGGTGCGTGAGCTGAAGATGGCACAGCGCCGCCGCCGCCGCCATAGGCCAGATCATCTTCAGCGGATGGAGACGTGAAGGCGAAAATGTTGGACGGCTCGATGATGTCCTCGACTTTACGCGCGAGGTCCGCACCCAGGCCTTTTGTCCAACCCATGGTGTTCACAACAAGCGGGATCGAAGAATATATGCGGCCGTCTTCGTCGTCGGGGCTGTATTCGTCGAGCACTACATTCCGTACGTCGATCTCATACTGCTGCATGAGCGCTTGGATTGAGTCGAGGTAGTGCGAGGGAGACGTCCGCGGTGATGTCGCACCAATATAGTGGGATGCGAAAGGGATGCTGGGGTGGGTGAACGGTGGACCTGCGTTGGAAAATGTGAGTCACGAAAACTGCCATTGCAAGATCCTCTAGGCTTACCGAAAACAGGCTGCTCGAGCACGTTGAGACTGACCTGGCCACCTGGTGCGAACTCCGACTGGCCAAGGTCGCACTCAAGATATGCCACGCGGCGGTACCTTGTGTATATTGGTACAATGCAGTGGTGGACATGTGTGTGGCTGCTCACTTTGAAAGTAACTTGTTGAGTAAAAGCCTCGCGAGAGTGCTCTTCCCGACATTCTTTGGGCCTTTGACCAGGTACACTTGTCGTTGGGCTGCAGAGTCCTCACCTTCAGAAGGTAGCACTACGTCGGTAGCAGCAGCCCATGTTGGAGGAATGAGGAGCGGGAGAGTGTCAGGCGTCTGGGAGGGCAGCTGCACGCGCGGAATGGCTTAGACAGTGAGGGGGAATATTTATTCGAAAAACGTACGAAGTACACATTTTCGAGGCCCAAGTCGAACCGCAACTGGTTACGATGCCAGCGCGAAGGTGCAAAGAACCCGTCGAACGTCCTGCAGATTCGGCCCAGTCCCTCGATGCCTGTGTGCAGCTCTTGCAGTACGACCACGGTGTCTGCCCCAGATGCTGCAGCAGAGACGGATGCTGGTAGGTCTGATGTGGCAGGAATGTTGGACTCGGAAGAGCGCTGTGGGAGACATTGGATGATGGGTAGGGGAGACGAGCGGGGTGCAAAGACAGGGTGTGCGGTCGACGACGGCGCGAGCGGGACGCCGGCGAGCGAAACAGTTCCCCGCAAAACAGTGAGGGTGTATGCCCCGAGAAGGGCGACGGTTTCCGAGGCATTCAGTAGCAGGACAGTGCGTTTCCGAGAGGAGAGGTCGGTCGCCGGTAGTCGAAAGACATTTTGGTCGAGTACGGGCTGGAACGTCGATAGCACCTTCGGAGCATCTTGTGCGAGCGTGCTTCGAGCAGGAGTTTGGATGTCTAGGATTACCTGCTCGTCTGCCTCCTCTCCGTCCTCGTCTGAGGAGTCGGCCAAGGGCACGCTCGGAGACCACGCCCGCTTCCCGCCAGACGCGCGCATTGCACGCGGGACGTCCTCGCTGTCAGAGGCAGCGCTGGACGACGTGGCAGACGACTCGCCGTCGCTCTCGTCGACGACGATGACATCGTCCTGCGCGCTGAACGCGTCCTGCGCGAAATACCGCCCCTTCGCGGCGGGAGCGGGTTTGCGCTCCTGGGTTTTCTTCCGTTTAGGAGGGTTTCCTGCGGGCGCGCTCGGTTTGCGCTTTGAAGGAGGCTTTTGTGAAGCTGAGGAGGGCTTCGCGGGGGTAGCCTTTTGGGACTTCGGCTTAGAAGGCGCACTGGCAGGCGTAGCAGGCGAGACGGGTGCCTCTGCGGGTGCCTGTCCTTGAGTCTGGGCGAGGCGCGCTTTACGCGCTGCAACTGCGCTCAGCATTTGTGTTCCGGGATGTTCAGCACAAGAGTACCGGAGAGGGAGTAGAGGGAAGCTGGCACGGAAGTCGGAGTTGGGAGGAAGAGAAGAGGAAATGCGAGGAAATCGGAGATCGCGTGGACGCGCGCGCGAATTTTCCGATGTCGATCATCGACTGCTCAAACTCTGTACACTACTACTACACTCCATGTCTGCCTCTACCACTACCACCGCACCAGCACCACCCGCACCCGCACCGCGCCTCGTCCTCTTCGCGCGCGGCGTCATCGCCCGGCTCGCCTTCTGGCCCGCACTCCGCATCGCAGTCGAGCACGGCTGGGGCGGACCTGAGTCCGCCCAGAAGCGCACCTGGCTCGCGTCCGAGATTGTAGACGACTTCGAGCGCGAGGACCCCGCCCCGGACGCGTTTTTCGTCGAGGACCGCCTCCTGCAGGCCATGGCGGACGAGTTCGACACCGTGCTCGAGGACGGCAGCCCGGAGGCGGTTGCGCGCGACGTCGTGAGGCTGTGGGAGGAGGTCGGGAGGGGCGAGGAGGGGCTGTTGAGGGAGTTTGAGGAGAGAGCGGAGAGGGTGCAGGGGAAGAAGGTGCAGGTGCAGGAGGCAGCGGGGGATAATAGCGATTGGGAGGACGAGAGCGGGAGCGAAGTTGAGAGCGGGGACGAGGGAGGGGAGGGCGAGGCTCCGCGGTTGCTCGACCAGCGGCCACAGAAGGATGAGCCTGAGGTGGACGAAGACGGGTTTACGACGGTCAAGGGCAAGAGCAAAAGCCATAGATGACGCTGTACATGTACGCTCTCAGATGATGTATCACACTGTATTTCATTCGCACTCGCTAGCATCTCGAATCCAAAAGGTGATGAATCGCATTAGATTCTAGGGGTACAACAACGCTTTTGCACGATGTCCTGTAGCAGCTCGCGCAGAGCGTGGAGGGGTAGGGTACGTCTACGACTGAGACACGAACTTCTTCCCCTTCTCGATGTTCTTCTTGAGCTCGGGCAGGCACGCCTCCAACAGCTTCTGCTCCTCGGCCGTCAGCTCGCCGAGAGGGTAAATCTTCTGGACACCGTTGGGCTGTGATGAACGCATCGTAAGCAAGAGGTACATGCCGGCGAGAGCCGGATAGACTTACGCCGAGCTCGACCTGGGACGAGAAGAAGTCGATGCCCTGGTCAGCGAAGAGCGGGCTCTTGACGAACGTGGGGACGACGACACCCTTCTCGCCGTTGATCGCGCGGAGGAGGTCGCCGGTGAAGCGCGCACCCGCGTACGCCATCGAGAGGGTGGCAGAGCCGGCACCGTCCTTGGCCTTCACCACCTCGTCACCACCGAACTGGATGCGGTGCACGAGCTTCTCGTACGCCTCGCCGGTGACACCCTTGCCCTGGGGGACCTGGGAGAGCAGGGGCACGATGGTCGCGCCAGAGTGGCCGCCGACAACGGTGACTTTCACGTCCTTGGGGTTCGCGCCAGCGACACCAGCGAGGAAGCGCTGGGCACGGACGACATCGAGGGTGGTGACACCGAAGATGTGCGCGGGGTCGTACACACCGGCCTTCTCGAAGACGGCGGAGACGATGGGGACGGTGGAGTTGACGGGGTTGGAGATGACGAGGACCTTGGCCTTCGGGGCGACACGGGCGATGGCAGCCGCGAGGTCGCGGACGATGGACGCGTTCGTGTTGAAGAGGTCGTCACGGGTCATCTGGACGGGAGCGCACGGGGTTAGAACGGGACGGGCGGAACGGAGACGGGAGAGAAGCAGCTTACGCCGGGCTGTTGGGGAGCGCGAAAGGCTATCAGTGAGGTGTCAGTGGGCGAAGTGGGCAGCGCACGAACCTTGCGGGGAACGCCAGCGGGGATGACGACGACGTCAGTGCCCTCGAGAGCCTGGTCGAGCTGGTCGGCGGGGTAGCCGGTGACCTAGCGCAAATGGTGTGATGAGGAGACGCGTGAGAGACGCGTGCGCGGGCAGGACACGCACCTCGCTGTGGGTGTCGATGTGGCTGACGTCGGCAGCGACACCAGGGGCACCGCGGATGTCGTAGAGACTGAGCTCGGTGACGTGCGGGTTGAGCTTGAGGAGGAGGGACAAGGGCTGGCCAATGCCTCCGCCAGCGCCGAGGACGGTGACCTTGGACTGGCGCGCGACCGAGGAGGAGAACTGGCGGGCGTTCGCCTTGAGTGCGCGGGCTGCGGTGCGAGAGAACATGGCGAGCGACGAGGAGGGAGGAGGATGTGGTGTGGAAGGGTGAAAAGATGGGGGAGAGAGGGAAAGAGCCGACGTGCGCGCGTTTTGTGGGGGCGGCCGGTCGGAGCGAGTCGGGAACACGCGAGCAGCGCAGACGCGACGAGGCCGACCTCTTCCCCACACTCCGAACTCGTCCACGCCCATTCGTGGTCTATGTCGGTGCATTCGGAATACACCCCTTCCTAGTCGCAATGGCGACCGACTTCTGGGCCAGCTCGCACTAGTACGTGCGCCCGCCCACGCCCACACCCGCACTCGCTCACCGCCAGGCAGCAAGCGGTGGATCGTCGACAGGGCCACCCTCCGCCAGGCCCGGTCGGACGACATTCAGTATGTCGACAATCCTGAGCACCTCGCCTTTCTCAACATCTTTTTCGCAAACCGTGCGTAGGCTTGAGACAAGTCGCCACACACGCTCATTGCCACCCGTGCAGTCATCGCAAAGCTCGGAAAGAAACTGACTCTGAGGCAGAGGGTGATCGCCACTGCGACCGTGTTCTTCCGCAGGTTTTACCTACGGAACTCGTACTGCGAGACCGACCCCTTCATTGTCGCTGCCGCCTGCTGCTACGTCGCCGCAAAGGCCGAAGAGTCTCCCGTGCACATCAAGACCGTCGTTTCCGACGCCCGTGCCGTCTTCGGTGCTCGCGTTTGTATCATTTACTGTGAACATGCTAATTCATACGGCCGCGCAGGTGAGGAATATGGCATCAAGACATTTCCCTCGGACAACTCCAAGCTCGCAGAGATGGAGTTCTACCTCGTCGACGAGCTCGACTGCGACCTCATCGTCTTCCACCCCTACCGCACCCTCATGACCCTCTGCGGCAAGCGCGCCTGCCCCGCATCCGAGGCCGAGGCCGGCGAAGCCGACGACGCCGCAGGCGACGGCCGAATGCCCCTCGGCGACGTCGCCGTCCAGACCGCATGGTGCGCGCACCCGCCCGTCCACTCACATACCTGTAGTTTGCTGACCACTCTGGTTAGGTTCATCATCAACGACACGTACCGCTCCGAGCTCTGCCTGCTCTACCCGCCGCACCTCATCGCCATCACCGCCATCTACCTCACCCTCGTCTTCAACCCCGCCACGCGCGCGACCATCCAAGCCGCGTCCGCAGCGCCCTCCTCCGCGAGCTCGACCAGCGGCTCGTCCTCGCAGCACGACGCCTCGCGCCGCTCCTCGCGCTCCGCGTCGAGCAGCAGCAAGCGCCAGCACGCGTCCGCGCCCGCGCAGCCGCCCGACCTCATCGGTTGGATGGCGGGCCTGAACGTGAGCATGCCGCTCGTCGCGACGCTCGCGCAGGAGATCATCGCGCTCTATGCGCTCTGGGACCGGTATGATGAGGACGCGGCGCAGCGCCATGCGCATTTGCTCCGGGGGGCGCGGGGGTCGGGCGCGGGGGCGAAGGGCCGCAGTGCGAGCGTGCTGAGTGGGAGTGCGGGCACGGGGAGTGGGGCGCATACCCCGGATGGGAACGGGGGCGGGAGCGCGGGCGTAAGGGACGAGAGTGAAGTTGTGACGCCAATGTTTCTCGTGCAGCTGCTGGTGCGCATGCGGGAGGCACGTATGGCGGACCTTGCGCATCCGCCGAATGGGCGACCGGTCGCGGTGAACAAACGGCTCGAGCGCACGCAGGCGGCGGGATGAGAGTTGAAGGGAGCGTTATGTGCAATATATTCACGCGCGATGCACCGGCATCGTGGGGTCTTCCGGGGAATATTATGTACCATACTACTGCGGACAGTTCTGGGTGTACAACGCCATGCCAATATATACGATCGTAGACTAGGAACGCGAGTGGGGGAATGCGAGATTAGTTTTTGGCGTCGGGGTACAGCGCCTCGCGCACACGAGCTGCCTCTGCTTCCTCCTCGCCCTTGGGCCCCTCCACGGAGTGCGGCTGTTCAGTTGACGCCTCCGTTGTCGCGGATGTTGCAGCAGCAGATGACGAGACCTCGCTGCTCGCCTCCGAAGCCGAGGTCTCCACCGTAGAGCTCTCTACGGAAGACGACTCGGCCTGCGTCGCCGCTTCCGTCGTCGACTGAGTGCTCGCGGAACTGATCACCTCCGCGTCAGCCTCCTCTGCCCTGGCCGCGTCGCTCGACACACTCTTGATGTCGTTGTGCGGGTGGTCTCCGAACACGTCGCGACCGGGCTCTGCCTGGCCGAACGCGAGGGTGGTTGTGTCCTTCTCCTGGGCCTCGGGCACCTTCACAGGCTCGCCGACGGGAACCGCCGCACCGATACCGCCTGGATTGGGGTTTGCAATAACGACGGGGGAAGGCGCGGCGATAGGGGTAGGCGCGACTGCTCCTTTGTACTGGGCGTACTGTAAAGAAAGGTGAGTATGGTCAATGCCCCAGATGAGCACCTAACTTACGTCGTCGAGGAAGTCGTTGCTAGAGATGCAAGGATTAGAAAAGAGTGTCACGTCAATATACTCGCAGCACTTACCAGGAGAAGTCCCACGTCTTCAACCACTGCGCCTTGTGGCACTTCGCCTTCGTCCACGGCAGCCCGTAGGTGATCGGGCTGAAGTAGGAGTAGTTCCAGATCGCTAGGAGGAGCAGCACGGCGGCAATTTGCAGGCGGATGCGAGGACGGAGGGTAGAGGTGACCAGATCGAACGCGCTCGACGCTAGGAGGATAGCGAAGTAGAGCGCGGGCAGATAGTGGTGCAGGAACAGCTGACGGCCCATCAAGTAGAACGGCAGGTAGTGCAGCGCCCATCCAACGAAGAGGAAGCCGCAGAGCGTATCGTACTTGACGACTTTCGCTGCGGGACTGTGAGAAGGGGGTTCGGGTATCTGGTATGGCGAGACTTACTGTTGTCGAAGTCGCGGTAGCCACGCTTGGCACGGAGCACGAGGAAGCCTCGTACGGCTGCGTACGCAAAGACCGCAGCGGTGCTGAGCCACCAGACGATCGGGTTACCGAGCAGGTAGATCTGGCGGTGGTCCTTTACCCAGAAGTTCTAGAAAACTACAAGTTAAAACATGTGCAAACAAAAATGAGAGTATATGCGCACGATGCCGCGGCGAAGACGGGGCCATGCATCGGGACGAGAGTCGTACGTGTGGCGGTCAGTAAGGCCGGCGTTGGTCGTCCACATGACTTGCTGCAGCTCCCAGAACTTCGCAAAGAAGCCGGGTAGCTTGTAGTTGACCTTCGGCGCATCCGCGGGCACTGCTTTTCGTGAGCGGCAGCGTAGGCGCCTTCGACAGACGGAGACTTACGGTTCGGGTGGGTGGAGGTCTCAACGTACCACAGCGAGTTGGCCATGACTGCTTGCTTGTTGCATGTAACTTCCTGCTGCTCGAACGCCCATTCCGGGAGCTTGACCTTGTGAGAGAACAGGTAGCAGCCCGTCATGGGGTGCTTCAGCCTGAACTGCGTCCTGAGCGTCCTGACGCGCTTCGACGACTCCCGGTCGCGCCTGTCCCCCTTGTGTATCTCGACAATCCAGTCGTCGTTCGCATCACCAGAGTAGCCGGGGATGCCGTAGCCAGAGACTTCGTTCTGGAACTCGACGTCGGAGACGGGCGGGCGAATATCGTGAGAGTGCAGCGACTTCTCGGTTTGGATGTGCCGGAGCTTGACGCGAGCACCCTCGGTGACGTAGGTGATGCCGTCGTCCTGCCAGGCAGTGTACGGGTCTCCGGGCGCGGTAGCGTTAACGATGCGCCAGTCGTTGTTCGTGTCACGATGCGGGTACAGGGTGACCTGCTGCTCTGCATCACGGGAGGAGTATTAATGGGGAACATAACAGTATGCATAATCTTTGACTTACGCTTGCTGCCTCCGGGGTAAGTGTGAACGTGCGAGTGTAGGTATCCGCCCTGCGTGTTGACGTGACGAAGAGTAATCTCAGAGCCAAACGCGACGTCGGCGAACGTGTCGGCCATGCCGCGACCCCGGAGCGTGTGCTGGAATTCAGAGCTCATGAAGCCATCGCCCTCACCAGAGTTGGACAGGATGAGGAAGTGGATGCCGAACATGGACATGTAGAAGATCATTGGGATGAGAATCAAGCAGATAGCGCGTGCGATGAAGTGCTTGATCCAGAGGCTGGGCGAGACGCGTAGGTCGCCAAGGAGCGTCCAGAGCTGCTTGAGAGTTCCCAGGCCGATGGTGGCAATGGTGAAGAGTCCGACCCATTTGCAGCTGACCACGGCACCAAGGGAGAGACCAGTCATGGAGAGCCAGATCCACCAAGACTCGGTAAAGGGCTCATAGTGATCTTCGTTACAGAAGGCCGTCCATGCGAAGGTGGTGAGGGCGGTGAAAAAGATGAGAGGGGAGTCGAGGAGGATATGGCGGGACTGGGTAATCAAGCCGTTTTCGAAGGTGATGAAGAGCGAGGCGAGGAGGGCGGTGGTGACACGGCAGTCGAGAGCACGGAGAGTGAGGTAAGCTAGAGGGATAGTCGCAATGCCCATGATTGCAGGGACCATGCGCATCGCGACATAAGGTACGTGCTCGTATACTCTGAGCGGTGACGTCAGAAAGTGACGTGTAGATCGAGGGCATAAACGCACTTTGCGATGTCCTTGAAGTCAAAGTTGCCATCATAACCGAAGAGCCAGCCAGCGAGAGTAATGAGGAGCTTCGCAAGGGGAGGATGGACATCGACGAAGTAGGCGGACTTGATATACCTTGACGCGAACTTGCCAAAGTGCACCTCGTCGAAACTGCCGCATATAGTCAGTTAATCAAAGCCAAACCGCGCATTCATGAGACTTACACGATACTGGTGGGTTGGGAGATACGGAAGAGACGGACAGCGCAGGCAATGAGGAGCACTACGACAAGTAGCTTCCATTCCCCGGAGGAGAGATTAAGGCCACCGGTGGCATGGGCCTTGCGACCTGGTCGTAGACCTTTGGAGACGGCTTCGCGACGCTCGTCGGCGTCAAGGTGGTCGTGGCGAGGGTGAGGGAAGCGAGGAGTGGGATGGGAGGAGAGCTTGCCCGGCGGGGAGGGCTGCCTGCGCACACGGACGCTGCCCGACATGGCGCGCGCGTCGTTGTCTGTCAAGTGGTCGCCGCGGTCCAAAGATACGAAGAGAAAGAAAAGGAGAGAATGCGCAGCGCCAGCGAACGAGTCGAGAGTGAACGGAGAACGGTGAAGAGGCGGGGAGACTGCGGACGACGTGGTAGGCCCTGCACCGCCACGCGAGCGGGCATCATAGCGCACCCACGTGACCGCACTCTGCAATTTCGAGTCTGTCTTTCGCGTCTCTCCTCGCGTCCTCCACACCCATCTCCTCTTCATTCAGCCATGTCCATGAACATCTTTGGCGCAGAGGTACGTGCTACCACCGTAGACTGACATGCCACCTCTCATGCCGCGCAGGCTACCGAGGAAAAGGCAGAGAACGCGCGTCTCGCGTCGTTCGTCGGTGCCCTTGCACTCGGCGATCTCGTCAAGTCCACCCTCGGCCCCAAGGGCATGAACAAGATCCTCCAGTCCGGATCCTCGGGAGATATCAACGTCACAAACGATGGCGCCACTATCCTCAAGTCCATCCAGCTCGACAATGCTGCCGCCAAGATCCTCGTCAATATCTCTAAAGTGCAGGACGACGAAGTCGGCGATGGCACCACCAGCGTCTGCGTTCTGGCCGCAGAATTGCTCAGGGAGGCGGAGAAGCTCATCGCGCAGAAGATCCACCCCCAAACCATCATCGAGGGCTACAGGATAGCGAGCATTGCCGCACTCAGTGCTCTCGAAAAGGCTGCGACCGACAACAGGTGCGTTCGGACGCGTTCTTCTTCATTCGCCCGAGTTCTAATGCATATGCCCGATCTCGTATAGTACCGACCCCGCGCGTTTCAGGCAAGATCTGGTCAACATCGCGCGCACTACCCTCTCCTCAAAAGTCCTCAACCAGGACAAGGATTACTTCGCCAACCTCGCAGTAGATGCCGTTCTCCGTCTCAAGGTTTGAACCTTCGGTTTCTCCCGTGTATCAAGCTCATTCCTCGCTCTGCTCAGGGTTCAACAGATCTCGAGCATATTCAGATCATCAAGAAGGCGGGAGGGAAGCTTACTGACTCTTACCTCGATGAAGGTATGTTGCATACATGGTCAATCTCCGGGATGTATCACTCATGTCCTTCCAGGCTTCATTCTGGACAAGACCATCGGTACCAACTGCCCAAAACGGCTGGAAAACGCCAAGATCCTCATTGCGAACACCTGTATGTCTTGCCGCGCACATTCGATTTACGTACTGTTGCTCATGGTTTGTCAGCCATGGACACCGACAAGATCAAGGTCTTCGGTGCTCGTATCAAGGTTGATAGCACGGGCAAGCTTGCGGAATTGGAGCGCGCGGAGCGGGTCAGTCAAGTCTGGCACATTCGCATGGCTATATGCTCATCTCTCTACAGGAGAAGATGAAGGAGAAGGTCGACGCGATCGCTGGGCACGGCATCAACTGCTTCGTGAACCGTCAACTCGTCTACAACTACCCGGAATCTCTCCTCTCCGAAAAGGGCATCATGACGATTGAGCACGCTGACTTCGAGGGTGTTGAGCGTCTGGCCCTCGTCACTGGCGGCGAGATCGCGAGTACGTTCGATCATCCGGAGCTCGTGAAGCTTGGGCGGTGTGAGTTGATCGAGGAGATCATGATCGGCGAGGACAAGGTCCGTTCTCTATCCCGTTCACGCATACAAGCACTTACTGACAAAAATACCATAGCTCATCAAGTTCTCCGGCGTCGCGGCCGGTGAGGCATGCACCGTCGTGCTCCGTGGGTCGACGAACCAGATGATAGACGAGGCGGAACGTTCGCTGCACGACGCGCTCTCCGTGCTGTCACAAACAGTGAAGGAGACACGGGTCGTGCTCGGGGGCGGGTGCTCAGAGACGCTCATGAGCTGCGCGGTCGAGGAGGAGGCGCGGAAGGTCCAGGGCAAGAAGGCGATCGCTGCAGAGGCGTTCAGCCGTGCGCTCAGGATGATCCCGACTATCCTCGCGGACAACGCGGGCTACGACTCGTCCGACCTCGTCGCGAAGCTCAGGGCAGCGCACTACGAGGGTCAGTCGGATGCGGGTCTCGGTGAGTTGTTCAGTGCTTTTTCGTGGGCGTAGGATGGCGCTGACTGGGGTGTAGACATGAACGAGGGCACGATTGGGTCGATGACGAAGCTCGGCGTGACAGAGAGCTACAAGCTCAAGCGCCAGGTCGTGCTTAGCGCGAGTGAAGCGGCGGAGATGATCCTACGGTGCGTGCTGGCTCAAATTTATGGGGTATGATACTGATCACGGCGTGCAACAGTGTGGACGATATCCTGCGGGCAACGCCCCGTAGACGGGAAGCTGTATAATAGTAGAATGAATCCTTGGTAGGCAGTATAAGATAGTTTTGCGTTGCTGCTTCATCACTTAGCACCGTCATATGATTGGTCTGCAGTTTGCAGACGTGTGGGTGATCTTGGAAGCAGCAAACACCAAGATAGGTCATATGTGACCGTCCTGGGTCAAACTCACCCCAACAGCTTGTCTGAGTGATGCATAATGATGGTGCCATATATTTCACGCGTGTACTGTTCAGCCGTGTCCACTTCATGAAGGTTTTCTGCAAAACTATATATGGTCAGTATGCTTGGCTCCAGCACCAGCCCTGCATTATGACTGATGTATCACATATATTTTTCTGTGAGTTACACAGTAAGCTGTGCATTACAATTGTTTCTGGTAGCACTATAGCATGTGCTTTGATGTAGCACATTCTTATGCTTTGATGACCTCTGTAGGCTTGTAGCAGGACTGATATACTATGTAATATTGATTCCATTTCACTATCACAGCATTTAGGAGAGGTTTATATTGGTAATTCAAATTCAAAGGAACTTTATTTTTATATCTTTTATTCATTTTTGCCCACTGGCTCGAATATAATTGACAATGGTGAATAAGAAGGGACTGCAAAACATTTGTATCATGAGGAGAATAACTTGCTGTACTTCTTATACTGTTACCAACCTCATTATCATGCAGCATAATTATATCTGTGAAAAAGATGGGCATTACTAGTCAACAGAGCTCAGCAAATTGCATGCAATCACAAGCTATTAGCAGGCAAGAGCCATGGATCCTCAGCAGTAAGATACATCACCACAGGCTCACATGTGAGAAGACATTGATCTGCACTTTACTGGAACTTATTATCAGATGAAATTGGAGTATGTGGATCATCTGGACTGTTTGAAGGACACTATAGTCTCATATCTCCTCAATATACTTCTGTAGTGGCTGTAAAAAGTCTCAACCAGACATATGGGTATTTTAATGTACAAATTGTGTATATCAATGGGGTGAATCACTTAAAAAACTATATAAATTATGATGTGTAGTTGCAGTGCTTTCAACGCAAAGACAGGCAGTATTTCTGCACTACGTAGGATATATATATATATGTTGGATCAGTCCTCCTGTTAGTTAGACCACAAAAATCAAAAAGAAAATAGCAGTCTGATTTAATATTTCATCAACAATCCATTCTCATCAATCAGACCTGCCAGTCATGGCCCTTTTTCCCTAAGTGTGACACAGATAGATATCATGTATACACCATATTGTCAGGCTCATGAATTTATTTTGATGATGTGTAATATGCTTTACGTATGCATGAGAACTGGTGAAATAGTAGAGGAGATATTGTTATCAGAAAGCTGATATTAAAGTCATTTGTTTATTCAAAATCTATTCTTGCCCAAATTAAAACCATAATACAGTGACAGTCAAAAGTCATGTACCACCCCCCCTTGACTTCAGGTTCTCTAGGAAAGTGATGTATACCTAGCCTAAATATAGTATTATTATATAGCATCCCATGAATGATTTCTTATGCCACACTCGTTCTGCAGGGGGGGAATATGGTGTGCAAAACATGGGCAACTATTTTAGCGCCAGCCACGCATCAGCCAGCTCAGACTCATTCTCAGCTTTCACCATTACCATTCACACATTGCACATCTTTTACCACACATTGTGCTTCTATAACCTCCATTCTCTCTGCCTACATTGATGGCTCCTTTGTCCTGCACAAAATGTGTGAAAATCCTGGAACTTCATCACCCTTCCTCTAGAACCCCCCTCTCCATCAGCAAATCACTTGCAGAACCCACAGCTGTCAGGAGACTGTCAGAGACTGTCTGCTGAGTCCTACGCAGGGTTAGGGAGACAGGCACTCTACACTACAACATGCCCCATTCTGGCCGTCTGTTAGGGACGTGCCACACGTTAGGTCCGGAGTTCGGAGTTCCAGGGTCCAGAAGGGTCCGGAGTTCGGACGGAGTCCGGACGGAGGTACGGCACGGAGGGGAAGGACTTCAGCGAAGCTATTAGCAACGCTCTGAGACCTCCTGCGGTTGTCCTTAATTTCCGAAGGAACGAGGGGGTCGGACTTGACCGGAGTTTGGGGCTGACTAAGCCGGAGTTCCACGCTGACTAAGCGGAACTAAGTCCGAGACGATTGGAGCAGAACAGAGAAGAGGATGAAGAGGATGGCGAGGGACAAAGTCCAATGGGACTTGTCGAGCAAGCAAGATCAAACAAAGTCCGAAGTCTGGAGTTCCGGAGCTTGTAGGCTCGGAGTTACCAGATTAGGAAGGTCGGAGTTCGGAGGTCGGGACGGAGGTAGACCAAGGGAATAGATTGACAAGGGAGGTAGCGTGAAGGAAGGTAAACAGAAGGTAGCGAGGGGTAAACAGGATGGGTAACGAGAAGGGTAACGAGATATCCGAACTGAGGTACTACGGCATTCCGGGCGCGTATTTAAGGAACAGAACCTTATTGTTAAGGAAGACAATAAGAGCGTAAGGAATATCAAATCTGGAGTTCGGAGATTCCGGAGTTCCGGAGTCCGGGGACGAAGACGATAGAGCTTATTGTTAAAGGACAAGGTGGTGAAAGAGTGGTGCAATCGTAAGGGAACGTACACGTGAAATCCGGAGTTCTGGAGTGCGGGAAAGTTGGAGTATGAAGTCCGGAGCACGGGAACTCGGAGTACGGAGTCCAAAGTGCGGGAATTCTGGAGTTCAGAGCGGAGGTGTGCATGGAGCGTAACACCGTCCTGGCATCCTCACTCCTTGGGATCTCAATCATCTCAAGCTTGTGCTCACTTAAGGTGAAGTGGCAAATGCAACTGATGCCCAGTGCTTGGCAGCTCCACAGGCCAGTGCCCGTACAGTGCGTAGAAACCTTTCTGAGGATGGTCTCTATGGGCGAGTGCAACGGGAGAAGCCATACCTCAGTGCTCTCAATGTGAAGCAGCAACAAATGTGGGCGCAGGAGGTTGCTGGTTGGGGCATGGATCGGTGGATGCTTGTAGTCTTCTCAGATGAGTCAAAGTTCAATCTCTTTGGCTTGGATGAAAGGCAATTGTGCCATAGAAGAGTTGGGGAGGAGTTCCTAGACCGGAATGTGAAGAAGCAGATGCAGGGCAGAGGAGGAAGTGTCATGGTCTGGGGCTGCATCACCTTGAAGGGTGTTGGGGGACTTCACCGCATCAAGGGGATCATGGACATAAAGAAGTACTGCACCATTCTCGAGGAGGCCCTCCTGGATATGCTTCACAATCACCATCTCAACCCGTGCACCTTCATTTTCCAGCAAGACAATAACTTGGCTAGAGAGGGCCATAACTGGCAGGTCCGATTGATGAGGGTACATATATCTTAGTATAATTCATATAGTTGAGCTAAGAATTCAGATGGATAATGCATTTGATCTGGCCCAGAGCAAACTATGGATGCTGTTTTGATATATGTAGTAGATATGAGCCTCTGAACAATCCCCATCATCTACATGCATTGATCTTGTATCAATTCCACTGCTGTCATCCGCTAAAAAATTCAGACATCCAAACTCCCAGTTTTGGTTTTAAGCATTTTTTATTGTCTTCAAGGTATTCAAATATGCATTATTTGATATAGCACTTGAATTGATGCATCCTAACATAGATGCTATCAAAGGCACTGCATGAATAAACCAGGGAATTTCCTCCACTGGTATAGTATAATGATGGCACAGTATTCAAGTAGATCAATGATCCAAGCTTACCTCAACTGCCCAGGGTACTCAGCTATAACAATCAGATGTGTCACTTGACAATTCTCACCAAGATACAAATAATCTCATTTTATAACATGGCTCAACCCAGACTTCATTTTATTCTCTGCAGAAGACTCTTATAGCATTTCTTGATCATCTCAGCATTAGCAGGTCAGTTTATAATCCAAACAATATCAGTAACTGGAGTCACATTACTACCATGAGTGTAGTCTTATTGATTTTTATAATGGTCATGCCATTGACACATTGATTGAGGTTGATTTTCTGTGATTATTAGCCCTTAAGCCTAGGCAACTTTAAGTAGGAGTTTAAGACATTCATCTTGGTAGCTAATTTTATGCCATGTAATGGATCAGACATACCTTGATCAAAGACCTTGATTGAATAGACCTTCAATAAATGGCCTGATTGTATTGTTTAGATGGAAATCATGTTATAATACATTTATTTCATTGAAGTTTTGGGAAGTAATTCTTTTATGCTCACAGTATCCCCTCTATTTGAAGGGCAACAGGGCACTATTCAGCAAGACAATGTGTTTAGGCACTTTTATGATCATTTGATGCTTCAAACATGGATTACCCCATTGAACACACTCCATAAGCATGATTATGTGACCTCATTGCCTAATCAGATTGCCATATATGGTGCAATGCCACACATCAGCTGCAATACTGCATTTATTATAGTTTGAGCTCCTTCCAGATTTCATTACTAAATATATAGACAGTAGCATGGAGTAGAGATTGAAATTCTGAGTCTGGTGGTATATGACACTTAGGGGGAGGCAATGATGTCATCAGGTCATGTGCTTTGGGCGCTTTTTTCCCCAATGGTGGCACTAATAGGATTTTGTACTGTGTGTAGTGGCAGCTGCATGAGTCACATCCTTGTCATTTTTAAATATATGGACTCTGCTCATCCATAGCTCTCTGTTGATACATATTTTGTGGCATATGGACAACTGGGGGCCAAGATATTTAGACATTTGTGTTGGGAACCAAACAAGACCACAGCTGCAACCCATTTTGCCCCCTGTTGGCTTATTCCTCACCACAACATAGGACATTTATATATGATTGGAAAGGGCCTTCTAATGTGCATCTAATGGTGGTACAATCATGGTTTTATATCAAATACACAAGCTCTAATGCACCAAACACCAATTGTGGCTGAAGGTCCATGCCAGATTGCATGCACATTACTCAGTGTTTGTGCTCACTACTTGATCTTCCTAGCTTCATTATAGCATTCCAGAACACTCTCAGAAGATAGTACTAGCAGGGCATTGAAGAAACTACATTATCTGGACCTGAACATCTTTTTACTCCAATTTATGCCTTTAATTGGCACCCTATTGATGCATCAATCACTCCAGTGACTGGCAATGGTAGATAACATACAACAACAGATATCATGCTTTATGTTAGGTGATAGCTGACTAGCCTCTTTTACTGGCATGTGGCATACATATACTACTACCAAATTATTGCTTTAAAAGGAAACTAAGGGTATAGTACTTGAACTACACTATAACATTTGTTAAAGATCTCTCTTGATACAGTGCATAGCCTATATGCATAGTGGGTAGTGAGCGGCACATGTGCTGTGCAACTTAGGGTTACACACGTGCCCAGTGAGAGGCTTTACCTGTGGTAAGGATTGTCATCAGAACTGACCTAAGGCTAACCCTAAGCTGTGCTATTGGGACCTAACCCTAACCCTGTAAACATTACAAATTTTTGTATATGGCGCCTATCGAAAAGCTAATGATGGGTAAGTACATTTTTCCCACGGTGTCGGATTGGTGTCACGCGAGTTGGCAGGAAGCTCACCCCATAAGAAACAATTTCTTCGTTCCTCATCAATCGTAATTCTCATGACTTCAAAGTAGCCATACAGAACAGCTGTAGTGAGTATAATCGTCATAGAATCCTATGTGAAGTGCGCTACAAGCCTAGCATACTTCTCAGAAAAGCAAGGTGTCAGCTGTTAGGTGGTGCAGTATTATCTAAAAAAGGGCACATGGGTAGACATAGCAATGTGTGGGCAAATTCAGAATTGTCTCAATATAATGGCAAGTCAGATATGAACACAGAGTACTTTTACCGTTTTGTGAATTATCTACCAGAGAATATAGCTTATACCTGGGAAATATCACAGTCAGATACTGTAATTGCACACCTGCCCATATCTGTACTTGTTTCCAAGCTTTCCAAGCCCCTGCTCTTGGATATTGCTCGTAAGCATTGGCTACCCGAAATTTCAAAACATAAATCACGTGAATATATAGTACAGCAACTTCTTAGTCATTGCTGCTTGAAGTGTGAAACATTTGTATCCGTGTTCAAGCCATATTCAAAAATCAAGTGAAGGCAGACAAGAATGCAAGTGTTGAGAGAGTTAAAAGCTGCAGAGCAATGTGGTAATATATGCTTTCCACCAAGGGCTGCATCTAGTGAATTTATAGAAGAAGCAATCAATGGATTGTCCAAAGACATCTCTCCAAACAATTTTATCGAGTCAGCATGTGCAGTGTGTGCCCAGTTAGTGCCTCAAAAATTATTGTCATCCATATCTGATGAAGAATATGATGAAAATCTTCTACACAATAATGATCCAATCACTAGATGTGAACAGTTGAAATTAGCAGACCCAATACTGGACATCACTGGCCCTATCCTTCTTCCTGGCTGTAAGGATATTTGTCAATCATGCTTATCTGAGCTCAAAGAAGGTTGTACCCCTGCAGATAGTCTGGCAAATGGTTTGTGGATTGGAGAAGTCCCACCCCAGCTACAAAACCTGAGTTTTACTGAGAAAATGCTGATAGCACGTGTAAAGCATAACCACTGCATTGTCAAGGTCCACATGTCAGGCATGTCCAAGCTACGTGCTAATGTGGTCAGCCATTCACTTCCCATGCCCAAGATATATTCTGTGCTTCCACCTAGATGTGAGGAATTGAGTGAGGTATTAGCATTCTTATATCTTGGACCTAATCAGCCAACCTCCAAAGAGTATAAGCGCACACCCATGCTCGTACGGCGTAACAAAGTGGCTGATGCACTTGAATGGCTAAAACTCAATCACATTGACTATGCTGATCTTAAGATATCTTATGACAACATCAATTTATATCCTGAGGATGAGCCACCTGTGATCGTAAATTACTCAAAGAGCATGGAGTCCAATGTAGATCCTGAAGCGTCAGCTGTAAATGCAAGTGAAGAAGATGAAGGTGCAGATGATGGAGCCTGTCCTTTTGTTGTGCATGGATTGACAGGAGCAAGCCTTGAACACATGGGAAAAGTCAGACCATACGAGATCACTGCACGAGCTATCACTTCAAATCAGGAGGCAAAGTACTTGGTATAGCCCAATCTGCAGAGCCAGAGAGTTTATACCACAATCCTCAGCTATATCCTCAGATGTTCCCATGGTTATTTCCATATGGCTTAGGTGGACTGAATAATTCTGCAAGCGGGTGTCGGCCTGTCTCTGAAGAGCGGAGAAAGCAACAGCTTCTGATGTACCATGATAAGCGCTTTCAACTAGAACCATTGTTTCCACTGGTTGCATTAAACCATGAGCAGATCAAAAAATCGACCACAGCAGGATATTTGTTGGCAGACAAAAACAAGTTTGGTGAAATAGCTAACAGGCTTCTGAACATCAAAGACTCAACCTTGGCAGATATCATTCAGCGGCTTAGCACTGGGTCTATGAAACCAGAGACCGAAGATGAAAAGGCTTGCTTCAAAATATTGAATGACCTGGATCATGTCAATTACAAGGTGCAGGGCTCCATTACAAGCAAGAAATATATGCGCAATGAAATATGGTCCCTGGTCTCCTACCTCGGTGCACCTTCATGGTTTGTGACCTTTGCTCCTGCTGATGTCAAGCATCCTGTGGCCCTATATTTTGCAGACACCAATCTGAAATTTGTACCTGAGTTCAGAGACAAGAATGAGTGTCTGCGGTTGATTGCAAATAATCCAGTGGCTGGTGCACGCTTCTTCAAAATGATGATGGATCTGTCTATCAAGCATGTTCTTGGGGTGGGATTGGACAGACCAGGGTTGTATGGCCAAACATCAGGATATTATGGGACAGTGGAACAGCAGGGCCCTCAAAGAAAGACAAGGCTGATCTGGATAAATCTGACAAACCTGAATTTGATAATCGAGGCTGCACAGACAAAAATGGAAATTGCAAAGCCCGGTTCCCCAGAGAGACCCATCCAGAGACTGTGGTAGACCCAAGCACTGGTGCGCTGATCATGAAGAAGGAAGAGGCATGGATCAACACCATCACCCACGCAGTCACCTATCTCATGCGCGGGAACACTGATGTCACCAGTCTACTGTCAGGCACTGCCATCAAGTCTGTCATAGCTTATGTTGCTGATTACATAACTAAAACCCCACTGAAAACCCATGTGATGTTCCAGTCTATTCAGCAGGTGTTTGAGCGCAATGTGGAGCTGTTAGGCAGTCAGAAGTCTACCAAAGAGAGGGCCCGGTCCCTGATCACCAAGATAGTAAACTCACTCACTGCATGCTCTGAAATTGGTGGACCCATGGCAGCCATGTATTTGCTCAAGCATCCAGACCACTACAAAAGTCACAAATTCCGCACCTGCTTCTGGAGAGGATATGTGTATGAGGTGATGCGTGCATGGGAGGACTCTGCCAAGATTGCCAAGGAAGGGACCACCAAAGTCATGCTTGGACTTTCAGGAACATCCAAGCGGATCATAGCATTGTCACCTGTGCAGGACTATATATGGCGGCCCACTGAGTACGAGCACATGTCACTATATGATTGGGTCAGACTGGCAGACAAGCAGCGGATCAAGCACAGTAAAAAGGGCCCCAAGAAATCTGAAGAGCATATTGATGAGCCAGCAGACGTGGACTCGGAGTTTGAGGACAACTATGATGTCAGTGATGCAGAATTGAAGGGTGCTGGAGTCAATGAAGAGGAAGAAGAATCTGAGGATGAACTCTTGCTCACAAAGACATCAAACCAGGAGCTTGAAGCTGATAGCGCACCTAAGCCCAAGAAAGCTAGGTCAAAATATGTACAGTTCCATGAGAATCATCCACAGTATGAGACCCATCATGTGAAGCTGCTGGATGAGTCAGAGGCATATGTTCCCAACTTCATTGGCGGCTCACTTCCCAGGAGGGATGCAGGCAACCGTGAACAGTATTGAATGACCATGCTCACACTCTTCAAGCCTTGGCGCACCGGACAGGATCTGAGACCAAGCCAGGATGTGCTCTGGGATGATGTGTTCAATGGCCATTCATTCACAGAGCGGCAGCTGGAGGTCATGAAATTCTTCCATATCAAATATGAGTGCAATGATGCCAGGGACGACTTTTCAGCTGCTCGCAAAAAGGGAGGAAAAACTGGTCCTTCACCATTCAACATGGATAATGCCACCCTGGATGACCTGGACACCCAGTATTATAATGATGATGGGGAACTCAACATCAGTGAGATTGAGGAGATGGTGCTGCGGACCAATGACTGGACAGAGCTCAGCAATGCAGAAATAAGCAGACGCACACAGATGCTGCAGGCAGAACAGATCATCCAGGCTTCGGGCTGGCTAGACCCCATGAAAGAGAAGAACACTTCTGAACTGCCATCAAAGTTCAACAGCAAGGAAGATATGAGCTCTGCAGACTGGAAGAATGTACTTGCTGCCAAGCGCCAAGAGATACTGGATGCCAGAGATGCCCAGGCTGCATTGAAGAAACCTGCCAATGCGAGTACTCTGCCAATCAATGATGAAGTCAATGAGGTCAAGGTCATTGACAGGTCATACTATATGAGCAAAGCATTCAAGGCACAGGACCAGGAGGCTCAGGCGCTCATTGACACCACTGCCAAGGAATTCAGTCTGAATGAAGCGCAGGAGAGAGCTTTCCAGATTGTTGCAAACCATGCTGTAGAGTCCAATGGCGAGCATCTCAAAATGTACCTCGGGGGCATGGCAGGCACAGGAAAGTCACAGGTCATCAAAGCTTTGACACCCATCTTTGCTGCTCGCCAGGAAAGCTACCGGTTCATGTGCATGGCCCCCACTGGATCTGCTGCAGCACTTACTGGAGGATCTACATACCATTCCATGCTTGGACTCAGACAAAATGCATCCTCAGATTCTGTGGCTACCCTGCTTCAAGTGCGTGCTCGTCTGCAGAATGTGGAGTACATGTTCATTGATGAGATCAGCATGGTTGACTGTGGAAGCATGTATACTACATGTGCAAAGATGTGTGTAGCACTGAAGAATGGGAATTCTGAATGGTCAGTCGAGCGTGTAGAAGGAGAGGCCATGCCCAAAAGGGGGGGGGGCACAGATCAAGTGAACTCAGTTATGATCCACACCCACACCCGCCAACGCTCACATTGTACACTGCTTATTGTCTTCTTTGCTAGTACGCCCTTGCACATCCTCATGATGTGCAAAGACATATATACACTGAAAATGACAACAATCCCAAATGGTGGAATTGTCTCAAAGTGCACAGAGAACTGTGGATAATCCATCAATTTCAACATACCTGACAGCCACCATGAACTGTTGAAGGCAGTGAACGGCATCTGATTGAAGCGAGAGAAGGTGTAGGTCATCTAACACAATGTATCTTTATTATGCCCAGTGTCACAGGACAAGAAGACAAATAGTGCACTTTGGTTTTATACGCAAGAAGTGGCCAACTAACCCTAATGGCATCCCCTTAGCCTTCAAAAGGCCTGCGTACAAAAGCTGGTGTCCTCTATCCTTATCCTGGGTGTATCTCAGCCTGGTGCTAGCGCAGTCAAGAAGCACTATTGGAGGGGGATGAGCAAGGATATGTGACCAACGTGCAATCAGTGGTTCCAGGTTCGACGGCTTTTATAAGGCCATTAGCCCGCATCACTGCCCACTTGCAGCTGCCACTGCACACTTCGTGAGGTCCATGGACCTCCAAAACGATCAGCACTGGCTAATAATCACCACCACATCAATCTATGCCACACTGCTACATGCCAGTGTTTCATTAAAAAAGGGATGAATGATAGGATCTCCTCAGCATCATCACCCTATCTAAATCCACCTCCAATCCTCTCCACCGGCTCAGAGCAATGCATCAACAGACTCAAGCAAGCACATAGTGATAAGTTCAAATGAAACATGAGAAGCACTGATATCATTGACGAAAATGTAGACACAAAGCTAGCACACCCCTACTAGTCAATCACAATGGATTTGGTGCAAAGTATGTTGTAAAGTCTCCAAACACCCTACAGATTGAATATACACTGGTGTGCAATGGGATGATGAACTTCATATAGACATAGGTTGCATAGATCTTTGTGCTAGGTCAATGCATTTTGGGCTGTCATGACCTGGAACTAGGGCTGATCTATAGGCTAGGTACCTAGATCTAGTACCTGCAAGAGGGTACAAGGGATCGGGATCGGGTATGGCTCGAGCCAGTTCCTGCACATATGACTCAACCTCAATAAGTAAAGATTCCACATCAGATAGGGGATGAACAGGGAAAGGGTGTTGTGGGTGGGATACATGGTCAGAAATAATGGCGAGGGTTTACAGTCCATTTTAATACCTCATTCTAGAGGATATTGGCCAGCTGCTTCCCTTGCAGGAGGTCTTCATGCACACCTGTAGTTCACTGGTATCAACAGATAAGTCATATCAGTAGCTGAAGGAACACTGTACATTGTAAGTCAAGCTAGTGAGGCTCAAATGCCTGTGTTCAAAGCGAAAACGTTTCAGGCTGCCCTTGTGACCTTTTTCTTCCTCACATACCTCTACAAGTTCATCATCGGTAATGCTCACGTCAGAGATACTTGGGTGGAGAGGGCCATGGACTGGCAGGTACGATTGATGAGAGGATAGTTTGTTAGTAGCACATTTAGTTGAAATGAAAGACATAATTTAAGTGTTTTGACAGTGAGTAAACAGTTGGCATATGTTCATGTGAAACACAATTGACATGATTAGATGCTCTTCTTTCTCTGTGACAATGCTGTTTATTGAATCACATCAAATACTTCCATCATTTTCATGCTCAATGACTTTTTAAACTGCACATTGACTCACAAATCTGATATATCAAGTGAAACTAAGTTTATCGTGATAGTTATACAATCTATACATCTGACAAGCATTTACATACACATATTATAGTATTTTTGATGCAAGCAACTTTTAAAACTGCTTGAGACTGTTATCAGGAGCATTTGGATTTGATATACATAATAAATCACTGCATGT